CCTTTCCTTTGGCCCTCGCGCATATGCCATCACTTCTACCTCTTTCAACTCACACAGATCGTCATGAAGGACCGTGAGACTGGTCGCTCTCGTGGATTCGGCTTCGTCACCTACGGTACTCAGCAGGAAGCCGATGCCGCCATTGCTGCTCTCAACGAGCAAGAGCTCGACGGCCGACGCATCCGAGTCAACATGGCCAACTCCCGACCTCCCGCTGGGTGAGTGCAGAGGTGTTCAGCAGAAAACATCGCTTGAGGAATCTTCCGACTAATCTCTGCCCTGTCATCTTCCTTTCTCTCCACTTATCAGTATGGGCGGCATGAACGTTGGTGGCTACGGTGGCGGTGGACAGTCTTACGGAGGTCAGTTCAACGCCGGTGGCTACGGTGGTCAGGGCGGCTACGGTGCTCAGCCTGCGTTCGGTGGCCAAGGTAACTTCGGTGCTGGTGGTTTCGGTGGCCAACAGGCTGGCGGCTACGGTGCTCCCTACGGAGGTCAGCAGGCTTACGGCCAGCAGGCTTACGGAGCACAGCAAGGTTACGGTGGCGGTGCCCAGCAGGGTGGTTTCGGCGGTGCCCAGCAGCAGAGCTTCGGTGGCCAACAAGGTTACGGTGGTGGAGCTGCTCCTCAGCAGGGCGGTTACGGAGGGTGAGTATCGTTGCCCGTGTCATTCGTTCCATCAGTGTTCCCTCCCACTGTACAGCATCTCGCGACTCCTCCTCATGAGTGTCATTGGTCGAGCACGTCGCTCTTCCTTCGACCTCACAGATGAGCAAGGACGTCGGGGATGCGAGAGTGCCGAGGCGCTGGTGTTGCGACCATTCCTTCCTCTCTCCCTCCTCTACTTTCTGCCGTGTCGCCGTCGGTCCAGTCTTCTATCGATCGGAAGGGTGGCCCCAGCTTCGTCTCAAGTCGTCTCAAGTCTCTACGTCAGTGGCCTTTCTCGATCTGCAGCTCTCATCTCCGTCGACGCAGCCAGCCTCCTGCTAGGGTCCCATTGCCCTTGCTTCCGTTCGGTCCGGTCACGACAGGCTGCAAAGTTCCTCGTTTCTCCTTTCCATCTCTTCTCTTCTATGCCTCGGATGCGGATCGACGCGGCTCTACTTTCTTTCTCTACGATCGTTCTCAGACTCAACGTGATGTGGATCGATCAGACTCGCTATTGGGCTCGACGCGGCGCGGCATAGGATCCTCTTCCCCCTCACCCACATGCTGTGGCTTTCTGATCGATTGCAGCATTTCACTGACACGTCCTCCTCCTCTCGCACTCGCAGGCAACAACAGTAATCAGCAGGGCGGCTGGTAATCGCCTCTGAGCTGGAGGTATCAAGATCGAAATACGACAGAAGTGGAAGCTCTGATGGTAGTTGGCTCTCAACATCCTTTGATGACGCTGGTTCTTTCTCTTTTCCAAGTCGGTCGACGAAGCACGGTCCCTATGGCACCTCTGCCACTATACCACTACTTTCTGGGCTGCTCCACTTGTTCATTTCTGTCTAGCAGCATCTCCAGTAGAAGTTCGCGACAAGTTCCCCACTCCTCCCCCCGTTCAACGCCAATTTCTCGACGCACCTGGCTAGCTCAAAAACGCAACTACGACTCCAATTCAACGCAAGCGTCACCCCAAGCGTCTTTCTCTCTCTTCCCCCAAATTCACCCCCATAGTGTCGTGTTTCCGTCTCCTGATGACCTGTTCCTCTCAAGCTTCAGACTCGCTTCCCTGTTTCCCCATCTCGAACCGACACGCGTCCCGTATCTTTCTCTCTCTCTCTCCCACACACACACTCTTTTTTTCGTCTTGCTTCTGATCTGACTCGTGAAGAAATGCCAGAAACATTACAGACGACTCGACTTGCCCACTGCCCCCCTCTGAAGGAAAGGAGAAGAGTGAGCGGCAGCAGCCCCGACGTGGTCATTGTACAGTACAGTATCTCTGCACCTGCCTCTACTACCCTCGCAGGCACCACTGTGGTTGGAGTCTTTGGACTCGGTTCGCTTCGACTCGTGCCCTGAGTGAGATCCGATCGATCCAGCCATGAGATGCAGGTAGAGCGAAAACGCAGCACACAGCACGCAGCATCAGCACTAGCGCCAGCACGCAGCACCAGCATGCAGCACAGGTACTGGCACTAGCAAGGGCTCTTTTTCCCCTCCCCCTCATCCCCCTTCTGTGCTCTCTCTGGGCCACTCTGAGCAACGCAATCCCTCTAATCTTCTCCACACCCACAACGCACAACGCACAACCCCGCTCGGGTCCCTCTAGGCCTGGACCCATCGGTACTGCTGATCCTTTCCCACGCTCTAGGCGTCTCAGTAGAGCCCGCATATTGGGCGGTGAAGTCTGGTCCTGAACTGGTCTAGACTGGACTGGAATTTCCCCCTGAAGACGAGGAGAGGAGAGGAGGAGTGCGGGCATTCCTCGCTCGCTCGCTTCAAAGGCAAAGGTCCGGAGCGATGAGGTGGGTGAAGCGAGAGGTAGGCTGCTTGCTTGCTTCAGCTTGGTCAGCTGACCTGACCTGACCCCCTCCCCTACCTACCTTTGATCTCCGCCCTTGGTTCCTCTCCTCTCTTTCTCCGGAACGAAGTGAAGCCGACGCAAAGGCAACGCGAAGGCACGGCGAAGCGAAGTGCGAAGCGAAGATTGCCGGACAGCCCCGGCATCGTCCTTCATTGCCAAGACCGGCCTGAATTTGGGGAGCATTGGGAATTGGGAATGGGGGCGTGGGTGGAGCCGAGCTTCAAATCCAGACGAGACGAGATGAGGCGAGGCGAGGTTGAGGGGTGAGAGTTGGGGCTACACAGCCCCAGCTCCAACTCGAGCTCGACTGAGGGCCTGACAGTAGGCAACGAACGAGTCGTGGGCGTGGGCTTGGGAGAGGCAGCGCCAGAGCCAGTGACAGGAGCTTCCGCAGTTTGCCTTTTGGCACTGCCTCTCTCCGCCCTTGCGCTATGAGGTCTGTATCTACTGTACGCTCGCTTAGACCCTTCCCTCTCGATCAAAGATGCACACAACCACAAGAGACCACAACAAGGGCAAATAACGAAAAGTGACTCTATGAAATTTTACCGCATGCGATGACCATTTTTTGACTCGAGACTGCAGTAGTAGTGCAACGTACGAGGGTGGTGGTGGTGGAGACCTACAAATCTGGGAACAAGTGACAAGACGGTAAGGGGAGTGAGAGGGGAAGGAAAGAAAGACTACAACAAGAGAGAGAGAGAGGAGGTGGTGGTGGTGCAAGGGTGTGTTGGGTTGTGCAGTGACGAGCATAGCGAACTCCAGATCGCTTCAAATGCAAATTTCCTGAGCTCAGATCAGCTACACCAAGTTCCTGCCTATACACTCCTTACCAGCGCAACCCGTTCTGCCTCTAGCCTTTGTTCTGCCTGCTACTGCGTATGATGATGACAAGGCATTCATTGATCAATCATGTACAGTGCGGCGATCGTAGGAAAGGGCGATCGGGAAGAGGGGGTGAAACGAGCTCTAGTTAGAGACGAAGGCGAGTGAGAAAGACGGAAGAGGTATCGCATGAAATTTGGAGAGAAAAGTAGTGCACGAGGAGGCTGCAGAGACCGGAGGGACGCCATCTTAGAAGAGGAAAGAAGCCACCCTCTTGTAGAAGGGCTGGTCCTTGATAGCCTGTCGCTCGGCACGGAGTACCTCGAGAGAAGGAGCCTCACGTCGACCAGTAGTGACGTCGATCTGGGAGACGGGCACCCATCCAGCACCCTGGACGACAAAGTATCCAATGGCCCAGAAGACGAGGACGATGGGGGCGGAGAGGTAACTCTGGAAGAAGTTGACCGCACGCTCGCTGCCAGTCATGTCACCCTCTCCAATGGGCCAGCCAGCCTTGTAGAACTGAGCAATGAGCACAATGATGTTGAGGGCGAGACCGAGCCACGAACCCCAAACACCCATGGGCGAGGCCCAAGGCAGGTGCTCCTTGGTCAGACCCTGCAGCTTCCAAGCCTTGCGGAATCGAATGTGGCACAGGCAGATGGATCCCCAGGTGAAGATCGACGAGAGACCACAAGTGGCGTAGAGCCAGTTGAAGACGTCGTTCTGCGAGGCCGAGTAGACCAGGAAGGCGAGGAAACCAAAGAGCAGAGAGAGGACGACGGCAGGCACGGGTCGGCCAGCTCGGTCGATGAAGCAGAAGATCTTGGGAGCGAGACCCATCTGGGCGAGACCCGAGAGGGTTCGGCTGGCACCGTAGACTGAAGAGTTACCGACTGACAGGACAGAAACTAGAATGACTGCGTTGAAGATACTGGGGAGCACCTTGATCTGACCAATGTTGATAGCAATGACGAAGGGCGAAGCGCGAGCATCGTAACTGCTTGTACCTCCGAGCAGTCGCGGGTCGCTGGCAGGAACGATAAGGGTAACCAGGAGCAGGGTGACAATGTAGAAGAAGAAGATACGGTAGAAGACCTGCTTGGTGGCCTTTGGTACCTCCTTTCGGGGGTCGGCAGACTCAGCAGCGGCCAGACCGATCAGCTCAGTACCGGCAAAGGCAAAGGCAGCAGTGACAAAGACGGAGCACCATCCCTTGAATCCGTTCCTGAAGGCGAGGCCGGGCTCAGCGTACCAGGCATTGTCTCCCAGGTACTGTCCGTTGGGAGCGCCACCACAGTTGATGACGATTCCGGCAATGATGAAACCAAGGATAGCCAGAATCTTGACCATGGAGGCAATGAACTCGAATTCTCCGTATCCTCGGACACCGAAGAAGTTGATGATCGAGATGGCAACGATGAAGATTACGACCCAGACTCCACGAGGAATAGTAGCGTTGGGGTCCCAGTAGTCGATGACAATGGAAGCAGCGACGAGCTCCAAGGGCAAGACGACAAACCATTGCATCCAGTAGTTCCAGCCCATAGCGAAACCCCAGGCGGGGTCGATGAAACGAGACGAGTATGCAGCAAAGGATCCAGCGACGGGGAGAGTGGTGGCCATCTCACCGAGAGCGAGAACTGTGCAGGCAAGGAGGACACCCATGATAATGAAGTCCATGAGCAGAGAAGCTGGACCACCGGTGGAGAGGGCACCTCCAGAACCGATGAAGAGACCAGTACCGATGGCACCACCAAAGGCAATCATCTGCATGTGTCGGCCGCTGAGGTTCCTCTTAAGTCCAGTCTCGGCAGTGGTAAGCCTTCGACCTTGATCATCGACTACGACTCCCTGGACGTTTGAGTATTGGTCATTTCCGAGATCCCTGACATTGTCGAGGGAAGCCTTCTCAACGTCGGCACCGGGAGATCCGCCCTCGAGCTTCTTGGCCTCCTTGCGCTCCTGGTAACGTGCGGGCTCCCAGCCCTGGCCCTTTTCCTCGGCCTTGAAGCTGTCGATGAAGTTCTTCATGATAGCCATGATGTGCGAATCTGCGCCGAAGCGGAAGGTGAGCGGGTGATCGGTGGGTGATTGGGTGAACGAACTAGCAGGGTGCGGTGGCGGTAGTGGTAGCGCAAGAAGTGTGACAAGACACTAATGCGTGGGTTCCGGGGCGGGTGAAGCCTCTTGGGGAACAGAGTGTGAAGGTAGAGTGCGGACGATGGGCAACTCAAAGTATTGGGTAAAGACTCAAAGGGAAAAGCCGTTTGGGAAGGAGCGGAAGTTTAGTCTTTGTACTTATACGGGATGGGGCGGGGGCGGCCAGGATGCAGGTCCAGGGCGGGACTGTAGCGATCGGGTGTAGAGACGGTCAGAAGATCGACGAGAATCAAGGTAGGCACCCCTCAGAGATAAGGCTCCCCGCTCCTATTCTGCCCGAGGACGGGACCAGGGGGCAACTGCAGCAGCAGCAGCAGCAGCAGCAGCAGCAGCATCCTATTCCTCGTCCCTTCGCCATCCCCCACTTGTCTGCAACCGAGGCGGAGAAAGAGCCAAGGTTGGTTAGTTAACTTCTCGGCCCAGCTGTCTTTCCTTTGCTACGCCACTGAGACTCTCACACGACCTGCCCCGCGGCTCGAGGTGCGAGGGTAGCCACGAGCAATGCGGGACTTGCAGACCCACAGGCTGTAGCCCATTGCCATCTCGCTACCAACCCTGAGCCCAAGAGGCGAGGACAAGGAACAGAGGCAGAGGAGGGCGCGGATGAGACCTTGGGCGGGTGGTGGAATATTCCTCGGCTGGTACTGCTGCCACGGGCCAGACGCCCCGCGAACAAACGCCCTCCGCCTGCACTACTGACAGGCAGGCTGCCGCCGGAGGCCGTAGAGCAGTGCCCCCGTTCCACACCCTCGGCACCTCAACTGTCTGCCAAGGCTCAAAGACGCCGTCCAGGCACTTGGGCTGTAGACGCATCTCACCACCTGCAACAGCACAGACAGCAGCAGAGCCCACGTCCGACTTCTGCCTCCGACTCTGCCCAGCATCACGTCACCGGCTTTCTACCAAGGACCAAGGCAAGGAAATTTTCGACCGCAACAATGGGCACTAGTGAAGTTTGGCTCAGGCGATCCTGACCCCGCCACAAGTCGCTTATGATGAGCGCGAGAGAGAGAGAGAGGGAGGGAGGAAGGACGTCACTGGTAGTCGACACTGCGATAACGACCTCTTGGCCTGGAGCTCAAGCGAAGAAATGACGGAGATTCCGTGCCTCACGACGAAGGCTGACTGACTGACTGACTGACTGACTGACTGACTGACTGACTGACTGACTGACTGACTGACTGACTGATCTCATCGGTGATAGGTGAACGCAGCGGGCGGGCTCCTCGGGGATTTTGCTGCACAGAGACGAAGAGAGATAGCCTAGCTCGCGCTGAGGGGAGGTGCAGAGGCTAAGCGGAGGTGCAGCATCTGGGCGGCGCGCGGCCAAAGGCAGCACTGACGCCTGTACCTCCGCCAAGCTTTGACAAGGTCAACGCGCCCGCCAAGGAAGGGTCACAAGCCAAGTTCACAATCACCAACCACGCAGGACGCCATGACCCTTCCATAGCCCAAGTTCATGAAGAGTCCATTGAATTTCAACCTCGACGCTGAATCAGGTACGGGGGCGTCCAGCACCGACAATCTCCCCACATCGGCGCGGGGTAGTAAAGTATCTTTGGCTGATTGTAAAGGAACGAGTGGAGCACTGTGGAGAGGCGAGAGGGCGGGCGGATCTTCTCAATGGCATGCCCGTACCACCCTCATTCAGGGATTTTCCGAATTTCTCACTGTCAAATAGAGGGTATGTCTGGAGCGGTAGCTGTGAGCAAGCAGCAAGAGGCAGATTGACAAGCGTAGCGAGCATTTGCAACTCCGCAAGAAAAAAGAGCAGGCAATACTAGGTCAGGCAAGGTGCGGCTGAAGTCAGCCGGTAAGGAGCCGGAGCATTTGCAGAGGCGTGTGTTGAGAGCCTCATAGTGCTCTCTGAAGCATAGAAGAGGGCCCACATTGCCTACTGAAATGTGGCTCCTGCTTTCGACGCCCAGAGACGCCTCTTGACCCGAGCTGACTGACGACGAGGCCACTTGACAAGCCTGTGGAAATTGGATATGAGCTCCCCCTTTTCCACAGCTGCTGCGACAGGCATGTTGATGTCTCACTGCCTTCATCACCATAAAGCTGTCCTTGTGGATTATGCTCTATGTATCTGCAATCATCCTTCCCTCGAGGTGTGACTTAGCTGCTTGATTGGTTGATGATCGTGTGCTTCCGTCTCGGCTGCGAAGTTGTCGATCCCCCCGCGTGCAGGGGCCGCCCGAGGTTGGACTCGCTGCACGCGCTGCTCCGCCATACGACCTTCCGTCTTTCCTGTTCCCGTCCGTCCGTCCGTCTGCTATCGTCTACGCAATTTCCTGCTCCATCAATTTGGACGGTGAACTCACTACACTGCGATGCTGTCTCTGTTCCCACCCGCCAATAAGTACACTCTGCAGATTCGCAAAGACCACATCGAAGCTCGCGATCGTGCTCTGTGCGTACCCCTGTCTGCAGACAACAAGTCCTCCAGTTCGATTGCTTCCCTGTCGCAACTGCCTCCCTCTGAGGTCGCTATCCAGGATGGCGATGTAGAAATCTTATCCTGCACTCTGCAGGAGCTCGTCAGCGGCATAGCCGAACGCAAGTGGACTTCCACCCGTCTCTTACACGCCTTTATCAGATCAGCAAGACGTGCTCATCAGAAGATCAACTGCATCACCCATCCCAACTTCGCCGCCGCACTCAAGGCTGCCGAGCAGCGCGATGAGCACTTTGCAAGCACTGGCGAGCTAGTCGGTCCTCTACACGGTATCCCTTTCAGCTTCAAGGAGAACAATAACATCAAGGGTCTTCCCACCACTGTGGGATACACTGCTTGGGTGCTTGATGGCCCCGCTAAGAGTGATTCGGCGCTAGCTCAGATGGTACAGCATCTAGGAGGCATCGTCATTCTCAAGACCAATGTCCCACAGACGATGATGAGCTTTGAGTGCTCCAATCCCCTCTACGGGCGGACACTCAATCCATGGTCTGCAGCTCACACGCCCGGCGGATCCAGTGGAGGGGAAGCTGCTCTTCTGGCATCAGATGGAGCGGCAGCAGGCTTCGGAAGCGACATTGGAGGTTCTCTACGCATTCCGACTGGGTACTGTGGAATCTATGCCATCAAGCCCACCATTGGAAGACTGCCTGGTGCAGGGACTCGCACGGCTCGAAGCGGCTTCGAAGGCATCCCCTGCGTCTATGCCCCCATGTGTCGCTCTACTGCTGATCTCGAATTCCTCTTTCGCGAGCTGGTACCTCTGCTGCACCCACCTTTGGATTCTCACGTTGAGCCGCATGAAGCGCAGAAGAAATTTGGGTCCGAGTCTCTGCGACCTTCGCCCCTTCGCCCTGCGTGGTTCGATCCGATCAAGGTGAGCGAGGCGAGGGGTGAGCCTCTCAGGATAGGCTACTACTCCTGTGATGGTTACATCAAGACGAGTCCAGCCTGCATACGAGGAGTCAAGGAGAGCGTCGAGGCGCTGCAAGCCTCTTCTGACTACAAAGACGGCAAGCTAGAGCTGGTCGAGATCGATCCTGCCCGCTTGGACACTGTGGAAGCCATGCACATCTTCTCCTCGCACATCACTTCCGATCGATGCGACGGCCTCTTGGCGCCGCTCAAATCGCGCAAGATCCGCGAAGCCATGGACTTTGCACTCTTCCTACCGGTGTTCGCGGCAAGGGGAGCAGCGTGGATGAAGAAGATCCTCTACTGGATCGTCAAGTATGTCATTGGGGACAAGGCGCTGGGATACTTGCTCACTGCTGGAGGAGGCAAGACGGCTTCGCAGTACTTTGATCACGTTGCAAGGAGAGATCAATTCCGTGCTGCATTCAGGAAGAAGGTGTGGGACTTCTACCAACTCGATGGGATCATCTGGTGAGTTGGAGGTGCGCTGCCTCAGTCACGTACTCGGCAACTTGAAATTGACGATGATGGAAAGTGCCTTTTTTCTTCTTCTGATTCTCTTTCGCCATCCCTCTGCACGCTAGCCCTGTGCAGGCTAGCCCTGCCGTACCTCACGGAGGCTGTACGAAGCTCTCGACGATGGCAAGCAGCACAATCCTGTACAATGTCCTCGACACCGCCGTCACCATCTGTCCCGTCACTCGCGTGAATGCTCAATTAGACGCCGTCTCCCACAAAGGCTCTCCTCCCCCAGCCGGCTCTACCGACGCCCAACGGGGCGCAGGTGGGGGTGGGATGACCCTCTCTCGCTACCAAGAGTGGGACGCCACTCCAGGCTTCTCGACGTGCTCCAAGATGAACTCCTACTCTCTCTATGGAGAAGGCACCTACGATGCGGTTCAGATGGCTGGACTCCCTATAGGTGTGCAAGTGGTCGCGAGGGAGCACGAGGAGGAGAAGAGTATCGGCCTGCTGAGGCTGCTGGATGAGGCGCTGAAACAGTCAAGGAGAGAGGAGAAGGCGCAGTGGGGTCCGGGCCTTTTTACGAGATTGGCAATGGAGAGCGAGCGGAAGGGATATTAGACCGGCCGGCAAGGAGTGGGGGAAGGGCAAAGGGGGTGCCATATGGCGCTGCGAGGGGTCAGAGGTGATGTACGCCGAGCAAGGGGTTGTATTGTATCTACCAAGTTCGCTTCGCTTCGCTTCGCTTCGCTTCTGCAGCTGCTTCTTGCTGAATATATCGTGTATCGTAATATTGCACATCTTCTACCCAAACCCAATCCTGTATCGGACAATCATTCTAGTCCGACCGCGTGTCAGGGAGCGAGCGTAAAGGCCATCGGTGCAATCAGGGCGTGGGAAGGGGGGATGCAGGAGGGAGGGGCGGGGGTTGAGGGAGGGTCCTTTTTGATAAAGAGGCTGGCCCGAGCATCAAGTTCAACCCATGCAGCGGGACTTTTTTTCCTGGTGGTTCCCCTGCTCTCCTTTGGCTGAGTGTGTGTGTGCGCTTCTGCCTGAGGCCGAGGTGAGGTGAGGTGAGGTGAGGTGAGGGGCTGGCTGGCGGTTGGTCGTGGTGGCTTCACGTTGGGTTTGGCTGGCTGTGAACCCGCGTGGATTGGCGCCGGGTGAGCGCGTGCGAAAGTCCAACGCAATGCAATGCAACGCAACGCTCCCTTTGGCTGTGCGGGTGCAACGGGATGGGATCAAGGGGAGCGAGGCAGCAAAAGGGGAAGCGAGGCAAAGCGGAGTGAAGGGACACACACACACACACACACACACACACACAAGGATGCACACTTGCACCCATCCCACACCGCATCTCACCGGGTTGGGTTCAAGGCCTTCTGCTCACCCTCGCTCACCACAGGCACACTCATCCTATCATACCCACTCTCATTTCACTCTCAAAGGTGTGCACCACCATCCGCTACACTCCCCTTTGCTATCTCCACTTGGCGATCACGCGTCTGCTTGACTCTGCACTCGCCAAAGGACATTGAGTGACACGGACACGGACAGAGAGCAGGTGTAGGTGTAGAGGTGGAAGCCCAACTCTGCCATCTGCCTCCGAGTCCGAAAGCTCGAGCTCCATTCCCCACTCTCCCTCCGCCCTTTTCCCCTTTCTCGTCCTCCTCTTCACCTCCCTCCCGCTCTACCTCTACCTCTACCTCTACCTCACCATCACCTTTACAACTCACACCTCATCGCTCCCCACCCTCTTACTCTCTCTCCCTCTCCGCTTGGCTTGGCCTGCGCTGCCCCCGCACAGCCTAGCCTAGCCTAGCGTCACAATGGTTCGCTCCATCACCTTTGAGATCCGATGGCATGATACCCAACCCATCTATAGCGCTGCTTTTCAGCCAGTCAATGGTCAGCAGCTAAGGAGGGTATTGGACTATAATCTTGGTCAGGGTGAGTGGAGAGCGGGGCGTGGGCGATGGCGTGCTCTCGAGAGCTAGCAAGGCAAGGAGAGCTTCTCACTGACCCTTCCAAATCCCCTCTTTCATCCCTCGCTGCAGCTGCCGGACTCAACCCGGACAAGACCCTCGCCAGCGAAGGAAATCCTGCTGGTCCCTCGTCGCGATCTAGCGCAAGGATTAATGCACCCATCGATGTAGCTGGAGGACAGAATTGGAGGCTCGCAACGGCTGGAGGGGATAATAATGTTCGAGTGAGTACAGGAGGGCTGCTTTTGCAACTCATACAAGGCGGGAGGAGTGCGGTAGCAGATTGTCTGGCAGGCAGCACTCATCTGACGCTCCCTCGCTCGCCCTTCCCACAGATCTGGCTCGTCAAGCCTGGCATCCCCTCGCCAGCCGCAATGGCTAGCGCAGCCACGGCAGGCATGCCTACACCCGCCCCTCACCCGCCCAGGGTAGAGTACCTGGCCACCCTCACCAGGCATTCTGGAGTGGTCAATTGCGTTCGCTTCTCTCCTGCTGGAGATGTGCTTGCTAGCGCGGGAGATGGTGAGTCAGAGAGAGAGAGAGAGACCTCCTGGATACGGGCCACAGATTGCGGAAGAAGTCTGATAGCTGACGATTGGTTCCGCCCTGCCCATTCGTCAGACGGTACGGTCATGCTGTGGCATATGACCGATCGACCTGCCCCCTCTTTTGGCGAGGTAGACGAAGGAGAGGCCAGCTTCGAAAAGGAGCATTGGAGGATGGTCAGGATGATTCGAGTATCCACACAGGAGATTTACGATATGGCGTGGTCACCAAATGGAGAGACACTCGTGGTGGGAGGAACCGACTTTGTTGCTCGGATCATCAACCCTCATGATGGTAAGTTCTCAAGCAGGGAGCGCGAGGCAAAACGGGCCTGCTCGATGAATGATCCACTCACACTGAACATCATCTCTCCCACCCCTCCAGGTACGGTCCTCCGCGAATTCTCTGACCACACACATTATGTCCAAGGTGTCGCGTGGGACCCCAATAACGAGTACATTGCGACGCAGAGTAGTGACCGGTCCGTCCACGTCCACACTCTCCAGACCAGTCACAGTAAGCCCGGAGCGGTCGGATACGTTCCCCCTGTCACACGCAACAGCCGGATGGACGTCCACAGGCGGAGCGAGAGCTTCAACCGAGATGCAAAGCCGGCAATTCGTCGTGGAAGCAGCCATACCAGCCGTGCAGAGAGCGATACAGATGATGAGCACCACAGGCCGCCCCGAAGGGAAGGGTTTACCGCCGTGCGTGACCGGACCGCTCGTAGCCGAACACCCATGGATCCTCCTCCCTCGACCTCTTCTCATCTGAACCCTGCAAACATCGGTCGACCGGCAACACCCACTCCAGGATCATCTGTGCCGCAAAGTCCTGCCTTCAGCGCCGTTAGTGCTTCAGCCTCTGCGCATCCCATGATGCCACCTCAGCGGACGCCCAGTCGAAGGTCGAGCTTCAGTGGCTCTCAAGCTGAAGGAGCAACATCGCCTCCCACCAGTATCGCCTCTTTTGTCCAGGGATCTGCTTCTGCCGCTTCGATCTACAAGGCTGCTGTGGGCGCATCCACCACGACTCCAAATGGCCTCGAAGCGGTACCCACTCGCCGATCTGCGTCTAGGACAAGAAGTATGCGCTCACCCTCACCTGCGCCCTTGCCCGCCATTCGGCCACCCCCTTCACCTCGCCAGAGGATGCAGGCTGCACAGCTTGCGGGAGGTTCGGGTGCCGCTGGTGCTTCACTGCTGCAGGCAGGCATGAGGATGTACGGCGACGAGTCGTACAGCGGCTTCTTCCGACGTCTGAGCTTTAGTCCGGATGGGTCTCTGCTCGTCACGCCCAGTGGTATCTTTGAAGCAGCAACGCCAACCAGTCCTAATGTGGCTGCTTCTCCAAGCAAATCACCTGCTGGGCTGGGCGGCAGCCAGAATAGCGGCCCCAGTAACGCTTCGACTGGGCCACGCAGTACAGTCTATCTCTACGGCCGTGCCAATCTGACTCGTGGCAATGCGCCCATTGCCCACCTTCCTGGACACAAGAGCGCGACATTGGTGGTGCGCTTCTCTCCGATCCTTTACGAGCTTCGCAAGAGCCACACTTCTGCTTTCAGCAATTCGGAGGATGGAGGAGGCATTGCTCCTCACCCGTCGATTCCGCTCGAGGCCGGCAAGCAAAAGAGCGTCAGTCTGAATCTGGACGCTTCCAGGACGAACAACCACGCCTCACCCTCGCCAGCGGCTGGTTCTAGCGGCAACGGTGGCACTTCCATCTCGCCGGTCCCTCCCGTCAAGCCCATCTCGATGATCGGACTCCCTTACCGCATGGTCTTTGCAGTGGCTACAAACGACGTAGTCTGGCTCTACGACACGCAGCAAGGTGGTCCGCTCTGCTGCTTCTCCAATATGCACTATGCTGCCTTTACCGACCTGACCTGGTCCGCAGACGGGCAGACGCTGATTATGAGCTCCTCGGATGGGTACTGCTCCATTGCCGTGTTTGATTATGGAGAGCTGGGGACACCTTATAGCTATCAAGACCAGCCGAGCCTTGACATCAAGGCCTTCACTGGGGCTGGGGGACATCCACAGAACTCTGGCGTTGGCTCTTCCTCTACTAGCGCAAGTGCAAGTGGTGGTGCCAGTGGGAGTGGAAGCGGGACAATAACCGTGACCAGCTTACCGGTCAAGAAGAAGCCAGTGCTCACCACCATCCCTTCAAGTTCTGCACCTTCTTCAGAGGGGCCAGGAGCTCCACCGCATTCCCAAGCCAGCGCAAGTAGTGGTAGTAGCACCAGTAAGGAGGCACTTCCTGTCCGTCGCAGCGGTGCCTCGGAAGCTGGACAAGGGACGGGCACGGGGACGGGTAGCAGTACAGCCTTTGCCCTAGGGATTGTACTCGAAGGCGACCAGCACCCTCACACTACCAGCGGGGCAGGCGCTCAGAAGGGTACTGTTGGGCCTGCTGGCGCGGGGGTAGAGGGAGACACATCGGCAGGTGCAGATGCAGGTGCAGGTGCAGGTGCAGGTGCTGCTTTACTGGACGAAAAGGCAGCAGCAATGGCAGCTCAAGGGGAGGTGGGTGAGGGTCAGGGTCAGGGTCAGGATCAGGAACAACCAAAGAAGAAGAGGAGGATCGCTTTGAGTACTGCTACGGGTACGGGTACGGGTGCGAGCAGCTAGACGAAGCTGGATCTTCTTTTGTCCTTGTCCTTGTCACTGTCACTCTCACTCTCACCGTCACTACATGTGCTCTTCCTCTTCCTCTTCCTCTTCCTTTCCTCTTCCTCGCCTCGCCTCGTCTCTTGAGCTTCTTCATGTCATGTCATATCACTTCAGGTCAAACCAAGTCACGCCCTGCTCTCCCCTCTCCCCCCTTCCCTCTCGCCCCTTCTCCATGCGCCCATGCGCCCATGTGTGCGTGTTTGTCTCCCAAGTACATGGATGACTGAGCGGGGAGACGTTAGGCATGTATGTGCATGTGAGTATGTAAGATTGGAGCACAAAATAGATGACTGGAACAAGGAATCGTGTGGGCAGAGGCAGAGAATGGGCTGGTAGCGTAGCGCAGCGTAGCTTGACGTGTACTTGGCGTCGGCTTGATAGACGAGATGAACGCCCCCCCTTGACGACCTGGATCACTGCTTCCTCCTTCACGGTTTCCGCCTGCTACCAGCAGCTACTCCACTGGTCCCAGCCGTCGTCCCTGCACCGGCTCCCGCGACCGATCCCTGCATTGGCTGCTGCTGCTGCTGCTGTCCACCCTGTCCACTCTGCCTCCCCTGTCCCTGACTCTCAAGTACCGCCTGCCTCGCTGCTCCCTGCGCGGGATGTTCCACCTTCCTTCCCCTCGCGTCCGTATGCGGTGTCAATCCCGTGAGTCCATTAGCCATGTTCTCTTCGCCTTTGACGCGGAGGAACTCCTCGAGGAGTTTAGCGTTGCGCCAATTGGCGCGCCAGATTGCCAGGACGATGTCTCCTACTAGCGGGACGAGACCGACGCCGGCGGAGACGGCATTATTGAAGAGCATCTTTTGGACGAGCCAGGAGGGGAGACTAGGGAAGGGGGAAGAAGAGAGTGGGACAAGGGAGTCAGTGAGATAGACGTACGAGACCGTCCGCTGACTTGCAGAGCATCCACTCACTCGAGCTCATTCTTGGCTGGTTTGAGTACGAGGAAGTAGTTGAGCGAGGCATCGGCGATGTCTCCTGCTCCTGGGATGAGACCGATGAAGAACTGAGGACGGGTGAGAAGAGTGAGGCATGGTGGAGCAGGAGAAAGATCGTCAGTATCAGTGCAAATGTCGAAGTGTGTACGAGGTGCAAAGGTCTCTCGGGCCTGCACTGCCTCCTCTTCCCCGCACTGGTACTCACAGTCCACCCTACGCGGAAGCCGCAGAGGTTGATACCCTTGTCAAGGTAGTGGGCGCGACGCTGAATCTTCCTGAGGAGTGATGCCTCCTTCTTGGTCAGACCTGGTGGCGGTGGACGCTGTGAGTGAGAGAAAAGGACAGGGAGAGAGAGTGGGGGTCAGTATAGTCGCCTGTGCATAAGGTGGAGCCCAAGGACACTACTCACCTTTGTCCTCTTCTGCTTGCCGTTGTCATCCACGTATGTGATGTAGACTGGGAGTGGGTAAGTAGGAATGAATACAGTCAGTCTATGAAAGTTCCCTTGACCGACTGTCTACTTGAGCACTTGGGGCATGCTACTCACAAGGGTCTTCTGGCTCGTAGATGGCTGCATGGTTGCTGACGACTCCCTTCATGCGCTTGGTGGCGTAATTGGTGACGAGGGAAGTCATGCTGGGCGAGTGTATATGTCTGAGAGAGGGAGGATGTGGATCAAAGGATGACTTTGCAAGAGAGTGTGATTGGTAGGATACCTTCAAGGGGCTGCCAGAAGTGGAGTGGCGGGACCCTTTTGAATTTCAATGGGAACAAACAGGCGGTGCCTTTGCCGTCATGCAGCCACGCCTGGCCAGGTGGAGCGAGATGCGGGCTGTGCGGGGGAGTGGGAGAGGTCTTCCGTTCCGATGACGGAGTGAGTGGGGCCTGCTCTCTCCTTGTCCGGTGTGCGTTGCTCCTATCTTGTGAGCAACGACGATGACACTGACACGCAGCCAGGCACAACGTCCACCACTCGGACCCCCTCCGCACCCGTCGCCGACTTGTCCGCGAGCAATCAATGACATGACATTGACCTACAGACTGACCATACCACCATCGATCCTCTCCCACCGACCGCCAGACTGAGCCAGACTGACCATTCGTCTTTTCCCAGCGAACACCAACCATAGCCCACGACAGGGCCCACCCACGCCAGCATACATGGACGCAGCAGATCAGCAAAGCGACTCACCACTTCTTCAACAGGAGCAACCAGACGGAAAGGCAAGTGGTTCCACTCTCAAAGCCGCACGTTCATCAACGCCGGCCAGCATCGCAGACGACGTCAAGGCAGCAACAGCCGAAGCAGGCGTCGCTTCCTCTGACGACGTCGATACTACGCACAACCGGCGTGATCGCAAAGACGCGTCGGCGTCTTCAACCACTGCTCGTCTCAGCCGCATCTTCGAAGGCTGGACACTGCCTTCAGTCATTCCCGCCACCAGCCCCACAACTACCCCAAGTGCACCACCTCCCGTCTCGGAGAAGTCATCCAAGAGACTCTCAGTCAGCGAACCTCTCGAACTTGATGCCCATAGCCTAACAGACTACCAGCGGTCTCTAAGCAGAGCTCGCACAAGCAACGCCGACAGCCCGGCCGACTTTCAGGCCAAGAGCAGCCAAGATGATCTCGACAGACGCTTCGAAATCCTCATGGACGATTTGGGAATGAAGGGCACCAGTCGTGATGCTATGCTCAAACTTCCTGAAGATCGCAAGTACTTCCTCGTGGCTCAGAATGAAGCTGCAAAAATCTCGACTTCGCAAGGCTCGGCTTCTCAAGCGAAGGACGTACACATGACTACTACACACACCGACGAGGACAGTACCAGCTTGATGGGCTCCGTCGGTCGAGCGCTGCAGATCGGATGGACCAACCGCTTCAGCGTCGCGAGCTGGCGTGGTGAAGTCATGGATGCAGATTCATCTCCATCTGTGAGCAATGCTGGACGTACGCTTCCGAGCAGGAAGGCGTCTGCATCTTCGATTTACGGCGAGTCACATCCCCGCCACGTTGCGCACGGCGTTGTGCCTCAGATGACCGGATCCAGCGTCGCAAGCAATTCCACCACCACTAGCCTTTGGTCCGGATGGTGGGGATCGGAAGGCTGGTCTGCTGACGGAGTCACTCTGACAGAGGAAGGGACTCCACTAGACAAAGGAAGTCCTCAGTATTACGCCGTCATGCTTCGCCGGTATGTTCTTCAGTCTGCATCCCGCAAGAACCTCGTCAAACACCTAATAGCTCTACGAGTCACTCTTGCTTCGGCGAAAGTCTCCTGGATAAGCAGCTTTGTCGAGGAGTCAGACGGTATTGATGCTCTCGATCAATTGCTTGCCAGGGAAACGGAGAATCTTCTTCTGTCACAAGGTCGCAGTGCAGATACCCATTCCCCAGCAGCAGCTATTCCGGGAAGTTGGAGAGGATATCAGCCAAGGTATGAGCTGGGAGATGCAGTCATCGGAGAGTCGATCAAGTGCCTACGAGGTGTCATGAACACCGAGTTGGGTTTCGACTGTGTCCTCGCTCGACCATCCCTCGTTGTCTCTCTTGCCTACTCGCTTCGTACAGACTCTCTCAAGCTGCGATCTCAAGTCGCCGATGTCTTGGCGGCCTTATGCGTACTGAGTCTTGAAGACGGCCACCACTCTGTCCTTGCCGCGCTTTCGGAGCTTCGCATTGCAACAGGCGATCGGTACCGCTTCGACTTCCTGGTCGATAGTCTACGACCGGTAGCGCAGACAACGGCCGACCCGGACAGCATGTCAGTGTCCAGCTTCGATGCAGAGGCCGACGAAGAAGGAGCACAGAGCCCTACGCTGGAGCCACAAGACGGAGAAGAAGCTGCACTATGGGAGTACCGTATCAGCGCAATGGTCCTCGTCAATGCAATTGCCAACTGCCCAGAAGAGCTCGAGGATCGAATAGCACTCCGAGCTGAGTTCAGTCGCCGAGGTCTCAATGAGGCGATTGCCGGTCTGCGCTACCTAGATCCTCCAGACGCTCTGCTCACGCAATTGCAAATTTACGCAGAGGAGAAGCAGGAGGATCTTGATGCCCTAGACGACGAGGGTGGGAACGGCAGCCAAGATGGAGAAAACATTGCCACCAGGCTCGGAGACATCGGTACGCTTCTTCTCGATGTCATGGCCGAGCATCCGGGTTTGTACCCGCAAATGGAGTCGATGATCGAGCGCCTCGCTCACGTGATGGGGAGAGACATTGACTATCAGCTGAAAAGTGACATTCTGTACACTGTAGAGAAGCACCTTGAGCACTTTGCTGATCTCACCAACTTTGATGATGATTGGACAGGGTCGATGGAAGCGTTCCTTTCCAGTATTGAGCATCTCGTAGGACGTCAAGCTGTCTTCAAGGGCGCTAGCGCCGCTTTGAATGTTCCAGAGGACTCTGTGCAGCAACTGCAATTGTTGAAAGATCAGGTCAAGGCTCTGGACGACGAGCGGGCCAAGCTCAAAGAGGAGCTTCGCGCACAGGTCGACCAAGCCAAGTCGTCAGGAGAGCGAAGGGATAGCTTCGGCAGCGTCTCTTCCTGCGCTTCAAGCACGCAGATCGGCTCCGACAACGATTCTTTCTCGAGCGTGATCCAGCGTTTGGTTCAGAAGGAGAAGCAGGTCCTCAAGCTGCAAGCTGAGCTCGACAATGCGACCAGAGGGGGCGTCTTCAAGGAAGGAGAGGATCAGCGCACCAAGATAGAGAAGCAAGATCGCGGTCGCCAGTGGCCGAACTTGATGGAGGAAATTGCCCGCAACAAGACGCAGATCAAGGAGTTGAAGAGCCAGCTGGAGCAGAGTCGCGGCGAGGTCGTTGGCTTCAAAAGAGCTGTCGAGACGGTCTTCAGCCGGCTTGAGGACGGCTCGACGCCTGTCAATCTCCTACCTCTCGGGTTGCCGGAGCCTACCGTCGATGTGAACAATGTCGCAGGAGACAACCAAGATGCGAATGGTCTCACAACCGAGGCGATGGTGCGACAATCCCTAGAAGCTATAGCGAAGAAGGACGACGAAGTCTCCTGCCTACGAACGGAAATTGCCAAATTGCAGACCCGAGCGCTCGAAGCCGCGGAGCAGCAGAGCAGACAGGAAGATGAAGAGAAGCAGCGATTACTGCTGGAGGTGAAGACGGCGCAAGAAGAGCGGGGGAGGCTCATGAGAGAGATGGAGGAGCTGCGAGAGCTTGTGTTGCAGCTGCAGGCTACAGCTGCCTCGCATGGAACACAGTCAGGGTTGCTTTTTGCCGTTGGCAAGATGGATGAAGTGGCCATCTCTGCCGGTGCGGGAGGACCAACGCCGCCGCCGCCGCCGCCGCCACCACCACCACCACCGCCGCCATCACTACCAGCAGCAGCAGCGCCTCCCAAGCCCTCTTCGGCCCCACTGCTCGTTACAAAGCCCTCTCCTCCTGCTCCTCCTGCTCCTCCACCGCCGCCGCCGCCGCCGCCGCCGCCGCCTTCGCTCATGGCGCCTATCAATGGAAGGATATCTTCGGGCGGGCCACCGCCACCACCACCCCCTCCGCCGCCTGCTCCCTCTGCCCCTTTCACCTCCTCTGTCGTGGATCCTCCACCGCCTCCTCCACCTCCGCCTCCGCCTCCAGGTCTCAAGAATATCCCACCTGCTGCTGGAGGGCTGCCGCCGCCTCCGCCACCACCTCCACCCTTGGCCCCAGCCACCGGTCACCCTCGCGTCCGCCCGACAGGGCAGCCAGCAGCTTTGCCAGCAGTCATTGTGTCGCACGTTCCTCCCAAAAAGCGTAGGGCCTTATTCTGGAACAAAGTCACTCCACAATCCCACGAAGCAAATGTATGGTCCAAGCTTCCAGCTGCACCTGTTATCAAGATCGCAGTCGATGAGTTGGACGAGCTCTTTGCGATGACGGACGTGAAGCCGAAAGACAACGCCAGCGCTGCTACTGCCGCTAATGGGAAGACAGCTAAAGCCAAGAAGGTGACAACTCTGCTCAGCTTTGCACGTGCGCAGAACATCTCCATTGTGCTAGCAAGGGTCAGGATGCCCTTACCGCAGATACGTGCTGCTCTACTGCAAGTTGAGGATGAGGACGAGAGCGAAGATGGTGGAGTCAAGCTGACGACGGACAACCTGCGGGCTCTCAAGCAATGTCTGCCGACTGCAGAAGAGGCCGAGCTCTTCCGAGAGTACACTGGTGACGTCTCTCAGCTTTCAAAGGCTGATCAATTCTTCAAGGAGATGCTGGGCGTTCCACGAGTCCAGCAGCGATTGAATTGTGTGCTCTACATGCGTACATTCGAGCTGGATATTGAAGAGCTCAAGCCCGATCTCAAGACTCTCAAGGAAGCCAGCAGAGAGCTGAAGCGTTGCGAGAAGCTACGCAATATCCTCCAGACCGTCTTGACCATCGGAAATATTCTCAATGCGAGCACATTCAGAGGTGCGGCTACTGGCTTTCAGCTCGGGGATTTGCTCAAGCTTAAGGATACCAAGCCTGCCCAATCTTCTCCTGGCACCCCATCGCTGCTGCATTTCTTGGTGAGGGTACTGAATAAGGCCGACAAGTCCCTGGTGGGCTTCCTGGACGAGTGCTCTCACGTTGAGGCAGCCGCTCGTCTCTCCACCCCAACCATCTCCGGCACGGTCCAAACGCTCATGACCGGCTTCCAATCCCTCACGCAAGAGTCCGAGATCATCCGAAAGGCTCGCATCACCACCAGTCAGGACACCTTTCTCCAGACAATGGAGAACTTCACCTCCAAGAATGACATTCAGATTCAAGGTCTCCAAAAGGCCAGCGAAAGCGTCTCGAAAAGTATCACTGCCATTGTCTCCTTTTACGGCGAAGATCCGAGCGCGGTCAAGCCCGAAGAATTCTTTGGTCTCGTCTCGGAATTTGGACAGATGCTCATGAGGGCTGAAGTGGACGTGTTGACGTACGATAAGAAGATGGCAGCGGAGCAGAAGCGGAAAGATGCCACTGCTGTTGCCGCTGCTATGGCCAAGACGAAGAGCCCTACAGGCGCATCTGTCGCCAAGAAGACGTCTTCTACCGTAAAATGGTCAGCACAACCGCCCAGCCGTGGGTCCAAGATACAGAAGACACCCTTGGGCGAGCGCTCCTCTTCAAAGATCGACAAGGACCTCACCCCTACCGAGTCCCGTCTGCCGTCACTCAAGAGCCAAAAGGCCTCCACTCCAGGAATTGGAACAGGAACAGGCAGCACCATGACCGGCTCGCGCTTCCGATCCTGGGGCGCATCAGCCCTCGCCACTCTCGCCTCTTCCGGGGAGGAAGAGGAAGGGATTGTTCGCTCCCCCGACCTCCCCTCTGGATCTGCATCTCGAGCTGGAGCTGGAGCTGGACGTACCCCTATGCAAGACGCCACTCCCTCTTCTTTCCGCCGCACTCTGGGTAGGAGAAGAGGAGGGTTCGATGAGGCAATCAAGGAGCTGCGCAGTGGTCTTCCCTCTTCCGCCATCGCGAGCAGCGGCGGCGGCGGCGGCGGCGGCGGTGGGGGGCTGGGAGGTCTGGGAGGGATGAGCTTGGGATCTGGCAGTCGACTTGGCGTTAGCTCTCGAATTGCTCGTGGTGGTGGGGGACTCGGTGCTCTCTTCAGTGATGAGGGAACAGCCAGCGGCGGTGGCGGCGGTGGGAGCGGCGGTGGATATGGCCATGGCCATGTTCGAGATAGCAGCACAGAGACTGTCATGCAGGGCAGTATCAGTGGTCGCAAGAGTCTGAGGATCAAAGAGGGCGGGGCGACTGGAAATGGGAGTGGGAGTAGCTTCTATCAGAAGCCATTAAGTCGGATCTTTCTTACTGGTGGAGATTGAGATTGAGAGAAGGGAGATGGGACGCGTACAATTACAGTTGAATTCTACCTTATACACATACATCTGGAATGACATACACACACACAGAGAGAAGAGTGATCTTGCTCCCCCTCCTCTGCTGACCAGCCGTTCACATCCGAATCCTCTTCATCCCATCACCACTAGGCACAGGCCCACTCTTGCGCTTCTGTCTCCTCTCCTCCTCCTCCTGCATGATACGCTCCGCCATCGTCCGTGCTTGAGGCTTCGAAGCAGCGCCGCCGCCGCCACTCGAGGAAGTGTAGCCGACGCCAGAGGAGGACATGGAGGGGGAGGACTTGAGTGGATTGGTAGACGGTATGCTCTTGCTGGTGGATTTGAGAGGGTTGACGCCGAGGCGGAAGGGAGTAGCGGCTGCTTTCGATGAGGATGAGGAGGATGAGGAGATGGAGAAGGTGGGCTTGTTTGTAGATCCTTCTGATCCGGTAGACGCTGAGCCCGAGGCTCGCTCTTCCTCGCCGATGGGAGGTGTCGTTTTCGACGGAGCCTTGAGACCAATACCCAGCTTGATCGGCCCTTGATCCCTCCTCAGCCCGTCCTCCACAGCTGCAGGCTTGGACGATCCTTCTCCTTTGTCCTCCCCAGCCTGCTTTTCCTCTTCCTCCCGCTTTGCCTTCTCAATCTGTTCCTGCAACCTCTTCCTCTCCCTCCCTTCATCATCCACCTTCTGCCTCTCCATCTTCTGCAGTGCAGCCTGCCTCTTGAGCGCTCCGGGGGAATTGTCGATCCAGGCAATGAACCAACCCTTTTCGTTTTCGTCAACGTGAACGATACCTTCACGACCGAGATGCTTGACGAATTCGGTCAGAGTGACCCAACGAGTGGCGTTCATGTGCAGGTGGTGACGCTCTTGGATGTACTCTTGATAGACTTGGTTCGCTTTGATGCGCTTAGTCCCGAACCTGGCAAGGGGAAAAAGAAGACATGCATCTACTCATGTTAGTCTAGGGACTATGAAGGAGCAGCGCTATGGGTCTCGCAGCTCATACGTCCGTACCAACTCACCTCCTACTCAGCAGACTAACAAACTCGTCCTGAAATTGCTTGCTGAAATCGTCAATGGCCTTGCCAGCATTCTGTCCCACGACTGCCAGCTGTCGCATGTGTGACTCTGACTCTGTGTGCATCTTGAAGGCGTGCTCATCTCGATTGGCCTTGCCGCAGACTTGACAGTAGAAGCGCAGCTTGGTGAGACCGCGGGCTTTCATGGCGTTACCCACGGCCTTGCTGATAGGGGGACAGGCGCATGGGGAGAGTACTGGTCAGTAACGACAGGACACTTTGTCTGTCGGATTGCCCCAGAATACACTACTCACGCCGAGCCAGCCTCTGCTTTGGGCATGGTGAGAGATAAAAGGGCTGATGGGATGCCAAAGGGATGTAAGGTCTTGTGGTACGGTAAAGCAGCGAAGCGAGAGTGATTCCCCTGGATTCCCCCGACGGAAGTGGGAAGTCGGAACGCCACTACTTTGGCTGCTCCGTTCCGTTGCCTGCCTCGCTTCTTTGCCGTGTGGCGCAACTTTTGTCCTGCGCGCTGAGTCACGGCGTGCGTTTGGGAGGGAGGAGAGCAAAAGTAACTTTTTGCTGAGAAGAAGGCAGAGGCAGCACACGGGGCGGAGAGGCAGGGCAGCCCACGCAGGCAGGCGCAAGCCAAGGCTTAAGGCGGGCGCAGAGGTCCACGCTGCCTCGCTACCAACCACCAACCATTCCACCTCGCCGCCCCTTCCCCCCCTTCGATGCCATTCCGTCTGCCAGCAACACTCTCCACCACACTCTCTCGTACCGCACTTGCCAACTCTTGCAAGGCCAACTCCACCAGGCTACCCACCGCACTTGCCTCTGTACGAGCCATCACACCTCGCAGCTTCGCCTCTTCCTCAAAGACAATGTCGATCCCTGTCCCCACCGACTACGTGAGTAGAGTAGAGCTAGACAGGTGGACAGAGACCAGGAATCTGCCATATACCTTGCAATGATAGCTTGGGATAGTCATGGAATGCAGCAACACTCATATTGACGCCACTACTCGCGTATATGCTCTCTTCCTCCCCCACCCACCCTCCTCCCACCAGAACAAGTGTCTTTACACTCCCCTCACCGAGGCTGACCCCGAGGTGCAGAAGATCATCGAGGATGAGACTTACCGTCAGTTCTCGGGCCTAGAGCTCATCGCTTCGGAGAACCTCACCTCTCTGGCCGTCATGGAGGCAAACGGCTCCATCCTCACCAACAAGTACTCCGAGGGTCTCCCCGGTGCACGATACTACGGTGGTAATGAGCACATTGACAAGCTCGAGAACCTCTGCCGTGAGCGAGCTCTCAAGGCCTTTGACCTGGACCCCAAGATCTGGGGCTGCAACGTCCAGCCTTACTCTGGTTCCACTGCCAAGTAAGTCGAGAATGTCGCGAAGCATACCTCGCCACCCACTGGTCCATGATGCTCACCCCTGCCTGTATCACTTCACTTCACCTCCCTTCTCCAGCTTCGCCACCTTCACTGCTCTCCTCAACCCTCAGGACCGTATCATGGGTCTCGGCCTCCCCTCCGGTGGTCACCTGACTCACGGTTACTACACCGCCAAGAAGAAGATCTCTGCTTCTTCCATCTACTTCCAGTCGTTCCCTTACCAGGTCGACACCAAGACTGGTCTCATCGACTACGACACTCTCCACAAGAATGCCGATCTGTACAAGCCCCGCATGGTCATCTGTGGTGGTTCCGCTTACCCCCGTGACTGGGACTACGCCAGGCTGGCCGAGACTGCCAAGTCGCAGGGTGCCTACCTCATGGCCGACATTGCCCACATCTCTGGTCTCGTCGCTGCCAAGAAGCAGAACAACCCCTTCGACTACTGTGACATTGTCACCTCGACCACCCACAAGACCCTCCGTGGTCCCCGTGCTGGTATCATCTTCTTCCGAAAGGACCGTGAGGCAGATGTCGAGGCCAAGATCAACGCTGCCGTCTTCCCCGCCTGCCAGGGTGGACCCCACAACAACACCATTGCTGGTATCGCCGTTGCCCTGAAGCAGGCTGCCGACCCTGCTTTCCAGGAGTACGCAACCCAGATCATCAAGAACTCGCAAGCCGCCAGCCAGAAGCTCCACGACCTCGGCTACAAGCTGCAGACCGACGGTTCGGAGAACCACTTGATCCTGTGGGACCTGCGCCCAATCCAGCTCACCGGCTCCAAGCTGGAGGGTCTGACCGATCTGTGCCACATCACCATCAACAAGAACGCCGTCGTTGGTGACGTGTCCGCCATGACCCCCGGAGGTGTTCGTCTGGGTTTCGCCGCCCTCACCTCGCGAGGTATGAAGGAGAGCCACATGGTCGAGGTCGTCGAGTTCCTGCACCGCGCCGTGCAGCTCTCGCTGGAGATTCAGAAGACGTCCGGCAAGAAGCTCGTGGACTTCAACAAGGCTGCCGCCGCCCACGAGGGTGTCAAGCAGCTGTCGAAGGACGTCGAGGCCTTTGCCACTCAGTTCCCTCTGCCTGGTGTGCCGGACACCCAGACCATCAAGAAGTACTCTTCGTAAGGGTATCTCTGCGGTCCGTAGAGCGACTGTTCAAAATGGGCTACTTCCAGAGAGGAAGTAGAGGAAGTCATGGAGGAGTCGGATATCGAGCGCCCACACTTCAACCTGTCAGCGCTCATGTCTATCTCTGGCCTTGACTGCCGATCATATGTTCATCTGGTCTTACGACTATATTTGTCTGCCCTTTCGTGTCTCCCCACACCCGTGTCACATCTTACCCCTCCCCAACTGTCTGCTTGTCTCTCTCCCCCCGCCTCCCCCCTACCTACCCGCTCATGACTTTTACCTTGGCAATTCAAACTTTGTGTATCACCATCACCCTCCGTCCCTGCGTGAGTGCGTGTGCGTGCGGTCAGGAGATTGGGTCGTAGCTACTCTGTCTTTCGGTAATCGGCAATCGGTATTACACGAGACGGAAAGTACGACAAAGCGAGGCAAAGCAGGAGCTGGAGATTTATACAGGTATACGAGGAAGGAGAGAGGACGAGCGGGTAGACACGGAGAGCAGCAAAGAGTCGAAAGAGGAGGAGCCGAACAAGCAGAGCCACGGAGTGCAAGTCGTGCCCCTTCTCTCTATCTTCCTACGTCCCCTCTACTTGTTCGGGTACCCCCCACCATACCCTCCCTGTCCCTGCGGCGGGTACCCACCACCCATCATCTGTCCTCCACCAGGAGGAGCTCCCGCCCTCTGTGGCTTGTAACTACTATCCTGATCTACCGCCCATTGACAGATGCCGCATTGGTAGATGTGCTTTGCCTTCATTGGGATGAGGGGGATGAAGCATACCGAGAAGACTTTGCGCGATTTGCAAGTGACGACGGAGGCGTTGTGGCAGCTGAAAGGGAAAGGGAAGAGGAAGGGAGAGGAAGAAAAAGCCGAAGATTGTTGGTCAGACGTAATGATGACAAGGTAAGCTGGCGCTACGCTTGTGGTGTGTGCACTCACCGAGGGCAGACGTAGGCTGTGCCGTCTCCTTCTTGCTTGACCTTTCCATCACAACCGAAGAGGATAGGGAGGCAGAAGAAGATATCTGCGGGAGGAAAGGTAGGAGGATCAAGGAGCGGTAAGCGGGACTGCAAAGTGGGCGAGGCTTTAGTTGCAGCATATGGAGAGGCAGCAAAGGAGGCAGCTATGGCGGTGCCCAGATGTGATGGCACAGCGATGGTGGCGGATGGCGAGCTGGACGCCTTTGAGCATTGTCCCAGCAACCTCCAATGCCACTGAATGCTGTCCAGCTCGACTTTTCAACCTTTTCCGGGCTAGGGCACATCCACCTGCTGCAGAGACGTCCTGCCGGTTCTTCTCTCCACTCGGACCTTTGCTACTCACCCATCTTGTGAAAGCGCTAGCTGACTTGGCTTCTATATAACTTGGCGACGGTGTAGCTCTGGCGGGGGCTTCAGGACCTTTTCTTTAAAAGGGAGCTTGATACTGGATGCTGTGCGAGTGTATAGGGATCAGCGTGGTAGGTGGAGCGGAGAAAAGGCAAGGCAGATTGCGAGATTCTGATTTCATGGGAGACCCGTGGGCGGCTATGCTCCTCGGATGTCGTCTGCAGCACTGCATCATTCAACCTGCCTTGCCTCCTTGCCTGGGCAAACTCCGCCCGATCTGGTAGCCTTTCCTCCGATCCGACCTCCGAGGTTTGTTTCCTGCCCTTCCGTTCCGATGCTGAAAGTGCTTGGTAAGAAGCTGCTCCGTCGAGTGGAGCGAAATGAGCGGCCGATTTTGGGAGAAGCATTGGTGAGCTTAGAATACGATTGCCTCGCTGCAGTTGCTGCTTCCTCATTGACGTCCTAGATCATACATCATATAGTCCACACTACACGAACACCACACAGTCCGCGCAGAACTACCTCTCACACCGTCACAGCTCAGCTCACTCCATTCTCGCCACCATGGCATCCCAAGCTGCCTCAATCCGCGCCCGTCTAGTGCGTCTGACAAAGACATGGCCCGTAGACCCCCTGCGACCCAATCTCTCCTTTGCCGGCGCAATTGACAAGAACATGGTGCAGCGAGTCAACTTCGAGACTCTAAGTCCAGAAGGGATCAAGTATGCGCAGAGGGCTGTGGATAGTTTAGAGGGTATCCGAGTAGGGAGGGAGAGTGTTGAGGTGAGTTCAAGGAGAGAGAGAGGATGGGGCAGAGCTGAGTAGGGAGCAAGCCGGGTGGCACGGTCTCATCCATCCTTCGTCAAGAAGTCACAATGCAGAGAGACACTGACGCTCGTATATGCCTCTCTTCTCTACAATTCATCACTTACAGCACCCGACAGCGCAAAGCATCCTCCGCCCCAAGTCCGATCCAGAGTACTATGCCCGTATTCGTCGCGCAGTGGAGAAGGTTTCAAAGGGAGAGAAGTTGACCCTGACGTTCGCACAGAGGATGAGGGTCTTCTTCGGGGGCAAGCCATAGAGTCGGGAGGGATAGTGGGCTATGGTGGAGAGGTAGAAACGAGGAAATGTGAAGGGCGCTAGGACAAGCGAGTCGGATAGACTCTGTATTTTTACTGAGATTATGAGAGTAAGAAAGATATCAAGAGCATCACCAGTCTCGTCACGAAAACGCAAAGATGACGCGTTCAGCCACTGTAGAAGCGAAGCGGTATATTGGAGCGCAAGACACTGTGACAGTCGTGAAGCGGCCCTCCCTCGCATAATCCCCTAAAGTAAACGATCTTGCTGAGCTGCGACCCTTCACAGCGTCTTGCCCATCTTGAGCGCCTGTCCATTATCGATCACTACGACACTCCCCGCTCCACCGGCCAAAGCAGCTCCACTGGGTTTGCTGCCAATCCCCTTGCTCTTCAGTCCCTCTGCTCCCATTCGAACAGCCTCGACCATGCACTTGCCCAGCACGCTCGTGGGGATCTCTGCCGAGTCGGAGATTTTGGAGAGGACATTGTGGGTGAGGAGGCCGTAGAAGTGCTCTAGGCGACGCGGCTGGGCTCGCTGCGCGCCATAAAGGAATCCTGGACGGAAGAGGATCACATCGCTGTAGCCGAGCGAGGAGAGACCTTCTTCTGTCAGACCTTTCGACCTGTTTAGTACAAAGAAGGACAGGGTGACATTAGCTGTGAATCTTCTGTGGCCGAGCAACTGCCGGCATGAAGGGAGCTGCACATGCTGCTTTACGCCAGCGCTGGCCCCTGTACTCACTTTGGGTACAAGAAGCGAGAAGTGCTGTCCGCCATCTGGGCAGAGCAGTATACTACTTTCTGAGGCTTTCCACCCTCAACTCTCGCGGCCTTGGCAGCGGCTAGGACGTACTCCCTATCGATCCTCTCAAAGGGCTTTGCCCCGCCAGCTGCAGCCCTCGTCGTGCCAAGCGCAATGAGTACACTGTCCGCTTTGACCTCTATGAACTTCTCTACCTGACTGGCATCTCCTTCACACAGCTTTTCAAAGTCCACCACGTGCTCGATGACCTTGCTGTCGGAGGAGGAGGGGGTAGAGGAGGGCTTACGCACGAAGCTGTGGATAGTCGTATAGTGCGGGGAGGCGATGAGGGAGGAGAGGACCTCGGAGCCTACAGCACCTGTTGCGCCCAGTAGCAACGCTGTCTCTCCGGAAGATGTAGAGGATGAGTCGGCCATTGTCGCAGAGGGCCGGATATAGCGAGAGGACGATGACTGAAGGGCGATCGATGGCTTGCCTTCAGAATCGCATGCGTAGCGGAACGGACTGTGGAGCGGCCCGGCGATAATCGGCGTCGGATCGGAAGGAGGTGGAGTAACGGCGAAAGTGCTGCAGCCAAGAGTCACAGCCAACGGGCGCTTTAAAGAAAGGAAGGACAGAAGCGCACGACCTCGCCGATAGCAAGACCATACCAGCACCACCACTTCCACCAACTCACAATGGCCGACGTAGAGGAAAAGACTCAGACACCCGCAGGAACACAAGAGGAGGAGCTCAAGTGAGTACATGCATCAAGCGCACACCTCCCTTGCCATGTCACGAAGCTCACACGTCGTCGTCGTCGTCCTACCTTTGCTACAGCCCTGATGGAACTCCCCTCTCGGACAACCAGAAGAAGAAGCGAGCAAAGGCAGCCGAAAAGGAGAGGGCCAAGGCCGAAAAGGCGGCAAAGCTGCAGCAGGAGAAGGCCACAAAGGAGGCAAACGAGGTCGACTTTGCATCCCAGAATTACGGAGAGCTGCCGCTGAACCAGTCGCAGGAGAGGCATGGACGAACGTACGCCTCCCTCGAGGAGGTAAAGGCGGAGAACGATGGTAAGCCCATCTACTTCTCTGCACGAATCCAGACTAGCAGAACGCCCTCGAGTGAGTTCAGTCAGTTACCTACGGCGATGGCGGGGCCGTTCGCTGACAGTCATGACTTATCCTTCGGTCGTGTCCCCCAGGCAAGTTCGTCTTCTTGACGCTGCGCTACGGCTTTCACTGTGTACAAGCTGTACTCGCTCAGGCTCCCGAGCAGGTGTCCAAGCAAATGACAAAGTGGGCTGCTCAGCTGCCTTCTGAGACCATCGTCCAAGTCGAGGGTACCGTCAGCAAGGTTGCAAAGGCCATCGAATCCTCCACTGTCACCGCAAAGGACGCTGAGGTGAAGCTGTCCAAGATCTTCGTCGTCTCGAAAGTTCAGCCTTCGGTCCCTCAGCCCTTCTACGTAGACGATGCCACTCGCTCCGATGCTGAGATCGAAGCCAGTCAAAGCACAGACCGACCTATGCCTGGTATCCCCATCGACCTGCGACTGGACAACCGTATCCTTGACCTGAGGACCACTACCAACCAAGCCATCTTCCGCATCCAGCACGGAGTCTCGAAGCTCTTCAGAGAGTACCTGGAGAACCGGGACTTCGTGGAGCTCCACACTCCCAAGCTGCAAGGAGCCGCAACAGAAAGTGGAGCGAGTGTCTTCAAGGTCTCCTACTTCAAGGGCTCTGCTTTCCTCGCTCAGAGTCCCCAGCTGGCAAAGCAAATGGCCATCGCTGCCGACTTCGGTAAGGTCTACGAGATCGGGCCCGTATTCCGAGCAGAGGACAGTAACACTCCTCGTCACATGACCGAGTTTACCGGCCTCGATCTCGAGGTCGCTATTGAGGAGCACTACCACGAAGTGCTGGAGCTGCTGGGTAATCTCTTCAGTTTCTTGTTCCAGGAGCTGCCTAAGCGCTACGCACGGGAGATTGCCATTGTGCGCAAGCAGTTCCCGTCGGAGGACTTCCTCGTCCCTGACCAAGTCGTCAAGCTCGAATTCCCTCAAGCTGTGAAAATGCTGCGCGAGGCCGGACAAGAGATGGGTGACTACGACGATCTGTCCACAGAGCAGGAGCGAGTCCTTGGCCGACTGGTGCGCGAAAAGTACCAGACCGACTTCTTCATGCTTGACAAGTTCCCTACGGCAATCCGACCCTTCTACACTATGCCTGACCCCAAGAACCCCAACTACTCGAACTCCTACGACTTCTTCATGCGCGGACAGGAGATCATGAGTGGAGCACAGCGAGTCCACGATGCTGACCTTCTGGAGAAGAGAATGGGAGAGGTCAACATCCCCGTCGAGGCCATGAAGGAATATGTCGAGGGTTTCAGGCTGGGATGCCCGCCTCATGCCGGTGGTGGAATTGGACTGGAGAGGGTGGTCATGTTCTACCTTGGACTGGTGAGTGTAGAGAGTGCTGCACTCGACGGATGTGATGGTATGGCGGAACATAAAACTGACCTGTGTGACACTCCCGCGAAACATCCAGGGCAACATCCGAAGGGCAAGCATGTTCCCACGAGACCCCAAGAGGCTGGCGCCGTGAGATGTCACCAGGGAAGGCATAGAGTATCGTATTGTATTTGGACAGAAGAAATCTCTGGAGGCAGGGAGAATGTAAGAATCGGGGGTATATCCTGCTGCCTCTGCTCGCTCGCAATCTTACTACCTACACGAAGCCTTGCTGTGCCCTGCTCCCTAACCTGCTGCTATTCAGCTCCAGCCCCAGCCCCATCCCAGAGAGCACGCAGCTCCCCCATCCTCTGTCTACCCAGCACACGAGTAGTCCCACGACCATCCACGCTCGTCTCCTCCTCCGGCATCATCAGCACCTCTCTGCCTGGTCGTGTCTTGTCGCGCGTCTGCATGTCCCGTTGTGCTGACGATGGCGCAGGCACATCGAAGGTGAGCTTGGCTGCGCTGATCACACAGGTGGGACTGCTGGACGGGCTGGCGTGAGTCCTGTCGACATGACCTTGAGGCGTCTTCCCTCTGCTGCTGCCGCTGAAACTCCCCTTGCTGAGATGCACACGGGATAGAGACGTATCGAGGGACGGGGGAGAAACGATTCGTCTGCTCATGAGGGGTGCTACTGCACCTGTCCGCACGAATGTTGGCGAGGTGGTTGGCGAGGTGAGCGCCGTGGTAGGTCCAGCTGACTTGTGCTTATCCTCTCTCCTCAATTTGTGCCTTACTGCTCCGGGACCAGCAGGCGTGAAGACAGCCGTGTCGTTCTTCTCCACAATGGAAGACCAGAGCGCCGTGACCGAAGTGACACGACCTCCTCTGCCGCCTCTCTGCGCTTTGGCATTGGAGGCACTCGCCTCAACTGGGGAGGATTGCAAGCCTTCGATTCGGTGGTTGCGCTCAGGACTTCCAAGGACATTCCGCTTCAGCAGACTGACGTTTGTCTCGTCTGTACGTGACGCGTCAGGCGGCTTGCTCTGCTTGAATGACTTTCTTGGTGCCCCGTTCACTACCGACTGAGCCTTCACACCGGTGGCTTGGCTTGTGCCTGCCCTGTTCGAGGGCACTGTCGGCAAAGGGATGGTTCGGAGGAGACTCAGACGAGTCTCCAACGCTCCAAGACCCCGGCCCTGGGCGCTAGAGATTCCAAGCGAGGCGTTCGCCTTTGGATTCTGCCTTGCTGGTGGTGGCGAGACGGGAATTGGCCGCTTCAGAAGATAGCTGTCTTTAGCGATTGGTTCCGGCGTGGACGGAGTGTGGAGATGGGAAACGCCTTGACCCCCATTGTTACGGAGCTGCTCATCACCAGAATTGAATGCAGTCTCGACGGCAACTTTGGGCTCGCATGGCGTCTGCGTGGACGTCACTGCTGAATGGACAAGCTGCGGAGATACTGCCACCCCGCATTCCTTCGGACCAGTGCCATGACTCTGTAAATCTTTTGCAACAATTCCTCTCTCTTCTTGTCCCTCGTCGTCATTGGCCAGCCTCTCAAAAAGGTCCACCTCCTTCTTCGAGATCGTTGTGGTCTTGCTCTTCGACCTGGCTTTCTTGATAGTATTGGGATTGGACTCTGGCTCAACGCTCATGATAGCGAGGTTTAGTTGACAGGAGTTGTCCTCAACGTCTCGTACAGAGGACAGAGGAGGGGACAATGAGGACGGACCGATCATCAGGCGTCTGTCGCTCACAAGGCTTTCCACATTCTCATCTACTGGGCTCGCAGCTTTCTGCATTGGATCGGCCGAGTAAGGATCTGTGTAAATCTGCGCAGTTTGCGAGCGAAGGAGGGACGCCAGTTGTGTGCGGTGCCGACAGGAATTTGCGTCGAGCTCCGGTCCCCCTTCGTGAGACTGTACCTTTTCATGAGCAACGAATATGGGCAACCTGACCTCGAGGTCTTTCGCAAATGTGCCAAGAGGCAGCGCCGCAACGATCTCGATGCTGACATCGAAAAGTCTGCTTCTGCGGACGGTCCTGGCACCAGCTGGAATATCGATAGGCAGGTGCAAGACAACTTCGCTCTGTGCCTTGAAGTCGAAAGCGGAACCTTGGAAGAGCTGCGTGTGTACAGCCTCGCTAATGGAAGGTTCCTGCGCGCCTCCTACTCCCTCAGTGGACAAGGTGAGAGTGCGAATGACTTGCAACCGGACACCCGATGTATCCCTCTTGGACCAATTCCTCACTCCGACCCGGACCACAGCTTGCTCTCCTACAAAGTACAGCGACCTGTCCAGCGCAGCTTCCAGCCATATACCACTCCGTCCGCCCATGAACAATTTGGCTTCGCCTACACTTTCAACCGGCCGTCGATACTGTGGCGCATGCGCATCTTCCCATCGCTCTGCAACGTCCGCCTCAGCGGCACATACCAGCGAAAAGCGTGTTCCTTCGTAGCAGATTTGCACACTAGCTTTGACAGAGTATCTCACTTTTGCGCATCCAGCAAAGGTGACCGAAGAAGAGCCGGTAGACGGCAGACGGCAGGAAAATGGGAATGTCGTTTTGCCTTTGCGGGCGGCCCAGTGGCCATGGATGGGCGCCGAAGGTAGGACGGCATTCGAAGGAGGAAGGTAGCCTCCTTGAAACAGGACACGACTCTGTAGGAAGGTACGACTAGCTGCTCGGTCTCGGGGTGTTAGCTCTAAAAAGGCGACAGGGAGTATGGAAGTGGCTGTCAGAGAGCGCTCCACGCTCCACAAGCCCCCAGAGACATTTCAACTACCTTCTATCCCCATCAGATCTACAGCGATCTCTCCCAGCCTCAGATTCTGACTTGTGCTGCTTGCCAGCTCCACTTTCCCAGTAAGGCAGTCGCCAGCAAGATACGTGGCCTGATCAAGCGCGATCATCAATTTGACTTTGTCGTGCTTGGCCACAGAAGTTGGTCCTCCTTTTGCCTGAAGGCTAGTGAACCCGGCTTCTGTGTGGTCCTCCTGCCGTTGTGGAGTTGCATGGGCATCGGGCCAAACGGGGGAGCCATGAGACGCGGGAGGAAGGGGTAACGGAGGCGAAAACATGGGACTGACTGTGTCCAGGAGTCTACAATGTTTGCGTCTGGCTCCAAGACAGGGAGATGTGGACCGAGTCAATCTGATGACTACCAAGACGTCACATCTCCTATTCTCAGCAACAAAATCAGGGGGCCATGCGCAAGCTGCCAATGCGGGGCAAAGGAAGGGTCTGGGCGTAACGATTCCTCTCTCGCTTGCCCTGAGAGAGAACGCAAGAGCCCCTATGGGCTGATGGCCTCGGGTATCAGCTCGAAGTCTCCAGATCTTTCAAGCAGCTGTACCTCAAGGAACCCGTATCGCCCCCGCTTTGAGCTCGACGGGCTAGATCGGCTGGCCTGAACTGCGTGGAGGCGTGCCAAATAGTGCTGAAATTTCACTTTGGTAACGCCGCATTCGCACTCCAACAACGTCATCACACGCTATGCCGCTGCATGAGAGGTGCTCAGAGGACACTGTGCGTTGCCAAGATGCCCAACTTGCCAAGGGGCACATCAGGGTCAGGGTCCCAGGAGCATATCAGTCGGTCGGAGGCAGCACGACCCGCTCCCTTCTGAGCCTTCCGACCCGAGAAATTGCATCTCCGCCAGACCAACACTCCGTTGGACGCATCTCCGATCACTGACCGGTTCCTGTCGCATCCCGATCCCATCCTCGATACTCTTTCCTGGTTCACCATTCCTGCGACAAACTCTTCAGTCATCCTTCTGTCCCTTGCATATCATCTCCATCTGCAACACACGTCAGCAAGAGGCCAAGTCAGCCGCTGCTCAACGCCATCGCCTTGAGGCTTGGCCACCGCGTCGTTGCCTGACTGCATTACATACGCCCCTGCCAGTGTCGCCGCTGTCGTCGACATTTCCGGTACATCTGCGTCCCGATTAGCACAGACTGGGTCAACACAACGGTCTCTTCATCATCGTCGCTTCTTCCACAAGAGCCGTCTTTCCCCGCTTAAGACTGTCGCACACGAGGCCGAAGCGCAGCCGACATTTGCCGAAGCGTTTTCTATCCGGCAACACTGCCACGATCGACTTTCAGGTCGCACATCTAGATCTCCGTCGTCTTCCAACCTTTGCAGCTGATAGGTCTGCTTATCTGGGTGATCTACCTCCGACGCCTCGTTTCGCCTGCACAGCATACAGCCAGCTATACTTGCGCATACAGGGAGTCGTATTGCGGTGCTTCAGGGGTCCTCATCTTCGTGGCAGCTTGCAAAGAAAATTGAACACCGTCTCGCGTCATAGAAGGCAGCATGAGACCCAACGGACAATCCCTGCCACCACAAAGTGCTGACCCAGACGAGTACTATGTCAAGCAGCAGCGCATCGGAAAGGGCAGCTTTGGGTGAGTGGAAACGATGCTCTTGCCGAGATAGGGGCAGCCTGCTGACTTGGTAGTCGTGATCATTTGCTGGACTCTACAGAGAGGTCTACCGAGGATACTACAAGGTCACTGGATCTCCTGTAGCCATTAAGATCATTGACCTAGAGAATGCCGAAGATGAGATCGATGATATACAGCAGGAGATCAGCATCCTCAGTCAGCTGGATAGCGAGCATGTCACAGAGTGAGTGAATGAGCTAGCCGGTGATAGATCGCCGGCGCAGCCGCTTCGCACCATACATTGCCACTAAACAGTAGCTTCTATCTCTTTGCATCCCAGATATCACGGCTCTTGGCTCAAAGGGACCAACCTATGGATTGTTATGGAGTACTGCTCAGGGGGCTCATGTTCGGACCTCATGAAGCCTGGGCGTCTGCGTGAAGATTACATTGCGATCATCATGAGAGAGTTGTTGAAAGGGCTGGAGTACCTACATGCTCAGGGGAAGCTGCATAGGGATATCAAAGGTGAATGGACGGGCCACCGAGGGTCGCGAGCAGAACTCGCCTTGTATTGACATTGCCGTCTGCCCTGCAGCCGCAAACGTACTACTGTCTGCCAGTGGCGACGTCAAGCTGGCTGACTTTGGAGTCTCCGGTCAACTGACGGCAACGATGACAAAGAAGAACACGTTCGTGGGCACCCCTTACTGGATGAGTCCCGAAGTGATCAAGCAGAGCGGCTACGACTTCAAAGCGGACATCTGGAGTTTGGGTATTACTGCGATCGAGCTGGCAATGGGAGCGCCACCATACGCTGATCTACACCCGATGAAGGTGTGTATTTGATGAAATCGACTTCGCAGTCTTCTACTGCCTCTACACGGTACTGACGCTCCATTGGCCCTCCCAACTTTCAGGTGCTTTTCCTCATTCCCAAAAATCCACCGCCCCAGCTGGACGCACAGTTTTCCAAAGCCTTCCGCGAATTTGTGAGCCTGTGTCTTCAAAGAGATCCGGCGAACCGTCCCACAGCCAAGGAGCTGCTTCGCCATCGCTTCATCAAAACAGCAAAGCGGTCTTCGACTCTCGTTGAGCTCATCCAACGTCTTGAGCGATGGCGGGCGGAAGGTGGAGATCGACAGGAGCAGCAAGAGCTTAGCACAGACGACGATGACGCCGACGGTGACGAGAGTGACATGTGGGACTTTGGGACGATCAAGAATGCCACGAAGAGCAAGGCTGGTGGATTCCCAGCCGGAACGCTCACAAGACAGCAGGCTGCAGGCGCTGCTGGAGGCCAAGACAGATCTCATCGTCAAGCATCGAATGCCTCTTTCGTGTCTGCTCGCTTTGACACACCGGAATCTGGCAGGTCTGCTTCCAGCTCTCTAGACGGTAGTACGGTTCGTCAGGGTACCAGTGCCGCTCGGCCAGGTCTGTCTGGCGTCAGGGCGGGCACCGTCGACGCCGGCCGCTCTGGCCCATCTCATCAACCGCCTTCGTCGATGCGTGGCGGTTTCAAGAACCCAAATGCAGCTCATGGCTACGGTCACGGCCTAGTTGCAGAAGATGATGTCAGCGGCAGCGGAACTGCTGGCAGTCGCTTCCTCTCTGCAGCCGACGCGTACGACGCCGCTGCCAATGGTCGTCCTTCCCATCGTGAAGGAACGCAAGGTAGCTCTGAAGACAGCTTCAGTGCAAGCGACGCGTGGATCGGAATGGAGTCCCTCAACATGGGGGACTCACGCCGAAGCGGCGCTGGCGAGCCCGCGGCAGGGAGTAGGCATAGCAAAGAGGCTAGCGGAGACAGCGTCGATTCGATGGACCCTAGGACAGCTGCTTCCCTCAAAGGGCAAGCGCAACAAGGGCCGCTGACAGCCTTGGATACGGTCCTACTGCCCGTGCTTGAGCAGGTGAGTACCCGACAGTCACTGCGGAGCGCGATATCATGCTGACGTGAAGACCTCCACAACGTCACTTCATTAGCTCTCACTCGCAGTAGCGCACGACTCGGCTGCTCAGCGCACTATTGCGAATCTTTGTGCAGCATTCGAAGAAGCAGAACGGACCACGAGGGGGTTCTCCAATGCGTTCAGTATCGAGGTCTTCCACGCCATGAACTCTCCCGACGAGGAGTCCGGAGGAGAAGACGTACAGACAACAGGTGGTTGAAGAGACTGGGCGTCATACCCCTTTGGACAGTCTCCACAGCATGCCATTCCTTTGCTCGCGCGTGGAATGACCCCGTCGCTACTGTCACAAGCAGATGTCTTGTCTTTCTTGCCTGCCATCGCCTCGCCTCCTCATCATACCCCTTTGGCTCTGCCAGCATCACTCTGCTCCTACAAGCTTCTTCCCGTTTCTCATTAATACCATTGTCCCATCGAGTTTTCTCCCTCCCTCACTCCTCCGAGCGCTTCCTCCACTCTTACCGGTCGTTAGTGTGTTGCTGACAGTAGGAGCGGGCCGTGAAATGACGCTCGAAGTGGAGGAAATGCAAGTCTGCATGGGCCCGATGTCGGCAACTTCACCAAAAGCCGAAGAAGCCGGAAGTTCTAAGCTTTCGTAGAATGTGGACCTTCTGGCCTGCTTCCCTCGCAAGCGACAGCCAGTGTAAGACTCCATAATGACTAGCAAGCAAATGCCAAAGATCACTCTCCACCACCTGGAGGCTTCGCGGTCCTTGCGCGTCCTGGTGAGCTGCTTCGAAGACATGACCTGATCCTTTAGAACAGCGCAGGACTGATGCAGACTTCTCGCCTCTCCGATGTTCGCAGTGGCTCCTCGAGTACCTCTCTGTCCCCTACGATCTTCAATTCTACCCTCGCGACCCAGAGACGCGCTATGCAAAGGACACCGAGCCGAACTCGGGCAAGGGGCTCAGCGCCGTGCACCCGCTTGGCCGCTCGCCCGTGCTGGAGGTGGACGGGGTAGTCGTAGCCGAAGCTGGGGCAGTGCTGACGGTATTGCTGCAGCACTTTCCCAAGCAAAGCGAAGCCGCCTCTGGAGCCGGAGATCCGCGCCCTATGGATCTCACTCGCGAGGGGCAAGAGCTGAACTTCTGGGTGCAGTTTGGGGAGAGTTCCCTCTTCCTGCACGCCATCCCCTTCATGTACGGCTTCAAGGGAGGGGTCATCGATGCCTCCTCGGATGGGTCTTCTGTATATGAGAAGACGTGCGCTAGAGGACTAAAGGCGGATCTGGATCATTTAGAAAACGAATTGGGCAAGAAGGGAGGCACGTTGGCGGGCGAGGGTCGGGTAGGACCTGCTGATGTGAGTACTTCTGCTGAAGCAGACCCCTCGGGGTGCGCTCCCCTCTTCGGCACTTCTGTCCGCATCCGCAACCTGACATCCTTTGCCTTGCCTGATCACTCTCTGCAGATTTGCACCGAAGTCTCCCTCGAGTTCATCAAGACAGGCATCCTCCGGCGGCGGCCCACCTCTTACTGGTCCACTCTCGGCATCGAAGGCGCCCTGGGTCCAAAGACGCAAGCGTGGATGGAAAAGTGTCAGAAGGATGAGAGCTACCTACGAGCGACGGAGATTGAGGTGAAGCGTGGTGGAAAGGTGCACAAGAGCGAGGATTGGTTGAAGCCGCTGTATGGCTGATGAGCAAGACGGATGAGAGAGACGAGAGCGCTGGTGTAGATGACTTCGCCATAGATCTAGGCCAGCGGAATGCTTACCGATTCCAGGCCTTGTTCTCACGGTCTGAAGAAAGCACTGGAGGACAAGAGACACACACACGCGAAAAGAGAGCTGTGACAATGACGAGTAAATGATTGAGGTGGTATGAGCATGAGTAGAAGATACAGAGATTGAGGAAAGAGTGACGACAAGACTGGAAATCGAATTAGAGGCTGTTGAACGACGGAGAGGGGGCGGTAGCGCAGGAGGAGTGGAGGCAGCTGGTGGATAGGTGGAAGGTGATGGGTAGATCGGGGTAGATGTGTGAGGGACGTGGGGTGAGGGGAAGATTCTTAGAAGCGGGGCCCAAGGGGGCTTTGTTGAAGGATGACTGACAGAGTAAATCTAGGTAAGTACCTGATGAAAGGGCGTTGCGGAGACGCGTTGACTGGTTCGATTTGTTGGTGACCTGACCTCGACGCCATGGTACGATTGTTTTTGCTGGTGTTCATGGTGGAGACTTGACTGCTTCGATGCGCTACCCCAAGGCAATCGCCCAAAGACATCGCTTTTCACGCTCCCCGACCGACTAGGCCTCCTAGACCCTCGGCAGCAATGACGCCTAGACCGACATCCTCATCATCGTCGTCTTCTTCGTCTGCACGCTGGTGCCTTCCTCCCGCAGATGTCTTTGCATCAGGGGCGCTATGGGCCTGTGGAGCGCTGAGGTCAGAGCCACTATTGCCTCCGATATTGAGGTGCTTGATGTCCTTTGTAAGAGTTGCGGGAGCTTGAGTCTGTGAAAAGTATGTTGCACAGCCCCCATTGGAATGATTCTCTAGCGACTTTGCTGTGTCTGTGAACGGCGGAGCCTCCTGCTGAGACCCTTTCCTGTTGTTATCTCCGTAGTGGTCCACTCGATCAGATCCATCTTTGCCGGTGTGGGCAGGACTTTCACTGCTGGGAACTCGACGACGTTGCGAAGCTGAGGTCGAAGTAGCAGAGGAGGCTGAGACCATCGATGAGTCAAGAGGGGGAGTACCAAACGCAGACGATGACGCGTCCACAGATGAGCGAGCTGCCGGGTAGGACACGGAAGATGAAGGGTAGATCCGACCTTGGGCAGGTGATTCAGCATACGAAGCGTGCTGGCCGTCCGCGCCTTGGTAGGACATCAGATGATCCGGCTGTCCATCAAGGCCATAGGGAGTGTGGGCTGCACTTGCAGCTTGGTCATCGGGGCCTCGCGGGGCGCCTCTATAGTTTGGACCTTGGACTCGATTGTCTGGCAACGTATCGGCCGAAGGAGACAGGGCACCTTCGGTCGCGAATGGGTGCGCGTGGTACATATCTTGAGCGGGATGTACGAAAGAGTGCAAATTGTCGTGGTGCTGGGAGAGTACGGGTCTGACTTGATCGCTTTGGCGACTCGAGATCTGGGATTGCTCAGGTTGCAGATGCTGCTGCTGCGTCGACTGAAAATGCATTGAGTGCTGTTCGGCAATGGAAGGTGAGGTGGCCTGCGAAAGGTTTCTGTCTGGAGACGGCGCCAGGGCTGAACCTCTTCTTGCCGGTGAGGGCTGGACAGAGGACACGGATGCTTGGTTCGAGGGGGCCCCAAATTCTGACACAGGAGAAGAGGTGTTCTGATAGGCAGGGGCTCGCGAGTCGAAGGTCGTGAAATGAGTCGGCGGGACAGGTGGAGGGAAGGCAGGCATGCCTCCCATAGCCGGCTGCCAGTGCTGGATATGGGGTGGGGCATAGCCTGACATAGGCTGTCCCGAAGCGGGAAGCACGTAATAGCCTGAGTGAAGTTGAGCGTTGTGCGGGAGCCAGTATCCCTGCTGAGGTTGGACATAGAGGGCTTGCTGCTCCGGCCCGCCCTCGCTGTCCAAACGCATAGGGGGAAGGTGACCGAACTCATGAGGAGGGAATCCACCCAAGACTCCGGGGCCCACTGGTGCACTCATCACGGGGGCAGCCAGCATCAGCCCATCTGGCTGGACGACCCACTCCTGCCATCCGTACCTCTTCCGCAAACGCCTGCCCTCCTCATCCATCTCAACATGTGGGTTGTGCCTGAGTCTCTCTAGAACGGGATCGCTGCTCAACAGTAGATCAACGTCCTGCGAGAGCATCCTGACTCTCTTGAAGCTTTGTATTAATGCCAGAGGTACCCAACCCGAGGCAGGGTCCATTTGTTGACGTAGGAAGGAATCCTTGTAGAGATTCTGCGGCGAGAAATAGAACTCGACCTGATGGACCAAGCGTGATACAGGCGATTCTGGAGGAACGATCCTGTAATCAGGGAATGGACGGCCATGCAACGCGCCAGGCTCTGGTCGAGGTGATGTCCATACAGTAGCCTGTGCTCCATTTGGAGGGTCGTCTCTCATCGACATTGGAAAGTAAGTACTGGCGGTGGAGCCGAAACCAGTTTGGCCAGGGTGAGCATCGTGGAAGTAAGGTCCGGGTTGTTGCCATGTGGGTACTGGGGGAGGATAGTGGGGATGAGCATCGAAATGCATCGATGGACCGTAGGCAGGATACATCTGGGGAGCATCGTAGGCTCGGCTTGCCGAGTCAGTACGAGCCCTGTTTTCTTGGCCGGTAGACGAGGCTTGATGAGCGTGATGCACAGATTTGGTGCTTCCAATGCCGTCACCGCCGACTTGAGTGTCCCAGTCGCCATCATTGCCCATTGATACTGGTGCTGAATACTGCCTTGACCGATCTTCGCTACCTGAGATACGACCTCTACCGCGGCCTCGTCCTCGACCTCCTCGACCTCGACCTGTGTACATGTGCGACTTTCCTCTCCATTCTTCCGAAACGTGGGGGTCCCTTGTTGAAGAGTTGTAAGCTCTTTCCCCCTCTCGAGGCGAAGAGTAAGTGGAATTCCCATTGGAGACCTTCTTGTTGGTATTACGTGTTTGTGAAATAGACGTGGCATGGGCCCACGGTGGAGACACTTGTGCGGTGCCTGCATGTCTAGAGCCAGTCTCCAGAAACCCTCTACCCACTTTCGTGGGCATCTCTTGGCTTACGTGCGGATGATCAAGGCCTTTTGCAGGGTATCGAGATGCAGAAAGCCGCCTTTCAGCATCCCATGCATGCTGTGCTCCATCCGTTTCAGAACGGCTGCTCACGGCCATACGAGCATCTCTGACCGGATCTGCTTCGCCCGTTGATCCGCTGCCACCAGCTGGCTCTGTTGATGTTCCCCGCTGGAGGGTCTTGAAGGCGCTCGTAGAGCTGGGCATGCGATCGGCGCCCTCGGACATTCCGTGCAGCGACATGCGGTTCTCACCTACTCCCACGCGCCCGTCTTTCTTCTGAGCTCGCAAAACCCTGTCAGAGTCTCTGCACTCGCGCTCGGAAGCGATCTGATTGCGTTCAGGGCTTTCGATGGCTCTTCGGGACTTATCTCTGTCAAGTCCTTGCCTGTCATTGACATCGCCGCCTGCACTGGAGGCAACCGACTGTGGTAGCCTCTCCCCGGTCTGTGGGAGCCTTCGGGTCAGGGTGCTCGAGTCTAGTGCGGTCACCGATGCCGGCAGTCCGCTGACAGCAGTCGTACGTCCTTCAGCAGAAGGCAGTTCCTGGGCCCCGTTGAGCATGCTGATCTTGTCAAGCCAGGCGTTGTCCGTCGTACCCGCACCTGAGACGTTGCCCTCTTGATTGCTCTTTCGCTCTGCGGCAGAGAGGGAGATTGCGGTCGATTTGGTCTGCACCGATGCATCTTTTGTGCTCTGAGGTGCCACGTAAGCTATTGAAGTCGCCCCTCGTGGCTCTTCGCATTCGACCCGACCTCGTCCACTTCTCGACGGAGTATTTGTATGGGGTTGAGCGTTGTCTATATCACCTTTGAGAGCCGCATTGTGGGTTGCAGTGGTACCTTCCGCTCGGACAGGTGGGCTCGTCGCAATTGGAAGCTTGTCCAGATTGCCTTGCCCGCCTGCTGCTGTCTCTTCTTGGGTAGACGCACGCTTCGATTGAATGCCGAGAGCAGCATTCGCGCTTGCAGGCCGAGGAGCAGTCAATGCTGCTGCAGCCTCAGCTTTTTGCAGCTTGCGAAGCTCCCAGACGTTTGCAGGCGCTGGTTTGACGCCTGTGACCGGAGCATGAGGCGAAGAGGACGATGCTGAGGACCGGTTTTGCCCATTGCGATCGGAACTTGTGATCGCAGTCGAGGAGCCTGAGCCGACTCTGTCTGTTGCTTGAGACGCGGCAGAACGGGCTGTCTGTACGTAAGGAGGCTCAGTGGTTGCCTTGCTTGCTTCACTCGCACCGATTTGTCTCGCCTCAGCGAGTTGCCTATTGGTAGTGGGCGCAAGCTTCGTAGAGCTGTTTCCTGGGTCAATGCTGCCGCTGCGACCATTGCCATCGGCAGACTTCTCTTCTTTGGCTCGTCGCAAAAGTTCTGCATACGAAGGCTTCATTTTCCCAGTGGCATTCGACCAAGCCGAAGTCGACATGCTGAAAGGGGGCGATCAGAATGCAGGCACGGCCAGAACGCGAGGGATAGTTCGGAAGACAGAACCTAGAGCTGTAGCACGGTATTGCGAGAGGTCCTTTGAGCAGGAAGCCAAAGAGTGTAACGAGCAACCTTGACACTGCGCAGGCTGGGCTACTACGGCAGAGCGAGGTGAAAAGGCCTAATCCTGCCTCGCTTGTCTCAGGGCGAAGCGCGCTTCTGAGACAAGCTGTCCTTTCGTCGGCGAAGGAGCCAGCCCCAGTGACTGTACGAGTTTTGAAGAAGCCCCGCTTGATGGTCAAACTTCTTACAGGTGAGAAGCCCAAGTTGTGCGATGGACAGTCGGGTGCGCCAGTCTGCTCGGACAAAGAGGACAGCTACAATCGTGAGAGCAAACCGGACAGCTTGGCCTGCGAGAGGGACCTCTGAGAGTGCGACCGCAGGACAGGCGCCTACAAGCTCACGCCAGCAGATCCTTGGGGTCTAGGAGTCCACAGTGGCCAGTAGGGTTGAAGAGGTTGAGTAGGAGGGAAAATTCAGACCGCAGGACACTGGTGAGGGATAGAAGGACGAAGCTGTAATAGGAATAAGCTACAGGCACAGGCCAAGCAAAGGCCCACCACCAATCTCCGATCGCCTCCCCCCACTTCCGGGTCCACCCCGCCTATTTCCGCCGTGAGCGCGAAGCTGCCAGGATACTCGAGCTCAGACAGCAGCAAGCATTCTCGAAAGATCATGATGGTCCAATACCCACAGCATTGCCGTCACGCCGACGACTGAAGAGCGAACAGTAATGATACAAAACGATCACACTCTCAGGAGCCATTGACGGCAGCAGCAGCAGCTGAGCCACGGTCTTCTTCATCCTCCTCTTCTTCCTCCTCGTCATCAACCCCCTTCGAAGCCAGTGCCTTGGCGATCAAAGCTTCTTGACCGTAATGTGCATTCCTCTTCTTGGCGAACGCCTCTTTCTGCGCTCGAGCTGGAAAAGAGAAAACGGTGCGGTATTTGCACATGTGAGTAGACGCGCAAGCGTGCTCATGTCTGCGACATTAGTCTCCGAAGCACTCACTTTCTTCGTCTTCCTCTTCGGAGACAGCCTCGCCCCTTGAGGCCTCGTCCTGCCCGTCCACATCCATGGCCTGATCCGCATTCTGCTTCCTAACGCCGCTGCGCGAATCGTCTCCAGCAGCGGCTGAGCGGCTGCTTGCTCGACGAGAAGAGCTGCCACTGCTCGGCAGCGAGAATGAGGGGCTCCTGCTCTGCGTCCTCTTGCTGCTTGCCCCGTCACTCAAATTCGGCACCATCATATTACTCGAAGATGCAGGTTGCGAACCAGACGCCTTGAGATCTGCGGCATCAAGGCCAAGTGCTAGACCAACACCACCTTGGCCTCCGCTGGCAGAGGTTCTGCGACCACTACCTGCTCCTGCATTTGCGGTGGTGTTGGCAGTAAGCTGGGCATCGGCTCCTCCACTCGTTGGGGAGCTTGAGGATCCCTGTCCGAAGTAGGACGTCGAGGACTGTGCTGGAGAATTGTTGTCCAGGTTGAAGGCTGCAGGTGGGAAAGTAAAATGTATCAGCCCACGCGGCAGACTCAAAAGGCGGCAGAAGTGCTGCTCAGGGACTCACCGTCGAACCCATCTTCATCCATGCCGGCGCCCCTCACGAAGGGTGTCTTGGGCTCGTCGATCTTCATCCTCTGCGTGTTCTCCTTCTCGAAGTCATGGAGGGCAATGTTCTGTTCATCCCAGCTGAGCCCATTTGAGAGGGTGTTGTGGGGACCACTGCCACCAACATGGGAGGTACCGCGATCAGCCTCGCTGGAAGCGGCTCCACCTGAAGGAGCATCACCTTCAGGCTGAGACGGCCGACGATCCAGGGGATTTTTCAAAATTCCCTTTGGCTTGGGAGCATGTGCAGATGGAGGAGGAGAGTGACGAGGCTCGGACATGGCAGCCTTGTAATATCAAGAGGCTTGTTGACGAGAGTATAGAGGCGAGGGAGGTAGTGATCTGGAGATTGGTGGGATCCTGTATGCGTGAGTGCGTCGGAAATGCTTGGCCCATGCGTCGTGCGCGCGGCCGCCTTCTTGCGTCTGATCCTAGGCGGTCTGTCTTGGAATGCCTTCCTCTCCTGCCTGGCTGCTCCTCTGGTGCGGCGCCTACCGCCGAGGTCGTTGCAGCCGCACGCCCATTAGACGTCGACTTCACTTAGTCCCTTGAATAGCTGCCGTCGAGGCTCAGTCAATGCAGTGTGTATGCATCAGAGGAAAGCTACGCTGCGACCCTTGCACCGGGCCGAACATCTATACTACAACGACGAGGGGAGCATCAGCCATTGTTGCCGCACCTCCGTCTACCTGCTTGGCCCGCCGTCTGTCCCGGGCGCTTGCTGTCCGAACGAGACAAAACTTTCTCACGATGCCGGCACATCGCAATGCCAACGCGTGGGAGCCGCCGATTGCGTGACGCGACGAATGACAGCAACACCAGTCTGGGTCACCTTGGTGTAAGTAGGGTCACCTTCGTACGTCGTGCTTCCTGCCCATGCTGCGCCGTGACCACCCTGGGTGATGCAGCCAGGTTGGAGATACCAGCTTCTGGGTCTTTAGAGGCCTGAGGCTCCTCTCCATTTGCGCTCCGCTCGCAAACAAATATCGGCCGCGAGGGACGGAAATAAAAGGCGCCCGATGAGGCAGGTGAGCCGTCACTTTCTAGCCGAACTGCTCCCTTGGGATGGGTGGCGATGATTCAGCAGATTGGCGGCACGATGCTCGGCGAGGAAGCATGGGTACAGGGTCAAGTACGTGGGCACCTCGCGTACATTTAGCACTGGATAGAGGCAGGTGCCAGTCCTTTGGGAGGAAGCGTAAAGCCTTGGCCGATTTGAAGCTGCGACATTTGTTCCCCCGCTCACTCCTCGCCCACGCCCCACCCCGCTCATCCTTCCCCGGCCACCTTGTTCGCCGTGTCCATTCACGCAGCTTCATCGCTCCTTTCCACTATACCCACTATCGCCATCATCTGCCTTTTGGTGTGCAACGCCACGTAAACGAGCTCGACCCGCCGCGTGTCAAGCGCCGAAGAGGAACATCCAAGCCCCATCCCCACCCATCTTCCCACTCCCCCGCCTGATCTGAGCCTCAGCACTTCCCTTTGCGAACCACGCCCCCGGGGCAGTCTCTCTGCGGAGGTTGCTCTCACTCTGTCAGCTCCTTCATCTTTATCATGGCAATTCCTTCATTGATGCCAGCCGCTGAACTGCAAGCGCCCTATCAATTTCCGGCGTCACAAGGCGATGCGTCTACCTCTACGATAGCCAAGCCAGGAGCGCCAAGTCGCGCAGCAAGATACGATTCGGATCAAGGTCCCCTCCCCTCCCCCTCGGAGCTGCTTGAGCCTTTCTCGGCCAGTTGGAACAGCCCTCGTCCAGCGCCTACGCCTCCGTCTGGAGGTACCAGAAATGGCTCTCACAACAAGAGCGCGTCCGAGGGAGCCGTGTTGGCTTCGCAGGCACTTGGGTCACAACAGGACCACAGCGCGACCGCCAACGAGAAGCCATGGACCTTTCGCAGACCCGGCGCCGTCGCACCAGAGTCTCCACGGGCTTCATCTGACCAGCAATCCTCATCTGCCAGCCCTCGGGGATCAGGTTCCAAGTCAGACAGGAGTCTGGCTGGCAAGATGCCTATCATCCAACCACGGGACGAGAGCTTGGGCTGCCTTGCAAGACAGCAAAGGAAAAGGGAGAAGGGCAAGCAGAAGGCGGAAGAGCGTCGTTCTCGACCCAAGGAAAAGGAGGTGAAGCGAGGGCAAGGCGCATCTGCTCACGTACCTGACGCCTTCCGGTCAGAAGCGACATTTCGGCCGACCCCTGCCTCTACCTTACCGAGGTCTCTCCGAAGACCGATGCTGCCAGCTGCATACATGCATCAGACGCCCGCAAGGATGCCAGAGCATGTTCGTCATCGCAGTCACGGTGATGGCGATGCCTCCGTACGATCACCACTCACCTCGACGGAACGCACGCGATCGCCGCCGCCGCCAGATGCACGATCTCTGCAGCTTCCACCATCACCCGAAAGCTTATTCTCTCGGCCTTTGTTACCTGCACGTTCCTCATCTCAGCAGTCGTGGTATCCTGACCGCGACTTCCAGGTAGATGATGGGACAGCTTCCCCCGCTTCACGACCCTCGCAGCTTGTCAGCGAGGATCATGACGGCAGCAACACTGCTCAATCGTCCGAGGAAGCAACAAAGCAGTCGGAAATTGATGTGATGTTCGCAGCTGCAGATCACTGTCGCAAGCGTCAAGGGAGTAGGATTCAGCTTGGCGACTTCATGTCACCTGTGCTTGAGCAGAGGGAGAGCACTGATCTTCGACCGTCGACGGACATTGCTACGTCTCCTGCTCGTAAGCACGGACTCAGTCGGAGTGTCGATCTACTACGCAACTTTGACGACTCGGATCAGAGGGTGCACTTCGCGGCAAGTCCACACAAGTTCTCGCCATCGTCTAATATGCAGCGAGCGGGATCGAATCCTTCCAATCATGCCGTACAGAACAGTCACAGTGCTAGTATTCTCGATCGCAAGTATGGGCTCTCATCCGACGCAAACGCAGATCCAGCCACCAGAGCCTTCAATGTAGGATCGTTGTCAAGTGGGTTCAAGAGGAAGCCGACCTGGGTGCGTCCTACCAGGACAGCTTCAATGAGCGGCTCTACTAGCGGAGACAACCCGGCTGGTCAATTGACATTTGGAAATCCATGGATTCTAAGTCCAAAGCAAGTGGCTCGGGCCGAGGCTGCTGCTGCTGCTGCTGCTGCGCAAGAGAAGACGAGAGGAGGATCTGCCGCCCCCCTTATGGGCAAGGATCGATGGTATCATCTCTGGACTGCCACAAAAGGTCTCGCCAATCGTCCTAAGATCATAGCCGTTCAGGGCATGAGCAGGGGCAAGACAGTGGACGCTGATCAGAGTGACGACGACGACCTCTTTGGCAGCGTCTCCGACTATAGGGGCCGTCGAACCTCGGAGCAGAGCTCGTCTGCAGCACCTTATGACAGCCTGATCGTCGGTCAAGAGCTTTCAACGGCTTTGCAGCGCCGATCCACTGAGCCCGCGGTGCGACCAATTCTGATCCTTCCCGATGTCGAAAGTGGGCCAACATCTCCTATCATGGCTCCGCGTACACCTCCAAGCCGCAAAGCAGTTCCCTCACCTTCCACTGGCACCCTCGCTGTACCGTCATCCCCATTGCCGAAGACTCTTTCAGGCCAGAACCACAGGCGATACGATCTCGAACCCGATTCGCCGGTGGTACCAGCAATGTGGCGCTCGGACGCAGAAGCCTTCGACAATACCCCTCAACCATCTCCGACAGTCCTTACTACTACACTGTTCGAGACTGTTGACGAAACCGAGATGGAGAACCAAGCAGATGCTGAAAGTGGTGACGACTTCGAAGAGGTGATGTCAGTCATCCGGGATGGCTCGCCGACGCCTGAGAGATCCGTCGGTGCTGTGCAAACTGTCAATGTCGTCAACGCCAAGCCCGGCCAGGTCAACGAGGATCATAGGGCAGTATCAAGGGCAGCGGCTGTGACCGACCTGGAGGAGGACCAGCTAGATCTCCATGAGTCAGACTCCGTGGCCGAGATGAATAAGCGAGACGAAAGCGCAAGCACTACCGACCCCAAAAGTCACACCGCAGACGACGCTACAGTCGATCTGGCTTCCCTGCTTGCCGCACACAAGAACAAGAGGGCAAGCTCTGCTACGCACGAAGCGCCTGAAACGCAAGTCAAGGCAACGCAGGAGATTGACGAGTCGCTGGTGCACATCGACGATGAAGAGCCATCTTTTCTTGAGTCCTTCATAGACGACGGTGGTGCGTCCTCCGACGAGGGCGAAGGAGATCTGACTGCTACTCAACCCAAGCAAAGAGAGAGTGGAGACGGTGCTCACAGCTGGCTGCGACCCGCCTCACAATCCTCCAATGCATCGAGCAACACTCGGGTGCTCTCCATTGGCTCGCTACTGAAGCTCAGCGAGCAGGAGACCATACAGGAGGAAGACGAGTCGCGAGAGGTGCAACATGAGTCCCCCGCTTGGGACGGAGACATTATCTTCCGACCTTCACCAAATCCGTCATCCCTGGACAAGTCCGTCTTTCCCAATCGCCAAGCGAGCAGTAGCGACGGTCACGACAGTAGAGTCAGCCAGCAGTCTTTGAACCACCCATACAGCTTCGGCTCTACGTCTTCGCCGCCTACAGAGACTTCCAGCACTGATCGCTTCAGATTTCCGCGCCCACCAAGCGAGAAGCCTCAAACTGCTGCGCGCATCTCTATGACTCGTCAGACGTCAGACGAGGAGAACGTCAATCCCAACACAAACGGCAGCATTAGCAACGACGATGAGAAGGCCGACTCCGTAGACAGCATAGTCTCCCACAATCGTCGGGATCAACACACTTCCAATCCTTCCATCTCCTCGCAATCCTCCGATGCCACCAATCTAAGTCACTTTGGCTTTCCCAGCCTGCTAGGCTCAGAACCTAGCAGGGACGCTTCACAGCGACTATCATCCTCTTCCTTCTCTCCTTCAAAGAGGACTAGCGTCTCGACGCCCTTGGCCGTCATTGGAGGCACAGGAAGCAAGCGACTCTCCAATTCCTACCTCAATGGGCCTTCCTGGGCCAGTCCCCAACGAGCAGCTACCAACGGCAGCGACGATCTGCGATCTCGCACCGTCGTCTCACCGGTCAGCAACGGCACAGTCCACCCCGCGCCGCCCTTGGGGTCGTATGTTCGCCATCGCCCAACCTTTTCTAGCGACTCGTCCAGCAGTCAAGCGACAGGTCGCTCCGACTACTCGTCCAATTTCCTGCACAGCGAAATCCCACACAAGCCAGAAGAGGAGAACGCTCAGGAAGTCGTTGCGGATGAGGAAAAGAAGGACATGGACGCGGATGAGCGCGTGGCGAGTAATGGAGAGGTAAAGGCAGTCGATGGGCCTGCTGGGCCGCAAGGTGGGGGACATCGTCGCTTGAAGTCATCCATCGACATGCTCGAAAAGGCGGGCATGTCACGAATCGACGAGTCGGACGGTAACGCTGGCGTAACCGGCTTGGGACTGAGGACGTCTATCGACCAGAACGGTGAAGGGGACAATGAAGGATGGGATGGTGGAGACTAGGAAGTAGAGGATAAGACATGGCAGCTAACTTGTAGACGACCTTGACACTTCTTTATTTGCATCGGTGTAACTCAAAAAGGCATTGCTCGCGTTTCAATACCAATACCTTGCTTCACTTTCCCCCACTCTCTGACGCCTTTCATCGCTTCACTGCGCTGTACTTGATATGGGAGGACGACACAACAAGAACCCTCCTCCACCTCTTATCACCTGCTCTCTCTGCTTCTGTGCTTTCCTCGGCAGCTCCGTCTCAACAGCCTCCTCCAGCGCTGGCAGTTCTTCCAATGGCTTCTTCTTATTCTTGGCCTTCCTCTTGCGCTTTGCACCGGATCGAAATAGTCCGAAAGGCTCCAGTAGCAGTGCTGCATCTCGATGTGCTGCCGACTCTCTACCCTGCAGTGTCGCCCCGCTTCGCAGACCGTGTGCGGATGCTGATGAAGTCGCAGTAGCAGCATCCAGCTCTGGTACTGCGTCTTCCCTTGCTCCTTCGTCTGCCCTCTCAAGGCCCAGACCACGGGTGACCCTTTTCCTCGCCTTGTTCAGCACGCTCTTTCTCTGCTGCAGTTCCACCATTCCAAGTGAGCCCCTCTCAAGATCCCGCTGAAGAAGGTCGAGCACTTCCTCGTGACCCATGGGTCGCTTCTTCTCCTTCTTGCTGATAGCACGCTTCTGCTTCACCGAATGCTCCATTGCTAGAGACCAAAGCAGTGCGTCGAGGCGGGCCTGAACACCGAGCACGAGCGGGTCAAGCAGGCTATCAGGGAGAAGGTTGCCTCCTCCTCCTTCATCGGTCTCCGGGGACCAAGAGGCTTGAGAGTTGGAGTCCGACTCTTCCAAAGTGGACCGATGTGATACTTGCCGAGGCGTCTCTTCGTCCTCGGAGAACTCGATGGATGAGGCTGAGCGGGAGGATATGTGTGAGCTTGGCACTGGCGAGCTAGCTGACGACGAGGATGAGGCGACCGATGAGGCGGTAGGCTGGCCCGGCTCCTTATCGGGGTTTTGGTTCGTGTTGATATCTGTCGCAGAGGTCGATGGATTCGCTGCTTGTCTTGGTGTAGCTCTCGTTCGATCGTATATGATTTGCCGAGCGATCCTCTGCACCTCGCTGTACAAGCTTGCATCGAGACCTGGGCTCAAATCATCTCTGGCTGCCCTTTGCCCTTGCCTTCGCTCCGATACAAAGTGAGGCCATCTAGCCAAATCAGCCTCAGAAGGATACAGCGCCTTCTTGCTGCGTCTCTTTGGTGGGATGCGCCGCTCAGCAGGGGAAGAGGGCGACTCTGGATCAGAGTCGGACGTCACTGCATGAAGGCGATCGGCAGATGCCTGTTGCTGATTGGCTGGAGGAGTACCGTGATCGTCACTGTCATCGTTGCTGCTGTATTGACCATCTCTTGCCTGACTCCTTGTTCTTGTCCTTGCTGGCGGTGATGGCGACGTGGACATGTCTCTCGCCTTTCTTTACCTTTACCTTGCTGCCTCGGCCATACCAAGAGTGAGAAGAAGGCGGAGCGGAGGTAAGGAGGAAGAAGAGGTGGAGGCCAAGCTCCGCTCCGACGCGCCTTGAACCACGAGGCGCGGTGAGCGGGTAGAGAGGCGCAGACGCCGTACTTCCTTCCACTGCTGCCTACCAAGCTCATTGCACTTTGTATTCTTCGTGCACAGCAGCAGCAGCACCAGCTTCAACCTCACCATGGCGCCCTGTCACACAGTCACCGCCGATCCATCGCTACCCATGCCGCGGGTCATCCTCGCGCGTCATGGCGAGACGCTCTGGTCCATCTCTGGCCAGCACACCGGTCGCTCGGATATCCCGCTCACCGCTCATGGAGAAGAGGTCATGGCCCGCCTTGCGCCCACCTTCATCGGAGTCAATAGCCCCGAGGGCGACAAGAAGGACAGGAGATTCACAGTAGACCCCACCAAAATCAGCCACATCTGGACAAGTCCGAGGACGAGGAGCAGGCGGACACTCCAGCTGATGTTAAGTCACTTGACAGAGGAGGAACTAAAGAACGTCGAGGCTCCCGAAGTCAAGCAGGAGTGTCGAGAGTGGGACTATGGAGCGTACGAGGGCAAGAAGACAGGAGAAATTCGCAAAGACAGGCCCAATTGGGACATTTGGGTCGATGGCACGCCCGACCACCCCGATGATCCTGTCAATCTTCCAGGCGAGAGCGCAGAGGCCATGACTGCTCGAGTCGACTCTGTCATTGCCAAGATTCGAGATCTACAGAAGGCTGTCGTTGAAGGTCATTCCGAGACTTTGCATGATGATGCCGTTACCAAGAAGGGAGGAGACGTGATGCTCGTCTGCCATGGCCACTTCAACAGGTGCTTTATTGCCCGCTGGCTGGGTCTACCTCTCCCCAACGGCCAGTTGTTCGAAGTAGACGCTGGAGGTGTAGCCATCCTCTCATATGCTCACCACTGCTTCGAGGAGCCCACAATTGCAGGAATCTTCTCATCGAAGACCGGACCGTCGCCCTCTATCTCGATCTCAGCGGACAATCCCACAGGGCAACCAGACAGCCGGGCGCCCCACGAAGAGTTCCAATACCTCAATCTTATTTCGCGCGTGATCACGTCGGGCGAGTCAAGAGCTGACCGTACCGGCACCGGCACATTGGCTCTCTTTGCACCTACTCCGTTCAAGTTCGACCTTTCAAATGGACGCTTGCCTCTGCTGACCACGAAGAGAGTGTTCTGGAGAGGCGTCATGGAAGAGCTACTGTGGTTCCTCAGAGGGTCCACGAATGGAAACCTCCTCAGGGATCAAGGTATCCACATCTGGGATGGCAACGGATCGAGGGAATTTTTGGACTCGAGGGGTCTGAGTCATCGAGCGGAAGGTGATCTGGGACCGGTGTACGGCTTCCAGTGGAGACACTTTGGCGCGGACTACACCGACTTCAATGGCAATTACGAAGGAAAAGGCGTTGATCAGCTAAAGGAGATTGTGGAGACTATCAAGAAGAACCCGACCGACAGGCGGATGGTCATGACTGCTTGGAACCCTAAGGGTGAGTAGGAACGCACCTCAGAAATGCTTCGGCTTCAGCTTCGGCTTCACAGGTCTGACGCCGAGCCCAATCTGCCCTCTCTTTGCAGATCTATCCATCATGGCTCTCCCTCCGTGCCACATGTTCTGCCAATTCTACGTCTCCCTGCCAGCACCAGGTTCTTCCTCCTCCAAGCCTCGTCTCTCCTGCCAGATGTACCAGAGATCGTGCGATCTCGGTCTGGGGATCCCTTTCAATATTGCCTCCTATGCTCTCTTGACGCACATCGTAGCCAGGCTGACAGACTGCGAGGCGGGAGAATTGACCATGTGTCTTGGAGATGCGCACGTGTACAAGGACCACGTCGAGGGACTGACAGGTGAGTGGCCCACGGGCCCTTGAGCTGTCAAGCCCGTCATGGTTCTGAATAGCCGCACTGACGTACTCTCCAATCTCTTACCCTCTCCTTTGCTGCCCGTTACAGAACAACTCACTCGCCTCCCGCGTCCGTTCCCCACACTCAAGATCTCGGCCGATGCTCCCCTCACACTCGACGGTCTCGATGGCAAAGACGGCAAGGGCGGGTTCAAGGCGGAGCACTTTGAGGTGGTGGGGTACAAGCCATTGGGAAAGATCGAGATGAAGATGAGCGTGTAGAGATGCAGCTGCTAGACGCTGTTGCGTCACGTGCGTTATTGCTGCTGACGACTGGTGTAGAGTAGTCTTGAGAGGTCTATCTTCTCTTGTAAGAGGCTATAATACAGTGCAATATAGACAATAGCATCTCGTCCCACCTCGCCTCACTTCAACTCAACGTCTGACCAGCCCACCACGCGGCTGCCAAATCCCCCTGGGCTCCTCTCCATCTTCTATCACCACGAAGCTCGCCTCACCACCACAACAGATCGACTCGACATGCCCTCTTTCGCCAAGCCAGCGACTGAGGTCGAGCTCGACCGGGCGTCGAACACGGCGCACAATGTCCTGCAATTTCCACTCCTCTCCTCCATCTTGCACTCCTCCAGCCTCCTGAGCCTCAAGATATGCGCTACCGGCTGCTGGTACTTGCTGAGCTCCACTTCCATTTCCACCTCCATCCCTCTCCCAGCTTCCCAAGCCGAGCGAACCGCCATTGGCATCAAGACCCCAGACGAAGATGCGTCTGCCGTCACAGGACTTCGCCATGACCGAATCCAGGGAGACGCTGAGCGATGCGATTTGAGGCAGATCCTCGATGCAATGTAGCGCGCTATCCCCTGCTCGACCTGTTGGGCCGAAGCCTGAGCTAAAGACGCGGCCGGAAGCTGTGATACGCAAGACGCCAGAAGAAAGTCAGTAAAGAGTGGCACTCGAGAGCTTATCGAACTATTGCCACAACCTTGATTCTCAGTCAAATAATGATTAGCGTGTTTCGGGCGTCTTCAGCACTGGAACTGCCCACTGCAGAGACTGCGAAGTACCCTGAGGGGCTTGCCTCTACTGGCCCCGGCTTTCACATCTTCGAATCCACTGGCTCCTTCTCAAGCTGAAGCGAAAACTCACAGTCTAGAATGAAGAGTGCGCTACCGGCAATCTTGACGTCGTCGATGGTAGAGTCCCCTAGTGACTGCCTGACCGATTTTGTCACGTCTGTGGGGAAGGAGAGCTGATCCTCCCCCTCTACTAGCGCTTGTCCGTACTCGGTATTGCCCCAAACGAACAGGCTCGAGGGAGACCAGGCGGCGGAGGTGTCTCCACCTGCTGCGAGTCGGAACTTCTCGGCACTACTTGGTGTCTCGACGTCTCCGAAGGTGGAAGAGTAGCCGAACTTGTCGGCTTTTCGTCCTAGTTGACCATCGCCATTCACTGGTGCAACACATGAGAAGGGGGACGTGGATTCGTTCAGAACCGCGGCGGACTAGATAGTGAAGCCAGAGCTACTCACTGCCGGTAGAGAAGACAGAGCCTGCACCCTGACCTTCCGGGTTGTGCAGCAGCAATACCGCATGGTCTATGCCAATCGCGAATGACTTGACAGGGTCTGCGTCACTGCCTTGCTTTGCCAGCTTATCCAGTGGGACTTGGCGGGGCGCCGGGAAGATGTGCAGCTGTGGCTCCGAATCATATGGTATGTCAGCATCTCCGAGGCCGAGCTGCCCGAGTGTATTGTCTGTATGGCGAGCAAGGGATTCATTGATCAATTCACACCGTGCAAGATTGGATCCTGCAGCGCGCCGTACTCACTGCCACATGCGAAGAGATCGGTAGCCCTACCTTCCTTGTTGGAGGTGAGGATGAAAGATTGACTGGGGCCAGCGTAAACAGAGTGAATCCCTCCTTGTCCCGAGTAGCCCGGCCGTATGAGCCCGAATGTGGCTTCCTGGGAAGAGAAGCCCAGACCGAGCTGGGCGTGGGTGTTGCGTCCAATGGCCAAGATCCTACTCAGACCTTCTTTGGTCGAGTACGGGAGCAACGAGTGACCCCGAGTGGAGGATGAAGAAGGAGGCAGAAGAGTGATGCCGCTGTCGATGTCTTCTGCTGCTCCTGCCGCAAAGAAGAGGTCTGGGTCAAAGGGCGTGAATGTAGAGGTGGTCTGGTCTAGCAGTGTGCCTGACCAGAGGAGATGCTGCACCCTCTGCCGCGGCGTCGTTGCAAAGGCACGCCGGCGACTCGGACGACTCAGCGACAGCGCCGTCGGCCGTTTGAAGGCCGCAAGCATCTCAGGGCTCGACAAAGGTCAAAGGTGAGATGAGCCAAGGAACCATGTCGTACTCCAGTGTATAAGCGGGAGTGGGGCCAAGCCAAGCGGAGAAGATGTCCAAGGCGGCGGAACAGACGCGCCGCGGCAAAAGGAGCCGTGTGGAGGAGCATGGACCGTGCTGAGGAGGTGGAAGGCAACTGTACAGTTGCCACTGCTGCTCAGCATCGCATCTCTGCTTACCACCATCGTCCACGCAAGCACTGCGGTGATCACAAGACCAAGAAGGTCTACATCAAGCCCGCGTACCGCCAAGAGCGCTATCATCATCACTAGCTGGCCTTTGTTGCGCCAGGCCATTAGGCGCAGGGGCGTCGGCAGCGTTTCTAATCCAGCTCCTTCATCCACCCTGGCAGCTAAGATGCCTGAGCACATCACCTTGCCACTTCCCTCGCTGCTCCGAAGCAGCTTTCCTCCATACGACGCACAAGCTGCGCGAGCAGCTCAGGAGGTGCTAGACCGCAACCATCAAACCTATCACGTCTTTTTCAACGAGAGGGGTCTCCACAACCATGCTGCCCACCACATCCTCGCAGCATTGCAGCTGGGATGCGCCCCTTCAAGTTTTGCGCAGCATCTAGAGAAGGCAGAGGAGTATCTGCTCAATCCGGATTGGAAGCTACATCGAAACCCGAAGGACCAAGGTGCCAAAGGCTCGATCGAGCAGCACAATTGGACGGAGCATCTGGGCAAACACGACTGGTACTGGCATTATCTCGCTTTTTTCGAAAGTCAAATCAAGGAAAAAGGTGGAGCGGCTTGTCTGGAAGAGTTTGTATTCGGAGAGAAGGCCAATGAAAAGCAAGTCGCCATGCTGGGCCGCTTCATCGGCGGAGCTCTTCATCCTTTCATTCACACCGGCTACGGATTTGAATTCGGACTTGACGGCATTGTGGCCGAGGGTGAGTGAAGAAGCTGTCCGATTGAAGAGAGCATACTGTCATACCGCTGACAAAACGCTTGCTATTGTTCTGGCCTCTGCGTACAGGCCTCGCTATGACCGCCATGACCGAGCCACGATTCGCTGCAGTTCTTCCGCCGCGTCCCACTGGCGACAAGACCGCTTCTACCAGTAACAGCGGTACCACCGCCAACGGACTGAAGACGGACGAGCCTCTGTCTGTCTTCTCCATTCTGTCGCTCGCATACGTTGACAAACGTCTCGACATCTCTCACCACTCTGATGATGACAAATTCGCACCGCTTCTTGAGCCACAAGCAGCGGCATTGCTGAACGAATACACCAGCCGCTGGCATATCAGTGAGGATGACGTAGGCCACCCTGACCTCTTGACCATCCGAGGAGGCTCTGCAGGCAAATGGACGGAGCTGATCTGGGTCGTTGTTCTGCTGCTCGGAGCAACCTCACGACCAGGCAAGCAGCTGCGTCACGACTTTTTCCTCATGCACGCTCACAACGCGACGCTATTTCTACCTTCCCTCTTGCCGCAACTAACCATTGCGAGTCGTATCAAGCTACTCGACGCCCTGTGGCGTACCATCTTCACTTACTGGGTTGCGAGGGGCCGCCCTGTCTTCTACATCGAGGGCACTCTTCTTGAATCCACAACCGAGCCAGTCAAGCCCAGCGAGGCGAGGGCATCTGAGGCAGAGACTCCGAGCAGCTCACACAAGCCTAGCGCATGGTACGAGATTGGCGCAGCTGCCGCACAGCACAACGACGAGCACGCGGCAAAGGCACTGCGAAGCCTGATCCACTATGCTGAGCACTTGTCCCACACTCCGGCTGGGACTTTCTCTCTCCCTTCTGGGATCAAGGATGCCGTGCAAGGGAGGGAAGTTTTCCCTGGCCTGGAGAAGCTGGACGGGACTGCCTTCATTAGGACTGCTGGTCAACTCCTGCAGAATCAGGGATGGCCGGGAGAGGAGAAGGAGAATTGGGACTTTGAAGGTTTGGGCTACGATGAGGCCTGGCAATCCGGCTAGTCGGGAGCACGGAAAGGGGTCCCTTCCGAAGCGAAGCTAAGCCTTGCCGCTGCAAGGTCTATGACCCTTCACGACCTGGACGATCGTCTGAAGCCACGAAGCAACAGGTGACGAAAGCAGTCTGTAAGTGTAAGAAATTCAAGAATAAGATTTGGGAATAGTGCGTAGTGGATACATGATGGTGGATGGGAGAGGCGCCAGCTAGCCTCGGCTCGAAACAATTGTACTGTCTTCTGAGAATCTGTGCCAACAAGTAATGTAAGGACACTGGCTTTGATGGACTGCCAAGGGGACGTGGATGAGTCCTCATTCGTAATACCAAATGTGTCCATCGTTCTCATCATCCCAGATGGAACCATACTCTCCTGCAAAGATCTCCTCGCCTCCAAACCATATACTCCCACCTGGGCCTACACGGTACTGGAAGTCACTCTCATCGGTGCTCCACCCAGTCTGATCATCATCATCGTCATCAGCTCCCAGTCCAATTCGACTTTCATGACTGTGCTCATTGTGCTCGTCCTCGTCGTCGACTTCCCAGCGTCCGCCACGCTCATAGCCTTCCTCAAAAGCCCGGGCGAGATTGAAGAGCTGTCCCGAGGGGGAGGCCGGATCATCTTCATCATTGTCCTCCTCTCCGACGAGCTCAAATGAGTCCTCCGGTGAAGGCGATTCGTGAGGGTGAATCGCGGAACCATTCGCAACAGTGGCGGCGTTAGGGTTGGAGGTAGAGTCTCTGGCCGTATCACCGGACGCAGACGCTCCACTTTGATCACGAGCCTGAGCTCTAGCTTGGGCCAGCGCTTCAGCTTGAAGTGCTTCACGTCGATAGCGACGCTGAGCCGCCCTCCTATCTGACCGCGTAGACGAGAAAAAGGTCCGGTGAGCGGCGTCAGCTGAGCGCACTTGAGGTCCTGCTTCGTCCATCCTAGTGCGGGTTCGACTGTTGACATCGGGAGTACCAAGAGATCCCATGAGCCTGGCGCTTCGTCGCAATCCTGCTGGAACTGGTTCGTTACCCTGTGTACGTCTCGGGGGCGCATGGACATTCAAGTCTCGCTGTCCCAGCTCGAGGTCAAAGCGCGGGAAGCGCAAAGTGGTTCCTGCATCGCTGTAGCGGCGTGGTGCTCGGCGAGGCGGGGAGGCAGAGCCATCGCGATCCCAGTCTGCAGGGTCGTTGCCGTTGCTGACCATGACATCAAAGAATCGCAGATAGTCGAGCTCGGCTACCTCAGCTTCTGTCAGGCCGAGAGGACCACTGTAGAAGGGCCTTCTCCTCCTCCTTTGAGCCTCCCTGCGCTCCCTGCGCTCCCTTGCTTTTGCTGACATCAACTCGAACCCGCCGCCGAAGAGGTATCGATCGTCGCCTGGGGTCAGGATGTGAGCATAATGACAATCATCGCCGAATTTGCAAAAGGGTCCGTGAGGCGAAGTCTTTGTTGCCTCAAAGAAGTTGCAGGGCTTTCGAGAGAGGGTGTCCTTGTACTTTTGAATTACAAGGGTCTTGCCTGGTCCCTCTGCGTGGAAGATCGAGGCAGGAGTGATGAATAGACACGAACCTCTACACATCGGACAGCGCTTGTTGACGCCCGAGAGGACATTGGGGGTCTCTGCGTCTTCGCCTTTGCGCCACTGACGGATACATGAGAGGCAGAAGGAATGACTGCAGCTGTCTGGTAGTCGTGAGCCATGGTGAACGGTGTGCAAGTCGTTCAGTATAATGCTCATAGCGAAGGCCCCGTCTGACCACTCATCGTCGCCAAACCACTCACCGAGTAGTCCGTAGGTCGCAGGCATCTCGTAACAAATCATACACGCAGGTTGCTCCGGTGATACTGAAGGGACTGACTGTTGACCTGACACTGACGTTCCTGGGATGACTTGCACGCTCCCTTCTCCAGATTGGCCCTGCCCTTGCTGGAAAAGCGGGGCGTCCTGGCCGTGCTCAGCTACCTGGTCTGCTGCTGACGGAGCCGTAGCGGGCGAGAAGGCTGAGGCGTGTGCATTCAAGGATCTCGTCGTAGGATACGTGGGAGACTTGGGCTTTGAAGAAGTCCCTTGAGGCGGTCCGACAACCTCGCCGGCTCCATCGGTAGCGTCGGCAAAGGACGTGGAAGCAGCGTCGTGGGAATGCTTATACCAGCAGAGGGCTCCACGAAAGCAGTAACCCTCCATCCAAAACCGGCAAATAGTAGTGGAAGCCTGTGCTGGCGGCGCTTGCATAGGAGGAGGAGGAGCTGCTCCGGTGCACTGGACCGGCTCATCGAAAGTGGGAGCTTCGTGTGAGGTTTCTACAGGCGATTCACGTGTGGTACTGGCTTCTGCTGAGGACATTGTGGAATGCCCTTCGCTTGGGCGAAGAGACGGAGGCTTGGCAATGAGCTCAGTTGAAGCTGATGTCTGATCCTGAGAGTCAGCCGACCCTGCTACTTGGAATGTGCTGACCGAGGTCGACTGGCTCGGCGGTATGGCCGACGAAGCAGACATTGCCTGGAGCTACTTGTAGTCCCGGGGTCAGGCAGCATCCATGGAAAATAAAGCAGAAGATGGCTTTGGCTTATCTGTAAACCTCTGCGGTCGTGCCATTGACCGGCCAAGGTCTCAGATGTAGGGATCGTGCGGAAAGGTGGGCAAGCGGCCAGGCGAGACGTCGAGGACAACTTGGACAAAGGAGGCGGCCAAAGCGCAACTGCACCACACACGAGCGGAGTTGCAATGCCCCTTTTGCGGGGCAGTAGACTAAAGAGGGCGTGCGAGTGTCGCCGAGGAGAGCAAATCATGGCATGGCACGCCAGTACAAAGGCGAGTGCGCTTCATTCGCAGGGAGAAGATGCAAAGAAGAAAGAAGGCAGACATGCATCCTGCTACTCATACAATCAAGGACAACAGACCACGTCCTCTCATGCGTCCTCGTCGGCTCTCCTTCTCTTCTGTTGACTCCCACCCTCCTGCAGACCCTCCCGCTTAGGAGCGCTCGCTCCCCTCTTGGCCTCGTCCAGGAACTGATCAATCGCAAAGGGGTCGTTGATCGTCTGAGTGGCTGAGCCATCCGCCTGGGTATCGCGCTCGAATTGGACCGGTCCGGACCTGGCCTCTTGATAGTCAGCTCCCTGGAAGGCCTTCCCTCTGCCGAGGCCAAAGCGGTCATTGCGGGCCAACTCGTCGCTGACCCCTTCGGCTGTACCGCCACCGTACGCTTCGTCGGAGCCACCTTGAGTCGGTCGCGAGTAGATGGCTTGTGCAGCACTTGACCCTTGAAGCAGAGGCTTGTCGTATAAATTGTAGCTGTCTTCGTCGCCATAGGTCGAGTTGAGCTTGTCCTGATTGAACAGACGGCTGTCTACCTCGCCGCCCTTGGAGGATGGCTTGGCAAGTCCAAGTGCAACCTTCTCAGAAATATCGCGGTTCTGTTCGCGAGCCAGCATCTTCGCCCGCTGCTCCGTGCCCATGCTTGACATCCGCAGATCTCTCTCCCGTTCGCGTCGCCTTTCGGCCCGCAGACGATCCCGTTCCCTAGCATCCTCCTCGTCTTCTGACTCGGACCCACTTCCCTCGCTCGCGGATGAAGGTGACCTTTCAGCCTCGAATTGCGGAGCCCTGATGTCCACCCGATCGTCAAGCCGGTCATCCTCGACACCACTTTCCCGATCATCGCCGCCAGCCAAAGAAGGCGTGGCAGAGGAACCAAGGCCACTCCTCTCTTCTCTGGCCCTTTGAGCGAGCTGCCGTAGATGGTCTTCCCTGCTCGCCTTCTCTTTCGCAGCCAACTTTTGTTGCATAAGCGACCGCTGCCTGACTTCTTCTCGCGCATGCCTCTCGGCTAGAACTAGAGCCTCTGAGAATTGGGCAAAGCCATCATTGATATGTACGTCTTGCAGACCCCTACCATCAGCAGCCAACCGTTTGTCGAGCGGAATGGTGAAACCCTTGTTGTTCTTCCAATTTGAGATCGAAGGAGGTACCATCCATTCCTTCTGCTCCTGGGCGGTGACCTTGCGAGGTGGCGATCGCAGGACCGGAGGCGGAGGGCTCGGGGGACCCTTTGGCACCTTTTTAAACTTCCAGCGCGGGGGCTCGAGAGGATCCTCTGCAGCATCGGTCATCTTGATGATGCGTTGTTGGCCGCTTGCCCCTTGCTGCCCTGGCGTATAACGAATGTACGAGCTGCTGGGCCCCGTATTTTCAACGTTCGTCTGTTGCGCAGTCTTGATCTTGCCATTGATGATCTTCTCGAGCGCTATCCGTGTCCTTTGCGTACATTCGGCAACGGCATCCTGATCCGGTCTGTCCGGGAGCAGATCCGACGCCTTCTTTGAGTCTGAGCGCTGACTGAGAGGCACAAGGTCCTTATGCTGTGACTGAACCCTTTGACCTTCTCTGCGGCCCTGTTGGACGATGGCATCGTATCGCACGTTCCCATCCGCGTCTACTTGCAGAGCCAATGCTCCTCCGCTGGTGCCCTATCCGGCAGTGGTGGAGAGCAAAGGTCAGCCCGCTGATGGAAAGCCTCATGGTGAGCGATTCCTACTTACCGCCTTCTTTCGACCCATGTCCAATGGGTACTGAGCGATATGACACTCCGGGTAAGCTCCTCCATCACCAAAATCGCCTTGGTCCTTTGGTCTCCAGCCTCTCCTCTTGCCATAGGGAGGCACCGAAGACTGCACAGTCACTTGCTGTTGATGCCGTTGTTCATATTCATCGTCTTCCGCCGTCGCATCCTCGACTGTGGCAGTGTAGCGAGGCAAGGGCAGAGCCGCCGCAAGCGCCGAGGCTGACATGACAGTAAGAGGTAGATGGTCAGGGTCGAATCTTGTTGAGTGAGAGGCTGGCTAGCCGGGAGTTGTTGAGTACCTCCTGGATTGAGGATGAGAAAGCTGTCCCCTGGGAAGGATCTGGCCCGGAAGGAGGATGGACGCTCGGGCGGAGCGTGGGGCCGCCCCTCTGCGTCTCGCCTCCGAGCGCGCTTTGCTGCACGTCCCGTTGTTCCGACAAATTTTTCCCGAGGGCGTCCTTCACCTGCCTCTCCTGCACCGTTTCCCCTTCCTCCCACCACACTCGGTCATTCGCTACAATGGTCAAGGTGGCAGGAAAGACAAAGTCATCGTCATCACCCAGGGGAGGCGTCAAGTCGGACGGTCTAAAGAAGGTCAAGGGACAGAATTTCTACCGAGATGCCTCCCAGGCCAGGCGAGTGAAGTTGCTCTCCAAGAATGGCATCGCTTCAAAAGCCATTCGTGACAAGGATGGCAACATCATTCAAGCACAAGAATTTCAGAGTTCAGAAGCGAAGCCTGGGAGGGTTCAGCCTGATCGTAGATGGTTCGGTGAGTGTCTCAAAGGGTTAAGACTTCTTTACCTCCTGCTTGTTGATGGAAAGTACTGGTTGCTGACGCCATCTCCCTTGCTTCCCCTTGACTCTCAGGCAACACTCGAGTCATCTCGCAAGATGCTCTCGACCACTTTCGTACATCGTTGGGATCGCGTGTCGATGACCCTTACTCCGTCCTTTTGCGTCGCAACAAATTACCCATGTCGCTGATCCAAGAACCCAAAAAGGGAAAGGCGGCCTCACTCACACTCGTGGAGCCGTTTCAACAGACATTTGGCCCTGGCGCTCAACGCAAGAGGCCTAGGATGGAAAGCAACATGAACAGCTTCGCGGAGCTCGCAGAGAGTAGCGAGAAAGCAGGCGACGCTCACAATGAAAGAGTCCTTGCTGCAGAGGCGAAGCTTGCAGGTACTGACCTTGTCCCTGCAGACAGAGAACTCGGCTCTGCGTACGACATCGATGCAAGTGGTGCTGGCCCATCATCCGAAACTCTTTCCTCGGACGTCTTCTACGCACCAGTCACACGCGGACGCTCTGAGCCTGCTTACAGCAAGGGGCAATCCAGGCGTATTTGGGGCGAACTCTACAAGGTCATCGACTCAAGTGACGTTGTCATTCAGGTCCTGGACGTGCGTGATCCTATGGGAACACGTTGTAGGAGCGTTGAGAAGCACATCAAGGAAGAGAAACCTCACAAGCATCTGGTCTTCCTCTTAAACAAAGTCGATCTCGTTCCCACCTGGGTTACTGTGAGTAGCGCTCCGGCTCGTCGTTGCTGTGTCTTTCCCCATCTCCGGTCTCGATCTCCTTTCCCTTTTCCCTCCCTTTCGAGTCGCATTGGCTCTACTGATCCACAATCAAGTCAAGTTCCGTGCCTGTTTCTCATCCGTGGTACAAGAACTGTTACGAATGTGGAAGATCAACGGTCCGAGTTCATCCATCTCATCGCTCTTCGGAGCCCATTGTCTCACCCTTCTCCCGCCATTGAAGGGTGGTCAAATCGGGAGTTTGGAAAGCTCGGATTGGCGTCTTGGAAGAGTTGAGGCTATCAGCAAGACTTTAAGCGCATCGGCTGCCGGACCTGGTTAACGGGGCTGGCGGCCAGTTAATGCACTTGTGAAGGAGTCAGTGACTTTTGGCCTCGTAGTTCTGGGACGAACAAGCAACTGCACCGCTCAAATTGTTCAGATGTGTTTTGTTGTGGCGGTAATCTTTGCTCCCATCTCGGCTCACCATCACTGACACAACTCCTTCTTCCTTTTGATGTTGGCGATGCAGGCGCGCTGGGTCAAGCTGCTGTCCCGAGAATACCCTACCATCGCTTTCCATGCATCGATCAACAACTCCTTCGGCAAAGGCTCCCTGATTCAACTTTTGAGGCAGTTCTCCGTTCTCCACTCTGACAAGAAGCAGATCTCGGTCGGATTTGTAGGTTATCCAAACACCGGTAAATCGTCCATCATCAACACACTCAAGAAGAAGAAAGTCTGCAACGTTGCTCCTATTCCGGGAGAGACAAAGGTCTGGCAGTACATCACGTTGATGAAGCGCATCTACCTCATTGACTGTCCCGGTATAGTCCCTGCTTCCGCTCAGGATTCAGAAACAGGGACTGTGTTGAAGGGTGTGGTGCGTGTCGAGAACCTCGAGACACCTGCAGAGCACATCCCCGCCCTGCTGTCTCGAGTCAAGCCAGAGTATATCAAGAAGACGTACAACCTAAAAGGGTGGACGGACACTACCGATTTCCTTGAGCAGCTTGCGAAGCGTTACGGCAAATTGCTGAAAGGCGGAGCACCCGACGAACACACTGTCGCCAAGATGGTCTTGAACGACTGGATCCGCGGGAAGATCCCTTTCTTTGTAGCTCCACCGCTCACAGCTACTGCCCTTGCTGCTCAAGAGGCAAAGGGCAAGAATAAGGCCATCGAGCCGACGGAAGAAGACGTCAAGCACGGTGCTGTGCGACCTGCGAAGAGGGTCAAGGGTGTTGAGCAAGCCCTCAAGAGCATCTCTGTCCTGACAAAGTTCTCAAAGGAAGATGTTCACGGCGGTATGGATGATGACTACGTTCTCGACAAAGACGAGGATGCGGAACAGCCCGAGCGGGCCCACAGCGCTGGAGAAGAGGAGGACAGCGACGTCAGTGATAGCGAAGACGAAGAAGAAGAAGACGATGCAGACCTGCCTGAGCTGGCTTGGGAAGATGTTTTCGGCAGCGCACCTGGAGGTGCAGACGCAGCTGGTGCGATGGAGGACGAGGACAGCGACGCGCAGTCGAGCTCAGCCTCTGCTGGGCCATCCAGCAAGCGCAAGGCATCTTTGATCGACGGAGGCGGCGACGAAGACGACGAGGAAGAAGTAGAGGAGCAGGCAGAGAGCGATTCTGACGAGGAGATGCCGTCGTCTGACGAGGACTCGCAGCGCAAGAAAGCCCCCCGAATGAAGACGTCGAAGAAGCGCGCCGAGAACTTCTATACGCACGCCAATGTCAAGAACAAGAACCGTGAACGGGCAAAGCTGATGCGAAGCACAAAGGGAAAGACTGCGCCAGCTCCCGGTGCCGTCGGCGAGGGTGCTGATCAGACTGTGAGGAGAGCAGCACGTGAGCGGGGCAGCCGTGTGGGTGTCAATGGGAAAGGAGCTCGAGGTGGGAAGGGGCCTCAGCGGGGCAGGCGATGATGGTCTGAGCCGGGGACGACGAGGTCAGTCGCTTGTTGCTGCCATGTCTGTACAATAGCATTCACTTCAAATATTTGCACTGAGGACGGTCTGCAGAGTGAGAGTGGACCAGGGGTGGAAGCGGGGCGCGTGTGCTTCTGAATCGGAGAGGAAGATTGCCGTGACGCTGAAAGCGAGACGTCACCCTCGGGCTGCTGGCCGCCTGCCTGCCTGCCCGCCCAGCCACGCGCCCTGACCGCCGCCCGCCTTCTCCACACTTGTCGCCTGTCCCGCTGCTACCCTGGGCAGGCCTGGCGATGCTGCTGGCGCCCACGTAGGTCGATGCTGCTCTGAGCACTCCATCCATGAATGCATAGCAGTTGACGTTGGTGCGACAAAGAAAGGCCTGTTGCCCTGGAGGAGAAGTGATTTTCAACTTCGGAGAGAGTGACAGTCTGGCGGCGGCTGCCCAAAGGGGGAAGCAACCAAGGTGGGGCCCGCCGCCAGTAGTGCCTGCCTGCAGCCCGGGCCAGGCCAGGCCAGCCACGACAAATCTCCACACCACCGCCGCCGAAACTCGTCGTCTCCATCCCGATGCCTCGTGTGCTCACTCACGCCCACCTCCATTCTACCATCTATCCTCTTCGCTCACGTACATCATATATCCCACACCCCACAGACCCACACTAGCCATCTCACGACGGATCTGTGCGTGCGACTATATCCAAAGCGTGCCCGACCGCGCCACAGCAGCCGACTGAAATCGGCCGTCTCTTTCAGTCACCCCCGAGACATTCCCCACCCCCCGGTCTTAGACCGCATCGACCATGTCTTCCGGTACCTCCGGTCCAGCGCCGGATTCCGCCTCCACCATGACCTCTGCCTCTGACATCGAGCAAGCCCCGGAGGCTGTACAGATGACAGAGGAGGAAGAACTCAATGCCGCTCAGGACAAGGACTCCTCTGATAGCGGGAAGCTAAAGACTCTCTTGGGGATCCTCAAGAGGATGGTGGGAGTCAAGGACATGGCTGCAATGTAAGTCCAGATTGCGGTCATGGGGACGTCGATGATGACACTCGCTACATAGCGCTTCGTGGTGGACGAGCTCCGATGAGGCTTGCAACACTACTAACTCATCCCTCCCCTCCTTCCCAAAACGATGCTAGTCGGCTGTCTTTGCCTGCCAATCTGCTGGAGCCAGTGGTGAGTCGACTATGACTCGCCTATGCAGCTCGAGAAGGCTCACTCGCTTACACTCATCCTCTCCAACTCCTGAATGCTGGTGACAGCCAAATCTGGAGTACTGGAACTATCTAGGTGAGTGCACTGCATCTACGTACTTTGCAATGATTCGATCATTGGCAGCTGATCACACCCTCTCTGTCACCCATTCATGCTTACACCTCTACCAGATCGAGGCGATATCTTTGCCAGGTGAGCAGGGTGGAGATAGCTTTGCAATGGCGGGAGGCTTCGGACAGGGTGGCTCACCCTACCCCTCCTCTCATTTCCTTCTTCCACAGTATTGGCGAGCTCGACGACCCTCTCGACCGCATGATCCAGACACTTCGTTTCACATTCACAAAGGAGCTCAAGTTCGTCCACGGAAAGGTCTGCAAGCCTTACAACTCCATTCTCGGCGAACACTTCCGCTGTCATTGGGACATTCAGGGGATGCAGCTCAATGCTGATGGCAACCTGATCCCTGTACAGTGTGTCAATGTGTCCAATCCGACGCCTCTGCCTTTAGTCAACTCGGACCCTGCAAGTCTGAGGAGTCGCAAGTCATCTCGGCCTGCCTCTGTGCGGGATACCACGCCTACCCATACCACGACGCCTAGCACGCCTGTGGCAGAGTCCTCCGCAAGTACTGCCACTCCTGACAAGGAAAAGAAGAAGATGTCAGGTTTCAGCAAGCTTATATCCGCCACCAAAGGGCACAAGAGCTCATCCTCATCCACCCACAGCACCGGTACGGTAGCGTCAAACATCGGCGGTGCTACAACAAGTAGCAAGAGCTCTGTAAAGTCGCCAGTGTTGTCTGCTACTGGCGCAGAGCATGACAAGAAGCTCGCCAGCAACATGGATCGTCTTTCCATCAGCTCAGCGAAAGGCTCGAAGGAGAACAATGGGCAGCGAAGAATCACATTCATTACCGAACAAGTTTCCCACCATCCGCCAATCTCTTCCTTCTTCGTAGAGTGCAAGGACTCGGGTGTCCAGCTCTGTGGTGTGGACCAGCTCTCAGCAAAGTTCACTGGCACGTCGATTAGAGTATACCCGGGAGAGGCGAATAAGGGCATTTTCGTCAAGCTCACAGAAGACGCACTCGTAGGGCCACAGGTGGCAGGAGAGGAATATCAAATTACTCATCCAACGGCTTCCCTCAACGGTCTATTGCGAGGCGCGCTGTGGGTAGCTATCTGCGATACGCTCTTCATCACTTGCAGGGGAGGTTCGCGGCAGAATGACAATGGCAAGCGGCTCAGAAGCATCGTAGAGTACAAAGAGGAATCCTGGCTTAGCAAAGCCAAGTACTTTCTGGAAGGTGTCATCTACGAATATGACATGTCGAAAGGGGAAGCTGCCGTCGAAGAGTTCAAGACCATTAAAGAAGTGCCTTCGGATCGAATTGTAGGCACTTTTGAGGGCAGCTGGAAGGGCAAGATCACATGGAAGAGGAAAGGAGAGAAGGTGAGAGCCAGCGGAAGGCGTGACGAGTGCGATTGCAGATACTGATGAACATGACTTGTCCTCACGTTGGGTCAACAGGAGTCGCGACTTCTCGTCAATCTGGATGAGGTAGAGCCACTTCCGAAGACTGTTCGTCCTCTTGCTTCACAAGATGAGATGGAGTCTCGCAAGATCTGGGAGACCGTCACTACAGCGATCCTCACCAAAGACTTCGCGGGAGCGACGAGGCACAAGCAGCGAATCGAGCAGGCGCAGCGAGAGAAGGCTGCTAATCGAAAGAGGAACGGAGAAGAATTCGTGCCGCGCTTCTTCGAAGTAGACATCTCCAACGGGCGGCCGCGTCTCACCGCGGAGGGTCGAAGTGCCGTGGATGCAGAGACGCAGTTGATTGGCTACGGCAAAGGAGAGAATGTAGCAGAGGAGGACAGGAGTCAGGCTGAGAAGGCTGCCATGGGCAAGACCGGAGGTGCAGAGCCACGAACAGAGAAGGACAATGATGGTGGCGACGAGGATGATGATGATGATGCGGACAGCTTTGCCAGTGCGGAAGGCGAATTGACGGCGCGATCCAAGGCGGGCGATTCACACAACTGATCGTAGCCAGGAGCTCCTACATCTGTTGCTTTCGCCCTCCCACCCTCAAAGATAGAGAGGGTCGCCGTCCAACGCTCGTTTTTCCCTGCTTCTCTACATCCATCGCTGGGAATGCGCGAGGGATCTTTCCAACGTGTAACACGCTCCTTGAGACCTTGGCAGAACGTATCCAATCCGCTCACGACCAGTGATTAAACATTTTGTGATTGCAAGAGCTCTCATCATGCCACTTCGAAGCTCATCTTCATCCCCATAGAGGCCAGCTCAGCGGCGAGGTACTTGAGCACATAAGGCACCGCCACCACGTCCAATCCGCCGCTCCCCTTTTTGATGACATTTTCGGGCGGAATCCTGACCCTCTCCACCACTCGCGCCTCTACGTCCGCCTGGTTCAGCTCCTCGTACCCATCCAGGCCGAATCCTTTGCTCTTCTTCGCCTCGTCTTCTGCGCGACAGATGCGACAGTATTCCCCATTGAGTCCTGCGTTCTCGATCTTGGCCTCCTCTTCTTCGACGTTCCATGCGTCCAACATATGGACGTCACCTCCAGGCAGATTGATGGACGAATCCTTCTCTTCGTACCCGAGCGAGATGAGAGATCCGCACTGACGGCATACGAAGCTAGTTGAATAATCGGAGCAGTTCATCAACCGGTCTTGCAGGAGGAAAGAGGTACCATGTGCGAGCAGAGCATCTCTCTCCATCTCACCAAAACGGATACCACCAGCTCTCTTCCTACCCTTGATAGGCTGCCTCGTTAGCTGATGAACCGGACCCGTCGTTCTGACCTGGAACTTGTCGTTGACCATGTGTCGCAAGCGCTGGTAGTAGACGCAGCCCAAATAGATATCGGCTCTGAACTCCTCTCCAGTGATACCGCTGTACATCGGCTCCTGACCAAGATGATTGTATCCGGCTCTTGTCAACTGCTCTCCAAAATATGTATGAGGAGTGGAATCTTCACTGAAGGACCACGGCGTTCCGTCTTGTCTGACACCGTGCAGAGCTCCAGCTTTGCCGGCCATAGACTCTACAAGCATCCCGATTGTCATACGGGAGGGGAAGGCGTGAGGATTGATGATGACGTCGGGCTGCATCCCGCTCTCTGAAAAGGGCATATCCACGGCCGGCCATTTCTGCGAGCAAACACCCTTCTGTCCGTGCCTGGAGGAGAATTTGTCACCGATGACTGGAGACCGAGGGATCCTGAGCGTGATTTGAAGCTTGGTAAATTGAGCCTGCGAAGACTCGGAAGAAGGCAGTAATCGGACTGTGTCGATGTATGCAAAGTCGTCGCCCTTGAACTTCTTGAACTTGGTCTTGCCAGTAACCTCGTCCCAGTACGCGACCATCGCCTCGCCTGCTTTGAACTTTTCGCCAACGGGAGGTAGACCATCTTCGTCCAGCTTGCTTCTGGAGGGATGCGTCGTTTTGATATCAGGTCCGAAGCCAAAGTGCAGAGTAGTGGAGGCAGATGAGCGTGAGCCTGCCTCGACGGTCAAGTCTAAGATTTCGCACTTGTAGATGGAGCCGTACCCGAAGCCTCTTTCGTGAGCAGATTTATTCAGGATCATGGCGTCTTCCATATCGTACCCAGTGTAGGAGATGACAGCGACGATCGCGTTGGTACCGTTCGGGAATCCATCGAAGCCGTAATGATCGTGAAGTGCTGGTCGCACAATAGGTGTCTGTGGCGTCTGAATGCGGTAGAGCTTGTTGTCGGTCCTGCGAGAGATGGCTGTGGAGGGAGTCCCCATCGTCTGCTTGCCCATCTGGCACTGGTACATGTTTCTAGGTGATTGGTTGAAGTCTGAGAACGGAGTGAGGTTAGCAATGACAGACAGGATGTTTGTAGGCGCAAATTCTTGATGCGTGGTAAGGCCTTCGTGGATATCTTCTTGCAGACAAGCGACGTCCAGATATACCTGCTCGAACGGCCCCACGTGGTCCAGCTGCCCGTTGGCGAGATATCTTACTGGTCGCATCATCCTCGAGCGACCCGAGAAGAGGTAGAGACCCGGGTACTGCCCTGCTTTCGAGACTGGTACGAAGCCAATCTCTAGGTCGAGAGGGATGCCGTGCGTTCCCTGCGTCTTGAATAGGCGCAGGCTCTGTGCCAAGCGAGAAGCCAGAGCTGGTGTCGCGTATCCGATGATGACACCATCAAGCTGAACGACTACATGACTTCTTCCATCCACATGAGCGAAGGGCGGAGTGAGACCCATTGAGGAAAGAAGGGGCTGGACTTGGCTGATGTCGAGCTCACGAGTGACCAGACGGCAAGTGTGGCTGAAATGGTTCAACAGGCCACAAGGCGACCCATCGGGCGTATGAACCGGACATAGGAAACCCCACGCTTCGGGAAGCAGCTTGCGGACGGTCGTAGTCTTCAGCTCGGCAAAGAAAGCTCCTCGATGTACAGAACGGAAGTGGGCGACATATCTGTAGAAGTTGAGCTTCTCGGCGACGACGGTGAAGCCGGAAACTTGCTGGAGGTCGAGACCAGAGGGAGAGGAGAGATTTCCCGTGGCTAGGAAAGAGGATAGACGACCACCGATGTTTGGTATCACTTTCTGAAACACTTTCTGCATATACTTGCCATCGAAGAAATCAATGCCCTTTGTGCCCATACGGACATCGCGGACGACTTGACCCCTCAATGCTGTCAGGTATTCATCGAGGCGCTCCTTGATGATCATGCCGTACAAGAAGCCAGGCATGAGAACTTCTTGATGCTGAGGCGAATCGGGATTGTCTGTGGAGCATTCGCCTCCGACGAGGGCATACAATTTGCGCATCATGAAGATCAACAGCCTGTACTTGTCCCTCGGCGCCTCTACGTGAACGAGGAAGAGGCGCTCGAGAAGAGTCATACCTACCATTGCGTCCGTCCAGTCCTCGGGGCAGCCCAAGACAACTCTGAACTTCGAGCCCAGATACTCCAGACAGTGCTCGCCCGAGTACAAAGAGTAGGACTTGAAGCCTCGTAGAAGCATCTCCACTCGATCGGTCAAGAATGTGTTGTCTACTTCTCCGCGGGTCAGATCAAGGAAGATCTCTTTATCTGTGGCGCCCGTCAGAGCCTTGAGAACCATGATCGCGGGAACCATGTACTCCCTCTTCTTCCAGCTGAAACGCAGAGTCACGCCTCCATTGTCGAGATAGTGAACAGTGTTCGTAACGCTCGTCATTTCATCTTTGTGTAGGCATCGGATCTGACAGCCCTTTGACGTGTACGACGGCCCTCTGTTGGCGAACGAGGGTCGCTCAATTGCGGTGACATGGTTGGCTCTCGGTACGATGAGGAGGCGAATCAGGCGTTCGTTACCATTGATGAGAAAGTACCCGCCCATCTCGGCGGCTTCTTCATTGTGTTGTACTAATTGAGCGGAGGAGAGGTCGCGTAGGTGGCAGCGATTCGAGCGGACCATGATCGGCACCATGCCCATGTCTCTTTCTGTGACTTGCTTGGGGAGCCCATTGACCGACCAACTGACACGGGCTGTCATCCTCGCCTTGTACGTCATGAGCCGCTCGCGACATTCGATTGGCCATACTCGTCGGACCTCTCCGCTGCTGGAAGGACCGCTGGCTTGGGTCGGCTTGCCCAGAGTGATGCCCTCAACTCGTAGCTCGAGCCGATTGCCTCGCCCCGAAGGCATTTCAGCTTCTTGTACTCGGTCAAAGACGACTCGCGGAGGAATATTACGGACGGCGCGGTCGAGGAGGCCGCCGCTGCTAGCGGAGCGTGTGGCATCTGCGAAGGAGCTGCTCGGGCCGGTCGTTGAGTGATCTGCCGTCGAGCTGATGGAAGGGTCTGCGCTGAAGAGAGCGTTGAAGCTCTCCAGATGGGGTGCGATGAGATCTTGCAAAGAAGGATTGACAAATTGAGCTGGAGGCGGGTTCTTGTACTGATCGACATTGTTCAAGGTGTTGAAGGTGAAGGGGTCCTCGTATTCGCCCTTGGGGACGTAAGGGGCGGCATAGGACGACGACGCCGCAGACGACCCGGAGGCGCTCGAGCCGGAGCTTGAGCCCGAGGGCGACGAAGACAGCGCTGACATCGGGTGGTGAGGCGGAGGTGAGGCGATCGACGGTAGGGAGGGCAGGGTAGGCTAGGAGGCCAGACTGGTCAGGGTATCCTTTCCTCGGAGGCACCCACCCACGCGAGCCGCGGCTCATCGACGAAAAAAATTCGAGCCCGACGCTGCTTCCGCCTCGCAGCATTGCTTCCGACGCTTCGTGCCTTGATCCGTCCTTCTCGCACCCATTGACCGTACCCACCACAGACACCATGCCTTCGCTGCCCTCTCAGACAGACAAGGGCAAGAAGCGCAAAGGGTCGACCTCCGGAGTGGGCACCTCGACTTCCAGCTCCACAAAGGTTGCCGAAAGACAAGCCTTCGGTAGCGCCTTGTCCCAGATTCAGGCTGCCCTCTCTAGCTCATCGGATCTGAACCCGATCGCAGACCTCATTGACCTCGTAAGCAAATCCTCATTCGACTTGCCCAGCGATGTCGTCATGCCGTCCATAACTCTCCTAGGTCGTACTTTGGCTCACCTCGTTTCTAGCGGCGTGCTATCACCGGTCGCAGTCAGCAACGTGACTGGCTTGCTCAGCATTCAGCCTTCGCAAAATGCAGGCTCGACTACCGCTCCGGAACAGGTAGAGTCTTGGCTTCGGCAGATCTTCAACTCGGCCGTGCAGCTCTTGGTAAGAGTTATGATTGCCCATCCAAAGGAGAAGACCAGGGTAGTCGCTCTCAATGCACTCATGGACCTGCAAAGATCGACCAGTCAGGCACTGAGCCAGCAAGGAGAAGTCGCAGCGTGGGCTGAATGCCCTTGGCGTGCAACAGTCAACGCTCTCGTATTCGGCCGTTGTCAAGATGTTCAGGGGCTGGAAGTCAAGTCGACTCTGTGCCCAGAAGTTCGAGCGACCTTTATACTTGATTACATCGAGCAGTACGCCGATGCCAAGCTCGCCCTGTATCGCACTTTCCAAAGCATTCTCAAGACAACGCCGACTGCGCGCTCTGCCATCCTGGCCTTCTTGCTGCAGCTTTCAAATCCTCCAGCAAACGTCGCCGCTATCAAGAAGCTCGGATGCTACGTTGCTGCCCTGGCTGTAGCTCCCCCGGGAGGTGCAACCAAATTGGATCGAGGACGGACAGTCGGCAATGGGAAGAAGAAGGAAGTAAAGATCTCACAAGATGGCGATGAAAGTGACGAAGAGGAAGCAGAGGACCTCGACTGGTTCTCGGACTCCGAAGCCGACGACGGCGACACTGCGGAGAGAGCGGAGTCTGCCCAGCCTGGTAAAGGTCGAACTGCGCAAGATGTCGGTCTGCCTGCCGGCTCAAGGATCAGACGACGCAGAAGAGGCGCAGGCAAGCTCGTGTTCCATCAGGCATTGTACGCTATCAAGGCTTGGAGAGTAGCTGTCGACGCACTTTGGCTGGCCATTCTCTTACACCGTTCTCCCAAGGCCGACATAGAAGAGTCCGGACGGGTCGTAGCAGGCCACCCTTCGGAAGGGCAGCTAGACTTAGGAGAGATCAATGCCATCTTGAGGGTGATGGAAAAGAAAGTCTTGCCTTACTTGAGCAAGCCGCAACTCGTGGCAGACTGGCTCGTAGATTGTCTGGATGTTGGTGAGTTCAGACGCTCATCTTCCGGCAGTACGTTCTTGCAACTGACTCTGCAATGCGGTCTCCTCCTTTTGATCCCCTTAGGCGGCTCGACAGCCCTTCTGTCCTTGTCACCACTTTACACGCTCTACGTGTCACATTCTCTCTCCCTGCCCGGACTCTACACAACACTTTACACACTTCTCACCCCATCGCTTCTGCACTCTCCTCATCGCTCTCACTCTCTCAGGCTCTTAGCGCTGTTTCTTTCTTCGCAGAAGCTGCCGCTCGGAATCGTCCTGGCGTTCCTGAAAAGGCTGAGTAGGTGCGCCCTTCGAGGGCCGCCTGGCGGTGCGATCCCTGTCGCTGTTATGATCTATAATCTCCTCAAGACGCACAAAGAAGGTATGAACGTCCTACATCAGGATTGGGCTGCAGATGGAAAGCAGGGCTGGACCGGTGAGTCGTGACCAGACCCACAGATCGCATCGTTTCCGCTGCTGACGTAGTCTTCTCCTGATACAACAATCAGATCCATACGACGCCTCGATTACCGTTCCCCCCTCATCAGCGGCCGCGCGCCACACATCCCTGTTTGAGGTCACTACGTTGGGAGCGTCACCTCCAGCATCGTCTCTCGGCCTTGACCCTCAAGGGCGACAAGAGGCACACTATCACGCACCAACGACAACTATCTTACGCATGCTTGCCCAGCCGTTCACGAAAGAGGCTTATGATCTTGAAGAATTCCTTGATCATTCCTTCGGCACCCTCATCGAAACAGAAGTGGCGAGGTCACTGAAGACTCCCAACGGCAAGAAGCGGACCAGGGAACCTGCCGTCAGGTTCTCGCTTTCAACAGAATCTGCCAAAAGGGTGAGAGTGTACCCAAGGAAAGTCGAGCAGCGGTCGGCCCCGGTCATGGACGTATCAGAAAGCCTGTCCGATGCTGGGAATGCGGCGGAGCCTGCGGCTGCATCTGCGACTCTTGCTGGGTTAGACGCAGAGGAGGTTGAGGCTCACGAAGCTATGCAAGAGGTTGAACGAGCGCAGGTGCAGGCACAGGCTCAAGCCAGGCAGGAGAGGAAGGACCGGGGCAAATTGCCGAATCGAGTGGGAAACGTCTTGGCGTTGTGGTCCTACGCCTCGTTGTTGGACAATCCTAAGATGCAATGAAGATATTGGATATTTGGCAAGATTATGTAGCCCGAGCAATCGTCAATGAGTGTGACACTGTCAGCAGGAGTTTCCGTAGCGGCGACCAGGAGCACGCAAGTTGCCATCACCTGTTTGGGGCCAGGTCAGTCTAGGTATGTTCTACCTGGCCCTCCATGTTTCAACGACAGCTGTTTCTCTCCCAATAGGCGCAGAGCAGTAAAGATTAGCATTCGCTCCGTACAGACAGTGAATGTTCACTCTTGAGCAGCCTGTTGTGTCCCCCTTTGGCGATTCTGACGAGTGCCACACCAGTCTTTCCTCTTCCGGTGTGGCCATTCCTTCTACATTGGAAGTTCTGCCACAAGCTTGGGGCACGAAAATTCACAGCCCTACTGTTCCAATGCAATTGACTTGAATGTACAGAACACAGTATTATAGCTCTAGATACAATAGTAACGGCCTGTCCCTTTTGCGCTAGTCAGCAGTAAAATTGAGGAAGGAAGAGACCGGGGACCAGGACGTTCTCACGAAGTGTGCGGGAGGTCATTGCAAAATGTCGTACAGCGCCACTAAAGTGTTTGACTCGGGTGGAAGCTGTGCCCAGTGGTATGGAAGCAGACCGAGTCGTACAGTACAGTACGACCGTGTAGTCTTGCTTGTAGTCTTGTACAGTATACCGTACCTTACATCGCAATCAATGAGAGTCATACCGTACTTGATCGATCATCTGTACTGTATTGTATTGTACAGTACTGTTCAGTATGCCGGACTTGTCGTCACGCTGCCAGACCCCCGCACAGATCTGGAACTGCACGATAGATGCGGATAGGCTAGGAATGACTGAAGAGAGGAGGACTTGCAGTGAGCAAAACGCAATTGCTCGCGAGCATCACCCATTGACGCGCAAATGTCTGCGTGAATACACAACGCGAGCTGTGCTGCGAAGTCGTGGACGCAGTCTGCATGACAAGTATTGTATTTGGTGCGCCCGGCTACAGTCACTGCAGCCGGCTCGAATACAATCGAGAGACGAAGCGAGCACATCAGCAGCATAATAGGTTGATCAGATCGAGCTGATACAGCTGCAGATAAAGTACTTGAGTCTGGAACGTCGTGAGGCGTCATGTCACGACCTCACTGACCGACTGCAAAGGCTGTCAAAATCACGCTATGCGCTGCAAGCTGCCCCATCACAAGCCCGAAAGTGTGAGGTAGCTGCAATTGTCATGCCGCAGATGATCGCGGGGCTACTGTGCTCGATAAGACTGCAAGCTTGCTATTATTGTCACACAATAAGCCAAATCATATCGAATGACCTTATGTTCAGCAGCATGCCTTGTACAATGTCTGGAAGCACGAATCTGGGGAATTTGACCAGCACAGTATCATGCGCTACTGTACGACAGAGCAGTGCCATGCGGACACGATTGAGAAGGCATGCTGCCCAAACATCTGAATATCATTTGGCCCAATGCTGATAATCAAGCTCGTCTACTTTCGTGTACTGTGCAACAAGCGCTTGGCCCCGTCCGGCTTCTTTCGCTTGCGGAATTTCCCTGCGAAGACTCCATCCAACGGGCTCGCATGCAATGCACTGCGCATTGGCTAGGCAGCTCTTCACCAATCCGAATCGGTGACCGTTTCGGGACCTCGGTCGTTGGCGGCGACTGCACCGGTGCTAGGCCAGCGCAATTACCGTAGACTTCAGACACGGTACAGGGCGAGCCGTATGAGGCTCAGATCCTGTAGTACTTGACTCAAAGCTGAGTGTGCTTTGGTTTCGATGTTGGATTGACATGAGGCCAGACAAGCTACTAGACTCAGTCTCTTTTTCTCGATGGACATTGACTGACACAGGGAGCATTGATGCAAGGAACAGTAGTCCGTGCGTCACTGTGTTGTCTGAAGACTAGAAGGGGCCTTGTGTTCTATACTCGTCAAAACAGCACTGATCAGCCCGACAGATGACGAGTGGCTAAAATCTGTGCATCGCACTGCAGTATGCTTCATACCGCTGTGTAATTCGGAACAGAAATTGCCTTTGACGGCTCTGATGTAGACTAAATCAAAAGCAATCAATGTGGCCTCATGTGCTCACCCCTTTGCTCTTGATCCGTGACTGCTGCAAGCATTTTCCCATCCCACTCTTCGCACAGTGAACCAGAACGACGAACGTACCACCGTGAACTAGAAGTGCTCTGCACCAAAGAGACCAAATTTTGGCTCAATACCACATTCTTTTCGTCACTCAATTTTAGCCAGATAGGACCTAGACAAGCAGTCGGGCAGACGTTCTGGCAGCTTGCCTCGTACTTCTGCAAGCCTGAAATTGAGCAACAATATAACCAAGGTCAGGCACTAGAGTAGTGTCATGCGGCTTCTCTCAAAGCTGAATTCTGCCACAATGTTTCTGTCTGGACTAAATTCTGGTGCACAGTACCTGGCTACACTTCGCTGCAGCTGACTAAAATAGAGTGAAGAAAAGTGTACTGTAGAAATTGTCTCACCTAGACACAGAAGCATAGCCTTTCTGCAGAGCCTTGCCTAGCAGCAGCAGCTCCATTACACAAATGATGGTAAGTTTAGCATTCTACTGTACAGTAGAAGTATACAGTAGGACAGCCACTGCTGCTTCCAAGTACTGTAAATAGCAGACGAGTGGAAATTGACAGAATTGCAGCCATTGGGAAGGAAGATAGGTATTCATGTACTGTACAAACAGGCTTTCCTCTGAGGACACATAGTTTTGGCATGGAAACGAAGCACCTTAATTCAGTCTAGGTCATCTGCCTCTCTGGATGGACTGCAGAAGACATACAGTCAGGCGCGATAAGAGTTTCGAATGCACAGGATGTGGCTGGCTCACAGCACGACAATCCCCATGCTCTTTGTCGCCCGTGATGGTCTTTTTACAACGATCGAGTGACACTCGAAATAAGCCTCGAAAGTAGGAAGACGAGTTCAATTGTAATATCGTACAGTCCGCAATAGGATCAAGATAGAGGGTCATGTTCACACAAGTACTGTACACAAGGCCCTGTACGTGCTCTTGTCTCGATACTGTACTGTATGTATACAGTAGCAGCTCGAGTTCAAGGTGAGTGTTTCGCAGGTTGCTACAGGACAGTACTGTATGATTCCTGACAGCTTGTTTACGTTCCTGACAGAGGGAGCTCCAATGCGCCAAATCTCAAGCGAGAATGGCACTGCCTTGCTGCCAGGCTTGACTGTGCACTCTGCCGCAATCGCAAGTCGTTCGGGACTCCATATAGTCCGACTTGGTACCATTGCACCCGCTACGCCACTGCGCCACAGTCTGACTGGTTCTCAGAAACGATGTGAGACTCTGGCTATAGCTGCAGTATGCTGCACTCGTGCCTGATCATACCTACTGTACTGCATACTGTACTGTACAGTACAGTAGTGCTGAGACGTACAACACAGTAGAGCAGAATGTGGTTTTGCTTCAAGGTTAGTATTGCCGGAACGGGACGCAGGCCGTCAGTGTCCTTTCTAGGCTGCCAAATTGGGCTGACTCGACCAGAAGTGAGCCACAAAACAGGGTGGGTCAGATGATGCGAATACAAGCTCTTGATCCGTCCACTCCAGTACAGACTCTCTGGTGCAGAGCGCAATGTTCATCACAGCAGGCATGCTGTACAGTATCGTAATTTGGCAGGCCGTTTACGTATGAGACGTCTGAGGTAGACTAACGCTGAATCAATTTGCAACGACAATGATGAACACCAACGAGACGACATACAGGAACGATTTTCTACAAAACATTTACCAAAGGTCCGCACCGTAGAAAGCGGATGCAGGGGGCGCTTTCCGTCTTCTTTGTCTAAGCGTACTCCGTCTTAGTCAATACCGCGTGACTGTCCCCGTTTGCTCCCTTCTTTCCAGCCAGGTCTTCCTCAGAAGTCGCTTGACCCACGGAAGAGCTTTGATGAGCCTTGCTTGGGGCGGCTGCAGCCGAAATGTCCGTGACGGCCTCGGCGGTGGTTGCAGCGGCAGCAGATTCGAACGACGCTCCCTTCTTCTCGGGACCAACAGCAGCAGTGAGGGCGAGGCCGACGGCGATGATTGCAGTGGCAATGCCCATGACAGGACCATAAGCCGCGACGACTCGACCAGTGTGGTTGCGGATGGTGTGACTGTCCGAGAGGGCGTTGATGATTTGCGTTGACGGAGCAGAGATCGCATTGCCCAATTGGTAGGTCAGGCCAACGAAGATAGCACGGAATGCCGGTGGAGAGATCTCGGAGAGGTAGACGGGCACCACACCCCAAGCGCCCTGAACGAAGAACTGAAGCATGAAGCCGCCGCCCTCGAGACCGCTTTCGGTCTCGGGCAAGATCCAGGCGGGAATCAAGCAGCAAACCATGAAGCAGGCAATGATCATGGCCCGACGACGTCCAAGCCATTGACTGAAGTAACCTACGAAGGTGCCTCCGACGACAGCGCCTGTCTTCATGAGAATAGATGCGCGTGAGGCTGCGGCGTTGTTGAGCTCTTTACCGACTAGCATAAAGGTGGTGTAGCTATCTTGAGAGGTGTGGGAGAACCAGTTGAACCAACTCATGAGGATGATCGAGTACACACAGACTTTCCACTCGAGCTTGAGCATCTTGCCGAAGTTCTTGGCGAACTGAGCCGTACTGGACCCCTTGCTGTTCTGCCTGGCTTCGATGAATTGCTTCGATTCTGGGAAGATAAGTCGCGCGAAGCCAGCAGCGAAGGACATCGCTGCACCAACCCAGAACATGATCGGCCATGAGCTTGTCGCACCGCCGACGCCCAGATTGGTGCAGGCGGCTAGTACGTAACCAAAACTGTACCCCTGTTGGAAGATGCCAGACATGAGACCACGGGCCTCAACTGGAATGTTCTCCAGAGCCATGCCTGCGGCAGCTCCGCTGCGACGGATAGGAAGAGGCACATGAAGGAATCAGTCACCGCAGAAAAGTTGACGTTACAGATTTTCGAGTTCATACTCACTAGACACCTCCCATTCCAAGACCAAAGAGAGCACGAATGGCTAAGAAGGTGTTCCAACTGGGCGCATAGATGGATCCGACCTGAAGAGCACCAAGGATCCACATGTTGACGGTGAGAGGGTATTTGCGACCGAAGTAGTCCGAAAAGATTCCAAAGATCGCCGCTCCCACAGATCTCAGGAGCAGTGTTAGAGTAACTGCGGTGGAGATCTCAGTCCTGGAGATTCCAAAATGTTGGGAGAGCTTGACAGTCTGGATTGACAGTGCATGGAAATCGAAAGCATCGGCTGTCCAGCAAAAGAAGCCAATGAGATAAGCACCCCAACCGAGCATCGAAATACTTCGAAGAAGTCGGATAGGATTAGGGGGCGTCGAGGGAGTCTCGAAGGTAACGTGCTCATTACCCTGTTCATCTACAGTGACGGTGCGTTGACGCCAGCGGAACAGATCTCGTACAGATACCTGAGCATCTTTGATCATACCCATGATGATATCGGGCAAAAGTTTGGAACGAGGTAGGGTAGGTAGCTTGTCCAGGGCAGTTGTGGCCGCAAAAAAAGGGGGAAAGGTGAATTGGTGTTGAGGTAGGCAAGCGGCAAGGGAAGGATGCAGGTGAGTTGTTGCGTGGTGCTTGGGATCCAGAGCGTCTGGGGCCCCGGGCTATATAGCTTTTCAAGGCGAACAGGTCCCGCTACCGGCCGTGAGTTTCGGCTGATTATGGCGGCGCCAGTTGCTCTGATCGATATCGCGAACTGCTCCGGCACTCCCCTTTCTTCTTGTCCTGACTTTGCTTACTGTCCTCCTGTGCCCATGCCGTTGTGCAGACCGAACGAGACCGGGGTGCATCATGTTGGGGCGCAGGCACGCTTACTGTCAGGGCTATCGTATCTGCAGTGCGCTGTACGTGCGAGGCATCAATGTCTGCCCGATTTCATCCGGTTGGAGTTCGAGAGGAGAGGAAGCCCCGTCCTCAGCTACACAGCCAGCCAGGTGCCGCATGAACATTAGGCATGTGGCGCCAGTGGAGGAGGCTTCAATATTGGGGAAGGCAGCTGTATAGCGCAAACAACGATGGGGCCGCCGTCTTGAAGCTCGGGAAGCTGCTCTCGAACGCTACGGGACGCCTCGTAAGTGCGGGGCCCCTGGGCAAGATTCACTGGGCCAGGACAGGTGCAGGTGGCGTCGCTGCCAAGCCAGGAGCGGACCTTGAGATCTTCCTGCCACCTCGGGCAGTGGCCAAGTGGCACAGCCAGCAGACGCGACTCCCCACAATCCCCGCCGCTCTCTACAGCCCAAAATTAGCCCCGCGAGCCTTGGCGAATCATAATCTGTGAGCGCTGCACCAAAGCCTACCCGTTGCCTTCCGAGACACTGCTGGTCTGCCATGGCTTGCGATCAGAAGGTCTCGTTAAGACAATGGCTCCGCTCAGTCTTGGCAACGCACTAAAGTTGGGGCTCCCTGAAGTCTTCACGCCGTGTGGCAGCGTTTGGGTAAAGGTGACATGCACCTGATCGCGGAGAAGAAGCAATGCAACGCAGGAACATTCAGCCGGCAGTGAGCGAATGCCTACTTCGCTTACATCAAGAAGGGAAAGGCAGCGGCAATAGCCGATCATGAGAGTGGGGTGCACCCAGGACCGCACGGCTCCGACTCCAAAGGGTCACCTCAGCTATGTGCGGACGCCATAGCCTTCTTTGCTTGGCAGATATCTTGCCGTGCACTCGTAAGGGACACTCACCACGCTTGCCGAGGTCAGGTCACAGCAATCGGGGGCTCTTGTCTTCACTGATCGGCAGGGCTTCGGGCCAAGATCTCGTGTAGTGGGAGTCTCAATCGGGTCACAGGACTCGTCCTAAGGTCTCAAAGTGAAGAGTTTCGCGGGGCTCCGAGCGGAGAACCATCAAGTAGAGTGGGCAAAGCATTGTGAACAGACGGGGAACGACCTGGGCTTGGCTGCACGTTTCTCACGGCTTTTGCTCGTTCGGCATTAGATTCCTTCGGGAGCACATCTCAGCGGGGAGCCCCGCAAGGATCCAGGCCCTCCGTCGGTCAATCCTTGCTCTCGGGAGGAAGGAGGCAGGATAGGGACCTGGGATTGAAGCCCTGGCGCACTGTGCATACGGACGGCATTTGGCACGATAGGAGCCGGGGGAGCCCGGGCCGGGTATAATCGCTGTAGACTCCCTCTCTGGCCTTCCATGCGGGTTCTGCCCCAATAATTGCTCGTGAGCAACGCTGCCACTTGCTCAGCGCCCTCAGGCAGGGTAGCAGGGATCCAGTTCTTGCCATCCCCAAGCACAAGTCAAGAGGGAGGTGTGACTTGTTAACGGAAGAGTATTCTGTTGATCGAGCGCGCAGTAGTCCAAGGATGTACACTTTCCGGAGCTCAGCTCGCCTTCTGCAGGCCCACGGCCGTGTGTGGACACTGCAGTCATAGAACCTGTCCTCGACGTCGCTTCTCGATGATGCTGATGAAGATGTTCCGTTTGACTGGTTTCTTGCCGTCTCGTCGGCACTCAGCCAACTTACGTCATCACGTCCACACAGTATCGGAACACAGCCAATAGCAACAGAGCCTCGATAGCAACACCTGGGGTATTTCAAGGGTATCAGGGTATCAGAGTAACAAGAGGGCAATCCATGCCTGCATGATTTGGCGGTGAGCTCTTGCAAAAGTAGACCAAGCTCAAATCGAAGGCAGACCTCTGGAAAGGACGAAAGGAAGCTCGGTCAGTAAGAAGTTGCCTCACGCCGGGGTGATCCTGCCGTAAAGTCACACATCTGACCACTCAACTGAGCACCGGGTTGTGGCATAAGTCTGCGAGCTCGTAATGCGAGTTGGAGCTGAGGTTGTGCTGATAGTGAAGCTCAAGCATACAACGGGTGTGACGCTTGATTGTTCGGCCGTAGTGCTCGTGAACTTTAGTACTGCCTCGGCACTCGCGCTGGTAGTCTTATTGGTGGTCGTTGCGGTGCTCGCTACTGCGCGGCCGGAGTGTCTCTGGTGGCCCGCATGATTCTTGGGAAGTGAAGTCTCGGTGAGGAATCCGTTGTGACGGGCCTATTGCTCTTGACGCTACTGCTGTTACGGCTTTTAGACACCCTCTTCTTTGAAGGCGACCTCTGATGGAGCTGCTCTATATGTCAGAGATTTCGAGCTACCGGCTCGGATTCGATTTAATTAGCTACATCCTTATTCGGTCGCTGATTGGGCGCAGCACTCGTGGCGGCAGCCAGTAGAAGCATAACGGATAGTGAGACGTTGAGGCATTGCAAGTTGCACAGAGCAAGGTAGCGTAAAGTGGCGTACAAAAGGGAGAGGTGAAATACTGTGTGGAAGGGCAACGTCTGCTGAAGCTGTACACCGACAAGGTAGAATATGCAGGCAGTCGTAGCCCTCCGTCTTTGCGACCACAGCTTTTTCTTTGCGTTGGCCGCCACAAAGACCATGTCTCAGTGCCTGAAAAATCACTGTCAGTGACAGGCTCGCTCGCAGGTGGACATGTCAGACTTCAACAAATCTTTTTGAGGTGGCGAGGTCCGATGAGACCCATGTGCACTCGCATCGGTCTTCAGCTGTACGATGCGATACATGGCTCCTATATTGCCCTGAACAAGGGGCTTGTTGGTCAGAGCCGTGCAACAGATGACGAAGCACTGCTGGAGCCTGCCACGGGCGTGGACAGCGAAAGTGCTACACGGAACGGCGGGCATATGGTCGTCGGCCAAGGACTACTCCACCTGAAGTCAAGGGCAATTTGTGCAAGGGAAGGCTGACTAGACAATGGTCATGGTATGGGGACCATCGGTGGTCTTCGGCAGATTCGGCGCGCCATGGCGACGGAGGCGTTGAGCAGCTGCCCTCGGATGGCGGCCTGCCTGCTCTGAAACACACGCAGGCGGATGGCTGCAGTGGCGCGCGTCGGGCGAGGCTGAGCCATCCACTCACGCACCTTTGGAAAGTAGGAGTCAAGGGTCGCCCTTTCCGCATCCTCGTCCGGCGGTTCCATCTCAATCCTTCCCGCCTCAACCCTTCTCGCAAAGGCTCGCTCCCTCACTGTTGCTCCCAGGCAACCTCGGCAGATCTTGTTTCTTGCGCAGACCTTGTGCACAGGTAGCTTCACTTTCTTGGTGGGCAACTCTGACCAATTCTTGAGCTTGCAAAGGCAGATAGAGGAGTCATGGTAGGCGTCTCTCGGAGCATGTCAGCCATCCCGCCGGAGGAGCTGCCCATCCTTGAGTCGCTCATCAACATTAGAAACCGCCTCACGGCTCTCAAGAAGAACTCCTCTGATTACATCCGGGCTCAAGATGTCCAAAATCTGTATCAAGCGGTGATCAAGCAAGTGTCCAAGCTAAACAACATAAGAGATGAAAGAGATTCGAACGAAGGCATACGCCAGGCTCCGTCCTCCGCTTCTGGAGCGGCAGGAGACGTACAGGACCCTCTTTCTCCTTCGGCAAAGGCATCATCTTCTTCCGCTGCCACTAGTACGAATCCCCTTCGGCCCGAAGTTGAACCGTCTGCGATTCAAACCAACAGGGTAGACACGACGCTTCAGGATGTCTTCAGTTTACTCAGCCTCTTCTTTCTCACCATCGGCAAGAGCAGAGAGACGCCAGCAACCTTCAGTCAGCTCGGCAGTATGAAGCAACTACTTGATCATCTCGCCGAATCAGGAATCTATACCGAGACTGATCTCCAGCCTTTCGCAAAGCGATTGTCGGAGCTCCGAGAGATCATTCGAAGGGACACAGAACAAGGCAAGCATCCCACGCAGCTGACTAAGCTTATGATGCGTAAACTGGAAGGTTGCGAGAAAGTCCTTCAGCAGTTGCAAGGTACTTTGTCGGTACTCTCCGTCGAGCTTGTGCCTATCCATCAAAAGCTGGTCTCGATCAGAAGGCAGATAGCAGCCGCTGCTGCCAAGCTGAAGCCAGCGCGAGGAGAAATTCGTAAATTACAGGACGAGCTCCGAGCCATCGACTCGAAGAGGGTTGACGGAAAGTTCTTGGGACCAGGAGGTTCTTCGGTACCCGCAGGTCAGGCTATCTTGGTCGGTCTCCTCGAGGAGTGCTTCGAGATCTGCCACGACGCAATCATCCGCAACGATGAAGTTCCAATGACTCTCCAACCCATCTACGATCGACTGACCGAGATCAAATCGCAGCTCGAGCATCTCGTCTTGACGCACCGATGGACCCTGCGCGAAACCGACCTCTGGAATTACCAAGTGACTCTCAAGGAGATTGACCGCTTGAGGGTCGATGGCAAATTTGTTGATGCAGAGGGAAAACAACCGGAGGGTCAGCTTGTGAGTCAGCTGAGACGAGCGCTGAGCGGAAGGTGGGAAACGTATGCCTGACGTGCCTCTTTTCTTCCTGCGACAGGTCCTGCTATATCTATTGAGGCGGTGCTATGGCCTCGTATATCGTCTCGTGGCGAGCAGCGAGCCAATCAGCGAGGAGTTGATGCCTATCTCGAACAAGCTGTGAGTATCGGAAATCTATGTCTGCCCGGGGGGATGTTTCGCATCTGACCTCCTATCCACTACATGTCAGATCAACGGTGTCGAAATGTTTGAAGGAGGTGTCCAAATACGGCGGCCCATTTACGATGCGTGACCTTTACCCCTATCGTCTGGCGCTACATCAAATCGACAATATGAAGTCTCCGGTCCTCGATAAAGATGGCAACGACACCGGCGTAAAGAAGTGGCTGGGGAGGGATGGCTCTGTACCAGAAGGGCAAGCAATCCTCAGAGCTCAGTTCGAAGAGGTTGAGCAAACTATCAACGAGAGTAAGTACAAAGATTGAGAATAAGACGAAGTACCTATAGCTGAAGCTCTGACTTGTACCCTCACAGTGCTCAATCGTGAGGAAGACTCTGACGATGAAGAGGAGGATTACAATGGCGCAGTGTCCGATGAAGATTGGCAGTCTGGTGATTCGGGCTCATTTTCGGATGAAGCTGAGGACTCTGCCTCTGGGTCGGAGGCGGCTGCTAGCGGCTTTCCATCCCGAGATCTCTCCCTTCCCGGTAGCCCGACAGGCATGGAAACCGGCCCCCATGCGACTTTGAGTATCGCCAGCGCCTTGCAGGGAGTCGGGCGCGGGCCGCCAACACCAGCCAGCCCAGCTACGGGCTCTCCCAACCTGCTCAGACCTGAGAGTGGCACAGCCAGTATCGCGGCCCTGGACATGCCACCTTCCGTCACAGCACCCACCTCTGCCGCCCTACTGAATGCCTCTGACCCACTCCCTCCGGGAGCTGCAACTCTGGCGGTCCCGACACCTGCTCAAAGTTCCTTGACCGCTGCTGCCGTCTCCTTGGAAGCGATGAACTCTGCCAACCCGCCTGTGGGCGGATCGCCTTCGCCTCTACCTACACGCGATTCCACACTAGGCAGTCACGTGCTCCCTCCAACGGCGCCTGCCACAGCTGCTTCAGGATCAGCGTCGCCGAGCAAAAGCACAGAGTCCGCCACTTCGGGATCGATGGTTGCGTCTGCGAGTGCAATAGCGGTCGAGCCAGCACCTCATGCTCATGAAGGGCTCCCTACACAGACTCCAGTCTGCCATCATTCTGCAGACGGCATCGAATTTGGATCATCGCCCGGTTCGATCGACATGGCAAACAAAGAGGACATCGCCCAGCAGTTAAAGGCGAAGTTGGCATTGGAGGAATCATGATCCGACAGACAGATGAGGAGGTTGATTGGCGGCGAGGCTCACATTCCGGGCTTCTGATGTCTTCCAGACTGTACTATCATTCTTTCATCCATGCATCACCTCTCGTTGTAAAAGCAAGACTCTGTTATCTGCAGTGCGAAACGGTTCTCACAGAAAGATGTATCTTGTGCGAGAAAAGTATTCAGCATCGCAAGAATGCGGCGCGCCTCCGCTTAGTGCTACAATGAGCCGGACAGTACTGCCGGCGTGAGAGTAGGGGTGCCCACCTTGCTCGCTTGCCCGTCCCCAGTTCCGGCAGCAGCAGCGGCGGGTGGCCTCCAATTGAATCTCTTTCCCGCTTCGTATAGGTCCTCCATCACATCCTCCAGCCTTCCATCCCTCTGGAAAGTCTCGTAGATTCTGTAGAGGTGCAAGGCCGCACGGGCATCCTCTATCGAGTCGTGTCCGTGTACAACTCCCGTTCCGCCTGCTTCACCCGTCTTTTCTGCGCCAGTACCCTGGATGTCTTCCTTGAGAAGGAACCAACTGAGGAACCGCAAGGAAAGCTTGCGCGCTTGGAGTGCTGATGAGTACAAGTCGACGGTGTCGATGACCTGCTTGGGAGGCACGTGGATGTTAATGATTCTGAAGTCTTTCTTGAGTCCATGGCCGATGAAGACGCATCCCAAGTCCACGAGCAATCTCAGCTTCTTGTACGCTAGCTTCTGCGGAATCACGGTATGTCTCGACTTGGCCGGGTCCAGGTCTCCATCGATGATGCCCGAGAACTGAGTGAGGTAGTCGAAGATCCTCTCCCGAGTGACGATGTGGTCATCGATGAACGGCTCGCACTCACTGGCCCCTTGACCGCGCAACACCGACACGCGGGCCAGAGACATCGTTGTCGGTCTGATCAGCGATCGGGTACCGGACGAAGACAGCTCTAGCTCTTCGGGGTTGAGAGCCACGAATTCGGCATCGATCGCTACCAGGTCGCCAGGGGAAGGAATCTCGTCGGTAGTCAACACTCGATGACGAATACTCTCTGGATCACGATGTAGTGAGACATTGAGGTCCTCGGTGAGCACCGGCAAATCCTTTTCCCAGGGGATCGAGGCGATGTCGATGACTTGCGTGTCCACTCGCTCGTAGAAGACCACAGCAGGAATGCGCCATGTCGCTGCCGGGAAGCTTAAAGCCTCCGCTTCCGAGATCGGCCGCACTAGGAAGTCGTTGTACAGATACCAAGTGGCAGACTCTGATGTTTGGCCGGCACCTGAGTGAGTCTCTGGCACTGTGGGTCGAAAGGATGGCAAAGTCAGTGAGTCTACGTGGAAGAACACTTCGCGCCGAGCGTGCTCACCTCGTGCAACCGAGACTAGATGCGCCGCTTCCTTAGGCGCCTGGATCTGTGTCACCATCGACTGTTGCATCAGGAAAGCACAAATGTCAGCTGGAGACGGTCACCAATGCTCACTGCGGTTTCCTGTGTACCAACCTTGAGCTGATAGATTGCCGAACCTTCAGGAGCTTGTGCGCCCTCCCGCAGTTCCATTATCAATGGCTGCCCTCCGTCGACATCCGCAGACTTGATGCTCAGCATTAGAGGCAGGTACGTCTTTCTCTCCTTGTTTTTGCCGCTCCCAATGGGCTTGTCAATCCAGAGGCTCATCTGGTCCTCTGTGATGATGTTGGCGTTGACGCTCAGCACTTGAGGCAGTTTGCTCGTCGCGACCAGCTGTCTCCGTGTGCGGATGCTGGCCCCGGTACTACTGCAGAATTTGCACGTGGTCTTTGTGACGCTCTCCCTCACTAGCGATGCCTTGAGCACCGAGGCAAAGTCGGAAGGAATGACTGGCTCATTGGACAGCGACTTGCGTGGGTAGACGAGGTCGATGACCAGGGCTTTGGAGGGTCTTGATACCACTTGTCCGCAGGAAAGACAGACCGAATCGACGCGAGTGGTGGGCGCGAGAGCATCTTCCATCAGACTGGGCGAGACAGGGTGATGTGCACCGTCGACTTGTGATGCTACTGCCATTTCGGCCCATGATGAGGCTGCACAATCCAGCAAGAAACGGTTGACAGTCTGGATCAGGTTCGCATAAGCCACATCCGAGATTTGCGACGAGGATGAGGACAGAGCGTCGTGATCCATGAGACCTAGAGAGACAGCTAGAGGATCACCGGCCGAAAGAGAGAATCAGCAACCCGTACTCAATGTATTGTTCTCATCGCTACGGTGAGCGCTTACCCTTTCCACTCTTAGCGAAAGCCCGCAAGAGATTTGTCGCTTGGCAATTGGAGCCGTTTGCATCCCGTAGCATCATGAAGAGGAAAGATAGCTCGCAGAGGAGGCAGTCGTCTCTTCCGCATCTTGCTTTTCCACCAGACAGGGTGTGAATCTCTGCGAGCGATCGCAACACCGGGAGGTGGTAAAGACATTGCAGCAATGAGTTGAGATAGCAATTAGCGATGTGTGTCTCCAGACCGGACTGATTGGTCTTGTTGTAGAATCTGCAAAGAGGAAAAGTCTCAGAAAGCCGACCTAGCCTCGGAGGACCTCGCGACGGTGACTCACTCGAAATCGAAATCCTCTACCCCGAACTTGCTGTACACAATATCTTTCTTCCGCCAGTACTGCGGTGGCCCTCCTCCAAGCTCTTCGACGGCTTCCTCCTCAGCCTCTCCATCTGCCAAGCCGCCTTGGTTGCGCTGCTGCGCCTTGATCTTCTCGCTGCGAAACATGGGCGTGCGCAGACCCAAAACTCGTGACTCGCCGCGCGCTGCAGATCCGGATCCTGCTTGTAAAGCCGAGCCTCTGCCAGGAGGAGGTGGGAAGCCTTTGCCGGTCACTTTCGCGACATTTCGTTTGCCACGCAGATGCCGGGGCAGAGGACCAAAGTGGAGGCCATCTACAGCTCGTACCGAGCTGAGGACGCCAGGGTCGACCTTAGGCGGGAAAGGGTTGAAGAGCGGGGAGCTTTGGGCGGCATAGTGCTCAAAGGGAAGAACGGAGAGAAGCGGCGCATCGTAATGTGGGAGTCCTATCGAGGACAGAGAAGTTTCTGCTGTCCAATCGATCGCCTTCCTCGTTTCTGCCTCAGCTGGCAGCTCTAGAGGCTGCGAGCTATACGAATTGAACTTCGGAGCGCTACTGATAGTCTCTGGATGGTTGAGAGCAGCAGCAGCCTCTGACGTGGACCACAGCCTGACGCTACCGTCTCCTTCACCGAATGCAATATACTCCGCTGAAGGAGCTATACTGAGAGACTTGAGCGTAGAGTTGGAGCCTGCCGTATTCATCTGGTAGAAGCTGGCTTCTCCAGGGTTGTTCATGTCGACGATCTGCCATGCTCCTGTCGGCGCTGCGACTACGACCGTGGAGCTGAGCCGAGGGTGAATGTCAAGTAGCGCAGGGCCTCCTGGGGCGGCAAAGGGTATCGGGACCATTGCTCGCATTGACCGCAGGTCATGAACTACAAGGAGACACGTATATCAGTGTGCCGACTCCAATATGCTTCAACACTTTAGTGCAACCAGCTCCTCACCTTTGATCAGTGGCTCAGGCACTGGGTGGCCGAGTCTCATGGTCCATCCCACACTCCACACCAGACTCCCCTCGCTCTTCATATCTATCACACCTCCAGGATGAGCATGCAGTCTATGCTGAATCTCCAGAGTCCTCGGATCTCTGCATTGGATATGGCCTCCAGGCGTAGAGCTGAGCAGGTACTTTTGCGATTTCCTGACTTGCAGGATAGGTCCTGCTGCGCTAGATTTCCTCGTCACTTGACCACCCACGTGCTTGTTGATGCTGAACACCTGTTGATCTCGCTCCAAGGAGGAGGATCCGGCGACAACGAGTTCCGAGGTGGAGTGAGCCGGAGAAGCGCATATGCTGCCAAGGGATAGGGAAGGATGACCCATGGCGGCCACGTCCTGGCTCCATTTGGCCAGCCCCTTTCGGCTGGCACAGTGTATGCCTCCCGGAGTAACAGAATAGACGAAGCCAGAATCATTGTAGATTTCAGCTATACCACTACGGACATTCGAATGATGTGATTGCGACAGGCTGGGAGCCTTTTTCCAACTCGTTTGTAGCCTTCGCTGCCCAACAGGTGCGTCATCGTCTCCGGCGGCCTTCGAGGCAGCAACAGTCTGCCGGACATCTGCCCTCCAGGCGGTATATCTCCCCAGTGCAGGTCCGTACCAGCTGTTGACGCCTCCATTGGAGTTCCCAGTAAGCAGAAGTTCAGCAGAGGTATCGAAAGCAACGACGTTGACCGCCGGCGAGGGAGGCGGAAGCGCTCCGAGGTAGGCGGGAGGTTGCGGAGGAGGAACAGCAAGGATGTGAGCGATCTCGTGCCATGATGAGGACGACATGGCGTCTCGGGCACGAGGTGAGGAGCGACGTCTGCCCTTCTATGCCTCCAGACGACTGAGGTCTACGGCAAGGGGAAGGGTCTGAGGGGCTCACTTTGAGGACAGCAATGGTATGATGGGAGAGTGGCCTATAATCTTCGGGGAATTGAGGCGGAAGCAGCCAGACGCGACGAGGCAGGTGATCCATGCGGGGCGCAACAGCCACGCGAGACGAGGCGAAGGAAGGCACGGCAAGGCTAGCGATGACACTTGTACTCTTTCGTGCACGAAACGAAACGAAGAAGTAGATACGGGACAGGACAAGACGAGACATTGCGAGTCCAACTGAAACGACCAGAGCTTCGACAGTATCCTTTTCTTTTCTTGGTCACCCCCTGAGAATGGCACGCCAATGTTGTTCCCCACTTTACTCCTTGGGCATCTCCGCAACCCAGTCGCGGTTGGCCATGGCGTTCTTCACGATGGGTCCCTCCGATGGCGTCTTGAGGCCGGCAACAAAAGCATCCCTCTCCAACAATCGGTCTACCCACTTGTTGACGCTGTCAGGCACCTCGCTGCGAGGGATACCGGCGAATCCATGAGAGAAGACCCAGCCTCCGGCTCGGATGTCGGCCAGAGTGAATTTGCCTCGACCCTCTCCGACGAGGTAATCACGGTCCTTGAGACGCAGGTCCAAGACGCCATACAGTCGCTTTGTCTCATCGATGTAGCGGTTCAGAGCGTAAGGAATGTAGTTCTTCCCGCCCAGACCTTGCATGCGGAAGTGATTAGCTTGGCCTTGCATAGCTGCAATACCGCCGTGAGCAAAGAACATCCACTGCAGGACTTCGCTCCTCAGGTTGTCCGCCTGAGGGTTGCTGCTGGGCCATGACAGGACATGGTCCGGGTCGTACTTCTTTTCGAGGTAGAGCAGGATGGCCGAAGTCTCAAAGACGGCGAAATCGCCATTGTTTGGGTCGACGATGGCAGGGATGCGGCCTGGTATGACAAAGAGCGAGCAAAGTCAGAGGTGCGACTAGGACTGTACTTCTCTTATGATCTTGGACTCACCATTGGGGTCTGAAACGCAAAGCGACGCGAAAGGCAAGCACGATTGTTAGGGGTGGGCTGCCACGAAGACTTTCGGAAGCAAAGTGTGAGACGCTGTATAACTCACTGATCTTAAGGAACCAGTCTTCCTTCTGTTGGTTCTGACCGATGTTGATGGGGTGGATCTCCCACTTCAATTCCGGGTTGACCTTCTTGAGCTCCTCGAGACAGATGGGCACGGTCCAGCCATTGGGCGTTCCTGCGGTGTAGACTTGGAGAGGCTGCATGATCGATCTGGCTCTGGAAGTGGAGAAGCTGCGGAAGAGAGACGGAGTCGAGGAACGTAGCGATGGAAGGATCATCGAGTGGTGTGGAGGACAAGGAGGTCCAGCTCGCCAACGTAGACTATTTGATTCGCTTCAGCCCTCCGCGCGTCAGAAGCGGGGCCCTGGTAATCTTCGGCTGTCAGAAGGGTCTGAGACAAGCCATAAAAGTGGAGGATTTAGTCCGAGCCGAGGCGCCCACGACGGTCGGGTCATTACGCTCTGTGGAGAGCAGCGACTAGCGCCATGCTGATTGATCGTCAGTACGACTTGAGTTCCGGCCAAGTCGATTGCAGTTGAGCAGAGCGCCGTATAGGACCTTCTAGGAGGAGTGAGCATCAGGAAGCCTCTATGGCGGTGTGCTGCACTGGGCTGCCAAGGTGCATCCTCGCCTCCGTTGCCGAGGGACCAATGCCGATGCCCGTGCGCCGGCGGAGAAGACGAAGTGGAATCAGAGGCAGCTACGCCTCTGCTTCCGTCGAGGCGACTGGTAGGACACCATGGCAGACCCAACCGGCGAAGATCGCCAGGCGCAGCCAACGCTTGACGACCAGCGCCATACGACTGCCGAGGTCTTGTCTTCCTCACCATCCTCAGCGACAGCTCTCCCGCCCACCATTCCTCCTCGTCCAGTCATCGATGTATCGCAGAGCGCAGCTGTCGCCCCTGTCGCCGCCCCCTTCGCACATCCTTCACCTTCTCTCCTGACTGTCCAATCGCCCTCATCTTCGATAACGACCGCCACAACCTCATCGACTCTTGAAAATGGTGGTTCGGCCACCACGTCCGCTACTCTCGCTGCCCCCAGGCTGAGCTATGTTCCACGAACTCCGCGCTCCCCGTCCGCGATGAGCTCGACAGGCAGCAAAGATCGAATCAGCAGCGCTCAGCAGACACTGCCAATAGCGCAGACACAGGCTCACCAGTCGGATCTACCACGATTGCCATTGCAAGATCCGTCGCCCGCAAGACAAGACTCGTCTGTAGCAAACGCGCCTCCTTCAACCTCGGGTCGACTCACCCAGTTGCTCGAGCGATGTCAGCAGCTTGGCCTGGGCCCTGAAGCGCCAGGATACGCGCTGGTCAAGAAACTAGCAGAAGCTACTGAGCCAGAATGGAGGGAGCTCACTGCACTCCTGGCTCACGGACAGGCTACGCTTCTGTTGCCCGTACAAGCCAAGTCTTCATCGTCTTCATTCCTCAAAGAAAGAGATGGTGCTGTACATGCCCCTCCTTCCCTGGGATTCGCGCAGGATCACATATTGTTGAGCCCATCCTCCTGCCCTGATCTATCATCAGACCCACCGGACAAAGGTCTTGTGACACTCTCAGGGCTGCGAGGATGCCTCGAAATTACCGACAGGCGTGGCTCACCTCGCCCTACACAACTGGAAGATCCCGAGGACGCCACCGTGCCACCGAGTCTATTCATCAAGAGCTTCATCAATCGCTCAGACCGAGATTGGATTCAGCAGTTGAAGACTGTGTCCGAACGAAGGTAAGTACTGCTCTGTCGTTCCAGGCTGCTACTTTTCCCTCCTGACTGACTTCAATCGTACCGATCGCAGACATCTGTTCTCCTCCCTGGCGCCTCTTCCTACCGCATGCTGCTCTGACTATCCTTACCCCAACTATACCATCCTGTGCGAGTCAAAGCTCGACTTCCCTCCACCTACTCAGCCATCAATCCACAAGCGCACGAGCTCGGGAGCAGCAACAACCAGCATCATCGCTCCCAACCTTGGCCTCGAAAGCTCGAGTCCCAATCGGAGCTCATCTTCGTCTGGCGCCTTTGCGCAACTCTTTGGTGGCGGTGGCAGAGGCTACCGCAAGGGCCTGCCCCCATCTACTCATGATCAGACATCGGATGCTACACAGAGTCCTGCGATCACAGGAGAGGGATCATCGGGTGCGAAAGTGCAGATTTGGGTGATTGACAGACCTCTACGCAGGTCCCGAGCGGTGCGGGGTATGACGTACTCAGTACAAGCTCGTCTCCGCACTCAGCTTGAGCGCGAGGCCGGCATTCGCTCTGACATTGGCGAGGTCATTGGCTCCTTCGCAGGAGCCTTCTATCCTCCTGTTGAATCGTCCAGTCGCTCTACTGAGTTGCCCTCTCGCAGAGGAGTTCAGATCGGTAGTGGAAGGCTGCAGCTGCCGCGAACACCTCATTCCCCCATCACGCCCAAGGAATGGCAGACCATGGCTATGTTCTCTGCCAGCCCGGAAGAGGTAACGGCTAGTTACCAGGATGTCCTTGCTTCGGTGCATTCGCAACTGCGAATAGATTCCGATACGGCTGGGGAAGAGTCGCAAGAGGAGAAGGTTCTCGAGCAGATGGAAGTCGTGGAACGCCTTCTGGTGGAGGAAGTGTACGATCGGTGAGTGAGAGCCATCCATGCACCTAATATTGACGCCTATGCTGAAGCAACGCATACGATAGACTTCTATGCCCTCCACAGTCTTCGGATCATCAGGCCGACGAAAATCTGGCCTCTAGAATCGCAGCTCTGAATATTTTAGGGCTAGATTGGGAAGGCCTGGGTCTCAACTTACCCCCACAAGAGAAAACGTTTCAAACTGTGGCTGGAGATCAAGCTCAAAATGAGCCTCAAGAGGCTTCTCCAGTTAGAGATGGTCTTCAGAAGATAATGGACGACTGTCGTGAAGAGCTCGTGCAACTTCACCAGCGCGATCGGATGGCTCCACGCCGGAAGCTTGAGGTGCTAGTCGGTATTCATCGTATCATCGTTGATGGTCTGAGCAAGCTACCTCGTATCACCCTTCAAGACAACGAAGTCGACGATCGTGAAGACGGCGTTCAAGCCAAAGACAGCGGAAGTGGTATTGAGGCACGAGATTCGCTGGCTCAATCTGGAATGGCTCAAAAAGGGGGCAATACGTCTTCCGCCGACCTGATCTTGCCACTCCTCATCCGACTCATCGTTCTGGCAAACCCAACCGGGCTTGCTTCCCAGCTGATGTACATACAGCGTTACCGATACGATGCTCTGCTCCAGAATGGAGAGGCTGCTTATTGTCTCATCAACTTCCAGGCAGCCATACAATTCATTGAGAATGCTAAACCATCGGAGCTGGGCCTGGAAGACAGTACACTGCCCTCCTTCTCTCAGCAGCTTGGACAAAGTGGCGCAGGAGAGCGCAATGAAAAGAGCGCTGCAATTGAGATGTTGCGAAGCGTAAAAAGGGGCGAGTCTGAGAATTCAAATGACAGTAGGACCGCCACACCTCTGCCGATCGGGGGAAGGCTCAAGGGCCTAACAGGAGGTCAGTATTGCTATGCAACTCTCAATCACTGGTTCCGATCCCTCTGACCATCTCTTCTCCTTCCCCACAGTGGTCAACTCGTCTTTCTCCGTTCTTGGTCGGGTGATTGGCTCTGGAGCATCAGCAGGAATGGACGCCTGGGACCGCTCTTCGAAGAATCTAGAGTCCGCCCGAGCTATTGACGACATTAGGGGCCTCCTCACATCCAGCGTGACCAAGACAGCCACTGCTGGAGGGTCAGTCGTCAACAAACTAATTGAGATGGAAAGACAAGGTAATGAGGGAGAAAGGCCGGATGGCTCTCGTCCCTCAGCCTTGAGATCAGCGAGTGCCCCCAACGCATCCGATCTGCGTCGAACCTCATCTCACGAGCAAAAGTCTGCAGCGCACCTTGCGCCAAGTATCGAGTCTTCGGCGATGGAAGTGGCTTCGTCGCGAGATAGCGGCAAGCTCAGCCTCAGCGATCGACTTGCCAACCTGAACTGGAAGTTCAGCAGTGCGGTATCGACTCCCCCGGTCGAGCCCGAAGCATTGACAGAGCCTGTGAATCCTCAGAACGCCTTACTTTCTACGCTCGGTGCGTCTGCCTCTATCATACTTGACGCAGATGACGTGCCTGCACCGAGGAGCGTTGGCACCACAAACGCAACAGGCGTTGCGTCTACTGCACAACAAAGCACTGCTCCTCTGCCCTCTTCAGTGAGTAGCCACATTCATGACACTGTCTTGACCAAGTATTGCGTTACAGAGCTAATCACTCCCACTCTACCCTTTGTAGGCTGCCTCTACGGCAGATGCCTCCGAGCGTCCATTGCCAGCCTCTCTCAGGTCACCGTACCCTCCATTGTCTTTCCCGCCAACAGAAAGCAGGTCATTGCATGTCGTCCTGGCTACTTCGGGAAGCGTAGCTTCCATCAAGCTACCCCTCATTGTTGAGCGCCTCTTGAGCTACCGAAACGTTCGAGTGCAGGTCATCCCAACGAAGTCCTCGTTGCACTTCTTCGACAAAGACGAAATTGCAACGCTGAGCAGATGTGTCGCAGAAAAGCAAGGTCTGCGCAGTGCAGCAGGGGAGGAAGGATCCTATACTCTGGCCTCTCTTGCGGCTGAGAATGCCGCCGCGAGCGCAGGCAACTCGCAGGCGTCTACTTTAGCTCCTCTGGCTCATCTGTGGACCGACGAAGACGAGTGGACTTCTTGGAACAAGGTTGGCGATCCTATCCTGCATATCGAGCTGAGGAGGTGGGCCGATGTAGTCCTCGTGGCGCCGTGCAGTGCTAATACGCTGGCGAAGATTGCTGGAGGCATCTGCGACAACTTGTTGGTGAGTAGGTCTGACCCGTCAGAAGAAGTTTTGCTGGCATGCTCGCTCACTCTGACCCAATCCACTATCACCTTTTCCTCCCAGACGTCCTTCCTGCGAGCCCTCTCGTCCTCTACGCCCACGATTCTCTACCCAGCGATGAACACGCTCATGTATGCGCACCCGCTGACGGCGCGCCATCTCGACGTCGTCGAGAACATCATTGGCTACGAGGTACGGGGTCCCATCGAGAAGAGGCTCGCGTGTGGAGACTTAGGGGCGGGGGCAATGGTCGAGTGGACAGACATTGTGGAAGGGGTAGTGCAGAGGTTCGGACTAGAGGGGAGGGGAGGAGCTGTGCAGGCCGATGTGCAAGAAGAGGATGGATGGCCGGGAAGAGCTCAGAAGGAGACGGCCTAGATGAGAAGAGCGCGCCGTACGCGGCTCACACGATCTTTACTTACACTCCAATCAATCAATCACGCACGCTGTCCTGATCGCCTTCTACTGGCCGAAGATCCTCTTTGTTTCATCGCTCTTTCTATTGCCAACTTCCCCTTTCCTCGCCCTGCAGCGTCTTGACGACTTTGGCCGGGCTGCCCACTGCCACCGAAAAGTCTGGGATGTCCCTGGTGACGATGGAGCCCGCTCCAATGGTACACGCCTTGCCGATGTTGACTCCAGCTCTGTGACAGGTGAGATACGGGGGCAGAATGGGAGCGAAGAAGAGGATTGAGTCAGTGTTAGAGCGAGCCAGGACCGGGCTCTCCGCTGCTCTGGAAGGCGACAGACTCACTGGATGATCACGCCTCCGCCCACCCAGGTGTCTGCTCCGATGGACACGGGTAGCGCCCTCTCTAGCCCTGCCTGCCGCTCGGGCAAAGAGACGGTGTGCGTTCCTCCATAGATCGAGACGCTGAGAAGGGAAGTGGAAGATCCGAATGAGCATTCTCAACCACGCGGAAGTTCTCTCGCTCTGGCTCTCTCCCTGTTTCATTTGTGATGCTGCGCTTTGTGTGACTCACTTTGGGCCAAACAGAACTCCGTTGCCGATGGTGACTTCTGCGCAGTCGAGGATGACAGTGTTGAAGTTGGCATAGAAGGCGCCCTCTAGCTTGATGTTGTTGCCATAGTCGCAGAAGAAGGGAGGCTGGACACGAAGGTGTGGGAAAGGAAAGATAAGTCAGGAAATCTCTAACGAGGAGCGCTAGCTGCATGCTGCTGAGGATTTACTTCGCTCACCTCAATCTCGACGATCTTGCTCTGCTCCTCACTCAGCCCGAAGAGCTCCTTGAGGATCAGTCTCCTCTCCTCTGTGTTTACCCCAGGCACATCTGCTGCCCCATCACCCGCAGCCGAAGCTACGCTGCCTCCAGCCAGTAAGCTCTGCCCCTCTTGCAGGTCCGGCGGGTCGTAGCTGTTTGGGGCCGTCTGATTGTACTTGAGGAACAGTCTCCGCGCTCGTAGCCGTGCCCGCACCAGCGCTGGCTCGCTTGCGAGGTAGGGCAGACCAAGAAGGGACTTCTGAGTCTCGCTGAGAGAGCCCTGAGCGTCCTTGGCGTGCTCAGAGTCGACCTTGGCAAAGCGGGCGGAATTGTTGGACATGGCACAGGGAGCAAGAGGAAGTGTCGGGACAGCATGTCCAGCAAGGAAGGGAGGACTCCCAAGGAAGGACTGCCCTCCCTCGGCTGCACACAATCTCTCCGACGTCACTCGGCAAAGTCGTCTGTGGGGCTCCGCTTCCGCCTCCGCTTCGACATGCACGACAGCGAGGGCGATAAAAGGGCAGGAAGGACTGGACCAGAAGGCACCTTTGTAGCCGACCCATACCTCCCCGACGATAACGGCAGCGATATGGAGCCCTCTCTAGAGCCTCCCACTCAGCCACTCAAGGTCGGTTTCACAGCCACGCAGAGGTTTGACGCTCTAGACGCACGGTACGCCGACCGTCTGGCGGGCATGTCCATGGAGGAGCGCGGCCTACTTGGACTCCCTTACATGCCCAATGACCCGAAGCTGATGGCGCAGCGCCTGCGAGCTCGTCAGCTCGAGTACGAGTACAACCACTCGCCCCCGGGTGCTTCACCACCTTCGATCGACCGGCAGGGCAATGTGGTCGATGCGGAGGAAAGTCCCCTGCACGATGTGGCCAATCGGCAAAGGCAGCGCATCATTGGACAGCTGTTCGATCTGAGCAAGGAGATGAGCAAGCGAGTCTTCCTCGAGCCACCCTTTCACGTCGACTTTGGCTTCAACATCAAGTTCAAGGGAGACTTCTTTGCCAATGCCGGACTCTGCATCCTAGACGTCGCAGAGGTCACCATTGGGCAGGGGGTACTCTTCGGACCTGCCGTACACATCTATGCCGCAACGCACAGCGTCAGCGTGACTGAGCGGTCAGAGGGCTTCGAGAGGGCGCTTCCGGTGTCAATCGGAGACGACTGCTGGGTAGGAGGGAACAGCTGCATCATGTGAGTTCAGACGCTCGAGGCTAGCGTCCAGTGCTGCACTGCACTACAGCTCAAGTCATTGACCACGGCTCTTCGCTTCATCTCTTGTAGGGCGGGAGTGACAATCGGCCGTGGCTGTACCATTGGGGCGGGCAGCGTCGTCACAAGGGACATACCAGACTTTTCTGTTGCCCTAGGAAACCCTGCGCGAGTGGTCAAGACCCTGGACGTCACCCAGCAGGGCGACCTCACCGGGGAACGGAAGAGTACAATAGCGCTCTGAGCAATGTCATAGAAACCACTAGATGCGATACATGCAAAACGCTTACTCTGCTTAATTTGCATTACGCTGCCGAGTGATGGTATGTGCTGGACCTGGACAATGTCTGCATCTACCTCCAGTGTCAGTGCTCTTCTTCTCACATTGGGTTTGACAATCGGGGGGAAGGGGAGAACCGGACTCTCTCACTTCTCAGGTTCCGGTCCCAGAGCAAACCGGCAGAAGTCGGCTGAGACTCGGCCGGAGGTAAGACTGGTGAGCAAAGGAGGGCCTCAGCAGTGCTAGCACGATCTGAGATTCGAGGACTGTGTATCCTGTATGCTCGGCATTTCCGGCGTCATGATCAATTGTTGGGGTTGCCATCACCATCTGGGTGCTGTTCACGTACGCCAGGCACAGCTGATGTGATATACCACTTTCGACGTTTGCTAGAGCAACGACGTGAGAGGGTGCACCCCTACACGCCAGGCACCGATGGCGGGAGGCTTAGGTCAGGAGCATCGCTTGCGCCAGGGGCGAGACGAAGGGTGAAGAGTCTCCGTGCCATGCCACGTTGAGGTGCAGGGTATAAGACGCCCCCTCCCTCCCTCCCTCCCTTCCTCTATGCCTCGTCCTCCGTCTCCTCATCTCCTCACTTGTCCATCTCCTCATCTCCCGACCTGTCCATCACCTACTCTTACCAGCCACACCTTCCACAACCTCTGAGCGCTACATCACACTCTCGTCGCTGGGGACTACCAGAGCTACATGTGAGCACAGCAGGATCGCTTCCACTCGGCCGAAGACTATCCTGACCCTCACTGACGTTGCATCTCTTTTGCTACTACAGATTCACCTACGGCTAAGCGATGGGGAACTCAACTGTAAATCCCACCATCGAGTGCAACAGTCGACACCGTCTCACTCCACCTCTACGTCGGCCGACCTGTGTATGGCATGTGAGTGAGAGCAATCTACAGAGCAGGGCGCTCACTGTCGAGGAGGCATCACTGACCGTGCCCACCTTTGTTCTCTTCCGTCGACTAGACGCCATACACCCTACAGTGAGTCTGACTCGAGCTCGAGGTAAGACTTTGTGCGCGTCATCGCTGACCAGCGGTGCCTTCACCCGCCAGTACAGCCGCTATAGCACGATGGACACGGCATTCACCTTCCACATCGTCAGATGCGGACGCTGCGGGTACCTGCACCCGGGAACGCTGGCAATGTGCATACACTGTGGCAGCGATGCTGTGCACGCGATACCAACAAATCTGCTCACTGTAGCAACACCCAATGACTCCGCCCTACTCAGAGCTGCCCGCAACTCGATGCTTCAACTCAAAGTCGCTTTCCAGGACAACCCAAGTCCTGGAAATCGAGAGATCTATTTCATTTTCATTCTTCAGCTCATTCACATCCTCAAAATTGAGCGAGGTGAGCGCTGGCCTGCACAGCCTCTGAATGACTTTGAAGAGAAGATGTCAAGTGATTTGAGCCCGCAGGACATCGAGATGAGTCTATAATGCATTGGTTGCGGCAAGAGTCAGCGCCTTGGACCTCGAGGTACTCTCATGAATAGTAACTTCACGCAGATGTCTTGCAACATTCTCTCATGCGCCGATCTGCATCCTTAGCTGTAGCTGCTTAATAGCCCCAGTCCGTCCTCTTACGACTCTTCTCTTGTCTTCGATGCGACTCGAGGCTCGCACAGTGTGTCTCCACTAGGGCTTTGATAATGCAGATGCCGTAATGGAACACCTATAATTTATCTTACAATGTACCGCCAGAACATGCTCATACGATTCATTAAAGATTTTGTATCGACGTCCCCTCGCTTCATTGCTTCCTCCAGCGTGACAGAGCTACGGTCTCACACCCGAGGGGCGGAGGGGGAGTCTGATCTGACGCGCCTGCCAGGAATACCTACCTTGTCCGAAGACAGAGATTCTTCTCCACCACACTCTCTGTGTTTTGAGCTGCAACGTGTCTAGCGGCGCCCCTTTCCTCTTCTTGTAGATGTTGGTGGGGCCATGTTCGAGGAGCGTGAGTAGGTGCTGCTTTGACTCGTAGCTTCCTCTACCCGCCCTTTCTGCCAAGGACGAAAAAATCGCCTGGCTCGTTTCCACTCGTGCTGCACGGATCACCTGTGCGAAGGAGAAAGGTGCGCCTGGAGGTTGATCATGTTCCCCACCTGAAGTACCTCCCCACGTTGTGCACCTGATCTTACCGCTCTTTGTGTGTGACTGAAGGGAGGGTCATGGTGCAACGCCCTGATCTCGCAAGCACAGAGCTCCAGCAGCAGCTACTAGCTCACCGCGCTCACCCTCGCCAACGCCATCGACTGACACACCTCCTCCGCGGCCACACCTCCGACGTCAAGTCCGTTCACGCTACCGCACTCGCTCTACCCAACGGCAGCGGTACAGTCGAGCTGATCTTCAGCGTATCACGAGACTCCACTGCACGGACTTGGTTTCGTCTTGTGCCTGAAAGAGTTCAACAGCGAGAAGGAGGGGGAGGTGGTGGGGAGACCAGCAGCGCAGGGGCTCAAGCAGGCTGGAGGAGCGGTCCTACCTTTGATGGTGGTGGCCGATACCTCAACTCAGTCACCTTCGTCTCGAATGAGGATGTCCGGTCAGGCAAAGGTCAGTCAATGAGCTTCCTATGCTCCGGGGGCTTGGATAGAGCTGACCCCCTCTCTGACGCGCCCTCCCCCACCAGGCCAGCTGATCCTGGGAGGTCTGGACAGCCTGATACGGGTGTACAACTTCGATGCTGCCTCCCTCCTGAGCTCTGCAGACCTCGACACCACAACTGTCATTTCTGAGCCCTTCCAAGTGGTGCAGGAGCACTACGACAACATCACCTGTCTAAGGTCCTACCCATCGTCTGCTTCTGCTTCTGGCTCTGGCTCTGCCTCTGCTTCAGGTCCACCGCTGTTCCTCTCGGCCTCGTGGGATGCAACCGCCCGCTCTTACAGACGAGATGCAAAGGGCAGATGGAATGTACTGCACGTCCTCAAGGGCCACAAGAGCGCAGTGTGGGGCGTGGAGTGCGTTGATGCTCGTCCTGGGGAGGAGAAGTATCTTACTGGTGAGTGGAGGGTAAGATGAAAAGAATATCGTTTCGAGAACTGACATGCACTCTATCCCTGGTGATTTGCAGCTTCTGCGGACCTGTTCATCCGCCTGTACCACGGCGAGGAGCTCAAGGTGATCTGGGCAGGCCATCAAGATGTTGTGCGCTCGCTTGTCCTTTTGCCTTTCACCCCTCCAAGTAATCCTGAAGATACCTCCCAAGACGACATCGGTCCGCTCTTCCTCTCCACGAGCAACGACCCACCTCTTCTCATCAATTCCCTCTCTCCAAGTGCACGTCCGCCGAATCAGCCCACAAATGGCGGCGAGCCAGTCAAAATCCTCGAGGGACACTCTAGCATAGTCTACGAGTGCCGTCTCTGCCCACCCGCCTCCTCCTCGTCATCTTCTTCTACGACAGGAGCAAGAAGCGAGGTAGTCACATCCTCAGAAGACGGGACGCTCCGCTGGTGGGACTGGACAGTGTCCGCCTCAGACAGCACCTCAGCCCTGCTGGAGACGGTGGAAATGCCAGTAGAGAGCGTGTGGTGCGTCGCCTGTCTTCCTCTCAGCGGGGACGTCGTCGCCGGCGGTAGCGATGGTGTTGTGCGGGTGTACAGCCAAGCTGAGCTGACGAGCAAAGAAGACCAAGAGTTTGGAGAAGGAGAGGGGTTGCCGAGTGAGGCGGAGCGCCGGGAAGAGGAGAGGCTGGTGGAGGAGGTGGCTCGCAAGAAGGGTCGGAGGAGCCAAGGGTGAGTATGACTCGTGTTGCTCGAGCTCAGGGTAGGCCCCATCAGGGGGAGATCACTGATCAGACAGTTTCTCTCTGAACGGACAGTGCCCAAACCTCGGAGCTCGTTGCTCTCCCGACAACCACCACCTCGGACCTTTCAGACCCCTCAGCCAGCTCAGAATCCTCAGCACCAGCAGCAGCACCAACGTCAGTCAAACAGGTGCATCCAGAGACAGGCGTGGCCTACGACGTGCTCCTCCCCATCGACATCTCCGACGATCACCCCGAGCCGCTCCTTCTGGGCGTCAACAGAGGTGGTGAGTTGGTCGACAACCTCGGTAGGCTGCAGTCGTCTGACTGACGGACTGACTGATTGACTGATTGACTGACTCTTCCTTTGCCTTCCACCCCTGCTTTCCCGCATAGACGACCCCGCCCTCATCGCCCGCGACTTCCTCGCGCGCAACAGTCTTGGAGACAGCGAGCGGTACGTCGCTGACATTGTTGCGTTTGTAGAGATGATGCTGCCTCGTTAGCGGATAGCGGGTAGTGAGTAGTGGGAAGCAGGAGGAGAAGCAGCAGCAGCATCAGCAGCAGCAGCAGCAGCAGCAGCAGCAGCAGTGGGATACAGTAGTGAGCTAGAGTCCCGCCGTCACCCACTCATCAGCACTTCTAGACGAAAGGAAACAAAGAGTGGATAACGCTTTATTCATTTCAATTCATTTCCTTGCTTGCTAGAGACAAATCTTACATGCTTTGAGACTGAGACCTCTGCTATGATGAACATGACGGCGTGACTGCGTGACTGATGAGATCTGAGGTGACGAAGAGATCCTCGAGGAAGTGACGTTATTAGCGGGGACGTAAGGTAAGGTATGGGGATGGTGGGGGGTTTGATGCGGGGGTCGGTTGCCAAGCCTGAAGTAATATGATAGAAGGGGGCGCTATATCTTACGAGCCATTAGAGAGAAAGAGAGAGAGAGAGAGGTGTTGCTGTGCTAGACCATTTTTGTGAGATTGGATTGAAAAGTGAGATTAAACGACATCTTGTGCTTGAGGAAAGTAGTGGTCGGGGAGCTTGGCGATAGCGTGAAGAGCCAGCTCCTTGCTTACCGTGGCCCTGACAGGAGAACGCGAGGATACTCGAGGCGTGCTGTTGCTTTCGTGGTAGGTATCGCAGCAGTCCGGTGGCTTGTGTACTAGCCGACACCGAGCTTATCCGCTGTCATCGCTCGACGTCAAGCCCTGAGCGCCAGCAGTGCTGGCGCGACCTCGTCCTGCTGCCGCTTCAGCAGAGGAAGAGGAGGAAGTAGCGGCCTGCTTGGAAGATCCTGCCTGAGCTTGACTATCGAATTGAGGCTGGGCTCGAGTTGTATCCTGCATCGTAGCCTGGTTCTCCTCCTCGTCTCCTTCCTCGTCAGCGGGAGCGACTTCGCGATGGCACTTGGCGGCGTGTACGTAGTAGTTAGTGGCCTCCTTAAGACCGAAGATGATCCATTTGCTGCAGGCGATGTTATTGGACGCGAGTCAGCACAATCGCAACGGTTTGAATCGTAGGAGAGCCCCACAATCTACTCACCCGCAGGTTCCACACTGGCCTTTGAGCTCGGTGCCTTCGCCGACGCGAGTCTCTGTCAGAGGATTTCGTCTAAGCGTCTCGACTGGCTCTACGAAGGGCATGAAGGTCTTGGGGGAGATGCCGTGCTGTCGGATGAGGTGGTAGCTGAAGCGAGTAGGAGCAGAGGGCGGATTCTGTCAGCTTGAAACCCTGCTTGCCCCTCCACAGTCATGTTCCACTGCTGCAGTCAGTGTCTACCTACCGATAGCTGGAATTTCTCAAGTTGAGCCAACCGCCGATCTCAGCCTTCTTCCTGTCTCCGCCACCAGTGTGGTCGAAATCTGTCGATGCAGATGGTAGACAGAGACCACACCAGCCTTCCTTGCTTCCAGCACTGCCAGCAGCGCTGCCTCTTCCTGCCGATTTGCCGGCTCGGACGATAGCAGGGGTGTACAAGTCTCCAGCGAAGCGGGCGGGCTGGTAACGATCTGTGAAGAGAGAGGGAAAAGAGCTTCAGAAGGGAGCGCTGCGGCTGTGGCTGTTCGGACCTTTGACTCACGCTTCATGCACTCGGGCTCGCCATCGCGCCTAGGGGGTGGTCGAGAGTTGTCTCGCCCCTTTCCGAAGATCCGTCTGGGGAAGAGATCGTTCTTGCTGGAGGACCCTGCGACTGATGACGTTGAAATTATCGCTGGGACAGGGGCTCTCATGTTGGCCTGGGGCAGCTGCCATTCGCTATGATTGAGTGCTCGCTGGCTCAGGGCGGCGCGTTCTTGACCGGAGCGATGAAGTAACTTCACTCTCTTTCGAGGCTTCTGGTAGGCTGCAATCGTAGCGCTCTCTGTTTCACTTGAGTCCGAATTGTGAGAGATGCCAGGCGCTATGACAAGGGATGGCATACGGTCTTTGAGGGTCACACTGCGAGAGTGTCGACCTGAGCGAGTCATCGTGATGGTTGGTGCCATATTCTCCGACTCGTCAGATTCGATGTCGTTCCTTGCCTTGCCAGCGTGATGACCCTTAGTGTTGACTCGAGTTGACACCTTGAGGGAGCGATTCATTGAGCTAGCCTTTGCATCTACCGAGTATTCGTCGACATCAATATCGTCAGTGTTGTGTAGAGGCACAACTTTGCGGCCAGACTTGCCAGGTCGAGCGTCCATAGCGAGTGTTGGGGCACTTTTGTCTCGTATCTTGGCCAGGCTTTGGGTGTTTGTCTTGCGTACCTCCTGCGATCGGTCATGTCGCTGCTTCAAGATACTATCGATGTTGTTGGCAATTGCATGCAGTGGGACCTCGCTGCCACCCCATCGTCGAACGAAAGGGTGCAAGAGTGCTGGTTGAGGGGTGCCGGATGGATCAGTGCTCCTGATAGGCGCAGAAGAAGGGGGCACATTACTGTACAAGCTCGCGCTAGCGTGTGCAAGCGTTGCAGAGAGGTGGCGAGGCACAGGCTCCAAAGGTGGGCCTCGCAAAGAGTTGTGACTGGCATAGACCGAGTTGCGGACGTGCGCTCCAACGCTGTAGCCGCGGTAGAAGCTCGACCTCCTCGTGTGGCTGTTGTAGTCAACTGGCATGCTTGTGCTACGCTGCATTGGCACCCACCGAGAATCGATGAGAGCAGCACCTCGATGGGGGTCGGGTACAGGTGCCGATCGTGGGAACGAGGCGCTGCGTGTCATGCCAGGTGCTGGGTCCAAAGAGGCTGCCGAGCTGGCGTAAGCAGAGAGCTGAGCCTGCTCAGCTGAATGTGCGATACTGATTCCTGGGATGTCTTCGGGCGCGGGTGAGGCGGATGAGTTCTTGACGGTCAGATCTGCTCGTGTTGGTGACCACCGGGGCACGTCGAGGGGATGTGGGACAGCAAGGCTATTGGGGCGAAGGGATGCAGCGGTGTTGCCAGCGAGGAGGTGAGCCCTTCCACCTCTCAATACTCCAGGTATGAATGGGCCTGCCCTTTTGCGGTGCTTGCTAGACGTCTTGAGAGTTCGAGTGGGAGGTGGGCTTGGAGTGATGGATTTGCCGACTAGGATGGCGTTGTAGGCCAGCTGTACGTCTTGACGCAGTTCCTCGTGATCGATCTGAGGCACAAATTGTGGAGCAGCAGCTTGAGAATAGTGTGATTCTCTGATCTTGTCGGCTTCAGTTGGGAGGCTATCGTGTTGGGGGTGAAGGGGAGAAGTAGAGGGTGGCTGCGGGCCCTGGGTGGAGACAGAGGAGGGATCAGTACTGAGAGAGGCCATGAAATGTCTAAAGGAATGAGAAGAAGAAAGAGGATAAGGAAGAGTGTAAAGTTACGAAGATACTGACGCTGGAGGTGTGAGATGTGAGATGGTGTCTGTCAGTGGTGAAGAATGCGAAGGAGGGGAAGGAGGATGAGCAAGGGTGGTAGGATGGTAGAGGGAGGAGGTGAGCTCAGTCGACGGCGCGGAAGAGCGAGGCAGTCAGCCAGCAGGCCCATCTGCACAGCAGCAGCAGCAGTAGCAGCGTATACTGGGAGCACTGACTGAGTGTCCCCCTGACCACGATGCGTGCGAAGGTGGCCTCGGATGTGGGACCTCCGCAGCATCTGCTTGTGCCTCTGCCAGCTTGCGGGCGCCTTGAAGCAGCGTACTATGATGGTCATCTAAGCGTTGGGGTGACGCCCCAGCTGGTCCTCTCCAGGGCGACATCAAGCTATCCAATAAATGATCTCCTGCCACACCGGCCATTGTGGCTCGCTTGGCAACTGTCGGGACATGACACGTTGGCATGGCACGGCTAGAGAGGCACGCGCATCAGCCTGCAGCAGCAGTAGTCAGACTAGTACTCTGTACCACGACGCACATCGAGTGAGTGTGCGAGGCCTGTGGGAGAAGTTGAGCCTAAGGTAGCATATGCCAGCTCTGTGCTCATAGCCATCGTCTCTTCTGAGGTAACTTGAATGCCAAGGTACTGTTTGAGTGGGTGACCCGGTAGATCTACTTCTCACGGAAATGGGCTGCCCCGTGCTTTTCCTTTGGGCGCGTTGGCTGTGGAGCTGCGCGTGGGCGTGGAGAGGCGCATGAACAAGAAGGGACATGGTTCCTTCTGCACTCACGCCGTATTGCCATCTGGATCACATCGCTTCCTCGCTGTCATGTCTTTGCCATCATCGTAGACCAGCGTCGGATGCTGCGGCGATAGAAACCTTTCAGAATATACTTCGCGAGCAAATCGTTCTGCCTTCCGCTGGACCAGCCAGCATGGCTTCTGCATCATCCTCTTCCGACCCGCTCCCGCCCTCGACCGACCGCACCCCAGACGTCGCCTCTTTCCTGGGACAGCTCTCAGCTGGGCCTTCTTCCTCCTCAAAGCTACCTTTCGAGGCTCAAGCATCTCTCATCTCTGCTCAGCTCTCCAATGTTGAAGGGCAGACAGCCGCACTCGTACAGCAGCGCAGAGGAGATTTGGCCAAGCTCATTGATCAGAGTGAGGTCGCAGAGCAGAGGTTGGGGAGACTCGTAGGCAGGATCGAAGAGGTGGAGCGTAGTACTTCGGGAGATGAGAAACCACAGGTAAGCGACAGACAGCTCTGCGCCAGCGTACGACATGAGGGCACTTACCTCTGACATGGCGGTGTCTTTTCCCTGTTCTTCAGCTTCTGAGCCCAGCTCTCGGATCAGCATTGCAGCAATACTCGGACTCCGTGTATGCACTTCATCGCTCGGATCACCTCCTTCAAGCCTTACAGGTGGTACACACTGCTTTATCTGCCATCGAAGCATTGGAAGATCAGGTGGCTCAGGGTCGCCTAGAAGCAGACGCCTACGCCCACACGCTTGCCCAGACCGAAGCAGCCTATGGCGGCCTTCTGAACAATGCTTCGTCATCGTCTTCGAATGGGTCTAAGAGCTTCACCTGGCTGGCCGAAAGCGAAAGCTCTAGAGCAGTCGCAGACCTACTGGAAAGGCGCAAATATGCCAAGGCAGCAGCGGAGGCAATGATCGAGAGGGGGTGGGAGCAGAGCGTGATAGTAGGCAAGCAGCCTGCGGACAATGGAGTCTGGATGATGAACATACTTCAGGCCACTCAATGTGAGTAGATGACTGTTGCACCTTGCGGGATCGCCACTTCAGGCATACTGACACCGCCTCCCAGTATCCGAGCATGCCGAGCACTCTGTATCCCTAGACAGCCTGGCTCAGTCGCTGATCACCAACGGAAGTCTCAATGGCAAGCTGACAGACCTATCGCATTCGTTGACTAAGATGTTGTCCCAGACCTGTCTGTCCTCCTCCTCTAGCGAACGGTGGACGGCGACACTCGACGACAGCAGTCCAAAGCAGGCTCTGCTGCTCGGCCATGCGGCTGGCAACGCGAAGCTGGACTGCCTTGAGACAATCCTCGAATTCCTTGGGGCTCGTTTGCTCCCTGCGCTTGAAATTCGAGCTGTCACGCACTTCTCGCGGGCTCTTCTCCCTGTGCTGATACCTCTCGTCTTGACGAAGCTCCGGGCGATGCTTCCGTCCTCGCTGCAGATGCCGAGCATCACAAAGGACCTTGCAGCACTCAAGTCTTCCGCAGAACGTATCTATTCCTCTCTCGAGAAGAGTAGACTGATACCTGCGCCCCTCGATGAAGATTCGGAAGAAGCAGAACTCCTCGGCAGCCCGCATGCACTCCTTCGCTTCGCGTCCTCAGTCCACAGCCAATTCAGCAATAAAGTGGCAGCAGCGGCCCGCGATCAGGCTCGACGTTTGTGTATGTCAGAGGACGAAACAGGCTGGGACACTGAGCAGATCGAAATCGAGGAGTCTCTGCCGCTTCTGGAGAACGATGAGGAATGGGCCGTGGAGGAGCCTCTCATTGATGATGGCAAGTCAATTGCTTTGCAAGACAATGGCGCGACAAACGGGGACGATTGGGGCTGGGGCGAAACTGAGGAAGATGTCGAGGTTCCTCCTCCTCGGTCATCGGCTCCCGCGAATATGGCGAGGTCAGCTTCCATCAAAAGCTCCACCAGCTCTGCAGATGGGGGAACCTCATATAGCCGGTCTAGCTCCCCAGCTGGTCAGCGTCCAGGAAGACCGCTGCCAGTCAAGAAGGGCCGGGGTGCGTTGGGAGGGGTCAGGGTAATCAAGCCTGCTGATCAGATGGGAAGCGGGCCTTTGCCAGGCGATGAGGACGGCGATGATGCGTGGGGTCTCGATGACGATTTGGCGGAAGAGCCTCCACGGACTCCTGTTATCAGGCAGCCAGATGTTGCGGACGCCTGGGGCCTTGATGAAGAAGCGGAACCGATGCCCTTGGCAGCAAATCCTGTCCAGGCACTCACCACGGACGTACGTCGCTCTCTCGAGGTTGCTGCTCCGGCCGAAGATGCGGACGATGCCTGGTTTACAGACGAGGTCGATGCCAACGCGCTGCCCTCTGTGCCTGATTCCCAGGTACCGATGGCAGCTTCGACTAGTATGTCGTCTACTGCATCTTATCCGTCAATCGATGATCTGGACGAAGACGCTTGGGGCTTGTCAGAAGAGGAGAAGGCGGAGCGTGCTGCCAAGCGAGCAAGCATGATGGGCATACCAATCGGATTCAAGATCCCCACCGAAGAATCAGCTTCGTCCAAAGAAGCCGCGACGGTGCTAAGAGCGGTCACAGAGCAAGCAAATGAGCAGGAGAAGAGCACAGAGGACGTACTGCCGTCTACCCGCGGGCTGGGAGACCCACAGCCACCCAGTGAAGCACGACCAGCGTCTTCCGTTCCTATTCAGGTCTCGTTAAGCAGAGACACATCCTTCAGCTTTGATGATGAGGACGAGCTCGACGAAGATGCTTGGGGTCTCTCAGCAGAAGAGCAGAAAGAACGCGCAGAGAAGCGCGCCAGCAAGCGGCTGACTCTGGGACAAGTCAGTGGTTTCTCATACCTCCAGCCGCCGGCAGCGGCAAATGGCGACAATACCAAGCTCGACGCTGGGATGGTACCCGAGCCGACACTGAGCTCAAAGCCAGAAACATCAGAGGGAGACGCACTCACGGCAGACAATCTAGAAGCCTCTGAGGTGGTGAACGGTCAAGACGGAAGCCAAGGTCACCATGCTGCCGAACGCCAAGAACGACTTTCTGAGGGCCTTACCCCGGCAGGGTCGATTGATGTAGCACCCTCTGAAGCCCATCTGTCTGACCTCGATTCTCTACACGATCACCTTGCTGTGCCGGGGTCTAGGGGTGTCGAATCTGCACCAGAAATTTCAGACAATGTCTCAGTGGTCAGTGCTGCCTCTACAGACCAGCCTTTTCCCGTGGAGTCAGCTCTGCCTCAAGATTTGAGCTCTCGTGCAAGTGAGGCTGGCTCGGAGGCTGTCTTGCCTGCCACTCCCCAATCGGAGAGGAGCGAGCCCACACTTGGTGACAATGCTGCTTGGGAGCCCGAAACGATGTCTGTGCACGAAGGCTCCATCGATGGAGATCGAGGCGGCGAAGACAAGACTCTCTTCCAAGTTGAATCTGCTCTGCCGATCTCATCAGCTTCATCAGTGGCCACTGGCAGCGCAGGTCCACCATCCGTCGGGTCCCTCCCTCCTACTCCAAAGGCAGAAGCAGACTTGTCCCTCCCAGACGAGAGGCTACCGTCGCTTGCAGGTCTTAGCTCTACTCCTCCTGTCCGTGGCTTTTCGGCTTCATCGTCAGCAATGGCAATGGACTCGAGGCCGCAAACGCCTTTCGGTGCAGAGCATCAGAGTAGCGAGCCCCCCTTTCCCGTGCACTCTGCTTTCCCTTATCATGGCACACACAGAGGTAGTGTCATGGGGACAGGACCATCATCTGTTGCTTCTGGATTCGAAGGTAGAAGCGATATAGCCTTACCGCCGTCGCCGCCGCCTCCCATGGACGATGACAACGGAGATGGTGTGAGTGACTTTCTAAGCCCTGTCCGGGGTCCGACGGAAGCACAAGCTCCGCAATCTACCTCGGAGCAAGGCGGAGAAGTCATTGATCGAGGTCTTGCTCAACATCAGGAAGAGACGAGCCAAGCTCCGGAGATGGAAGAGGATGACGATCCATGGGGCGATGCGGATGCTCAGTGGGAGGCCGAGCAGCAGTCCCAGGAGGCCCAACGCAATGTTTCTCACCCAAGCGCAGAGCCTCCTCCTCATGCTGTACCAAGCCCGGCAGAAGCGCCAGCGCCCAGCAGCGATGCACGAGACGCAGACGAGGATTGGGGCTGGAGTGATGAGCCTACCCACACTGCAGCAGCTCAGCAAGCAGCTACAGATGCAGCATCAAGCTCGACTGGGGCATCACTCTCTGTAGCGCAGAGAGCTATCAAGCCTCAGAAGGGTCGATCTTCTTCTCCCTCGGGAGCATCACCTCAGTTGCGACAGGCCACACGGAGGAGCGCCGAGGCAGCGGCGGCGGCGGCAGCGGCAGGCCTAGTAGGACAGGGCAACCGCAGTGTGCAGTCGCAAGGTTCCACGACTAGACTCACAGCTGATGCCTTGGCCCGTAATGGCGATGGCGCAGGCGTCAAGAGCGCTGATCAGCAGAGCAGTGCAGCGTCAAACGCCGCTGTACCGTCGTCTAAGCGAAGAGTCGAGTCCTGCAAGATCTCCAAGCGATCGCGAGAATTGATCAAGCTTGCTCACCGGATCTTGGACGATACCATTGCTCTCGCCGAGTCTGACGGTGGTGCGGACTCAGAGGCGCCGTCACCGTTGCCTCTTCTGCGCTCCCTCGCAGACATCTTCGAGCTCTACCGAGCCCTGATGCCAACCCTGCACTATCAGACGCTCACCCAAATTCCATCCCTAGCGATGCAATTCGCAAACGACTGTCGCTTCCTCGCCAAGGAGATTCTCCTCCTCAGTGACCGTCTCCACCACTCAAGTGCTCTCCTCGGTCTCCTTGACGCCTCTCCGGACGTGCTAGACCTCCCTCACGAAGCAAGCCTGATGACTAGTCTCGGCAAGCAAGTCTTCGAGTCTCAAATGGCCTCGCAGGCCTCTACACTAGACGAGCTTCTGACACAGACGGACTCGCTGCTCCGCGTATACCAGGAGGAGCGCTTCTCCGTCTGCTCTAAAGTCCTCGCGCAGCTAGTGCATCATCTCGGTGCTCTGCACAGGGGATGGAGCGAGGTGCTCACGCCTTCGAGTTGTGCGGGCGCGCTAGGAACTCTGGTGGAGGCGGTGCTCCTCAGACTGGGGGGAGACGTTTTGGAGATTGACGACATCGGGGAGCGCGAGGGGGAGAGGCTCGCGGAGCTCATCCGACTTCTCGTGCCACTGGAGAAACTCTTCCCTGCATCTGGTCAGCAGAGTCAGAATCACATCGGTGCTGCTGCGGGAGAGGAACAAGACACCCCAACGAGCAGTGTCGCCTCCTTTGTCCCCTCGTGGGTGAAAATCACCGGCTACCTCCCCGAGATTCTCCTTGGCTCACTTGCCGATGTAGAGTTCCTCCTCTTCGAAGCTGGCGGACTATTGCTTGCACCTTCCGAAAGCGTGGGTGCAGCAGGCGCGACTTCGATGGGTTTCACGAGGGAGGAGGCAAGGCGACTTATCAGGAGCACCTTTGCGGATACGCCGCGTAGGGCCGCACTGCTTGGAAGGGTGGAGAGGGGGAGCTGAGCTGAGCTGCGCTGCGGAGCGAGGAGGGAGAGGGGTGGGTGTGGGTGCAGAGGATGGGGGAGGATGGAGAGAATGGAGTGGGGCAGTGTAGCTAGTGTAACGAAATGCAGAGTATGCAAATGATTATGACGATCAGGCTCTCAACGCCAGGAAGGAATGATGCACGTGAAGATCTCATTGAAACCACAGAGTGAGCGCTGTAGTCCTGATGTACACAGCAGGAGACAGAGTAGAACACGATTGTCATCTCCCCCTCACTTCTTCCTCCCATCTCATCCTCCACTCCTCAACCCTCAACCTCTCACCCACTCCACCCAACCCAAAATCTCCAAGGACTCACTGCCCTGATCTCCCTCCCCGTCCACGCACGAACAAGTGCCGCATCGGGCTTCAAGCGAAGATTGAGGTTCGCCGCTGCGTACACTTCACGCGAGGTGAGTGCGGGGAGATCCTCACCCGCGCCAGCGCCTTCGCTGGTGGAGTCTTCCCCGAGCTGCTGAACCGCAGAAGAGCCAGCGCCAGAGCCGGCGGCGGCGGCGGCGGCAGGCCCGCCAGAGAGGAGCGAAGCGTCGGAGAAAGAGCGCTGGATTCCCCTCGTTGGTGCATTAGCACCGGGAGGGAAAGGAGAGGGTGGGGAGCGCAACACTTCCAGTGCTTCTACAAGGTCGTGCAGCCACTCGGCCCAGGCGGTGAAGATGGCTCGGGCTAGACAAGTCTCGCGTGGGTCGAGGGAGAGGAAGACTTGAGGCGCGCTGCTGCCGTCTCCATCGCCATGGCTGGAGCCTTGTACTTTTCTCGATGCCCGCTGTGGTCCCTTCCCACTTGAGGAGCGGACACGAGGCCTTGTGAGATCATTCGGATCCAACTCACGCGTAGTGCGTCCAACGCTGCCGGTCGCAGCTGCAGGCGATGCAGGCGTAAGGGTTGCGGTGCTCCCATTGAGATCGGCGGTGCCATCGCTAGCCTGCATTTGCCTGCGATCTGTACCAAGCATCGCACCCTTGACCTGCTTCGGCCCAAGCCCGGGGCCAGGCACTCCCGCCTGTCCAGAAGTAGTAAGAGCCGCCGAAGCTACTTCGTCGCTCCAGGCCCTGTCTCTGGCTGTACGTCGCGAGTCAGTACGACTACTGCTGCTCTTCCGGCGGCCCAAGGAGTGACCACTGGCGCTCGACCCCGAGAAGGAGCTGCGGGCTGCCCGGCGGCTCGAGGAGTGGCCGGAGGGACTCGCGCCGCACGCTGCGAGGATTGGGTCGAGGTCTCCGCCGCCGGAGCGACTGCTCGAGGGCGAGCGCATAGGAGGAGAGTCCGTGTCTGAGCCGTACTTTCCGTCATCGTCGTCCTCATCGCTGTCCTCCAGATCGGAGAAGGGGTTACGCTCCTGCCGGCGGTGGGCGGTGGGCGAGGTAGAAGAGGCTGGGTGGACTTGAAGTAGCCCTGGGGAGAGTCTTTTTCTCTGCGCCGCTGAACCGTCCTGAGAGGCTGTCCGCTCCAGTGGCATTCTTCCTGCTCTGAGCGTACTCGCTTTTGACACCAGACCCTCACCGTCGCTACCGCTGTCGTCGGCCTCACTGTCACTGCCACTCTCACTGTCTTCTGGCAAGAGCATCAGACCAGCCTGCACACCTCCGTCTGGTCTGATACTCAGGGGGACATAGCCATAGCTCTCTCCTCCAAGGCGTATCCGGTCATGGAGATGGAACCTCCACGGACGTGGCAGGATTGCACGAGTCGAGAGGTAGTAGTGGACTAGATCGACGAGGATGGAGAGAAATCTGGACATTTGGCCAGTCATCGGGATGGGGCGCGAGCGATTTCTGCTGAGCGATCCATCGCTGTTTAGGCCCGACGCTCCACGGCTCAATGGCTGAAGATCCCCGTCTACTGTGTTGCTTCGAGATGGCATCGAGCCCCTGCTACCTCTCCTCCCGTATCGCCTTGGCCGACTCTCGTATGCGACGGCCTTGAGCTCATTGTCTCGAAAGACACTGAAATCTCGGGCGTGCCACGTCTGTCTCTTCAGCTTGGCAGGCAATGGTCGCTTGCTAGCGCTACCCTGCGTATGACCACTGGCGAGAGATACGTCTGGTCGCTCGACTCTGTAGAAGATTGGAGCACCACCATTTGCTTTAGCTGAGCCGTCGTAGGCGGACAGCACGGTCGCACCTTGTCCTGCGCCGGTGGCAGAAGGGGAGATACCCTGCGTCAACGGGGTCAAGTCCAAAAGGCAATCGTACAGGTCCGCTTTGTCAAGGTACAGCTTGTCAGTCGTCCAGGCGATCCAGCCTCGCTTTGGTCTGACTCCACTCATAGTAGCGGCCTGCTTCTTGCGAGCTTCTTCGTCCTGCAGATGCGAGATCTCATGCAGTCCAATGATGCCTCGTACTTGTGGGATATGCTGGTGCAGTCTCTGTAGCTTAGGACTGAGGGCAGCCTCCTCATCCCTCTCTTCATTCTCATCAGCAATTGTGAGAGCTGCTTCCACAATTTCGGCCAAGGTCCAGGCAATACTAGCTGCACTTCTGGTTTCCACTCCCTGAGGTGAAAAGAGGAGTAGCCTTGTACCAGATACGAGTAGCGATCTGAGCACATCGGGCAGTATGAGACCGAGGGCATTGACGATGGAAGGCAGATCCAGGAGGGGGTCGTATATGGACTCGGGCCACCGCGTCAATGGCGCAGGGGATCGCACATGAAGAGATGGGAAGCATGCCGCCGAGGAGGCAGTGTTGAAGCGATGAGACTCCAGGAAGTTCTTGAGTACTGAGTGGTTGCGCGGCTGGAGAGACGAGGCGTCTGCTAGTAGGGACAGTGCCTCGAGATGCGGCAGGACTGCAGCGAGCTGATGTGAAGGAATCGAGGATTGACTCGCTGTGCGGCAAAGATGACAATGAGAGGGGAGATGCCTATGTTAGTAGTTGAGTCCACTGCTACCTTCGTCCCTCATAACTTTCTGTCACTCACCTATTATGACTCCCACGGCGGTCATACGAGCCCCTCTCTCATCCAACCTCCTGGCCTCCTGCTGATTTGCATCTGTCCCGCCGCCGCTCTGCTCCGTCTCAGCATCAGCCTCTTCCTCTGCACTCCCCGTCAGCTTCCTGTTTCTAAAGCAAGCCACACCGACTTTATCATATCCATGGCCCTCGCCCTCTGCGGTGTCGGGCAGGGTAAACCAGAGCAGGTCGGAGGAGAGAGCGTGAGAGCCACTGGGGAGGACCTTCCATTCTACTCCGGCGAGATCGAGATCATGTCCTGATTGGAAAGTGAGCTCGTTGCCTCTGCGAGTGTGGAAGTGGGCTTGGAAGATGGTGAGGAGATTGGAAGGCCGTGGTGGGAAAGTGGAAGATGAGGACGAGGCTGCAGGGCCGTGGGCTGCGACGGCAGCCATTGTTGGCCTGGGCAGTCGGGGTGTGAGTGCGTATCGATCGACGAGATGATGCGTACACTATGATGCTAGGGTGCTCGGTCAGTTGTCCAGCAGTACGATGATGATGGTGATGATGCCCCGCGGTGACAATGGTAGGAATCCTCTGGTATTGCAGTGCGTTTGTATTTCAAAGCATGGAAATCTGACCCTCGGCGCCTCGCACGGACGACCAAGTCGACGTGCACTCCATGGCGTCTCTGCAGGACTCGGCGCGCGGCAGAGACGGGCAAAGGCGAGGAGGCATCACCACCCACCACTAACACCTCCCACCACCACCTCCCACCATCAACATCATCATCTGCGTCTCTATCCAGGCTCCATCCTCACTCATTCCCGCCCCACTCCACGTAGCCAAAGATGGTCAAGAGGGGAGGCGCGTCCAAGTTCCCCGTCGCGAGGATAAAGAAGATCATGCAAGCCGACGAGGATATTGGCAAAGTAGCACAGGCCACGCCCGTAGTCATCTGTGAGGAACCGCTACAAGGCTCACCATCAGAAAGCGTCGAGACAAACTATCTGATACTTGCGGTCTCTCTCTTTCCTACCTCTTCCCTCCCCCTTCTCAACCCCCAGCAAAAGCCCTCGAGCTCTTCCTAGTCGATCTCGTCAAGTCCACCGCGGCCGAAACGCGCTCCAGCGGCGCCCGCAAAGTCACTGCCTACCACCTCAAACGCGCAGTGCACACCCGCGACACACTCGACTTTCTGAAAATGATCGTTGACAAGGTTCCTGATCCCGTGCAGAGTGAAGGTGGGGCGGGGAGTGGGAGGAAGAGGGCAGGTGCGGGGCGTGCAGGGAAGAAGGAGGACGAGCACGAGCAAGAGCAAGAGCACGGGGGAGGAGATGATGGTGCACTGCAGACGAGTAGGTATGCCTATGGTGCTACGGAAGAGGATAGTGAAGAGGAAGAAGAGGAAGATGAGGAAGAGTATGAGCCAGAGGGAAGAAAGGGCAAGAAGGTCAAGAGAGAATAGAAGCGGCTACCTGCAACATGCTCCAGTCCAGACTAGTCTATGGGTCCTGAATCACCAGCAGGCCCCACAAAGACGACCCCTGCACAAAGGCCAAAGTTAGACGAGACAGACGGCACTCTCCACGATCAGGGAAAAGCAAGCCACTCTCGCGAGACGTACACCAGCGGCAATCTTGCGACGATGCCCAGGACTTGCAGATGGCCTGCTACCACCTCAGGATGCCCTACCCGCATCCATCTCGTCTGGTCGTACCCGTGTGGGGAAAGTGCACCCTCCTCTAAGTGCATCGCTCTTTGTCCTAACTCAGAGAGCCTGATGCCCAGAGCCTGGTGCCAAATAGAGCACAACCCCTACTCAGTCGCATAACAGGCTCAGGAGCATTAGCCCACCTCCAGTCGTGCAGTGTCAATGCAGAGGATGAGCTCTGTCAGAGCTTTGCGGATCAGAAGGACGCAGGAAGGTGGGCATTTAAGACCGTCCGAAGGAAGGCGAGGCTCTGCGATGGACGCGAGGAACCACCGAGGGGTGCGATGGACAGTGGCAGCCGACCAATGGCAAGGCTGCTGTGCAGGTGCTTTCTCGGCTATCTGTGGTCGCGGATAGCAAGGAGGAAGCCAGTAATCGAATCATTGTAAGCAACGCTTGATGCACCTTCTTCGACCCTCTGTCTAAGACTGTTTCCCACTGCCGTGCTGAAGTTCAACTGCGATCATTGGGGAGCTATGATCGGTGCAATGAATATAGACGTCTCATTGATCTGCTGCGTCCGAACAACGTCCGATCAAAGCATCGCTTCTAGCTAAACAAATCGATTCTTCCCGCCCTAGAGAATAACGCTCCTCTCTTCTGCCCCCTCTCATATCCGCCCCGCCCGGTCCACCCGTCTGGTCTAGTCTCCCAATTAAGCATTATCGAGCCTGGCTAGTAGCTCGTCCCCTCTGCGGGCTGTGGAAGCTTACGGTTGCTAGCACTGCCCATGTCCCTCCTCAGCTCAACGAGGATTGTCTCAAGAGTGTAGTCCCTCCTCCAGTTTGCTAGAATGGGGAATGCACGATCTGACACCTGGAGAGACAGATACGACGCAAGCAAGATAGGGGGAATAGAGTTAGTGCTCGTCCCCCTCCTACAATAGCTCCCCTTCTGAGCCTCCTTGAAGTGCTCCCTACTGCACTCACCTTTCCATCCCCACCAACACAAGGCAGGTTGATCCTCGTGGTAAAGCGCACAGTAGGCGGTCTGTCCGGGTAGGCCTCTCCGCAATGGATCTGAAGCGAGTAGATGCGGTTCTGGTGTACAGAGTGAGAGGGGCCGATGATCGTTGCGTTCCAGTTGGACATGACTGGTGAGAAGTGCAGCAAGGGAGGGAGGAAGCGGAGGGAGGAGAGGGTGAGTCAGGATCGAACTCTTTGCTGTCTCGGACAGCTTCGTTATCACTCACGGGTGTCTGTACCGTCATCAAGTCCGTACGAGCAGCTGCCATCTCCAATGCCCTTTTCTCCCTTCTCCAGCTCCTCCAACAGGCGGAAATTGCGCGGGACTGTGCGACAAAGGGCGAGGGGTGAGACAGTGAAACCGGTACTTGAGTCAGAGGGGGAAAGTAAGAGAGTCGAGTAAGGGGAATGGACTCACTCTTAGCCATGGTGTTGGGGATCTCCGGGGGTGATAAATCCTCCTGGATGAGCTCTCAGCAGGGTCCTGAGCTCGCGGGTAGGGTATATGCGTTCCTCGAATCAAGTATCTTGCCTTGTGCTGAGTGTAGTCCTCAACAATGCACTCTATATGAGGCTGACGTGGCGGTGATGTGTGGTCGTGAGAGGTCGTACGAGTCTTGGTTTGGGATGAGCAAGTGGTAACTGTGAGTCGAACGAGGGCGGTGTCTGCGTGAGTGAGTGAGCGAGTGAGTGTGCATTGGTTGCGCCCAGCCTCCGCTCGCCCCACTCCACACTCACACACGGAAGGAGCCGGACCAGACTTCTTCCTTCCGGTGATTAGCAGACCCAGAAGCTCATACCTGACGCCGGCACTGACAGCCTCTTCTTAGTAGTCTAGCTCATACTCAGCAAGGAGGGCACGACATACCGACGTCAGAAGAAGCGAGTCTCCTGCTTCGCTACCTCCCACATGGCATACCGGTAGCCCTGAGCCGCACCAGATCCCCTCAGAAGAGCACGACGCCACGCTACAGAGATGCATCCCGTAAGTGACGGACCATGATTATGCTGTACGCTGGACATGCCTAGTGGTGCAATCAACTAATACAAGAATGGTGACTGACTACTTCTTTGGAACTGCTGATTTCTTGCTCGTCTGCAGCACCTCGTTCAAGGCAAGCAAGCCCGTAAGTATCCGCCTCACTTCTCCCAGCATACCACCATCCATCTCACACACACCGCTGCCTCCTCCTCCTTTTCCCCAACATTTCTTCTTCACCCTTCCAGGCTGCGCCTCCCTGGTCCACGCCCTCGAGGAGTGTCACTCTGCCGGTCTCCTACCCCGCCTCACAGGCAAATGCAATGACATCAAGCAACAGCTCAACCTCTGTCTTCGTGAGGAGCGTATAGAGCGGACGGGGAGGAATGCGGAAAAGGCAAAGGAGAGACAGAAGGAGGTGAAGAAGGTTTGGAGTGAGATTGAGCAGGAGGGTTAGAGTAAGATTGAAGAGGAAGGAGGAAGAGAGGGCTGGGAGCTATGGGATAAGCAGGCGATTTGAGAGAGGATCTTCGCAGCGAAGAGGTCTGGAAGGCAGAGCGGTCTTGCCACTTTGCAACACAATGATACACTACGCATGTTTCAATCAATGGTCATTTCGATGAACATCTGATGCTCGCTCTACATGACAATACACTCCTCGTCGCCCGGCTGTCCATTGCCCCCTGCGCCGCCAAAGCCTGGGATGTTCTCAAGCTCGGCTGGCATATCACCCACCACCTCTGGAGGAGGAGCACCGCTCTCTTGCATCTGTCGTAGTGAGTGGAAGGACGTGTCAGTGGGGAATGCATCAGGACCGGCATCTCTCCGACATCGACTCACCTGATTCATCAATTCGCTGACCCGATCCCGCAGCTCCTTCTTCCTGCTCTCGCTGCCACTGTCAAAGTCCGGGTCCTCGAAAAGCTTCACCACCTTCGAAACGCAGTCGTGTTGGTCGTGGTAGCGCTGCAAGTCGTCCTCAGTCGGAGCAGGTGATGTTGGTGGAGAGGCGAAGTACGGCGGGTACTGCAGCATGGATAGTCGAGATGGAGTGTGAGCAGGATTCGGCAAAGCGTTCAGCTGTTCGTCGGTGTTCTGCGACTCACCTTGTCTCTCAGCTCTTTCAGAGGCTCGTACAGCACCTCCTTGCTCATCAGTTCGCCCATCATCTTCTCCAGCATACTAGCCATTCCCTCTTCACCCTCAGGCAGACCTCCTTCTCCACCCAGTCCCTGCAACAGCTTCGCCATGTCATCATCGCTGAAGTCCGCAAAGGGATCTGCGCCTCCTGCTTTCGAAGAAGAACCTGCTCCAGATGAGCCCTGCGATTGCCGCAGACGAGACATGGTTGACTTAATGGCATCCTGGAAGTTGGCAGGATCGCCCGAGGTGGAAGGCGCAGAGCCTCCAGCAGCACCTCTTGTGCCGGCTGGTGGAGCTGCTCCGGCAGCGCTGCCGCCGCCCAAGGCGGCCATTCCTTCCTCACCAAGGCCCATCTCCTGCATGATCTTCTCAAACTGCTTCATCATCTCTTCCTCGCTCATCTCAGGCTGGGCTCCACCTGCGCCTGCTGCTGGGCCTGCCGTAGAGCCTCCGGATGCAGCCGCTGCTCCTGCTCCTGCGCCGAACATGTCCTCCATGCCCTTTGCGAGCTCCTTGGCGAATTGCTGCGAGAGAAGATCGTCGAATTCGGGGGTCAAGCCGTCCTCTTGTGGGCCATCCTCGACTCTTGTCCTGCCAGACGGCAGCTGCTGTGACGCTGTTGTGGTAGTTGCAGCAGGCTTGGCGGGGGTAGTCGAAGAGGAGGGGTCGAATTGATCGAGAACGTCTGAGGATGCAAGGACAGGTATGGCAGGGGTCAGCTCTCATCATGCGCAGCGGTATGGCTTGTCTACCTCGCCTCAATCTTACCATCGAGCTCATCAACGTCATCGTCATCGTCTTGCGCCTCCTCCTTGATGTTCTTGTGTGAAGAAGACATGCTGTGTAGGTCTGTGCGTACCAACGTGATGTGTCCTGTGCTGGTAGAGGGAGGGATTTGTAACGAAGCGAGGCGAAACGCGGGGGAAGAGGAACAGATCACATCACGGCAACGCAGAGTGTGGAGAAGCGAGAAAAAGCCGGACACGCGAGCCGGAAGAGCCGAGCTTTCAACAAGATTCCCACACCCATCGAGTCTGGTAGCACCTGTTACGCTTTATGCAAGGTGACAATAGGACAGGATGTGCTTCTGCCCTGTCCGTCGCATCGATCGTACTCCACAATATACCAGAGCTTCATCGGCTTCTTGACTGGCCAATCTAGCTTGCTGGAGCGCGTAGCGAGGCTCAGAATTCTGTTTGCTGCTATTACCCAGCTGAACAATTCGATCGTTGCAAGTAGGACACGAAAAGCACTATGCTTCCCACGCATAGCTTGTGAGCGCGGGAATTGAGCAAATTCACCAGCGTGGAATGGTCAGAACGGGCTTCAGGATGCTCATGGGACGAGATGTGCACAGCTCGCAGCAAATACTGACGTTCTTGCGGCGAGGCGACTTCCAGCAGACCGGCGAGCAGCGAGAACGTTGCCGTCGGTAGCACGCCAGATCTTGCCGCGATGGTGAGTTTCACAATCGCGCTCTTGGAGCCCCAGTCTGACCCCAGCAGGCGCCATTGACTGTCAGCAAAGGAACTGGCGCAGCGCCTGGGGATAGTGGGGGCAAAGGCGATTGGTTCAGACAAGAGGTACAAGCAATCATCGCTTCTCTCGGCCGAAAAAGTGACGGGCTGCCACAGATCGGTGGAATCTCGGGTAGATCAGATCAAAGATGACCAAAGGGCACTACGCCTGCGCTTATCGCAGACATGGGATCGGGCGTAGCCCGCTGCCCTCGCAAAAACGTCTAATCTCTGTGCTTCCGCATCACTGATTACTGACATCAACAACCGGAGCCCGTTGCTCTCGATGTCCACCCGCATTGAAGCGAGCATCGCGTTGAAGGAGGATAGATCGATCAAGCAAAGATACCGACCCAAGTCCGCATGACGATGCTAGTGTGTTCAGCAGCAAGGGCTGCAGAGCCTTCTGCACCGGACTACACGGGATTGCTATCATTCCCTTGTGCGGATCTGCGTCTGTCTGACACGACGTTGCTCCCTGCCGCATTGCCTTGCTGTCATACCACCTTGCTTTGACATGGTAGAATTCGCGGCTTCGCCGACGACACCTGCCATGTCTAAGCCGGCTAGACAGGAGACTAGCGGATCCTCAACACTGGTCATTGGCTTTGCGACATCGCTTTCTTTGTTAGGCCGCGAGCAACTCGGCTTTCCCGGCAAGGCATGCAGAGCAAATCATCGGCTTCTGCGGGCAATGGCCGTACGGTCGGCCGACAGCTTTCGAGCGAGTGGCACGTCAACGTCTGTCGCGAGAACAAAGGCGCAACCGAGCAATTCCGTCGTGCCGGACTCCTTCGAACACTCGTTCGTGCATGAGCAACAGGCTGTTTGGTCAAACATATATAGACTAGCCATTGCGTCTTTCTACTAGGCCGCCTCTGTCAGCTCCAACGCAGTGCTCAGTGAGTCCCTTCATCCAGACCCTGTCACCCATCAAGCTCGAAGCTCCATAACCCTTAGCCAGCAGAGCTGGTCTCCGTCACACCATCGCCACTGAACTCCATACCCGTTGCGAGTCGCCTTTCTTTTCACTCAGCACAAGCTGCTACTTATCTACTCAGCATCAGAAGCTGGTTCTTCTGCTTGACAGTAGCTGAGACCGCAGCAGTGACCTCGACATCTGTCCACTCCCCTTTCCTTCAGCCCTTGCTACGAACTCTCTTTCACTCTCGCCTTCCTCTCTTTCAAAATGAAGCTCAGCGTCAGCATCGTCTTCCTTGCCCTCGTCCTGGGTGGTGAAGCTGCCATCGCCCTTCCTCTCGGCTCGACCGAGTCGACTTCGGAGCAAAGCGACAATCGCAATCAGAGTGAAAGCTCTGAGCAAGCGCAAGGTCGCTCCTACGAGGAGCGACCAGCCGCTGGCACCCTGATTTCTCAGGCAAGCAGCGGACACAACTTCGTGCTTGGAAGAAATGCTGGCGGACAAGTCACCTTCGACGCTACACTGGAGTCTCGAGAGGTAAGTGAATGGGTCCGTCGCCGGTGGCAGTGCTACCACAGCACCGTTGACTGACACCATCTTGTCACCAATCACCTGGATCAGCCTCGACCGATGCCACAAGGTCGTTTCAACATGCGTAAGTTCATTCACCGATTCAAATGGCCCGATCGGAAAAAGCATAAACATGCCGATGGGTCGTATCATCGGGTCGCTGAGCCGTATCATGAGTTTGCTGGTTGGGTCTTTGATGCCACGGGAGGTGGAGTCGCTGGTAGTTTCGTCAACGCCGCTCTCGCTGATAAGCCGATGCCAGAGACTCCAAAAGGACCGCCCAATTCGCCAGCTCGCCCTGCTGGTAAGCCTGCCAAGGCAGCGACCCAGGTGGCTAAGCCAGCACCTCCTCCGGCGGCTAAGCCACCGCCACCAGCGGTCAAGCCGACGCCTCAGATTGTGAAGCCAGCTCCTGATCACCCAGCTCCGAAAAGGAGGTCGAATTTTGCTGATGATGAGTCGTCGAGGAGAATTCCTTCTGACGACCACTATGGCAACCATGGCAAGGGAGGGAAAGCAGTCGCTAGGCGGAAATTGCATGAGCACAGGACTTGGGTCGATGATGGTGAGTCATTCACTTGAGACACATGCTGACGTTGTACCTCTCTCTCTTTCTGTGTTCCACTCGCTCACTCTTGCAATTTGCTTCACTCAACACGACACACTCAGCACAAGAGCTCGATCGGCGAACGCCCACACCTGGCGCAGGACGCACGGCAAAGAGCTTGGGCTTCAGCGTAATGGCTGGAGCTTTCGGCTCCTTTGTGAACGCTGCGTCACAGAAGATCTCAATGGGTCTCAAAGCCTCTCCTTATCGCAAGCGTAGCTTCGATGAAGATTTCGAGGACCTCTCTAGCCGAGGATCGCCGGCTCTCTACGACAAATTTACGAGGAAGCTGGTGAGTTGACATTGAGGAGGGGCTCGTCGTGAGATCAGTTTCTGACAATACCCTCCCTCTCGACTGAACATCACCACTCCTGGTGAGTTTGATAAACTTACTTGGAATGTTATCCATGGCTCCATCATTAAACAGGGTACCCGTAAAGCCAAGATCATGATGGGCAAAGATCCGGGTGGCGACATCGTCGTCCACCGCTCCATTGCGGACCACACTGATGACGCGATTGATGTTCGAGCTGCTGCTTCCGGTCCTGGAGGAGCAATTGCAGACGCAATCTCAAAGTCCACGCTCATAGATGGGTTTAAGAAGACGCTCGTGAGTGACGCCTGCTGCTGGAAATCTTATGCAGCCTTGGCCGGGATCGCTGATCAAAAGCTCTCTCTTCCCGCTCTTACTTTCCTCTTTGGTGCGTCAAACCTTGCGCGAAGGAGCCACGTCAATCATCCGAGGATCCACAGATGCAAAGGCTCGTCACCGGGATCCTTCGCGGCCCCATGACCGGTCAAGGAACGCAATACTTCATGCAGAAGATGGGCAAGGATCCCTTCGGCTCCAACAAGAGAGATCTCGCATCATCTGAAGAAGGCGAGGCCTCTGTCGATCGCCGTGGATCTGATGCTCTGTTCCGCAAGTTCCAGAAGAAGCTCGTGAGTCACCATTATCTGCGATCCACAGAAGCTGCATCTTTTACTGATCTCTTGGGCGTGAACCCCTTATAATTTTCTCTCTCTCCCACTGCCCCTAGGAACGTCGAGATCAGGTGGACAAACTCGTCTGGAACGGCATCAGCGGCGCTCTCAACAAGCAAGGCACCATGTGGGCCGAAAGGAAGATGGGCAAAGACCATACCGCGTTCGAGGGCTCACACCCGAACTACAACAATCCTCGCGATCTCGTCACCGCCAATAACGAGGTCGAGGCTGCCGGCTATGTCGCGCGCGCAGGCACTTACCCTGACGGATCTTCTGATCTCTTGAGCGGCATCGAAGTACGCCATGTCCCTGATGTCACTAGTCGCAGTGATGGCGGAGATGTCGATGCGCCTCAAGAGCGAGACGAAGGAGCCAACGAAACGCTGTCTGACCGAGCATCCGACGAGTCTACTACTGTTGAACGTGACGACGACGAAGAAGAAGAAGACAAATCTCTGTCGCGACGCAGCTTCGACGACCTAGATGCCTCGGCGGCTGCGATTGAAGAGCGACAAGAGCCCATTCTTGAAGGTACTCAGGAACCCCTCGAAGCTCGCATGCTCCGCAATCCCTTCACCGGCCAGTACTACGGATCCAGCTCTTTCGGCAGCGACAAGAGCAAGTCTTCTCCTCCGGCGTCGCCTCCCCGTCAGGGTTCTCCCGCTCGTGCAAAATCGCCTGCCCGTAGCAAGTCTCCCGCTCGTGCAGCTTCTCCAGCCCGCGGCAGATCCCCGACCCGTGCGAAATCTCCTGCTCGTTATGAGTCTCCGCCTCCTCCTAGCGCTGAGCGTCTGGAAGAACTGCGCTTTGCTAGAGCAGCTCGAGCAAACAGCGCTGCCCAAAATGCAGCATATGGAAAGTCGGCAAAATCCAAGCTATCACGTCGAGAGGAGAGCGACAACGTTATGGACTTCCTCGGCCGCTCATTCATCGATGGCCAGTCAGATCTTGAGATGGACGCCGTCGACAAACGTCTGAGTACCGCTTTCGCTCTCAAGACAGCTTGGAAGCATGGGATGCCTATGGCAAAGAAGTTTGTGGTCCCCGCAGCTAAGAAATTCGGACCCAAGTATGCTAAGATGGCCATGAAGCACGGCAAACCTCTTGCAGGCAAGTTTGCAAAGAACGTTGGCCCCAAGGCGAGCACGTACGGAGCTAAGTTTGCCGGAAAATTCGGACCTAAGGCAAGCTTGTACGGAAGCAAATTTGCCGCCAAGTTCGGGCCCGCAGCTCAAAAATACGCAGGTCCTACGTTCACGAAGTATGGAGGCAAGTTCGCTGATAAATTCGGACCCGCAGCCAAGAAGTACGCTGGGCCTACCTTCACAAAGTACGGATCCAGGTTCGCAGAAAAGTTCGCTGTGCCCTGGGGCAAGAGCGTCGGCGCAAAGTTCAAGATGCCGACAGTCTTCCGTCGTGATCTGAGTGAAGAGTCCGGAAGTCAACTGGTGAGTACTACTGATCATCCGACCCCCAACGCTGAGCATCAAAGGGATGTTGACGGTCTGCCTTACTTGCCTGTCGTACGTCAGACCGATGGAGGTTACATCGCTTCGCGAGCACCCATTGAGCTGGAAGGATCTCGTATCTACGAGAGTCCCTCTCCAGCCTTGCTGAGCAGAGGCGAAGGATTCGAGGCTATCGATGAGGAGGCGCTACGACAGCGAGGCACGATGTCTTCGGGCGCCTGGTGGCTCGCCAAGAAGACGATGCTCAACAACCCTGCAGGAATGGGACTCAGAGGTGCATGGTGGCTCGGAAAGAAAGTCGTTGGCAAAGGCTCCTCCAAAGCTGCAGTCAAAGGCCTGGAGAAGGGCGCAAAGAAGGGCACAAAGAGCTCTTCCTGGTTCTGGCGTCGACAGACTGCACCGCGTGCTGGCAGAGTGTCTGACGATGAGGTGAGCTGAGAATGATGTGAAAGTCTAAAGATGCCTTAGTAGTAATAGCTGATCATCCTTTCACTCTGACCCTTAGAACGACGGCAATGACGCTCCTCTACCTCCCCGTGGAGTTGATGACAGTACGCACAACACTTACGCTCTGCTGGAACGCGACGTAGAGGACGCCAAGAGCCCCTACGTATCGCCAGTGCCACGAGATGCGTCCTTCGCCGACGCTTCCACTCATTCCACATTGAAGAAGCTCGTTGAGCGATCCACAACCCCCGTTGATGACGAGGATGGCCAGGTCGCCACGCGAACTATCAGGTTCAAAAGCGAAGGTGGCCACGCCCGACAGGTGAGTGTATACATGATTCCTGATCCATCAGAATGCCACTCTTTCAGCTTACTGAATTCTTCAAATCAATCCCTTCTTCCCTTCAGCCAAGACGGCGACCTGCTCTTCCTCCCGCCCCCAGGCAGAGGATCGTAGACTGGTCTCGAAGAGATGTCATGGCCGCTGCACCTCAGCCCCAGGATCAGGTGAGTAAGCGAGGCTCCTTCACATTGTTTACAACATGAGATCGAAAGCTTTGAGCAGCTTTCTGAAGGTATAGGAGAAGATGCCCATATGACTGTCCAAGAGACCTCAATTGTTGCGGCGGAAGTCGGACAAGTATGACAATTTCGATGAGCACGGTCGGCATTGAAATGTCAGAGAGAGGGCCAGAAGATGGTCTTCTACCAAGACAATGCGGTTGAGCGAGTCTGTAAGGTCTCTTCTCTATCAGATGCGACCGGGAACGATATGGTCAAGGTTTCTTCGCCGCTGATGTGGTGCAGTGTATCATGATGGCGTCTGTTGGCTCGCACGACTTCGCCTGGCTTCGTATATGTTCGCATGGCTTCGGCTGGATTCGGCTGACTTCGGTGTCTCTTGTTCGCTTGGTACGCTCTGGAGTCCAGTCGTACATCTCGGTGCGACAGGCTGAGCCCCATCCACAGCATCAGGGGCATCCAATTTCGCCGGACTCGAAGCCTCAGCCGAAGCCCCAGCCAAAGCCAGACCCGAAGCCGCAGTCAAAGTCAGCCCCAAAGCCGCCGCCTCCTCCGCAGAGGACAGCTTGGCAACAGACGGTGCGATATGCCAAGGTCACCAAAGATGCCTTGGTAGATCTTGCAGGGTGTAACATCATGGGCTCGTTCAATGTATGGACGTACTGCAAGCCTATCCCGGGCAAAAGACCAATGTACGACGAGGCTGGAATGTGGCCTGTCTGAGGTCGCCTGGAGAGTAAAGCCATAGCTGAGTCTGGCTGATTAAGCGCTCTTCAGTGCCGAGTTTCGCCGGGGAACGTTTGGGCACGCTGCAGTTCTCCCCAATTCTCCTTCTGATCTGACCTTCTCTTCTTACCTTTTCTTCTCATATCATCCTACAGACTCAGCCTCTAGATACGCCGAATGCCCCAAGCGTCTCCTCTCTATCTGCTACACTTCGAGCTGGCGCACTGAAGACGTTGAGTGGCGAAGTCGCGTCTCAGTCGACAAAGCTGCTGCAACAGGACGCAAGTGAGCAGAGCGACAAGCAGCGACTGCTGGCAGCTGCAGAGAAGCTCGGCATTCGCCCTGTAGGTTTGCCCCAGAACCCCGATGCACAGCAAGATCTCAAGCAGCTGACCGACGCTATTCACAATTACAAGTCACAGAGTCCCAGCGCTCAGCGTGCCCTCGAAGGGTCGCTACAGCCCGCCAACGGTACCAATTCAGCCCCAGGTACACCCACTACCACCTCTCCTCCCAAGCCCGGCGATCTCGCCAAGCTCGCTCAGTGCTTAGAGAACGTGATGGACTGTTTCGCCTCGTACGTCAGAGCCTCAGCCCACCGACCTCTCCCTGGCGACGAGGAGGTGCTGCGCCTACTCAGTCGTCGCGATGTGGAGCCTTCGCTAGCCGAGCTCCTCCAGGCTCGCCGTGACGCAGAGGTAAGCTAATCTGAGTCTGAGACTCTCATGGATCAGTATAGGGAAAGATGCATCTCTCACGACCGTCCCTTTCCCCACCTCCACACTTCCATTTGTTTTGTCTGCTCGTGTGCCCGTGAATCAACATCAATTCTCAAATCTTCAACGTCCAATCTCCCATACCCAACTTGGAATCTTCAAGCTCGACCTCGACCGTCGTCTCCTCCCCATGGCTGCCGTTGCGGGGGAAATGGGTCTCAAGTTCCTGGGCAAGAAGGTCCTCAAGATCGGCGCGAAGAAGCTGAGCAAAGTCGCCTCGAAGGGAGTCCTCAAGTCCGTCAGTCGCCCCGTAGCGCATCAGATTAGACGACCCATTGCGAAGGGTGTGGTGCGCAAAGCGGCGAGAAAGGTGGTCAAGGAGACGACGAAGGATTATGCACAGGACCAGCTGAGCAAGGCTTTCCATGGGCTGTTTGGTCGAGATGTTGAGCTCACAGCGATGAGGCGGGTGCGATGAATGTAGGTATAAACACTGACCAGCGAAGACTATACACACTCTTTCTCCCTACTCCCCCTTTCCACCCTCAGCTCCCACGTCCTGGAACTTACAAATCAGTCAAATCAATGTCTGCACTACGCTCCTTCACCCATAGTCTGACCGGCCGACCAATTCACCGACATGATAAAGACAATGACATTGACACTGACATTGACACTGACACTGACACTGACAGTGACGAGCACACCGCATCACAGCCAACGAGTGACCTGCCCATTGCATCGCATTTTCTGCCCTGCCAGCCGACCTCAATCAATAAAGTGCTCAACAGCGATAAAAGCACCTTCACTCCTCACACGTCACCGCACCTTTCTCTACCCATCCAGACTCACACGCAGAGTCTAGGTCTAAGTCTAGGTCTGTCTCTGTCTCTGTCTCTGTCTCTGTCTCTGTCTCCGTCTCTGTCTCTATCTCTGTCTCTCTCTCCGTCTCTGCATCTGCATACGAATAGATGAGATAGGCATAGATGTCCCTAGCAAGAGGAGTCGAAGCGGACAAGAGTGAGGAAAAGTGGAAGAGATTTACAACATGGAGGTTCATGACCGCGTCGAGCCTCTGAGAGAGAGAGAGAAGAGGAAGCGACAGAGAGAGAGAGAGAAAGAGGGAGAGTGGATGCAAGAGATTTGTGCATGGTATACTCTTTATATGTCATGGTCATGGTCGTGGGTAGACTAGTCGATTTCCATCTCCTGTTTCCCATCGCTCCGCTTCGCGACTGCCTTTCCCTTTTTACCTTTCCTTTTGTTCTAATCCACCTTCGCCTTGCCCCTCCATCCCCCTCTACTCCAACAATCCCGCCATCCACCACCCGCCATCCACCACCTCTCACGGTGGAATCTCATTCGCCATTAAATCAAAGTACGGATGCTTGAGCGCATCTGCCACCTTGATCCTATGCGCCGGGTCAAATTCCAACAACCTCCTCAACAAGTCCACAAATCTCTCATTGTGTTTTCTCCAGGCATTGGCCTTGCTAACAATCTCCCCCAATCGCCTCATCCCACTGACGTACTTTTTGGAATTCTTGGGCGTCTCGGCATTTGGGAAGTCTAGGCGGGAATTCTTAAAGTACTCTGCTTTGTACGTCTCTGCCTTTATGCGGAAATTGTCCGGCATGCCACCTAGAACTTGCTCCATCATGGCCAAGTGCTCAAGATTGTCGTGCGTCTGGAAGAGGGCGTCTCCGGTGTAGAATTCAATGAGGATGCAACCGATAGACCAAGCGTCGCAAGGGAAGGACCAGCCCATGTTGAGGATGATTTCTGGTGCACGATAATGCCGTGTCGACACCACTTGCGAATGGTACTCGTCGTTGAACGTCGCCGAGCCAAAGTCGATGAGCCGGATGTCCGTATCCTTCAACACCTTTTTCCGCCGTGCATTGGCGCGCCGTGAGGTTGCTTGCCAATCATAGTCTGAATTCACCAAGAGGATGTTCTCCGGCTTCAAGTCCGTATGCACAAGATTGAGGCGATGTAGGAATGCGACACTCTTGAGTAATTGTTGTGCAAACGACCAGATATGTTGCGGCGGGAAAGGGTTGAAGGTGTTGTCCTTCAGAAAGTCAAAGACCGACTTGCCCAACAGCTCAGAGACGATGCAGACGTGATTCCGGAAAGAGAACGTATCCAGCAGATGGATGCATTTGCTGTTGGGGAGGAGGGGTGGCAGAAGGTCAGCCTGGTCCGCATCATTGGCGCTTACTGGTTGCTCGTCATACTTACTTGTCATTTCTCGGATCGTTGGCACTTAGTGTCTTCAACACTCTGATCTCGATTTGACTTGCGTCCCTGTACTTTTGCACGGCGCGAATAACCTTGATGGCGACGTACCGCCGTTCAAGTCTATCGTAGCATTCGACGACCTTACCGAAGGTCCCTTGCCCTAATTGCGACAAGATTTGGTCTGAAAGCGGGCACGGAAGGAGAGACCGTCAGAAGACCCGCTTTCGACATCGGTCACTGTAGATGATGAAACTCACATCGGTTCTCGCCGCCCCTCGGGTCGCTGATCCAGTCCTTTTCCCGCACGATGAAGTGGCCATCCTTGTCGTCTACGGGTAGAGCTGGTGCAGCGATTGGAGCAGGCGCAATGGGCTGTTGATGATACGATGGTTGAGGATAGCCCTGCTATCAGAGTCGGCACGATTGAGGGAACCAATATCATCAGAGGGAGGTCAGCGCCGGCCCGGCTGGCTCTTCCCATGTCTCCCTTGCTACTCACCAGCCTCTTTGCTGCATCACCAGCATGTTGCACAATCTGCTGCCGACTTGACGACCCAACCCCGTTGGGTATCACGCCATTGCCGCCCGGATATCCGCCCCGATAGCTCGATCCTGTGACGGCCGCTCCGCCGCTACCGCTACCTGCTGAGGCGCCCGATGGCAAGTAAGGCACATTTCCTTGGTGAGTCTGATTCATCCATGACTGACGTGCAGCAGCGGCCTGAGCCGCGCTAGTCGGTGGTGCATACCCTGCGCTAGAGGGTTGACCATATGGCTGTGCATAAGCGCCCCCAGCTATCGGCCGTGGTGGTTGAAGGTCACCGCTCAGACCGCCTCTTTCGTCTGCTGCTGGGTCCTTTTTCCTCTTCTTGGCAGCCTGGGCAGCAGCTGCTGAGCTTCCTGCTGAAGTGGTATCATAAGAGGAGAGAGACGAGGTCGATTGCTGTAACGGGATCCGCGTCGGTGGTGCAGGCTGAGGCGGTGAAGCTCCGGCTTTCCTCTTGGCGCGTGCGGCCGAGGTGGTTGATCCGTTGCCGTTGAGGGGGTGGTGTCGCCCATTGGCGTTGTTGTCTGTATGGAGATCGGCTGCGAGTGGTCTAGCAGGGGGCGCATCGCCATCATCATCTTGACCTGCAGACTCGTCATCGTCGTCTATGAGAAAGACTTCCTGAATCTGATAGGCAGAGGCGGTGTGGGGCGCAAGTGGAGAGGTCGGAATGTCAGCTGATGTTGCTCGGCACTATGATGGTCTAGCAGTGAGCGCCTAGTATAACTGAAGGATCGTACTGCTTCATCATGCGCAGCGACGCTGAGAGGCACGGCTGCCTTCTCAGGCAGAAGCGAATGCCGATCCGTCGTCTCCTTGTACCATTGTACCAATGCTATGGCCACCGCTGCAGGCGCGTGAAATTGCTGCGCCTACAGTCCCCCGCCCGCTTCTCCCCCACCCGCGTTGGATGTCAATCTGCTATCGCCGCGATGTCCTCGTAGCAGTCATGATGATCTTCGACTGGCCAAGATCATCCTTGCTGTATCTCGTACGCGCCCTCGCCGTTGCCAGCTCGCCCTGTCGTGTCTCGTTGGGATGACCAGCACCGCGGCTGGCTGTCTCCTCCACTCACTTTTCCTCCGACGACCTCTTTTACGCTCCTGAGGTTCCTCGCGCTCCGCCTTAGGCCAGCAGCTGTTGATGTCGACCCCATGAGAGAAGAGGAAGACGTCGATGCTACGGCATTGACGATGCGATCTTGCTCGTCGGGCGCCATGGCCGAGCGAGAAGTAGGTGGTTATGCCTTTGTGGGGCGGGGGTAGGGGAGATGGGATGAGATGCGGTGGGATGCGGTGCGTTTGGCCCGCGAGACGCGAGGTGGTCCAGTTGGCAAAGGCTGCCAGAGAGCGGGATCAAGGAAGAGTAGATGGATGGTGAAGGGCGTGTATAGGACAAGGCGAGGTACAAGGACGTTCGTTGTCAGCTCCTTGTCGCCTCGATACGATGGCAGAGGAATCAAGGCGGGGAGGGGGGCAGACTAGGTTATTCGCGGAAGCCTGGGTGGGCGGGCGACTGACGGCCACGGGCGACGCAGGGCGGAGGCACATGGGATCATCAATGGCCTTGACCTCAGGCCGACGCCCCCGCGCGCACACTTCGCCCACACCCACACCACGCCAGCCAGACAGACAGACAAACGGACATCGCCGGAAGCCCGGCCGGCAATGCCTCTTCGCACTGGTGACGTCGAAGACGAGCTCAGCAGACCTAAAGAGGTTTCAGCAGATATCAGCAGTGGTGGTACCAAGCGCCTTTGGATCCCTTTCTCAACGCGGTGCAGAAGTACCTGCAGCCACAATCATCGCTTAGAGATCCCCTTGGACCTGCCTCGCTCCCCTGACAGCCTTGGACAGAAGCCCTTGAATATCGACGGCAGAAACATGCCAGTCCACTTTACACCTCGTTCGTCTGATACAAGTGTGACATGCCTATGCTACCCCTTTGCTACAATCTCTTGTCCATCGACGTCGCTGTGCAGTGTGTGTGTGTGACGGGTGCGGGCCAGGAGGGACCGACAGGGACGGAGCGGAAGGGGCGGAGCGTCGACCCGCGCAACGCAATGCAATCATCCTCGCCTGGACGTTGCTATCGCTCACTCCCTCCATTGTCTCGTCACTGACTCACACTCATCATCACCATCGATTGTCTCCTACTCTCACTCTCCCAGCAAGCGCAGTCACGATGAGATCTCGGGCGCTACAGCCCCGCAGTCTCTTTCGGATCGCCACCTCTCCCTCCACCGCCGCGGCAGGTTCCGTCCTCGTAGCCTCGTCTGCCGCTACCTCCAGTAGCCTTGCCACTGCTACTGGCAGCAGCAGGCAGAGCAGCCATGTCCCGCCATCGAGGTCCCTCAGCAGGACAAGGAGCAGGACAAGAGCCAACAGCTCCACGTCCACCTCTTCCTCCGCCGCCTCAGCTGCTGCTCACACCGCCGACTCTTCCGTGAGGAGGAGCAGTGGAGGAGGGGCAACCCCCACTAGCGCTCGCGCTTCCTCCTCGCAAGCATACCCGGCCCCGACCACCTATCGCCTTTCCCACCCCGTCATCCCCGTGCGGCCTCCTCCTCATTCTCAAGTGTCTGTTGGTCTTCAGTCCTTCTTCTGTCAAGGCAGACCGCTGCTGGAGCACCACAACATTCTAGAAGGCGGTCGCGGATCAGGTCTCTCTGGCTCTGGAGCTGGCGCAGGTTCAGGCAATCACCCTGCCATGGTCGGTGTAGCTCTGATGGTACCCTCAGACGTGGACGTTGATGTAGGAGCATCCTCTTCCGCAAGGGAGCTCGAAGAGCAATCCACCCCTTCATCGGCATCTTCCAGCGAAGGCACTCTCCTGCGGAATCAACGGCTGCCAGATGGCGTCGAGGCTCAGATCAAGGCAAAAGCACAAGCATTGCTGGAGCGCATGACCACCTTGAGAGACGACCTTGCCAAGGCCTCGCCTGAGGAGCGTCAGAAGATGCTCGCAAGCGTAGGCGGATCGGCCAAGGATCTCCTCCCTGCGGGCTTCAAGCAGGTCCAGCAAAGCTTGTCCTCCCTCTCCCCCGGATTCATGACCTTCCAGCTTCATCTGCCCGCTCTTCAGTCAGTCCCTACACTCGCCTTCAACAAGATGCTCGACTCGATCACTTCCAACCCTCCTTCATCGGGCGGCAAGTCCTCTGGCAGCAACAGCCCCCTCTCTCTTTACACTCAGATTTCCACTCTGCAGCAGTTCGAGTCAGACCGGCAACTCTCCATCAAGCAAGCTTTGGAGCGTGGCGAAGATCCAGAGCTCGCAAGTGCTCTGGGCCCCGAGAGCGACCTCGTCGTTCTCGGCGAGCCAGAGGGACCACGTAAAGAGTGGGGTCGCGGCGTGACGAGCTACCTTGCAAAAGTGGGCCGGCCCTTTTCACCGCCCGGTGCGCCCATGAAGGGTGAAGAGGCGGCACGCACTAAAGGACTGGACGATCTCATGAGCTACCACGTCTCCACTGCCGAGGGCGAGCTGGACGGCGAAGGCGACTTTGTAGAGATGCACGAGGGAGCTCAGGGAGCCTCCATGGCCGATGTACTTGCAGAGCATCTCGGCGAGTCTTCCTCCCCTCCGCACTCCCACTCCCGCTCCAATCTCAGGACCTCGACTTCAGCCTCGACCACGACTTCGACGTCGGGCAGCGGAGACCCCGAGGACCTCAACCTCTGGCTGGGACACGCAATTGTTCAGGAACGGCTCAAGGCACAGCTCCCCTGGGATCGCCTTTTAGCTCAGATGGACCGCGCTAGTGTACTCCCACAACAGCAAGGAGAGCAAGCAGGAGAGATCGATGTGAGCGCCCTGCGCATCACGCTTCCTACTACCGCCCCGCAAAAGACACAAGGTCGGAATGTACGTCGATCACCCAAGATCTTCACCCGCACACCCACCTCTTCCGTCGTCGAGGCAGCCACCTCCGTCGGCAGCGAGGTGAATGCCACTCCAGTGACGACTAGGATGGAGGTGGAGGGTGCAAGTGAGGTAGTGGTGGAAATGGATTCGGTTCGTCGCAAGAGGAAAAAGAAGATGAACAAGATGAAGTACAAGAAGTTGAGAAAGAGGCAGAGGAGTGAGAGACAGAGGTTGAAGAAGTAAAGTAGTAAGGCGAAGGGGAGCGGAGCGAGCTTGACGTGTTTGGGAGGGTGAGGGAGCGAATGGGTGGGAAGAAGGGAGGTAGACGAGTGGATCTGGGTTCCGGGTCCGGGTCCAGGTCGGAACTTGGGAGTTGGGAGTTGGGACGATCAGGGCCCAAAGGGTGGAGTGGAGAGGGGGTGAGGTGGTCGCCACCAAGCTCGATGGATAATAACAACACCACACCACAACACAATACACTCCAATGCAACACAGTGCAACCCAATTGCAAAGGATTTTGCTCTTGCTCCTGAGTGAGTACAAACGCCGTGCGCACACGAACACACGAAGCCTTGCAAACAAAGGGAAAGTGGGTTGAGATGAGATGAGATTGCTTTATTCCACATTGACGTCGAGGTCGAGGTCGAGATCGAGGTCAAGGTTGGTGTAGACGTCCATTTCTGACTGCTTTGCTCTGCTTTGCTTTGGATTTCTGGGGGTGTAGCGATGCATGGTGGATACACCAATCCCAACCCTTCCTAGCCCTTCCTTCTCCCTTCCCTTCCCTTGCCTTGCCTGGTCCGGCCTGGCCTTCTTTGTCTCCCTTCGCTTTTCGCATTCCCTGGCTTGTTTTCCCCCTTCCGCCCCCCCCCCCCCCTCATCCTATCCGTGTGACGTCTCGAGGTACTTGAGCATGTCGTGCCTCCCCATTTCTTCCTTCCTGACAAACCCAAATGTTGCATTCCTGTTGAGCTCCTCCGTCTTGTCGCACTGATCTCCGCCCATCCCTCTACTCTTGACCCTCGCTACGCTCGCGCACTCAAGGCTTGGGAACCCTAAGCGTCTTGCTGACCATGGCCACCGACCAAGCTAGGAAGACCAGTGAGACCCAGTGAAACTCGACTGTGAGCTTCTCATACCACTGCTCCCTCGTACCCCTGAGGTGGGGGCCCATCTTGATGCCCACCACAGCCGCAACGTCGCGCAGGCCCACTACGACTTTTCCAAAGGGAACGCCGTACGTGTATCCCTTTACCAGACCTAACACCTGGCCCGTCTTGCCCGTTGTGGACGAGGAGGAGCCGGCTGCGAAGCCTACGAGACGATTGGTGAACTGCCATGCTCCGCCGGTCATGCTGACAGTTTCTGCTCCCTCGAATTTGCCAAAGAGGAGGCTGGCAGCCATCCCACCCACGAGGATGAGAGAGGTGGGGATGGGTAGACCTTCAAAGTATTTGGCCTTGCCAGACTTGTCATGCGGGACAGTGGCAGTAGTCACGTTGAAGCGGGCAAGACGGGCTACGCCGGCGCAGATGAAGAAGGTGAGGATGAGGGTGTCGACGGGAGTGCGTAGGCCGAGGGTGAAGGCTGCGACGCAGGGTGCGGCGCCAAAGGAAATCTAAGGAAGAGAGGCAAAAGGAGTGAGAAGGGAGAGGATGTCAGAGATCACGGAAGTTGATTGATGGTGTTCTGCTCTGCTTCTCCTTGCTTCCCGCTTATACTCACCGAGTCGGCCAGACTGTCTAGCTCCTGTCCAAGCATACTTCCTCCTCCCCTCCACCTAGCAATCTTACCATCAAGCAGATCAAAGATGGCACCGAAAAAGGGACACCAGAGTGCCAGCCAGGCATACTGGGTGTCGTTCGTGGCGAGGTAGCGTGCAGAGAAGAAGAGGGATTGGCCGGCGCAAAAGGCATTCATGATGGTGAAGGCATCGGCTAGGCGGAAGTTGCTGTCAGGGCGGGGCGGGCGTGAGGGCAAGGGGGAAAAGAGGAGGACGGGGAACAAGTAGCAGTGAGATGATCAGGGATATTGGTGTGACTGTGTCAGTGCAAGAGCTCCAGCACCATGTACGTTGGCGTCCACTCCACTCACCGAACAAGACTAAAGTGCCCCTGTGTCTCTACAAACTTCCTGAGTGCCCTCTCCTGTTCTTCATCTTCGCCAATGGAGGCGGTGCGTGCGGGAACGGGAGGCTGAGCTTTTACCGACGAGGCAGAGCTGACCTTTGGCTTATTGTTGTTGCCTGCCATGATTGTGGCCAGAAGGTGATGTGGTGCGGTAGTGACCACGAGGACAAGTGGAGGAGAGCACCAGGCGTGTTGGGGAGTGTTGGTGGTTGGTGGTAAAGGTGACGTGCTTGCGAGCAGCAGTCAGTCTGTTGTGTCGAAAGGGTCGGATATGCTGGTCTACGTGAGAGTATGTTGACCAGGTTGAGATGGACGGCGCAATCAAAGGACAGAAGAGGAAGCAAAGGTAGAAGGTAGAATGCTACGCTCCTTCCCAGCAGGCAGAGGGAAAAGGCCTAGACAGACAGAAGAAGCAGCAGCCACAGCCACAGCCACGTCTCCTCACACACGCGCACTGCCACACGCACGCCATGCACACCGCACGCACAGTCCACTCGCAACACACAGGCAGATACTATACCCACCACCCCGCCTACCATCACCCACCCGCACCACCCATGTCCGCACCATCAGCCACCCTCGCACCCGCACCTTCCTCCAGAGCAGAGAGGGATCGACTGCGCGACTACTATGGTCTCGCATCTGCACCATCCTCTTCCTCTGCCACTGCTGCTTCACGCCCACCACCGCCCATTGATGATCCAGCTCAAAAGTACAGGGACTTGGTAAAGAGGGAGAACATCTCGGGATTGCTCAAGGCACAGAGTGATTTGCTCACTGGTGAGCACAGAAGATGGGACGCTTCATCTCCGAGCTACCCCAGCTCACTAACTCCCCCGCACCACCTCTCCCAGAGATTCGCGAGCTGGACGGAGATCGCCAATCCCTCGTGTACAACCATCACACCGATCTCGTCTCAGCAAGCGAGACCATCAGCAAGGTACGTCCGGCGCAGCTCAGAGCCATAGATGGAGAGATACGACTATCCACTAACGTCGTGCCTCTCTCTTCCTCGCCCGCTCCGCAGATGAAGTCCCACGCCGAATCCCTCTCTCCGACCCTAGCCACCCTCGCATCCTCCTTCGACAATATGTCCCGTCTGGAAGCTCAATTACGCTCCGCGCTCTTGCCCATCTACCCGCAACCGCCTCCCTCTTCCAACAACAGCAACGCAAATTCGCAGCAGGGTACCTCGCACGTAGAGGCATTAGACGTTCAGAGGGATCTGGTGCCCATTGTCACTCTCCCGATGAGATTGAGGGACCTCATTGCACTGGGCGAGGACCAAGGGGGAGGAGGTACAGGCAGCAACTCAGGTCAGTCCGCACAATGATACTTCTCCTCAACAACACCTGTCTCATCAATTCCATCCTCCTCCCTTTCCCCCTCTTCTTGCCCACAGGTCTAGCTGCAGCCGAAGCGCTCTGGGGACGTCACGAAGCCGTTCTCTCCTCGTGGATTGCACAGGGAGTGCCTGGTGCAGAGGGTGTGGCTAGCGAATGTAGAGCGGTATTGAGGGAACAGAGGGAGAAGACTAGGAGGAGAGTCAGTGTAGGAGCGGGCGCTGCCGCATCGAATAGGTGTATCTGAAGCGAGTCACTGGAGGGGAGGGAAGGAAAGGGAAGGGATGAGGAGAGCATTGTACATTGATACCCACAACCGACACAGCATAAGCAAAATCAATCACCGCATCGTTACCCTCGACTCTTGAGCAATCACAGACACAAGCAAGCAATGTAGGGTGCAAGAAAAAGAAGAAGAAAAGGTACTTTGGATTGAGAAGAGGAAGAGGAAAAGGGAGGATATGCGCTGTTCGAACCTCGATGGCTGTAGCGTTGCATAGAAGGAGCAACAGGGCAAGGAAGGGGGGAAAAAAACAGAAGCAAGGACTCGAAGTCTGGTATCAAACATTTGGGGGGAATAGAAGACTCTATATACAACTCGGGATGGGTATCTACCTTCTAGACCTCAGCAGCAGCAGCAGCAGCAGCAGCAGCAGCAGCAAGGTCTAGCTCAATTGCTGGTAAACCTTTACCGAGTTAAATGTAAAGTATGCATCCTCAAAGTTGCTACCAGTCATGACCCTCGCTGTGCAATTTCCTGGACAGTACCTTTCACCATTCCCTGCCCAGTTGGATCCATAGACGTTGGTAGATCCAGCCCAATCACCACACAAGGTCATTGTAACAATGAGTGTCTGTGCACCAAAGTAGGTCTCAAAGTCGCAAGAATCCGGAGAGTACTTTGCCATTGGTTCAATCCACTTGGAAGGAGTGGGAGCACCATTGGTGATATCGGTAGTGATGGAAGCACGAGGAATGTACCAGGCTGTAATACCTGTAGTGTCAAATTGAACTGCGTAGATTCCACCACCGAGGGCGTTTACTCCCGAACCATAGGCGGGACTCTTGGTAGTACCCTTGGTGATAGCGCAACCACCCGTGGGGTTAGCATAGGCATAGCAGTTTTCTCTGTTGAGCGTACCAGAGTAGAGGTTCGTAGAGCTGCTTGCAGTAGCATTGCACCCATTGGCGGTATGCAATGTGACACTGTTCCAGGGTTGATCACCTACACCCTCTAGCAAGTCAATCTCACCACCGTATGGCCAGGTACCAGGACCATTGGACCAGAGAGCAGGCCAGACTGCACATCCTACCGGCATGTGTTCAATATCCCAGAGAACCAATCCAGTAGCATAGGAGTTCTTACTCTGCAATCGTACCGAAGGACGATTGACACCGTAGGAGTAGTTGTTGGTAGAATCAACGGCAGTGATAGCTTGACCTTTGTCATTGATATAAGCCAAACCAGCAGCATACGCGTCAGATTCACCCAAATAGTCGACGTTTCCATGGGTGGGATCAGCATAGTCGTAGAAGTACCAATTGTCGAAGAAGGTGTCACCGGAATAGTCATCAACGAGAGTCCAGTTGCCAGTAGGGGTGGAGGCAGTGGTACTGGTCGTCTTTGTCGAGCTCGTCTTCGTGGTAGTGCTCGTCTTGGTGGTAGTACTCGTCTTTGTCGTGGTGCTCGTCTTGGTCGATGTGGACGTCGAAGTGGACGAGGCTTTGGTCGATGTGGACGTCGAAGTAGACGAAGCCTTGGTAGATGTGCTTGTAGGGGTAGATGAAGTCTTGGTAGATGTAGACGAAGCCTTGGTAGATGTAGACGAAGCCTTTGTAGATGTAGACGTGGATGTACTCGTCTTGCTCGTACTCGAAGAGCTTGCCTTGGACGAAGTTGAGGAAGCTTTGGTAGATGTCGACGTCGAAGACGACGACGAACTCTTTGCAGAGCAGGCGGAGGCAGTCGATGACGCCTTACCGGTGCAGACGGCGGCGGCAATGGATGACAGAGGCTTAGTAGAGCTGCTGCTAGTGGTCTTTGTGCTAGTCTTCACTGTACTGCTAGTCTTCACTGTACTGCTGGTCTTCGCTGTACTGCTAGTCTTCGCCTTGCTGCTGGTCGTCTTTGTCGTGCTGCTAGTCTTCGCCGTACTGCTAGTCTTTGTCGAGCTCGAAGCCTTGCTCGAGCTGGAAGTAGTCGAAGAAGTCGCAGCACATGCTCTCTTCCTGTTGGCGTGCCTCTCCTGTTCTCTCTTGTGCTTCATGTCCAAGAAGAGCTCCTCTTCTTCAATCTCATCCTCTTCATCCACAGTCCTGACCATCATCGACTCTGCCACACGACCAGACAGGTCTCGTCTAGCATCGATCCAGCCTGGCACACTGTCCCGCTGCAAGAGTCCAGCACGCTCCGCGGCACCGTGCGCACGACGAGCGGGTTGCTGCGCTGATCGTGCGGCGGAAGTGGTGGGTAGGTAGGACGTAGAGGCGCCCAAGAGGAAGAGAGCAGAGGAAAGGGCGAGCTTGACCATTCTGAAGGAGGTGGATGAGTGAGGATATGAAAATGACCAAGGATGAAGTGTCTACCCAATAGCGCTAGCGCTGGCAGATTCGTACGGTCAGGTAGGGTGGATAAAGGTCTTGACGGGACGGCTAGCGGCGACGTCAAAGACGAGGGAGGAACCTATAAGAGTGAACGGGTAATTGCGGATTCAGTTTGGGACCGGCCCGAAACTAAGAATATGAAGGAGGATGGATGAGGGCGAAGACTCAGAAAGGTGAAGGTGCGAGGAATGAGCGTAAAGCGTCTGACAGCCTCCCTGGTTCTTAAGAGGCATGTCGAGATTCATCGTCGGACAAACGTCGCTGTCCCAATCGGGGCTTGTACCTTGGAAGGGGGGAGGAGAGGAGAATAGAATGTCATTCGAACCTCTGATTAACATTCACTGACTTGGCTCGCCTCTGCCACTAGAGTACTGGCGCCGAGCCCTTCTTGGCGCTCTGCCGATGATGATATGGCTCTCGCGGAACGTGAGCAAGGTTCATGGCCGTTGAGTCGCCGTGCTCCTCTGTAGGCAGGCACAGATGAAGCAAGACGCGTAGTAGATGCATCTATGAACCTTGCCGAGCAAGGCTAGATTAGTCTCCGACGGCGCATCTCCCCTGCGCTTGTGCTTGCAGGCTGGCCGATGAGCGCTCTAAGACAACGGCGAGACCTAAATTGTAAAGGTAAGAGCATTCCTTGACCTTGGAAGTGACCAGTCAACCATTTCCGCGTCTTCCCCCTGACTCAGTCGTGGTGCAGGGCTCCGATGGGTTGATAGCCCTCATAGCAGTCCCTTGCAGCCACACAAATGCGGGGTCGACGTGTTATTATATTTTCCCGCCGAGCGACGCCACCGAGACACAGCATCGCCCCTTCCCGCCCCCGAGTCGATCCACGGAAGCCACCACGTGGCGCTCAAATCCCGAAGGGACAAGCCAAGCCAAGCCAAACAGCCACGCCGTACCACGCGTCCTCCCTTTCCGCACCCCACTGTGCCTTTACCCTCGTCTGCCCCGGTCAGCCGGTAGAACAGGAATCCCTTACCCCGCGCCCCTGTCCGCCACCTCCTTGCCGCTACCCCTGCCCCTTCTCGGACAATCGGAGCCTCACCACGACCTTTTGGCGATCAGCAGATTGCTCTGTCCGTCGAGGATTAGCAAGCGACAGTGTTGTAGTCTGGGAGATGACAATGCGAGCAAGCACATGAGTGACCCTGGGCACCCGTGTCCCAGTCTGTTGGTCGGAGCGAGTCCGAGCAAGTTGCTCAGAGTAAGGCAGTAATTATAGCCATATCGTTGATAGGGTGGCAAGTGCCTTGCCCAAGAGGAAGTGATGGAGAAGGCCCGAGCTGATGCAAGTGGGTCTGACCATCATGCGGTCAGTCCGAGTCTCGCTGCCGAGGAGAGGACAGCTGAGGCAGCAACTGAAGTGGCCCTGCCACCGTCCTCCGGGACGAGTGCATCTGTAAGCCTCGAAGATCATCAGAGAGGTCATGGCCCAAGCTCAAGTCACGCCACCGGATCCGCCGCCAATCTACCGCCTGCGACAGCGACCAGCACGAAGGAAGAGAAGGACATTGTTTCACCTACTTCGTCCCCTGCGGAGGCTAGTCAGCGCCAACGCCGCCCCGGGACACGTCGCTCGCACATCGCTCCGTCGTCCCTAGCAGCTTACGTGGAATCAAAGGGTTACTTTAGCGTCACAGAGCTAGTCGGCCCCACCTGGTGCGAGTATTCGTACCAGTATGGCATCTTCGGCCTCTCTTTCCTCCCGGCCTCTCAGCGGCCCACGGAAGTGGCTCTCCCCTCTGGCGCTGTTCTTCGACCCAACTTTGTGCTAGCCGAGAAGAAGGAAGAGATTCAGGTAGCTGGGCGAGAGATCCACAAGAAGCTTGAGGAGGAGATTCATCCTGAGAAGGTGTATGTGCAGACAAAGAGTAGAGAGGACGATTGGGCTTTGAGGTTGCTGAGACTGGTGGTTGGACTCAGAGCGCTCATCGATGGAGGGTGTGTCAGAGAGCTGCCGGTCTTCGGATGGGTACAGGACCATCTCGTGATGGGCATCATTGATGAAATCGAGAGACGACCTTTAGCGCCGAAGAAGCGTAAGCAACAACCGCCTTCTGTGCTAGATGCGGAGCCTCCACAAGATCAGCCAAAGCTACCGTTTGCACCTCCAACTTCACCTCACAAGACATCGTCCACTTCGACTGCCAATCCTCAGACCCAGATTAAGTCCCCCAGCGCAGGCACCGGCAAGAAGCAATGGGCCTCTCAAGAGGAGTGGAAGGCGCACGAGCGCAAAGTGTCAGCTGCCAAGAAGATGGCGGCAAAGAGTAAGAACAAGGCAAAGAGCCGAGCAGGAGGCCCAACGGCCAGTCAAAGCAAGAGCGCAGCCCCAGCTACGCCGGAAAAGAGCCAGAAGTCGCCTGCCAAGGGAACTCTAATGGGCTTCTTTGGTGTGACAAAGGGAGCAGTTGATCTGGCGGATTCAGCGACAGTCTCCGAAAGTCAGGGTGAGGTTGAGAATCTACTTGAGGTGGACGTGGCTGCGCCGGCTGCGGGCTTATCCCCTGCGGAAGCTTCATCTGCGCCAGTCCCTAGCCAGAGCATGCAATCGTCGCAGGCAGTCGCAGCTCCTTCGTCTCAGCAACCATCGCGAAATCCCAAAGTTGACCGGAAAGTGGATGCTGGACCGCCTGATTCGCCGCGCTTCGGCTATTTCCTTGGCGACACCAAGACACGTCTCTTCCCTGCCATACCAGCGATAGTGGATCAAAGAGCGGCGAGGCTGCAGACCATGCTTTACAAGAGGCTCCTCGACGGCCTTTGTCTCGGAGCTATGCGCCGACGGGCTGCCCACCTTGGAAAAGAGGTGGCTGACGCCGCAAGAGACCCCAGCGAAGCAGAGAGGGACGTCGGTCTGCTCCTCGACACTGATGCTACGCCCGTAGAATTTGAACGGCTGTTCTCCTCGCTGGGCCTCGAAGCTCGTGAGACGCTCAGTGACGCTTTCCTGGAGGATGCACAGGTACTGCTAGAGGGCATTGAGCCTCCGACTGGTAGAAAGAGCACAAGAGGAGGCAGAGAGGAACCGATTGACCTCACTGCTTCGCAGGAGATCCTGCCTGGTGTGCAAAGTCTCTCCGATGTAGCTCAGCTAGCAGACAAGACCTTAGTCGAGCTGATCTACACCGCTCGTAAGCAGGCTGGCCTCTCCGCGGAGACTGGACCCGAAGAGGGCACGCACTATGCTGCAGCGCTGCAGACGAGCTTGAGCCTGATTTACCGTCTGCAGAGCAAGAAAGGAGGCCGATGGAAGAGGAACAAGAAGAAGAGGGATCCGGAGGAGACTAGCAAGGCGCTACCTCCCTCTGAGAAGGTCGGCTCGTCAGACACGCCTCAATCGCTTGCGGGTGAGGCAGTACGACACCAGACCAGCACTCTCCCTTTTGCTACCCAGGCGAACGGTCTTGCTATGCACGACGCCGACAATGACGACGAAGTGCAACTGATGCTCGCAATCCAGATGAGCCTCGACAGTCAAGCCGAGGTCCGCCTGTCCGGCGCTGGGGCAGAAGATGGCGAAGGCAAAGAAGGGAGTCAAGGCTCACCGCCTGTCGCTACGCCAATAAAGACAAGAGGAAGAGGCAAGCGGCGATCGAGCGCTTCCACTGTGTCCGGACTATCGCAGGCGTCTTCTAGTCCGTTTTCACAGCAGCCTAGGAGGAAGAGTCGCAGGTTGGCCGAGGCGAGAGGGGAAGAATCTAGCGCGGTGAAGACCAATGGCTCACAGGTGAATCAGACAAGCGCCAACTCTCCATCGCTCGCTTCAACTCCCACCGCTCCGCCAAAAAACAGCAATGGCAGTAGCAGCAAGAGCAACTCCGACGGCAAGTCCACCCTGATCGGCACAGTCCACTACACGCACTCTCCCCGTCTCCTCTCCCTCCATCTCTCCTCCATCCTAGGCTTCTGGCTACAGACACGCATGCCAAGGGGAGTAAAAGAGAGTGAGACGTGGAAGTGCAATGGGTGTGAGTGGCGTGAGGGATGCGAATGGCGTGCTGAGAGGGGAGAGGAAAGATGGAAGGACGCGCTGGCTTCGAGGAGTCGACGTGAGGAGGAGCAGATGGTAATGCAGATGGAACATCAAAGGGAAATTGGTCAGTTGGGAGAGGGTGAAGATGCAGAAGAAGAGGAAGGTGATAGCTCTGCGGAAATCATTGACCTCGGAGTCGGCAATACAGACTCCGTGCGAGAAGAGGAAGAAGGGCCAGGAGACGAGGATGAGGACGAGGATCTCTGGAAGCACTTTAACACCACGGATGACATCGGTGACGAGTTGGACATCGAGGAAATGGATATTTCGATGCATTGAGAGCTTCAAGACGCTTTTCCTCCATCTGTAGCCTATCATACGCTTTCCACATGTCTATCGCTCGCACAGCAAACAATCAGCAATATGTATGTATTTCGCAACACAGACATCGAGCACTCGCCCAGTCGCTCATGTGCCCGCACCTCCCTGAGCAGCAGCTAGACGAGCAGCCTTGAACTTTGACATCTTCGGCTTCGGCTCTGCCTCCTCGCTTGCCTCCGCAGTAGGCGCTCTTGTGTCTGCGTCGCTGTTGCTCTGCGACTTCTTCGTCCCGCTAGCGGAAGGAGATGCGTCGACGAGGGAGCTGCTATGATTAGATGGCGGCGTGAGTCCATTAGAGCTTAGAAGTGAAGCTGTGCCATTACTTTCCTTGACACTGGGGTTGCTGCTGACTCTACTGCTCTTCAGCGCAGGCGGTGCAGGCATAGCCTTTCCGCTATCGCCAATATCCCCTTCCTCGCGGCGCTTCCCATTCTCCCCCTTTGCCCGTGGCTTTGCAGCTGCATTTGCTGGTGAGCCTCCCTCGGCTTTGCGTTCCTCTCGATCCCGCTTCTCTTGCAGACGTGCGCGCATGATATCCATGAGCATGTCGTCTTTCTCATCCTCGTCTGTCTCTCCTTCCAGATCTACCCCTTCCCTGGGTAGAGGGTCCTCCTCCGTCAATGGCTCCGTACGTAGAGGTCCTCCGGCCTTGCGCGGGAAGCGGAGAGGTGTGAGAGAGGGAAGGATCATCACGGGTGGAACAGGCTGGTCACCATCCTGCTCCTGCTCCTTGCCATTTGCTCCTCGTGAAGGCCTGGAAGTCGAAGCGTGGGCGCCGGTACTACCTTCGGGTCCGATGTTGGTAGCTCCTTCCAGTAGGTGGGCCAGATCGTGACCCGCTTCATCGGCGCGTCGATCAGCTTCATCCGCTCCAGGCTTGATTCCAGCTTCTGGTCGACTGGGGACTTTGCCCACTGCACCATCGCCCATACCAAGGGCTTTGACGATCCTGCTAGCGCGGAAGCGACTCATCTTCGTGTTCGGGCCTGCTCCCTCGCGCTCTGCCGCCTCGCCCGGGTCCAAGACAGAGGAGAGGTCTCGGCCATCGATCTCCTCCTCTGTCCAGAGATCGCCTCCGGATTCTTCCTCGTCTGCGTCCCGGCCGCGAGAGAGCTCTCCGCTGATGGCCCTTTCGAGATCTCTTCGACGCTCCTCGGTCATCTGTGAGCGAGAAGCCATCTGCTGGGATTTGGCCAGTGCATAGGAGCGAGCCAGCTCGGCGGACTCGAGGTCAGTGACCAGACTCGAGGGGTCATTGTCCTCATCATCATCGGGACCATAGTCGTCCTCATCTTCGAGATCCCAGTCTGAGTCGTGCTCGTCTTCATCGTCCTCGTCTTGAAACAGGTCGAAGCGCTGGCGAAGCTTGGCAGCACTCAGATCGCCTTCGTCGTCTGAATGATCGCCGGAAGCATAGGCAGCACGAGCATAGGCCTCTTCGTCGTGCTCATCGATCTCACCAGCATCCTCATCGTCGTCGACTTCAACGAGAGCAGCCTCATGATGAGCCTCTTCCGCTTCGGCTTCCTCGAGGTCCTCTCGACGTTGCCTCGCACTCGCAGTCTGCTCCTCTACCTGTCTCCGCTCCTGCTCGTCGCCGTCTTCGTCCCCGCCATCAGTACCAGCAAGTTTGAAGCGGACTTTGCTTCCCTCTTCGGAGCCAGTATCGACAACCTTCGCTGCCTTGAGCCGCTCAGCGCCTTCCTCAGCAGAGGTGATAGGATCTGCCTGCTGCTTCTTCTCCAGCTTCTCGGCATAGGCCTTGCTAGGTCGAGCATGAGGAACGGCTGGTGGTAAACCTTTCGCCTCTCGCTCCTGAGAGAGAGGGGCATCTTTGATCAAGGACCGGTCAAGTGCGGACATGCCGAGAGAGACCTTTGGATCTTTCGGCCCAGGTGAAGATGCCGTCGTTGGCTTTGTGGAGGAAGAGCTCGACGTCGAGGCTTTCGAAGCTGATGGCGATGGCTTGTAGGGAGCATTGAGGAAACCTCGCTTGAAGGCGCTGACTTTCGCATTCTGCACAGCAGCTGGCACCTTCGTAGCCCCTGCGCTCGTACTAGCAGTCCCTCTCTCGCGCTCCTTGACTTGCAGACCAATCGCGGGCCTTTGCTCTCTGCCCTTCTCCGCTTCCCTCTTCTTCTCTTCGCGGAGCCTCCGGACCTCCTCTGCCTGTAATTGCGCTCTCCGCTCTTCCTCCTCAAGATTCAGCTTCCGCAGCGCTTCGTCACCGGCAGGAGTGCCCTGAACCACTTCTGGTCCGAGCAGGGTCAGGATCCGTGCAGCCTCTGCTTCCAGGCTCACTGTATCTTCTTCCTCGTTTCGTAGGCTAGAAGCGGATCTCGCGTTCGAGGAGACCGGAGCGGGCGGGAGGAGGGAGCTGCTGCTGCTCGTCAAAGCTGTTGAAGCTTCATTTCCACCCTCAATTGGCGGTATTTCTCTAAAGGCAGATGGTCCAGGGCTCTGTATCCTCACGCTCTTCTTCCTCTTTCGTTCCTTCACACCTCCCAGCGCAGATCGAGACGGCAACTCTTCACTCTTGCTCATCCTCTCTTCTTCCGCCTTGAGGGTCTTTGCTCGCCCTCTGGCTCCTCCACCACTCTCGTCGTCGCTCGCAGCCTCCGTGGCAGCCTCGTATGCCTCGAGTGGATCTGAGCTAGAGATAGCAGCTGGGCTGCTCGGATTCATGTTGAGGAATCCTTTCCGGATGCCTGACGAGCCAAAAGATGGTCTTGGAGTGGTAGGCCGCGAGGAAGGCTTCAGGACCGATCTGAGCGGAGTCGCCTCGGTAGAAGGACGAGATACGGGGGGCGTTGCAGGAACTGAAGGCGCAGCCGACCTAGACGAAAGCGGAGGCGACGAAATGCGAGTATCCGAAGGTCCAAAGGAGGTGACAGACGGTCTTGTGGAGCCTTCTCCGTCTTCCTCTTCGTCTACTTCCTCATCCTCTTCGTCCTCTTGACCGAACCTGCTGAAGACGCTTTCAATCCACTTTTTCCTCGCCTCTCCCGTGAGCTTCTCTTGAGGCTCAAACGTGGGAAGGATGGACCGCGTAGACGTACCAGCTCCTCCTGAATTCTGTTCATCTGGCAGCTCTTCATTCAAGTCCACAAAGGGCAGACCCTCCTCGTTGAGAACCCGCCCATCTTCGTCCACCAGCGTAGCGGGCTGGGGGGCCTGCGGTTGGAGATGTGCAAGGGAAGCTGACGAGGGGCCAGCACCAGTAGGGGACTCGACTGCCCCTGCAGCCTGAGCCGCTTGCATCGTCTCCTCGATCCGTTCCTTAGCTTCCTTGACCAGGTGGTTGCGCAGCGTCTCAAAATGCTCAATGAGCCCAGTGACAATCTGTCTTGTAGCGAGAATCGCCTCGTGCTTCGAGTTGAAGACGGTGTAGCTCACTCCCTGCCTCTCCACTCCCTCACATGCCAATCCGATCTCGCCGCCTTCCCCTTCCCCAATGAGGACAAAAGGCGGCGGCTCTTTTCTTCCGCCGGCTGCATCTGACAGCTTGGAAGTAATGGGCGGACTGGTACGAATCGCCACTTGTCCCTCGCCGCTGGAAGCGCTCAGAGGTGTGATGCCCGCAAGGCTCTTGAGCTGCTCGGTTCCATACTCTATGGAGGTCTTGAGAGCAGCAAGGCGGGAGCGGGCGATGAGGAGCGGGTCGGGCCCGGTGGAGGAAGAGGGTGTTGGAGAGGAAGAGGTGGATACGCCCAGAGAGGAGAGGAGCTGGGCGAGGTCGGACGAGGGGGAGAGGAGCGAGGGAGGACCGTCCATGACTGCGTGTGCGAGATCAAAAGTAGTGAATGGTCGCTATCTCATGCCAGCAGGGTGTGTATGACGACGATGAAATCCGGAAAGTGGCGATGTTCTACAGTGATTCTGTCCTGCGAAGTTCACTTTGCGGGGATCCGGTCATACGAGTCGATTAAAGATTGTTCAAAGTCCGCGACGTCACCGATGCGCAAAGTGCTCCTTCCGTACAGACGGAAGGTAGCCGTTCTTCCCACCTCCCTGTCAAGTACGATCAGCAACGGCTAACCTGGACCACCGATATCCCTCTTGACGACTATCCACTCTCTCGTTATGCTCGCCAGAGCTGCAGGTCCATCAGCTCGTGCTCTCGTCGGCCAGTCCTCGCGGACAACGACGGCAGCAGCGCGAGTTCTTCTCTGTCCCTCCCTCAGCCCCTGCTGCGTCCCCTCGAGGAGCTCTCAAGCCATTCCTCCTCTGCATCGCAGCTTCACCCATTCTACTGTGCAGAGGTACGCCGATGCCACCACACCACATTCGACGATCTCGGACCCGGCAGAGCTAGAGGCGCAAAAGGCGCTAGAGGAAGGTACGCATGCTCTTGAGAGGGGGGACTGGGAGGAAGCCAAGAGGGCCTATGAGAGGAGGTGAGTCGTACACTCTCCATCTTGACTCCACAAAAAATCTTTCCAGCTCACACTCCAAGACTCTCTCCCACAGCAATTCGATCAAGGAGTCTTCCTCCTCTCACTTCAATCTAGGTGTAGTTCACTTCCAGACCTCGGACCTACCCGCCTCGATTGCCTCCTTCCAGCGCTCCCTCTCCCTCTCACCCCAAAGTTCCGACACACATACCAACCTAGCCTCAGCCTACGTCATGTCCTCTCCCGCTCGTCCAGACTTGGCAGTAGAGCATCTTCAAAAAGCCGTGGAAATCGATCGGGCAGCTGGGCCTGGGGCAGAAGATGGAGAAGTTTGGTTTAATCTAGGAGCGGTTTTGGAGGCTTGTGAGAGACTAGAGGAGAGTGTAAAGGCGTATGAAAAGGCTAGGGAGTTGGGAATTGAGAGGGCGGGGATGAATTTGAGGAATGTCACGGCAAAGATTTTGGCGGTCAAGGTGGGGGCGAAGCAGGAGGGCGAGGCCGAAGAGAGTCAAGCAGGGGGAGAGGGAGAGGGGGAGCGCAAGTGAGGTTGAATGAGACTCAGGTAGTCGAAATAGACCAGGAGCAATAGATGGGTGAGCTCTCACAGGATCTGCGTCCCCAGAGGATATTGACGAGATAAGGTTGCGAGTTGCGTGTGTTGAGAACAGACAAGGCCTGAGCGCCTGAGACATTGCGAGCGACAAACAAGCTCGCCGGGGGCTGCCTCGGAGCCTCAGGGTCGCCCTCAAGCCTGAGTCGCCCCTCATTCCAGCTCGTCCCTCTCTTCATCGTCCTCTCTTTCCCCTCTTCTCTTCTTCCTGTCCGGTCCTTCCTCACCCTCATCTCCGTCGTCCTCCCCTCCGTCCTCATCATCCTCATTATCCTCTTCTTCACCCTCTTCGTGCCTCTCGTCCCCTTCATGATCTCGACCTTCATTGTGTACCGGCCGAGAACCACGAGGTCCGACGTCACTTCGACCTCCACCCCCATCGCTCTCCCCACTCGCAGTAGACCAGACTGTTCCTCCACTAGACTCAACCTGGCGAGGTCCTCCTGCTGGTGGACCTCTAGGATTGCCACTCCAATGCCCACTAGGGGAGCTAACATGTCCAGATCCCGGTCCTGCCACGTCCTTTTTCCGTGCATTGGTCGCCTCGTCAATGGCATTGTCGACAATCTGCTGCAGCAGCTGCCTAGCTTTGAAGCTTCCCTCGCATTGAGCCAACATAGGATGCGTGTACTCGATGAAATTCGTACACGCCTTGACGCGGTCCTTGGGTTGCTTTGCCATGCGCACCAGTGGCTCCAGCCATTCGTTGTAGACGGCCCTACCCGTCTTGCGGGCATGCAGGTATTCCTGAGGGCTGACCTCCAGATAGTCCTTGAGCGGTAGTCGACCCAGCTTGGCCATCGTCCTGCCCGTCTTGCGCTGCAGATCCAGGCGGGCGGCCTGCAGTGTGCGGAATTGGGGTTCAGGGAGAAGTCGCAGCTTGCTCTCGGAAGGCTGGGGAGGTGTAAAGGCCCAGAATTGGTAGGAACCCATAGGTCCCACCGGTGCTCCCTCCATTCCACCCTGAGCTCCCTCGGGACTATGCGAAGTTGAGAACTCTCCATGATGGGCAGAGACTACTGTCGGCTCTCGCTTCAGGCGGCGCAGCGGTGCCACCATGTCGTTCGTCGAAGCAGCCGAAGGGGACGGTGCAGCACCCGAAGACCGTTGCGGTGGAGACAAGCGGGCTTGGCGCTTGCGTGACAGTGAGGAGGGGCTCTCGCTTAGATGAGAGGAAGGCAGTGCTCCACCATTCCCATTAGAGCTGGAACCATACCCTCGCGGTGGGGCTGATGACGTGCTGTTCTGGAAAGATTGCGCTTGCGGTACCGGGGCCGGCTGGTGATGATGCTGATGAGAAGATGAAGAATATCCGTGAGAGTGGCTAGGGAAAGGATGAAAAGGTTGCTCCGACGGCGTCACTGAGTCTGTGTAGAGAGACCTGCTGTGAACATGACCCCCTAGGGCGGAGACCGTAGAGGAAGCGCCTTCGAGCGCTCCAGGGACGCTGCTCTCGTCTGTACTATAGCCAGGGATACGTCCGTTCCCTACTGCTAGCTGACGAGGGGACACGCGACTGAAGGCCATGCCGTGACGAGGGTTGGGTACGATGCCTCTCGCATGGTTGCTGATCGGAGCACTATACGTCGAGGCGCCGGGCACAATCGCTGAATTCTGCAACTCGAACTCGACGCTGTTGACTCCTCCATTCTGATCCATGCTGCCATTGTTGCTCTGCGCATGGCCGCTTGCTAGCTCAGAGTTACCCGCAGCTTGACCATTGTGATTGACAGCCGGCTGTGGGCGATGTGAATGGTCCACAGCTGTAAAGGGACGAACGCTGGTCGTCACTGCGTACGAAGTTTCAGGTCTCTGATCCGGAGGGGACGGGTACCGATCAACAACGTCCGCTTCGCCGCTGCCACTTGCGGGAAAGCTCATTCCTCCGCCCATTTGGGTATTCTCCTCTATAGTCAGATGTTGTCTCGATCCATTCATGTCTGCATTCGTGGAATTCGAGGCTGTAGCCTGGTGGTGTGAGTTCGTGTAGCCCGCAGGGACATCGCTGCCGCCTGCCATCGAGGCTTCCGGCCCGGCTGGAAGGCCACGCATAGATGACTGGTGATGGTGAGGGTACTCATTCTGGTACGAGGGGCGGTGAAGATTGCCTTGAGTAGAGATCGGAATAGATGCGCCAGTAGCCTGGAATACTTGGGTGGTATCGGCGGCAGGATCAAAGGCGAAGGGATGCTCCGAGTCTCTGCGGATATTGGTAGTGGAAGAGCGTGGGCTAGTGTTCCCAGGCCCGGTCCGGTCGTACTGATGCTGCTGTTGTGGTTGTTGCTGTTGCCAAGAGGTACTTGAGGATGCCTGATGGCTCTCATCGGGCTGATGTACAAAGCGGCTGGCCTTGCGTTGTTGCTGAAAGACAGAGGATGGTATGGTCAGATGGTCGTGCGGATGACGAAGGGATGCTTCCTTCGTCATCTCTGTACTCACGTCAACCAGCTGATCAACCACTACCTGCATCGATGTTACTTGATACGCCAGTCTCGACAGCTGCTCGGGAGGTGGACAAGAGCGTGATGACATTGTCAGTCGTTTATTGCGGATCGCTGGCATTCTTCGCCTTGGTACAGGAGGCATATGCTTCATCGGCATCGGGGCCAACTCACCTGGGTATCCATCCTCTGTCCCAGTCGGTCGATGGCCAGCAAGATGGCTTCCTGACTGAGCACATCGTTCCCCGAGACCCTGTCGAACACCACTGAGCCCGCAGATGCACCGGCGATGGGGCTCTGCCTCCCGCCTACGACGACCATGTGCTCTCCATTCATGTCAGGCTGATGGGTATATGCATGGGAGGAGGCGGAAGGGAGGTGACTTGTGCTGGCATGAGCAGACTGAGCGTGAGAGGAAGGATGTGCGGCTTGATGGGTATGATGAGGGTGATGATGATGCGAATGTTGATGCTGATTGCGTGGGGCCGACGGGAAGTGCGATGAAGCTGCTTGGGTAGAGGTTGCAGCGTGGTGTTGCATGACTTCGCCGCGAGCAGCGGAAGTGGTGAGGAGGCTACCGAGGCAGGGCGGGCCAAGTGCTTCGCTACAAGAGCCCGGCTCCAGCGGTGACGGCGGCACGGTCGACGAGAGCAGGAATGAAGTGGAAGACGACGATGATGCGAGTGATGATGAGGAGGATCAGGAGGATCAAGACGAAAGATGAAGGATTACAGAGGAAAGCAAAAGGGGGGAGAGTGTGGAAGGGAAGCCGGGACACGCACGCCTGTGCGTCCGACTGACTCGGCACTGACCTGGGTGCTTAAGGGCCCGCAAAACTTGGTTCTCACGGCGCCAGGGCGGGCAAGGGCCGGAGCGAGGAGCGAGGAGCGAGAAAGGCAGCTCTCGTCGCTGAGCGACAGTCCTGATCTGCTGAACCCTCTCAGCAGACAGACAGAGACCTGATGAGGCACCGCGATGACGCCAGGCAGGGTACGTGTGTGTGTGTGTGGGTGGGTGAGCGGTGGGCGGATGGCTGAGTGAGTGGGTGAGTGGCAAGCAAGCAGGGACACCAGAGTGGCATTCAGAGGGCTGGGTGAGGCGGCCACGAGGCGAGTTGAACCAAAGAGGGAGTGGGTCCAGGGACGTGGGCGCTATCTAGTCGCCTGCTCAGCAGCCCCTGGCTGTACCATTCTCATAGCGGGGTCGGGCCACGACGCCCGAGGGAGAGCGAGGGAGGAGCACCTTCTGCGTTCCGGCCGACAGGCGGAGCGGAGCACTAGCGGAGCCAGGTGGCGCCGATGGCAAGGAAAGGGCAGCAAGCAGAGGTAAGGGCAGCCGAGGGGAGCGGCGTGTAAAGGTCTCCAGGCGGATGCAGCGGAGGCGTAGGTGCGGGGACACTCAGACAGCCCTCGAGCCTCTGACCCGGCTGATAGGCCCCGACATGCAATTCAGGAACCAAGAGCATCGGGCATCGCCCTCGCTTACCTCCTACGCTCCACTGAGACCGCCAGAGCTCGCTAATGCTCACGCAATGGAGTGGAAATAGCCCGTCCACATGCTCAGCGGACCCCCTGTCAAGAGGAGGCGAGCAGAGGAGCGTGATACGGAGCGATGCCGACATGGTATTGGCTGGTTCACAAAAGTTCGCTCAGCATTGCGAGACTCAGCTTCCTGAGGCGCCTACGCTCCCAACAGTATGATGTGAATCCTCGCTCTTCAAGTACCCCTTGCCCAGACTTTCGTCGCCCCGACGAGCCTTCTCAATTAGCCTTTCGAAGCCATCCAGACCCAGGTCAAGCTCTTCGAGTGGAGGGCCAAACGAAAATCGGACTGTCGCAATGGCAAGGATGGGGATCGGTCAGTCATTGTCGAGCAAGTGACACAAATACAGCTCTTTCGAGGGACCAGCGCCAACTCACTGTAGCTCTCGCAGGGCGAGTGCAGGATATTCCTTCTACGACTCGGATTGACGTCAAAGAAGATGCCTGGCACGACGATGACCTTCTCCTTTAGAGCCTCTTCAGCAAAGACCATACCGCTCGTGAGCGGGGCGGGGAGAGACTTCAAATCGACCCATATGTAGAAAGTGCTGTCAGGCGGGTTGGCAATGGACAGGCCCATCTTCTCGAGCCTCTCCAGGACGTGATTCCGCTTCATTCGGAAATGGCGCTGCAGGGCCAAGCGATCAGCTTCCACCCGCTCCGGCTTCAGCATCTCAATGGCGAGACATTGCATCGGATGCGAGGCACCACCGTCCAGGAATGACCCTGCCGCTGAAAGGGCAGAGACCAGCTCAGACGGACCTACAACCCAGCAGACACGCCAGCCTGGGCAACGCCAGTTCTTGGTCAGCCCGTCGATGAGAATGATAGGGTCCTCATTCGGGTCCTCCACATAGCGAGCTGCTGAAACCGCTTTTCCAAGCTCCCCCGTGTGTTGGTACCTGGACGGATGTGGATAGCACGTGTCAGTGTCGAGAAGAACGGATGCTCACGCTACAGCACCTGTACTCACCACGAGTAGAACTCGTCCAGAATCATAGAGCATTCCGTATCTCTTCCTACTTTCACTAGATCTGCCAATTCTTGACCGTGAATCTGTCTGCCGGTAGGATTGTTGGGATTCGAGAGTAGGAAAGCAGACAGTCCCCGACCCAGAATCTCTTTGCGGATCTCCTCCGCCGTCAGCGTGTATCCGTTCTTAGCTTCGGTCTGTGTTGGAATAGGCACAAAACGACTGAAGGCGGAAAGCATCTGTTCGTAGGCCGAGTAGACGGGAACGCTGAATCCGAGATTGATGTCGCCTAGTACAGCGGCTATGCGAGATAAACCACCTCGTCCTCCAGGCACAACACATACATTTTCTGGCCCGTACTTCATGGACTTGTCCTGTCTGAATTCTCGATTGTAATAGTCTGCAATGGCTTCCCTCAATGGCTTGAATCCAGCCGTAGGTGCATACTCGTGAATATCATCCCCATACTCGCCAAAGTCTAGTGTGCTAGGCTTGGGTGCCGCGCCCGGGATAAGTCCCGTCTCGGGTGCGCCTTGTCCACAATTGGCCCATCCTTCGACTCCAGGCCCAAACCCGGCTGCTTGAGCGCGATTTGTGATGTAGATGACTCCCGTGGCCTGGGAAGACTGGATACCCGGCACTGGATGAGGCTGTGAAGAGTCGCCAGAGTGGTTGGCGTGGCTGCGCCACATCTTGTGAGCTTCCGACTCATGTTCGTGGGAGAAGATTGCGTCTGGGATTCCAGTAGCCTTGACTGACTCGGTGAAGGATTGGGTAAGTTCCTTGAGAGGTTTGGGAACCTTTTCCGCCAGAGGTGAAGACGTCATGTTGGGAGAAGTGTGGGAGAGGGTCTACAACGATGGCAGGCGGTCCTCGAGGGAAGAGTGAGAAAGGACTGATATTTAAGACGATGGTAACACAAAGGAAGAAGCTCAACTAGGATGGGCACAGCAAAAGTTGGCCATGAGGATGACCCTGGGAGAGATGAGATGCACTTCAACAGGCGCCGGCAGCAGTCGTCGTCGTCGTCATGATGCCGAAGGAGCCGAGCCGAAGCAGCGCACCAGCCAGGGCGGAAACGGGGAATGTGGCCCCTCCGCTCTTCCACGCCAGGATGGGCCACGTGGCGCGACACCGCTTCCACTCCAGGGATATGCCCGTCGGCCCGTCGGCCTGGCGCTTGCTCGCCTTGGCAACCCCATACGCCTTCATCGCCTCCTACCTACCATTCCCGTCGACTATCGAAGTCGTATTGCAATCCTCTGCTGGACTTCGACAATCGCGTCGAGCTTCTGCACATTCTCACTCTACACACGCTTCCACCGGTCCGCGGCCAAGGATCCTCTTCTGAGCAAGCCAATCTCCGGAGCTCTGATTGCTCGTGGTTCCGTGTGCCTCGATACGTAGATCTCCAGCTGTAGAGCATACTCGCCCGTCATGAAGGTGAGACAGCCAGATCCTGATGTGCGATTGATGAGTCACTGACGCTGAAGGACACTTTCGACTCAACGCAGGGTATCACCAAGTTCGCCAAGAGGACTCCCCACCTCCTCACCACCCGGGTGGGCATGGCCTCAAAGTCCCACGATGCTGCGTTTGACGACCTCAACCGGCGATTTACAGCCATTGAGAAGTATACCGAGAAGCTGGTCAAGGACTCGACGAGCTTCAGGGATGCTGTCAAGAGTGAGTCGCTGCATGCTCCAGAATCTTGAGGCCGCTCTAATACGAGTAGTACTAAATGGGGTGCTGATCATTCATCGCCGCTTTTCCTCCGCCCAAGGTATGCTGCTCTCGGGCGCAGCGTTCGGCACTTCCTTCTCGGATCTCTTTCACCCGATTGGAAGCGAGTACGATCTCGAGGGAAAGCACCCAGAGTCTGTCAACACCATTGCGGAGCTCCAGAATTATCAGCTCATGATGGAAGAGCTGAGAGAGACTCTCACACCTGAGATTGAGCTCATCGACTCGCGCGTAGTGGCTCCATCGAAGGAGTTCGAGGGAGTACTGAAGGCGATCAGGAAGAACATCACCAAGCGAGACCACAAGCTGGTAGACTACGATCGTATCAACAATAGCTTCACGAAGCTCAAGGAGAAGAAGGAGAAGACGTTGAAGGATGAGCAGAGTCTCTTCAAGCTGGAGCAGGAGTACGAGGCGGCAACTGCTGACTATGAATACTACAACAACGCCATGAAGGAGGAACTGCCTATCTTCTTCGACAAGGTCAAGGCTCTCATGGCTCCTCTCTTCCACAGCTTCTACTATATGCAGTGAGTGAGGGGATGCCATACCGCTGCACGATGTGCCTCCATTTTGACTGACCAAATGTCCCGATCTGCTTCTCATTTGTTCTCCCAGGTTGAATGTCTTCTATCTGACACTTGACAAGATCCAGACCTTTGCTGACGGCAAGTACGACTTGTCAAATGCCACTCCGGAAAGCGTGGAGCAGCGCTACGCCGACATGTTGACGGATGCTGCAGAGAGGCTGGAGGCACTGACGATCAGGAAGCCAGCTGCACCCAGCGGTGAGTGATCCGTGAGAGAGAAGACGTCTACAGCGTACTGTGGCATTTGGCTGACGTCCAGATCTCCGCTCTATCTTTGCCACAGCGCGAGTGTTGACAACAGCCGGCCGTACTCCGGGTCTCAACTCGTCGGCATCGTCATCGAAAGCGACGGGTCTGGCGGCTGGCGCACCTTCCCGTACAGGCACTCTAGGCAGCCTCGGTAGGACACCCTCGTCCTCCGCTGCACCTCCCTCTTACTCTGGTTCTCCCTCTTCTGCGGCAAAGAAGGCTCCTCCGCCTCCACCTCCGACAAAGCCCAAGCCAGGAGCCCTGGCGCCACGCGACTATGTGATAGCCCTGTACGACTATACTGCGCAGGCCGATGGCGATCTGAGCTTCACGGCTGGAGAGCGCATCGAGGTCACGGAGAGGACGGCGAGTACGGATGATTGGTGGACGGGCGTGGGAAGCAATGGGCAAAAGGGCATCTTCCCTGGAAATTATGTCCGAGATGAGTAAGGGGTGAGGGGATTAGAGGAGTAGGGCCGTCGGGAGGCAAGACAGTAGCGACCCTGATGGCTAGACGAGAGGGACTCGAGCCATCGGATGAAGCTGAGCCTCGTTTGTAGCTTCCGTAGACGACTGACCCTGGGGCAAGAAGAGCAGCACCGGCACGCTCCGATCTACCTTTGAGGTCACGCTGCATTTCCCCTTCAGTACCAATATCACAACATTATCGTTGCTCACTGTCCTTGCCACTCGCGCTCGCCGACGTCCCCCTCATTTGCTTTTGATCGCCTTAGTTCCTCGGATACACAACCCTTCTACGCCTCCAGGGCGGTGGTACCTGAGCGAACCAGGACTAGCCTGAGGACGCCCGCTCGTACTAGAGTAGCGCTTCACGTAACGTCTCCCATTGCTCCGTGCTGGCCGGCTGAGTGGCTGTGCAAGCCATAGCAATGTACGTGACCGGGCAGACCCGGATGAAAGTGTGAAGCGATCAAATCCATACTGTTCACATCTCAGGCGGCTTCATTCGAAGACACGAAGTATCATACGATATAACATTGGGTAGGATCGGCAACGCGACAACGCGAGTCGTTTTCAAGCCCCCTTCTCTCTCTAACTACCAAAGAGGATACTCTTGTAGTCCCTCAACAAGATCGCCACACTCTCCGGCCCGCTCAGCCCTGCCTCAGAGGCAATGGCGGTGATGTATTTGGGCGGTGTGAGATCGTAGAGGAGATTTAGGGCGGAGAGATTCGAGGGACACTCTCCCTCGGGAAGGAGAGGCGTTGGGTCCGCTGAGAGGCAGGGGAAGGGATTAGAGGGTAGAGCCAGGTCAGCTCTCTGTCTAAGGCATCAACGCTGCTACATGGGCCGCCGGCCAGTCTTACTCACCCCTTTCGTTTCCGCCCACTCCCTCTAGCCTCACTCTCTCGCTGAATTTGTACGTCTCGCAACAGACAATGACGGGAATCTTCCGGTGGTGGGCCATCATCGCGACTGTTGCTGTGCCGGCGCGCGAGTAGAGGGCGCCGTTAGCGAGAAGCGAGGCGGTCCCTAGGAGTACGAGAGTGACGCGCGAGAGGATGGAGGAGAGAGAGGTGAGGGGGGCATAGGATGTGGGGATACCGTGGTGAAGGAGAGATTGGAGGAGACGCTTGCCTGAGAATGGAGAAGGAGCAGGTGGGATGTCAGTGACCATGAAGGAAGTACAGCGCAGCTTGGATCAGCCCCAATCACCTTCCTCGAATGTCTCTCCGCCAACACAAATGACCTCGAATCGCTTCCCCTTCTTCCATGCGTCGACAATAGCCTGCTCAGCGACCGAGCTCCTCGCAAAAGTCAAGATCACATCTCCGCTATCCTTGATCTTCCCTCCCACGTGGGAAGAGATGACCCTCGAGGCAAAGACGATTCGATCTCTGATGAAGTGATCGATTCGCGATACGAGATGACTCTTGGCCTCCCTCTCCCCCATCTCGGCGGGTACAACGCTGATCTCGTACTTGAGGTATCTGACTGCATTCCCTGCGCTCGTTCCCAGGGGTCTGGCGCTAGTGATACCGGAGATTTGGTGTCCGAGCTTGGTGACCATGTCTCTATTCAGCACAGCTCCCGCAGGTGTATGATAGTCGACGATGAAGTCTCGGAGGGCCGCTAAAGTGGCGATGGCTCGAGCTGACGAGCCCAGCAGGGTATGGGAGGCGAGATGCTGCATGAGGAGGATGACAGAGGGATGCAGACCTCGCGAGACGGAGGAGACGAGGAGCTGTGACTTGGACTGCTTCGACGATGGAGGAGGATGGACTGTGCTGATGAGGTCGGCCGCTGTCGAAGGCGAGGCGTGTGGGAGCTTGACAGGGGGAGGATTGAGGAGGAAAGGCGTGGACGATGCTAGAGAAGCTGCTGTGGTGGTATTGGCCGGCTTGGCGCCCCCAGCGCCTTTGCCTGCACCGAAACCACTACCACCAGAGCCGCCTGGGGCCTTCACAGCAGCAGGCTTTTTGCCTTCTGCTCCAGCTGCCACTGGCCGCGAGGAAGGTCCGGCTGTATCTGTACTTGACGAGGCGGAAGTAGGATCAAGCTGCTTCATCTCCCCTGGTGTCAGGCCCTTTGCCGCTGCTCTTCGATTGGCTTTGGCAGCCTTTGCGGCGGCCTTGGCTTCTTTCGCTGACATTCCAGCCGTATCAGTCGAGGCAGGAGCTGACATGATGGGCCTGGAGGAAGAGCGGGAGCTTTGGAGCGATGCAATGTGGTAGGAGCTGCTTGTCCTCCCTGCTACCTTCCTTCCCTTGCTCTGATCTTTCTTCGGAAGTGAGGAGCAACACTTTTCTCGGAACGGAACACTGCCGGGTGGGTGTTGCCGCGCACTTGCCTTGCCTCGACGCCCGGGCAATCTGTGAGGTCATCGGAGCTCCTGCTCGGGCCACCCGACTTGTTGCCGATCCTCCACAGGAAGCCAACGCTGCAGGGCAGTGCATTGCAAGATACTGGCACATCTTCCTTTCCCCTTCCTCTTTGGATCCCTACTTACCTACACACCGTTGGCAGATCTCCTATGAACAACGTCGTAGCACCTCGTCCGCCTGAGAAGGACAAGCCATCCAACGCAATGGGATCAGCACCTCAGACCGGCAATGCGGGCTACCAGAGCTCCACTGGCAACTCGGCACCCTCCGCTGGAGCGTCCCCAGCCTCTGACTCTTCGCAACCCGAAGTTGATTTTGTCCTCGTCTTCGAAGCTGTCCCCAAGAGATACCAAAAGGTTGGCAAAGTGCCCTCGGCGCAGAAGAGCGCAATCGCTCGCGAATATGAGATGCTCGTGGAGAGGATCGAGGATGTTGGCCTTCAGGTAACTTCTCGAGAGGGGAAGCCCAAGTCTGGGCAAGTACTCCTATTTGTCCGAGGTAATGATTCTGCGCTAGTAAAGATTGGCAAGGAGGAAAAGTGAGTCGGCTGGCCCCGGAGATGAGCTACGAGCCGGCTCAAGATGCTGACACCTGAATCGTCTCTCTCGCTACAGCCTCATCGACTATCTGCATGGCGTCCGTACACCCTTCGAGCCTGCTTCTTCTTCCCTCGGTCGCACCTCGTCTCTGGGCAAAGGCGGAGCTCATTCCCTTGCCATCTCGCAATTCTCACCGGCAGACAGGCTTCGTCACATCTACACTCTTCTCACGCTTCCTGCCACCCCTGCCACCTCCGATGGTATCACGAGACGAGGCGCAGGCCTTACAGTCAGGTCAGAGGAGTTCCCACACTTGGTCGATATTTCGCCCTTGCACGATGAAGAGTACAACACTTCTTGGCTCAAAAAGTGGGGTAGCTCCAATTCCGTGCTTTCCATCAGCATCTCCGATCTTGACGATATTCGCCGACATTTTGGCGAGCAGATTGCCTTTTACTTTGGCTTCCTTCTCTACTACTTCCAGTCTCTAGCATCGGCCGCTGCCATTGGAGGAGCATTCTGGCTCACCGGATCGCCCTACCACCCTATCTACTCACTAGCCCTTGTCTGCTGGGCTTGCTTCTTCGTCGAGTCCTGGCGGATCAAGGAACGAAAGCTCGCCGTCAGGTGGGGCACACTCGGCTGCGGTGAAGTAGACACCCGGAGATTGGGCTTCAAGGCATACAAGAAGGAGACGGATAAGGTTACTGGTGAAGAAGTTGAAGTCTTCGAGTGGTGGAGGAGAGAGTTGAGGATTGCGGGAAGCATTCCTGCCATCATCTTCTTTGCTGGGCTGCTTGGTCTGACTTTGACGACTATGTTCATTGTCGAGGTGAGTTGCCGTCGAGGAAGGCGAGATGAGAACAGCCGCATCTGACAGACGAGCAACACCCTCTCTCCTCTTTAGGTTTTCGTTGCACGCCTTTACGACGGACCTGGCAAGAAGGCCGTTCCCTTGATCCCTACGGCCCTCTTCAGTATCTGTGTGCCTCAAATCATGGCTGCCTGGCAGGCGACAGCTGGCTCTCTCACCAGCTGGGAGAACCATTTCTCCCAGCGGGGTCACGATTGGTCTATGACAGTCAAGATGTTCGCACTCCAGGCCTTTGTGGCCTACGGAGCCTTGACGCTGTCGGCTTTCGTGTACATTCCTTTTGGACAGGCACTTATGGACCACATCGTCTCGCAGGGCTACTTTGCCAAGTCTATCGCAGAAGCCGTGTCCTCTGGTAACCTGCAGCTGCGATCAGACGGAGGACTGCAGTTCGAGATCAACCCTGATCGGATGCACTCGCAGCTCTTCGCTGTGCTGACCACCTCGCAGGCTATCAATGCTTTCACTGAGATTGGCCTGCCCTTCATCTTGAGGAAAGTAGCGCAGTGGAGGACGGGCGAGTCGAATGCAAAGGCTAGCGGAGCTGCTACTCCACAGACGCAAGGGGGAGCGAACGAGGGGGAGCGCAAGTTCCTCCAGAAGGTCTTTTCCGAGCTGGATCTCCCCGCTTATGATACTTTTGGCGATTACGCCGAAATGGCAACACAGGTGACTAGAGCGAACAGAGCAAGTAGAAGGTGGCAAAGCCGAGCTGACGATTCGTTCCCATCTTGCCCTCGTTGTGGCAGTTCGGATACATCACCCTCTGGTCGGTTATCTGGCCCCTCGCTCCTCTGGGAGGACTCATCAACAACTTCTTTGAGCTGCGAGGTGACGCCTTGAAAGTCTGCCTCAACACACGCAGGCCCGTTCCTCTGCGTACAGATTCCGTCGGTCCTTGGCTAGAAATTCTAGGGTTCATCGCTTGGCTTGCAGCCATGAGTAATTCGGCTCTGGTGTATCTCTACCAGCGCAGTCCTCATTCTCATCTGCCTGGCCACTCGGCATACGAGGCTACCATGCGCACTCACCTGCACCCTGGAGGAGGCGTCGACGGCTTCAATGCCACTGCAGCTGCCACGAACTACTTTACCTCGTCGGACTCATCTCCCTCATCACCATTGAGCTTCTCTCGCTTCCTTCCTTCGTTCCTCCCTACGAGCGGAGCTTCAGGTGCCATGGTCGCGGCGCTCCTCGTTGCCCTAGCCTCGGAGCACGGCTATGCCCTCGTACGCACCTCCATCCGCCACGTCCTAGAGCGTGTTCTCTGGCGCGGCTCAGACGAGGAGGTTACGCTGAAGCGTCGCGAGTGGGAGGCGAAGCGTGAAGCGGTGGGCAAGGCGAGACTCAATGAAGGCGAGATGAACGAGAATGTGCAGAAGAGGGGAGAGAGGGAAGTTCACAAGGAGGGGTTCTGGTCTAGCGAGCATGATGTTGGACTCAATGTCATTATGGGCAAGACGGAGTAAAAGGTCAGGCAAGGCTGGAAGGCCCTGGATTGGAGGGTCGGAGGATGTTGAAGAATAGGACAATGGTGAAAGATGAAGAGAAGGTAGCGTTCACGCCCTGCGGGTGTTTCACAGGCCCGGTGAATCGGGTCGCACACTATTTGCTTGGTATGCCCTTCCGATCTTCGTTCGCTCGTTCGTAAATGCCATGTCCATCACGATGAACCGCTTCCAGAATGACGGACTGAGATACTGCTATTGCTCACGCTCAAGGGAGAGCCACTTCACCTTCTTCGCCAGACTTCTTGATCCCAACTCCAGCCAGAAAAGCGATTCTTGTAGAGCTTCCAACGAGACTCAACAATACAGTCGTTGCTTGCAGCCCCGTCCTCCAATTCCAAGGTACCAGTACCCCGGCCCAACCAAGTGGATTTTCCTGAGCCAGAGACCAGAAGTATACACAGTCTGAGAGGAGGATAGTCCCTAGTGTGTAGCGCCAAACTTTCAAACGGAGCGAGTATCCGCTGAACCCGGCGCTTCCTCCTGCGGTGAACACTTCTTCATAAGGATGAGGGAGCGGGCTGATGCATTTGAGTGGGGAGAGGAGCACGACTTCGAGAAAGAGGACAAGCGTCCAGGCTCCTCCTAGCTCGGTCAAGATCGGTTGAGTCCCTTCGCGCGTGTAGTGGTCCGCCAGAGTGGGCAGGGACTCCTGAAGAAAGGAGAGGGGCCAGAAGAAGAGTTGCACAATGGCAATAGCTGTGCTGAGAGGCTCGAGGAAGTTGATGAAGAGGTGGTACCAGAGAGGAAAGTCGAGAAACAGGTGGGGAGCGACGTTGCTCCTTTCGATGCTGGATTGCAGATGAGCAGATGCAGAGCTGCTCAGTTGCTCGACTTGAGTTGGAATTGCTATGCCACTTGCGCCGACGACATTGTCAGCATCGTCAAGCCTGGGGGATGCAGACGACGACATTCTCCCTGACGCTGACTCTTTGGATGAATGCTATAGGTGGTATTAGTCAAAGAAAGGAGCACTGAGGATACTAGAGACGCAGCACAGCTTTCTCGCGGAGTGCGAGAGACCATGGCGCCTGGGATCTGATCTTTGCTATCCGTCGATTCAGGGGCGGCTATTTCGGACCGCTCAGTTCAAGATGCCACTCTTCGCACAGACCGCCCCTGGCTCGGCGGTACAGGCACCTCTGGGCCTCCTGTACCTCGACCTCTTCATGCGTCATGCGATACAGGATCTGGGCATTGCGCGATACGTTGACATTGAGGCGTAGAGTCAGACCGCCGGTAGGGATTGGGTGGGCTGCCTGACTCCACAACGTTGCCTTGTAAGATTCACGAAGGTATCACTGCCAAGCCCTGAGTCTTGAGAGGATGCTGCATGAGAGATGCGGCGATCTTCTGAACCCAAGATATCATCTCTGCAGCTCCTTTGTCTGTTACCACGGCTTGCGATGGGCCCTCACTATGCATGTACAGTGTGCAGACATCGGGACGGAAGCCTCCTTGGTCCGCCCTGGCGATGCTCGCCTCCCGGCGGTTGAGGTGCCGAGCTGTGCCGTTTTTCGGCACGGCGAGCGCCCCATTGCTCGGACTCCGCGCCGCACCCCGGGAAGGATGCAGGGCAGCTTGAGGTAGTCTATTCAGAGAAACTGGCAAAGGCCTTTGCGGGGACTTTGAGGTCTGAGCCAAGTCTGGATCAAATCCTCACTGAGCGGACTGCAATGTCTTACTTGGCCTTTTTGCTTTAACCCCCTGACGCTTACACCGATCAAGTGGCCAGCGAGGCATAGCTTTACGGGTACGCAACCATCAGTATGCTCTTGATTCTGAGACCAGTCTGGGATCTCATTGGATGGCCGAGGAGTCGGTTGGTAGCCGAGGGCGTATGAGGTCAGCGCAGAGTGCTCATGGGTGGAGATGGTCTACCTTTTGCAGATCTTTGCCAAGCCCCGCAGGTGAAGCTGATAGAGTGTCTGTTGCTGCTGACTGACTGACTGACTGTTTGACTGAAGCCTGTCTGTCTGTGCCTGGCCGTGGAAGCGAATTGCCGCTGGTCCGCTCCGCTGTGCGCCACTGTGGGCCTCTGTCTGTCTGTGCCTCTGCTTCTTTTGCCGTGCGTCGTCCGTCCGTCCGTCCATCCACCCACCGATCGCTCGCTCGCGTGGATCCAATCTCCTTCATCTAACCTCGAGCCTCTCCTTGCCCTCGCCCTCCCTTTACGCTCATCTTCATCTTCATCCTCCTCACTCGCCCAGAAACACAATCTCGACAGCGGCGCTACTCCTTGATACTGAACATACGGTCACTCTTCACTCTATTTCTGTCCCGCGTCATCCGCTCCACAACCTCCTTGATAAACGCTCAGGGTCGGGCTTGGCCACCTCATCAATGGTCGCCTTTACGAACCCAGGGCGCAACGCGACCGATGGCAGTCTACGCTGGCAACAGCAGCTATCCCCACAAGGTGGTAGCAACGGTATCGCTCGAGCAACATCCACTGCCTCCGATTCTCCGCAGACGCCATCCTCTGCAAGCCCTTCACAGCAGGGAGTCGGTTCCAACAATCGCTCCACTGGAGCTCAGATGATCAGCAAAGGCCCACCAGGCTACAGTGGAACCAATGCTCAGCTATCAGGTCCTGCTGCTCAGCAGCAACGTCCTCAAAACTCTTGGTCAGATAGCTCTACTCTCAATCTCCTCTCGGACACTGCCGCTCGGCAGGCAGACGAGGATCATTCGGGTCCCAGCAGTCGCAGAGCCTCCATCAGTCCAACGACAGCTGACAAGGCAGGAGGCAGCGGTAGTGCCCCTAATGGCAAGCCCGCAAAGCGGACATTGGAGGGACACAAGAAGGAGCTTAGCGCAGCAAGTCTCACCGCCGAGGCGGATTCTTCCCTCTCATACTCGCGTGGACAGAGCGAGTCAGATCATGACGGCGCCTCGCCCTCTGATAAAAATGCAGAAGCGACGGAAGAAGAGAAGCGGAAGAAGTGAGTAGAGTCTGGCGAGCGTGGCTGAAGCAAATGTTGCTGACCTGTGTCCTTTCTCCCATGCTCTTCCCGACCTGCTTCAGACGTACTAAGACAGCCAGAGCTGTAAGTACCCAAAGTCTCACGATCCGAGTCTCACCTACTTACGTCAGAGTCTGACATGCACAATTGTCTTCGCTCATTCCTCACAGTGCGACAGTTGCCGGCGCAAGAAGATCCGCTGCGATGTCATTGATGATGGCTCTCCTGCGCCTGGAGACCCCAATAACGGCAACGGAGGCTTGACCTGCGCCCACTGCAGACAATACGGTTTCAGCTGCACTTTCTTTCTGCCCATTACGGAAACAAGATTCAAGAAGAAGAGGGAGAGAGAAGCAGAGGCAGCAGCAGCGGCGGCTGCTTCAAGATTCCCTCACGGGGGTTCCGCGTCCATGTTCGGAGCAGGAGGAGGCTCTAGAACTGGCGTATCGCCCCATGGCTCTGCAGGGTCTCCCCTAGGGAGCTCTCTCCCCGCCAGCGTTAGCGCTGCTCAAGAATGGCCTCCTCGCAAGCATGTACAACATCTCTCTACGCCCTGGGATGGCAGGGCAGGCGATAACAATTCTCACAGTCCTGGCATGGCGATGGCGAATATTGGACAGGGGCCAGGCCACATGGGACCATCGCTCGGGCAGCGTTTGGATCGGTTGGCACCTCCTATGTCAAACGATCACGGGCCGCCTCCCGGCGGCGATCAAGGTCAACCGCCTGACACTAGGGTTTTGGGACCCACGTCGCTCGCGTACATCGTGCATAGCACCGCCTTTGTGCCTGGTAGCGCTATCGAAGCTCATGAGTGAGTGTGGACCCCAGCAAGGTTGTGAAGGTAGCTGCGGAGATCTGACTTTGCCTTTGTCCCACTCTTTGACAGTCTCAAGCATTCGCAGACATTCGAAGTGGGAGCTTCGGGAGACGGCATCATCAAATTGAATCGCTCTAGACATCGTCATCCCTCTTACGGCGATTCTGCAGAGGAAGACGACGACAGCGCGATCCCTCAAATTCCCGATGCTGTCCGCGGTCGTCTTACAGGAGACGTTGCTGAGAAGCTGATCAACTCGTACTTCGAGAAGATTGGCTACCTCTGGCCAGTTGTCACCAAGAGCGAGTTCTTGCATCTTTCTCATCCACCACCTCTGCTCTTCTATGCGATCTGCGGTGTCGCGGCCCTCGATCGCAATGTGCCTATCGAGGTCCTCTCAGCTGTCAGAACCGGGCTCAATGCAATCTTCAAGGACAGTGATGTCCTGAGCAACTCCAGCGCTCTTACTGTCAAGGCTCTGCTGGTTCTCAGTCTTCATTCTGATATCCACGGGAGTGCCAATCTGCAAAGCGGCACACGTCTCTGGAATAGATTGGGCATAGCTCTGCGCATGGCTCAGGATCTCGGTCTTCACAGAGATGCCAGTGGACGGGATGACCTCGACGAGTTTGCCCACTTCCTGGAGCAGAAGAGGCGCATCTGGGGCGCATGCGTCAGCGCCGATCGATGTGTTTCTATTGCCCTCGGCCATCCTCTTGCCATCGATCTAACGGATTGCGATGTTCGTCTTCCCTCGCCATACGAGATCCAGAGGTTCCCAACAGATTTGCCCTCCATCAGCGGCGTAGAGCGACCCTTTGCATTCAATACGGAGATGCTCAAGTTGTCGATCCTGTTTGGACGGGTACAGAAGACCATCTACTCCCCAACGGGTCTGATGAAGGCTACAGATGACGAGATCGCGGGCCTGCTGAATGACATCGACCAATGGCGAGAGAGGCTCCCCGAGGAACTCCATTTCACTGGCCCCACCAGCTCGCCACCTGCTGGCATCCTGCATCTCTCACATGCTTGCATCCAGATGCTCTTCTTCCGAGTCTTCATGAGAATATCTTACTCGTGTCCACAGCACCTCAAGTTCTCGCTCACTATTGAGAGGATGACTAGCATGGTGAAGTGGTCTCGCGAGTCCATCGCGTGGGTAGACGTCTCTGGAGACATCTACTTTGACACGATGCAGTTCATCAGCTACGCCCTGGTATTCTGCGCAACGATCCAGTACCACTCTTGGATTCGTAGAGGTGACGAAGAGGGCCTGAAGGCTCTGGCGAAGCTGAAGGAGATCTTCACTCGCGGTCGTCATCAGGACGGGCAGAAGCAGGATATGTCTCTGCGCGCCAAGACGGCAGAGATCGTCAGCCTGCTGTGCGAGGCAGCCCAGGGCCATTGGGCTAACACGCCTTCTACTGGCAATCTCAATCCTACTGCTGGTGTAGTCAATCGGAGAACGGTCGACTCCGTCAAGGGCATCACTTGGAAGAATGCGCCTGGCCGTCCTGGTGGGGGAGTATTCGAAGCGGCCGACGCTTCTCTCCTCCTTTCGGATCTGCCCAACGGTACGATCATCTTGGGAGCCAACAGGACCCCGGCCCTGGTGATGACGTCGTCCAATGGTTGGCAACCGGTGCCGGGAGTGCTGCCCGAGCAGCCTCCAAAGTCAGGTCTCGACCAATCCTCGGACTCCACCGACCTCCCTGACCTGTCTAACTTCACATATCTGGGCGGGTCCGTCTGGCAGGACGAGAGCGGAAGGCCCGTCGATCGTAGAGGATCGGGACTGATGGTCGTCTTGCCCTCTTCTAATCAAGGTATCGCAGAGCAGATGGGCTTGCCCTTCCAACAGCTACAGATGCAGCAACAACAGCAGCATCAACATCAACATCAGCAGCATCAACATCACTCGCAGAACAACCAGCAGCAGCAGCAACATCAGCAGTATACGAATGTCAACCCACACCTCAATCACCTTTCCGCTGTGGACCAGGCCTTTGCAGCCCAGCAACACAATACTCCCATCTCCTCTCTACTCGGGACCGATCCGGGTCACACTGGCGGCCTGCCTGGCGCAGGTCCCTCAGGAGCAAGCAACTACACCCTCGAGAACCTCTTTGGCGGAGGCACCAGCGGCACCGGCACGCCCGGTCTCGGCGGAATGGGTTTTGGTGGCGGGGGAGCAGGTGCGGCGAATCTGGCAATGGGCGTGCCTGCAGACCCGATGATGCTCAACGACCCGCTGATGGGGATTCTGGACTGGCAGGCATGGCAGAGCTATCTGGCACCTTTCAGCAACAGCAGCAACAACAACAACAACGGTGGCGGCAGCGGCAACGGTGGCAGCAATCAGAACAGCAGTAATCCGAATGGAACAGGGGGCGGCGCTGCTGGTAGTGGTCCGACTGGAGGTGGTGGAGGTCTGATGCCTGGAGTAGGCTCAGCAGCAACCAGGGGCAGGTCTCCTGCGCATGCCGCTTGAGTTTAAAGGGCTCCTCAAGAAAGAGAGAGAGAGAGAAGTTCTTCCAGCACTAGTGCTAAGCACTACCCAGACGGGCCGTCATACCCCAAACTCCCTTCACCGGCCTGGAGTCGATTTGATTTGATTTGGCTCGGCTCGGCTCGGCTCGGCCTCCCCCTACCCCTACCCCTACCTTGATCAAAACGACCATCTACACTTTACCTTTTTTTTTCTTGACTTGTACATAAACCATTCCCTTCTCTCTTGCCCATAGGCCTTCCTCTCCTCCCCTTTTCCCCTCGACCCCTTTCTATCGTCGTCGTCGTCATCATCAACCCCCCCCCTTACCTCTACCTCTTCCTTCGCGGTGTACTTTCTACCCTCTCTTCTCTTCTCGTCCCGTCTCTCCTGACACGTGTATGTATATAAGAACTAGGCTTCGACTTTTTTCTCATCTCTCTCTGCGTGCGTGCGTGCGTGCGTGCGTGTGTGTGTGTGTGTGTGTGTGTGTATGTGTGTGTGTGCATTCATATCCACGCTCTGATCTTTCACTGGTCGAATGAGTGCGTACGCTTGTCATGCCTTGTCTTGTCTTGTCTTTTGAAGAAATGCAATTCACAGCAAGAGAAAGGAGGATAACAAGGCGAGGCGAAACGGGACAAGAGGAGAGAAGATGAGATGAGATGAGATGAGATGGGGAAAAGATCTCGATGAGAGCGGGGGAATGGAAAGTGGGAGGCCAAGAATGAGGGGGAGAAGAGGTGAAAGACAAAGAGGGAATGAAGACGAAGGGAGGGGGGCACGGGATGCAAAGACAAAAGACAGAGGAAGACACCGCAATCTCCTCTGGCAAAGACGAGCGACCGGGGAGCGGCGGCTTTCGCTGCTTTTGCTGTTTGGAGGTCCTGGTCTAGGTGACCAACGAGGCTAGCGTTCTCAAACTTGGCGCCTGAATGAAAGCAGGAATGTACGTTTCGATCCCCGTGACTTCTCTAGGCAAGGGCAGCTCATAAGGACCCGCCTCGTCCACCTCTGGCGGCAGTAGCAAGTGGTCGTTTCGGTCATTTGGCGTAACCCTTGCCGCGGCAGCCTTGAGGATCTCTGGACTGATCGGATTCTCATACTCGGCGGTATGGTACTGACTTATGAGCTTGTGAATCTGCGAAGGTGTCAGGACCCACGAGACGTCGTAGATGATGTCGATGTCCGCTAGTGTGCTCTTCTTGAGTTGAAGGAGCTTGACACTCTGACTCAGATGCTCCAGCTGGAGCATCGCCTCTGGGATTCCCTTTGCTTTGCACCACTCTTCGATGCGTGTCACATTGTACTGAATCTGCATTGCGCGCTTCCAACTGCAGAAGGAACGGCGAAGAACCACGTCGTTGAAGGCGGTGGAGTTGATCAGACGCATGAGCTCAGTGATGACCTGGTGCACCACCGAGGCTTCCAGGTAGTACATCTTCAGCGCGCGCCAGACGGTGTTGAGAACACCGAGGACGTCGTCCATTGTGTAGGCCGGTGTGTTGGTCGTAGACATCAGCCTGTTGAACAGCCTACCTCCAGAGTTCTCGACGAAGCCTGGCAGTGACTGAGACTCGATGACGGCGGGAACGACCATCTTGTGCAGCCTCCTCTTGGTGTTGTCAATGAGTGTGTGATAGATGTTGTACTCCAGTGACTCGAGATCGTGCTTTGCCAGGACGATCAGTCGCTCGTAGTCGCCAAACGCCGAGTCGTTATCACCGGGCGCGATACCGGCGAGCAGATCGCTCTCTGCAACAGAGACGAAGGAGAGGAGCTCATGGACATTGGAGATCCAGTAGATGGCCTGAGTGATCAGCTCATCGCCGTCCAAAGCCATCACGTGCGCCTGGATCGTCTGCATCACATTCGCCAGCACGCGCTCCGAAGGTCGGATCATGCTCCTCAGCCAGTACTCGTTGAGAACCAGCGCAATCAAGTGCGAAGGGAAGAGACACTCCTTTGGCGAAATCTCGCCCATAGGTGTGCGTAGTTGCTGAATCAATCCCTGGAGTAGATCTTCGTCCAGCTGAGCTTCGTCCAAAAGGATGTTCTCGATCTCCTCTGCCACAGCATCTTCGTCCTTGACGATCGGAGCCTGAGGTGGCATCACCGAGACATGGCGGTTAGCCGCAGCCTGAGCCTTCTTCACAGCACCTGCACCAGCCATCTCGGCTGATCGCGGGCGTTGGGCGCGACGCGACCCTGTGGCAGATTGAGGTGGCTCTTTGCCCATGGTGAGGTCGTACAACTGCGGGAAGTCCGGGTTGGTGGGCTTTGAGACCGTGTTGCGGTGACTGTTGCCATTGACAGCCTCGCCGTTACCGCTCAGTTGCGCCAACGTTGAGGCTCGGTGAAGATCTTCCTTCAACTTGGCAATCTCCGCACGGAGAGCGGTAGCAGTAGTACTGTCCTCTCCGTCCCGCTTTGCTAGAGCGCTCTCCCTCGCCTCCAGCTCCTCGGCACTGCTTCTCACTTCCTCTTCCAGAGCAGCAATGCGACTTTCATGTTCCTCAACCTTCTTCAGAGACTGGTCATGTTGCTCTTCCAATGCCTGCTTTGCAGCGATCATCGCCTCGAATTCTGCCAGCGGTACCGAAGGCTGGTCTAGCTGCGTCTGCAACTCCCTCGACTTTGTGCTGATCTGGTCGTGCTTCCCTTGCCACTCCTGCAGCGAAATCTCCAATGCCTTGACCTTTGCTACCAGATCCTTGTTCTCCTTTGTCCGCTTCTGGAGGTTCTGCGTCAACTCCACGACCTTGTTCTCCAGCTTGTATGTCACCTGCTTGTAGTGAGAAGCCGTCTTGGCTTCATTGCGCAGGTGTACCAGCTCCTTCTTTGCCAGCCTCCTCCTGTAGCACGACTGCAACAGCACGATTCCCTTGCGATCCTGGGCATACTGCCGTCGCACGAGGATACCGCGGAAGAGACTTTGCAGCGTGACAGCAGCGAAGCTCGTCCGGCTCGTGGCAAAGTTGGCTCGCTGAGCTCTGCCTCGCACAAGGGACTGGATACGGACAATGGCAGCAACTGTCGCCTTGAGCTTCTGCTGGGCGAGCAATCGTCTGATACCAGTCTGCAGAAGAGTAGCAGCGCTCTCCTTCCTGATGATGTCGACTTGCTTCTGGGCCGCGCACATTCTCCACCAGGACTGGATCTTGACGGTTGAAGCTTTGAGGTTGCCGTACCTCTTCATCTCGACGTTCCTCCTCAAGTTCTTCTGGATCAGCACCACCAGCACCTTCAGCCTTTGGCCTCTGAGCTGCTCGAAGTGAGCGAGAATGCCGGCTCGGAAGAAGATCTTGTTGAGACCGACCTGATACTTGTCGGCATCGGTGATAGTAGTCTTGAGGATGTAGGCAGCCAGCTCCTTTGCCTTGTCAAGAGATGTCATGTCCCAGTGGGCAGATGGCACGAGCATGTAGTACCTCTCAGCGAAGTCGGCAAAGGTCCTTCGCGAAGGGTATCCAGCGGTGCTGATTCGGATGGTCTCGAGCACACCGCAGGCCCTCAGCTGACCCAGGACATTCTGAGGCTCCACTTCCCAAGCCTTCTTGGCTTCATTGGGCTTGATACAGCGGATGTAGTGAGCGTTCGTAGCATCAATCGTGGCCATGAGGCTGACCAAGCTGGCCTTGAATTGTGATCCTAGCGTAGGCTTCTTCACGATACCGCCCATAGGCCTTCGAGGTGCTACTGCTTTGGTCTCTCCGTCAGCTCCAACAGAAGCGCCTGGGCCCGCTGGTTGCTCCTTGGCAGACTGTGCGAGCTGGGTCGCAGTCTCCAAGACCTCCTTCAGGAATGGGTTTGTAGTAGCAGAGAGGAGAGCCAGGTGCTCATCTGGCACGGCATCTCGGTTCTTCTCCAAGAAGCCCTCGGCTTCGTAGGAGACGTCCAGAGCGTAATGGCACACTGTGAACGAAGAAGAGCCGAAGCGAGGCTTCTGGAAAGAGTTCTTGTACTCAGGCTTCTTCTCCATCTGTGTGTACAGCTTCTGCAGGAAACTAGCATCTGCGCCGGATGGCAAGCGTGACTCTTCGTCGAGCAGAGACAGGATACCAAGTCTGCTCTCAATCATGTCGATCGTGGGCTGGTTGTCAGAGAAGTTGATGAACGTCCAGTTGATTTCTTCGGCAATGTACTCGTCTTGCTCCAGCTTGAAGACGTGGCGGTTGAACTCATGCTGCAGTCGCTCGTTGGCATAGTTGATGCAGAACTGCTCAAAGCTATTGACCTTGAATCGCTCGAAACCGTAGATGTCGAGCACTCCGATCATCGATTTGCGAGACGCTGTCGATCCGAGAGCAAGAGAGCTGTTGAGCTGGTCGACGAGCCAGTCGAACAGAGAAGAGTAGACATACTTGGCCACCGAGTCTCGCACTACGATGGCCTGGGCCTGTGTGAGATTCGAGACAATCTTTTCTCCTCTGGTGACAATCTGCTTCTTGACGGCCCATTTCCGGAACTCGTTGACATCAATGCCAAGCAACTTCGTAGCCATGAGAAGGTTGGCATCGTCCTGAGCAAGCATGGCATCGGAGCGAGTCGCTCCAATCTGAACATTACCGAGGTGGAGGAGAGCGGCCAGCAGTCGGAAGACAGACCACTGCTTCTCGACAGTAAGCCCGACTGTGCTGAGAGCCTTCTGAGTTTCCTTGAAGTCCTCTGCATCATCGACTCCTGCAATGGTGTTGCTCTTGCCTTGATTCAGATATGCAAAGTCTGAAGCGTCTGTCAGGCCGAGCTCTTTGCGTTCGGTCGTAGGAGCTCCGGCACACAATTGATAGAAGACGTGGTAGTTCCGCTCATTCTCGGGCTGATAGACAAGCCTCGAGCGCTCGAGGAGGTATGTCCTGATCTTCGCCCCCACGATGTCGTGGTTGCTGTCGAAGAGAATCTGAAGGAGAGGGGACAACATATAGAATTACATCGTCAGTACACCTCATCAGATGTAGCGCTAAGGCTGTAGACCATTTCTGCCGAAGACCTTGACTCACCTCAATGTATTTACCGAATCTCGAGGAATTGTCATTCCTGATCGTCTTGGCATTACCAAAGGCCTCCATGATCGGATTTGTAGCCAAAATCTGCCGCTCCGTCTCGTTCATGCCTCCATTCTCCTTGGGAGCGGCTCCTACTGCTTTGCGGCTTCTTGGCCTACTAGGATCTTCGACGGTAGCAAAGTACCGCATGATGAACTTTGCTGAGACGGTCTTTCCAGCGCCAGATTCACCACTGACTACGATTGTCTGGTCCTTTTCATCTTGAATCATGCACCTGTATGCATCTTCTGCAATAGCGAACAGGTGAGGTTCCAGCTCTCCTCGCCTCTTGCCCGAGTAGGACTGGATAAGTTCAGGTCCGTAGAGGTTCAGAGCTGAGAAAGGATTGACGGCGATAAGCACGATTCCAGAGTAGGTATAGATGGACCGTTGCGAGTATCGGCTGAGGATGGCGTGCAGCACAGCAGGTTCATTGAGGTAGCTCAAGCTAGTAAGATCATCTGTACCCTCTAGCAAAGGCGGGTTTCTTAGCGGCGGGAGCTCCTGCTCTACTCCCTTGCCCCTGAGCTTCTCCAAGGAGGACTTGACTACCCTCACTCCGTCTGCCTCATCGAGCTGAAACTCCATGCTCACCTCGCCTGTTGCGGAGGTGATGGCAGGCTTGTTGATGAGGGTTGCACTGATCCAGCCTAGATCCTTGTCGGGGAACCAGGCGCGGGTGCCGGGCACGTATGCGGCGAGGGCTGTGGCCGTGGCCTGCGCCATGTCGTCTACGTCTGCCATTGTGAAGAAAGTTGTGGGGAATCTATGTGTTGGAGGCTTCGCTGAAGTTGTGAAGAGCTCTCAGTCTTTACGCGAGGAAGCGACAGACAATAGACGACTGTGGTGCTGATGCTTCTCTCGATGGGCTGCAACCTGCTCTGAAGCGCTAAGATACAGTGGGTGCAAAAGGAGAGCGCCAGCGCACGTCTATGAGGCTCTTGCGATTGGACGCGAGGGTGAGCCACTCCGTTACGCTACAAGAGTAGCTTGAGTAGATCGGAATGGGGAGAAAGTGCAAGCTCCTGAGCCCTGGTAAGGTAGCTTGAGGGGAGTGTATGCCGCGCGAGGGTGTCTTGGCAGCGGCAATTGATTCGAGCGTCCAGCGTTGATGGTGTTGAGGGAAGGGAAGATTTCGGTATGGTGGAGTCCAGCCCAGTCCTATCCCAGGATTGTGTAATGAGTAGGAGGGACGTGTGGCCTTCTTGATGATGGGTGAGGCTGTCTAGGAGAGATGCAGTGGACGAGAATGAGCGACGAGGGGTGCAAGGCCGTCCGCCTGTGTGAGAGTGAGTGTGTGTGTGTGCTTGTGTGCGTCTGTGGCTCTTCCGCGCAAAGTGTTGGGCGGCGCCTTGTGTGTCTCTTTTGTCCGCCGGCTGGCGTTGGCGTGGCGCGGCGTGGCGTGGCGTGGCACCGCTGCAGTGCGGACGTCTCCCAGGCGACGCGACCAAACAAACACTCACGCTCACGCCCAACGGAGCGAGAAAATTTCCCAGAGCCAGAGGAAGAACAGAGAGAGAACATCAGACTGTCTGTCGTATAATCAAATCAATGTGTATTCGTGAAAGAGAAAGGCAGATCGAGAAAGGTGATACAGAAGAGAGCCATCACTCTCAAGTCAAAATTTTACACAAGACCTCCTTCCGTTGACCTATTCCTCCTCACACCAGGTATTGGGACAGACCGTGCTGCTGGATCTTCTCCGGGACGCTTGCGTTGAGAGCACTCAGGAAGCCAACGCACTGTCCACGTAGCTGTCCCCCTAGCACGTCCTCGTCCTCAGTACCGCTTGGCTTGCCCAGCACATGAGCAAAGAGCTGCAGGATAGTGTCGATGTGCTCGCCAGCGACAGAATTGTTGCTCTGCACCAGACCCATCAGGGCCCTCAGCACCGGAGCCCACTCTGCCATGTCCTTCTTCAAGGGCAGGCAGCTGAAGATGGCGGGGAGCACCTGGTCCAGAGGCATGGCCTCGGGCTTGGCGGACACCAGTCTAGCGGCACATCCAACAGCATTGTCCGTGGCGGTTTGCTCCTCGGCCACCTCGCTTTGCCTTTGGTCGAACATGGGCTTCAGCGCATTCAGAAGGGCAGGGAAGTGTTGCGAGAGGTCTTGCTTCGAGTTTTCAACTAGCACACCAGCTGCGAAGCAAGCGTTTGACCGCACAGGTCCGTCCTCGTCCGAAAGCGCCCGCGAAAGCAAGGTGAGGATGTCGTTGGTGAAGGGCGTCACATCGCTGCCCATGCCCACGACGATCTCGCCTAGAGTACCCACGACTGTGGCACGGTCAGAAGAAGATCGGCCTGGCAGGTAGTACTTGATTAGAACGGGCATGAACTGCTTGAGGGGTTCAGAGAAGTCGGAGCCCAGCACGGTGGCCAGAGCGCCAACGAGATCCGAAGCAGCCGAGATAAGGACTGACTCGTACTCTGAGCCTTCCTCGAGCTGCTCGCCTTCTTCGCCGTCGGCGTCGATCTGAGCCGGGCTCTTGCCCTCGAGGATGAGAAGAGTCTGTTGACAGACGAACTCCAGGTGCTCGGGAGCAATGATGGCAGGTCCGTTCTTGTTGAGGCATTCTGCCAGCGACTGGCACACTTCGATAGCGACGACACTGGTAACGTCAAAGACAGAAGTGCAGGAGTGTCAGTACTGAATCATCGAATCACCAAAAGACGTGACGCTTTTGACCGTGTGGCCACGATCTCCGTGCCCTCTCTTTGAGCGACTGATCTCAGATAATAGGGAACAGTGAATTGTCATGCAACTCAACAGCTCGTGAGCCGGAGTAGTCATTGTGAGCTGAGAATACTGTATGTACTCATCATTGTAGTCGCTCATCGGGAGGGCAGGCATCGGGAACCAGGTAGCACGAATCACACATTCTTTGACTCACCGTTCATATTCTTCCTCCCATAGCTCGAGCACGTTGGGGATGACGGACTCCACCAGTGCCTTGACGTCGGCATGGAGTGGCACCGACGGCTGAGCGCCAGCCTTCCACTCTTGGGGATTCGACAGCTCGTTGAAAGTGTTGATGAAGGTGAAGAGGGCAGAAAGAGCGGACTTTCGGATACCTTGGTAGAAGTGGTTCAGCATCTCAGAAAGCTCGTGCACCGACTTCTCAATGTAGGGTGTGAAGTGACCTTTGGTGCGGGCGAAGATCTCGCCCAGGGAGTCGGCTGCGACCTCCTTCTCGACTGCAATAGCGCTGTTAACATTGAGGAAAGCATCTTGCATCTCGTCGTAGTCGACAAAGCCTTCGTCGTCGTCGGCACTCTGTGTGCCCACACCGTCGACGGTGCCGTTGCCAGACGCGCCAGGCACAGGGTCGTGCTCTGCTTGATCAAAGGAGGCCAGCAGGAGCGGTACAACAGTCGACAGGTAAGGTGCAAATTCTTCGCCGAAGACACGGGCCATGACGGCAAAGAAGATGAAGCTGCATTCCCTCAATCTTGGTGAATTGATCTCCATGGCCTGGAAGGCAATCTTCATGGCATCCTGGAAGTAAGGCCTGAAATTCTCCTTGCCAACGGCCTCGGCGAGGGTACCGAGTGTGTCGGTGGTGATACCGCGCAGATCCTGCTCATCGCCTTCTTCCTGCAGAACAAGGAAGGGCTGGAAGCGCTGCATCGTTTGCTGGAAGTAAGGCAGGAAGCCGGCCTTGGAAGCGTGAGCTGCCGAGCCGATAGCACCGACGATAGTGGTCTTGACTGGCAGAGGCGCTGTCTCAAGGAGTGCAGCGAGTCTCTCCACGATGGCAGCAAGGTACTGTGCGATGTCATCGCCCATCACCTCGAGCAATGAGTCAAGGGCAGTGCAAGCCGTCCGTTGCGTGTCGGGAGTGGCAACAAGGTCCATGATCATGGGCAAGAGAGTGGCGTGGCGGGCGCCACATTCCTCGTCAAGCACCTCGCAGAGGCAGCCCAGCGAAATGCAGGCGGCTTTTCGCACCGTCACCTCAGGGTCACGAAGGCCAGACTCGATGTAGGGCCAGAGCTCGTTCATGTGGGGACGGATGTACTCCGAGCAGCCTTCTGCAGAGACACCGAAAGCCATGAGGGCAGCCTTGCGGTGACCAGGGTCGCTATTGGACATGTATTTCTGCATCTCCTCGAAGATGGGAGGGAAGACGTGGCTAGGGGGGAGCTCGGTAGCGAGCTCGTCGATGACTCGGAGTGCAAGACGAGCAGGCGAATCCTCGTCGATGTCATCTGGCTCCTCTTCGGTGGCGATGGAGATCAGACGAGTGATCATAGGCTTGGCTAGATTAAGAGTCTGGATCTTCGAGCGCTTGTGGGAGCAAATCCAGATGATCGAGTTGAGCAGAACGATACGCTCGCCCTCTTCGTGCTCAGTGTTGCCACTGTTGACGAGCAGGAACTCGATGAGATTGGGAAGGTGGTTGCCGAAGACAGGTGCTTCGAGGAGACACATCTCTTCCAGGACGTCGCACACCTGTCTGACGCCGTCGGAGTGAGCTTCCTGCAGACACTGGTGCAGAATCTCGACGATCTTGGGAACAGCGCCTTGCATAGCCTGCAGGTCCCCGACTGCGTCGGACTCGAGGTTCATTGCTACACGACCTAGGGCACGAACGGTAGTGATGCGCACCTCGAGAGACTCGGGGTCTTGTAGACTCTTCTCAAAGACGCCCATGATCTGAGGAAGGTATTGGTCGAAGGAGACGGTGCTCTCGGAAGAGTCGGCTAGGGTATCAAGGATGGCGAGGAACAAGAAGATGGCAATATGCCTATGGATGTGGTTGCTAGATTGTGAAGACTCGAATAGGAAGGGCAGAAGTTGCGGCCACGATCCGAGAGGCAGCTCGATGTCTGCGATCTGAGAGATTACTCTCGAGACGGCATTGCGGACGAGGACGCTGGTGAGGTGTGGGAGATGATGCGATTCAGCTATGAGCAGTCTGGAGAGTGTGAAGACAGGTGAATACTCACGATTGCTCCTTGAGGATGCCGTCCAGAATCGAGGATTTGATGCCCTCCCTGATTTGCGGCGTCTGCTTCTTCCATGCTGCGCCCTTCTTTTTTGTGATTTGCTTTCTGAGCTCGACGGCTGCCAGTTGCCTTACCGACAGGTCTTGCGAGGATCCCAGAATCTCAAAGAGAGCTGGCACACATGCTGTGTTGGAGAAGTATTGCTTCTGAAGTGTCTCAGTAGCGTTCTTGACCACGTTTGTGTCTGGCACGCTGGTCTGAGCCAGGAGGTTGTGAAGGTTCTGCACAAAGGTCGGGTCCATGACGGGCGACAAGCAGTGGGTGAGGGAGGGGGGGAGCTATGCTTACTACGGGTGTCTCTACTAGGTATCACTGAGGGAGGTGGAGTACTTCTGTGATAGGTCTGTGGTCGTTGGGGCGATGGTGATGGTCCAAATGGGCACAGAGATCAGATCACAGGAAGAAGAACGATTGATTTCCTTTTTGCCCTGTGCGGCTCAGATTTTTTTTGGACTGGAGGCGCCCAGGGAGAGCCATCAGAGGCGTGCGTCTGCCTTTGCGCGTTGTGCGGTCCCAAGGCGCAACCGTCGGAGCGGAAGCCCAAGGCGCGTGGCCGTCGAAGGAAGGAAGGAGCCTAAGGAAGGAAGATCTCCACGGCCGGCGGACGACAAGACGTACGCAACACCTGGTACGACTGCCCTCCCTTCCTCACCTACAACGTCTTAAGGACATCACACCACCCACTCAGCACCGCCCATCATGTCACTCAAGGTGCCAAAGGCGGGGATGAACCTCTTCAAGGACGGCTACAAGCTGCTCCAGGGGACAGAAGAAGCCGTTTTGCGCAACATCACTGCCGTGTCAGAGCTCAGCGAGATGCTCAGGACAAGTTTCGGTCCCAATGGCAGGAATAAGCTTGTGAGTTGAGCTGTGCTGTAGCGTGAATTTCCAGAAGAAGGGCCTATTCTAATGCAAATCTCCCTCCACCTGGACTCTGCAGCTCATCAACCATCTCTCCAGGTCCTTCATCACCTCTGATGCAGCCACCATCCTGCGCGAGCTCGAAGTGGTACATCCTGCCGGCCGACTGGTCGTCCTAGCATCACAGCAACAAGAGGCAGAGATGGGAGACGCCACCGCACTGGTCATCACATTGGCAGGAGAGCTTCTGCGCAAAGCAGAACAGCTCATCAACCTCGGCCTGCACCCTTCAGAGATCCTCCAGGGGTACGAGCTGGCGAGGGATCGTGCCCTACAGGAGCTGGAGACGCTCACAGTCGCTGAGCTCGCCAACCCTCCTACACCAGAGTCTCTGGCTCTGGCTCTGAGGCCTTGCATTGCTTCCAAGCAATACGGTCAAGAAGAAATCCTCGCACCCCTCGTAGCCCAAGCAGTCTCTCTCGTCCTACCGCCTCCATCATCCGACGCAGCCAAGACATCCAGCTTGAAGGACTTCAATGTGGACAACGTGAGGGTTGTCAAGATCATGGGAGGCTCGCTATCGGACTCGAGGGTCGTGCGTGGAATGGTATTCGGCAGAGAGCCCGAGGGCGTGGTGAAGAAGATCACAGATGGTGGAAAGGTGGCCGTCTTCAGCTGTGGTCTGGACATCGGTCAGACCGAAACAAAGGGAACAGTACTGCTGCACAACGCAAAGGAGCTGAGCACTTTCTCACATGGTGAGGAGAAGCAGCTGGAGAATATCATCAAGGAGATTGCAGACTCGGGAGTCAAGATTGTCGTCTCGCAGTCCTCGGTGGGCGAGCTGGCTCTCCACTATCTGAACCGTTACAACATCCTCTGCATCAAAATTCTCTCCAAATTCGAGCTGAGGAGACTGTGCAGGCTTATTGGTGCTACCCCTCTCGCTCGAGTCGGCGCTCCAACACCGGAAGAGGCAGGATGGACCGACATCGTTGAGACAATTGAGATCGGTGGTGACAGGGTGACCGTCTTCAGGCAAGAGGAGGGCAAGCCAGGTGGCAAAGCCAAGCCCCGCATGGCCACCGTTGTGCTCCGAGGCGCTACCGCCAACCACCTTGACGACGTGGAGCGAGCCATTGACGATGGAGTCAATGTGATCAAGTCTCTCACTCGGGATCCCAGACTGGTCCCTGGCGCCGGTGCAACTGAGATCGAGCTTGCAAGGAGGATTGGCGAATACGGCGAGAAGACACCTGGGCTGAACCAGCACTCTATTCGCAAATTCGCCGAGGCTCTCGAAGTCGTACCTCGCACACTGGCCGAGAATGCCGGACTGGACGCAACCGAGGTCGTCTCCTCACTAATGGCACGACATGCCACCAAGGAGGGAGAAGACGTAGGAGTGGACATCGAGGATGAGGGTGAAGAGGGGACCATCTCCACTAGGGAGAATCAGGTGTTTGATGTCCTTGCTGCAAAGAGCTGGGCGATCAAGTATGCTGTTGGAGCGGCAATTACAGTGCTCAATGTCGACTCGATCATCATGAGCAAGCCGGCGGGGATCAAGGTGCCCAAGCAGAACCCCAACTGGGACGATGATTAGATGGGTCAGCCTATGCAAGTGAGGAAGAGAGGGGGGAAGGCGCCGTTGACACTGAGCCAATGCAGTTTTCGACAAGTAACTTTGACGGAGCAAGAGGAGAAGGACTCCTACGGCCCACTTCTATGTATACTCTCGTGATTCCTACACACCCTGCCACTCGCCCAATACAACCAAACGTGCCCATCACACTGCATGTGTAGCTCGTGTCGTAGACACAAGCTGTCACTCCCCTTTCACGAGCCTCTGACTGACGTCGAATGACACATTGATCAATTGTTTGCATTGCATTACGATGCGCTACGCCCCGAGTGATGAGTCCAGTCAAGTCGCCTGTTCCCCATTGCTTGTAACAGCCTTTTTGCCTCTCTGCGCCAAGTATGAGTCATCTGGACCTCTTCTCCTTTCTTTCTCACCAATCAGACCCCAACTTAAACACTAACCCCACTCGCAACCGCACTCCCCAGCCCCTCCCCAGCTCCCTTGACCTTATCACCCTGCGCAGCCAATCTCCTCCTTCTCCTAGCCAACCTTGCTTCCTCCTCCTCGATCCTCTCCCTCTCTTCGAGCCGCTCAGAGTAGTACTGTCCTGACTGCAGCACCACCACCCCGATGAGGGCGGCGGCGAGGACTGCATTGGAGGTTGCGAGCTCCCGCAAGGGGAGGAGAGTACTGTCCCGTGGGTCTTGTGGGTTTGCTTGCGGGGCGGGGGAGAGGGGAGGAAGGTGAGAGAGATCTGGAGAGAGAAGTGGGTGATCGAGAAGGAATCTGAGTGATCAGAGCTGAGGAAGAGAATGACCGAAGATGCCGGGAACTCACTGGACAAGATCTTGGAGTAGTAGAGCAGTCCGCATGAGCCGTACAGGACTGGGATGAGAAGGAAGCGGGTGCAGGTTGAGTCAATTCCTCTGCCTGGTTTCAAATATAGTGCCGCACCAGCTCGCTTGTGGACTCACACAGACTTGCGCCATCAAAGAGCCAATTGCTCTGTCTTCTGCCAAAGAAGATCTTGCTAAGTACAAGCAAACATCCCAGCGCCCAAGCCGAATGCAGCACCAACCCCTGCTCCTTCACCTCAGCGCTGCCATCACCTCCACCCACACTAGACGGGAGGAAGCTGCCGCTGTTAACTCCGTAGGTGTGCGAGTAGTAGGCATGGGCAGAGACGAGGGATTGGTGGGTGATGGGAGATTGCCAGAGGAGGAGGTGGTCGGCTGTCCAGTGCATGCTGAGGACGCCGAGGAGGAAGGCGGAGAGCGAGATGACTAAGCCTGTGCCTAGGCCTGTCATGTCTGCTAGAGGAAAGGGATGAAATGGTAGGGAGGGGAAGAGGAAAACGATGGCGAGCCAAGATGAGTATCGGAAGAAAGTGTAAAGGAGCGTGAGAGCCGAGGATGCGCCTGCTTGTGGTGCTGCTGCTCCTCCTCGCCCCGCCGGAAGAAGCCTGCGTCTTTCTCTCCACACACGCCTGGCCACGCTCCGCTCCGATGCGTGGCAGGGCGGAAAGCGGAGCATTCCAAAGGCGCGGCCGACTAAACCAATCAACACCTTCCGGCCTGCTTGCCTGCCTGACTGTCTGCCCTCGTCTCGCTTTCCTTTCTGCCTCGACTCCTCTCACCGCCTTTCTTCCTCTTCTACATAGTAACGAGGAGCTTCGGCAGTCCTCCTTGCTCTACCGTTTTCCGTGTCCTCCGCTGCGGACCGCGATATGGACTCGATACCGCCAGCAGATGGGGCGACTGGAGTGGCTTCTTGGCTGCCCCTCGTCGCAGACTTCGCAAGGCAGAGCAGGGCAGATCCCAGAGCCATCTGGACCAGCTTCAGCATGATCATCGTACGTGTCCCGCCCAAGCAAGGAAGGAAAGAGGAGCGCTATGGCTTCGCCCGCGCTCGTACATGGTTGCCGTATTCCTCACCAATCTCTGCCTGCCTTGCCTCTTCCATTCCCAGTTCTCGGAAATTGGCGATAAAACCTTCCTGATAGCTGCCCTCCTCTCTATGCGGCACCCACGTCTGACAGTCTTCGCAGGCTCTTTTCTCTCGCTAGCGGTGATGTCACTGCTTTCCTCCTTCCTGGGCGTCATCTTCCCCACTCTCCTTCCGAAATCCCTCACGACACTCCTGGCAGCCGGGCTCTTCCTCGTCTTTGGAGTCAAGATGTGGTTCGAGGGGATGCAGATGGACGGTGATGAGATGGGAGAGGAGCTGGAGGAGGCACGTAAAGAGATCGAGGAGGGAGACGCAGAGGAGTTGGAGATGGCAGAGGGGGGAAGGGGCGGACAGTACCCCACTGTGGACCCCTACCCGCCTACAGCACCCCTCTCTGCCGACGCGAGGGCCGATGCTGTTGCTCACGGCGCCCACCAAGGGGAGGCAAGCAAAACCAAGACACTAGCAAGCGCTGCAGGTCTCAAAGATGGAGCGAGGAACCTCTGCTCGCTACTCTGCGTTTCGCCAGTCTTTGCACAGGCGTTCGTCCTTACCTTCTTGGGAGAGTGGGGAGACCGGAGTCAAATTGCTACGATCGCCCTTGCCGCTGCTCATGTGAGTAATGAAGAGCAGCTTGCAGTAGGAGAACAGAGGTCTGATTGTGCGAGGCTTATCTAATCTTTCTTCATTTCTGTGATCAGAACATTTGGCTTGTGTCCTTTGGCACCATCCTGGGCCACTCCATGTGCACCGGAATGGCCGTCATGGGCGGCGCACTGCTCGCAAAGAGGATCAGCGTCAAGCATGGTGAGTAGGCCAATCGGCCTTCGCTGCTGTATCCGCCATCTCTGACCAAAATTGTCTTCCCTCACTTTCTCGCCCCACCGCTCACAGTGACTCTCCTAGGCTCCGTCCTGTTCCTCCTCTTTGCCCTCATCTACCTCTACGAAGCCTACTCAGAATACGCGCACCCCTCCCCCTCGGTAGCCGACGTACTCTCCTCGTCGTACTCTCTGGATGCAGGCGTGCAAGGAGTGAAAGCTGCAGGTCAAGGGATGGGCGCTGTAGCAGGGCAGGTGGGAGGTGCAATTATGGGGGCGGCGGGAGCGGCGGGGGGACCGGTGGATGTGGTGGCGCCTGTGGGTATGGCAGGACAGGTGCAGGGAGGAAGAGTGCGGTAGACTACGCACTTTCAGTAGCCTCTGCGGTAATTGCCACCTCTCGGCCCCTGTGCGAGGTCGAGCGGGGCAAACGAGCCGCCCATACCATTGCTCCAGGTCAGGCACACGCACACTCAGCATACACTATCTTATCCTATCGCATCACAACAGCTCAACCCTCACCTCCACGTGCACATCCGTCATCATCTTTCGGGCCTCTGAACCCCAACTCCCATGTAAATAAAGAGTCATTTCACATGCACCGTAGCTCTGGTAGATCCGTGCTTGATGACAGGTGACAGATAGATAGAGTGACAGTCAGACGGTCGACCCGAAGTAGGGGTGCACCCCCGCTTCCTCTTTCCTCTGCTTGAAGGAGGATGGATCGATCGATGGGAGCATGGATGTTGGAATCGACCAAAGAGCAAAGCAAAGCACAGCCCTTCGTCTATACGTACGAATCAAGGGTGGAGGGATACCAGAAATGCAGGACTGCAGGACTGCAGGACTGCACTGCCTCATTCCTCGCAGCGAAGCTCAACGAAAGCGCACTTGCAGCGCCACCTACTCTCTCTCTCGCTCACTCGCTCGCGCGCTCGCTCGCCTTTACGTGTAATGATCACCTTTGCCGGCCCAGAGGCTTCGCCTTCCTTCGCCTTCTTTCCCCTTCACAGAGGCACAGGCTGTAAACGTGATCACGCTCTACGCTCTGTATCGCCATCGGTTGCATACTGATCTGGCTGCGTCACTCCGCCCTCGGCCACTGCCATTGCCATCTCTCTCTCCTTCTGACTTCGCACAGCCACACTTAGCGCGGTTGCCCCCCCTCTGATGCTGCCTTCATCATGCTGCGTGGGAAGGGGGCCAAAAGGGGACCCGCCGGCTTCGGCAAGGTGCTTGACCTCCGGAGGGAACGCCGATGCGAGCAAGCGAGGAGTGGATGTGCTGGTGATGCGTGTGGGCGTGGTGCGGGGTGGGGACGTGCGGTGCTGCAGACGATAAGTCGCCATTTTAGACTCTTGTGGAGGCGAGCGAGCGAGCGAGCACGGCTGCACGGCTGCAAGAGTTCAAGACCAGGTCCAGACGCCCAGTCCACGCACCTCGAGAGCTTGCACCGCCCCGCCATGCAGCATGGCCTCACGAAGGGAAGCCAGGGGAGGCGAGAAGAGGTAAGTGCTTGAATGCAGAGTACTGTGCAAGGAAGGGCATGCAGGCCAATCTGAATTGGGGAAGTGCCCTGCTTGGTCACGATGATGACGATTTGGGGCACCGCTTCTGCTCTCTTCCACCTCACCTTTTCCCTTTCTGCTGAGGCACAGGCACAGGCACAGAGCGAGCTAAAGAAGGGGTGGTGGCCTGAGCGCAACCAACAGACCCATGTGTGTGTGTGTGTGTGTGTGTGTGTGTGTGCGAGGGAGGAGTGACTTGCCTGTCTGCGTGGCCTTGGGAGGAGGATATAAGTAGCTGGCCTAAGTGGAGTAGCGCCTTGACTTCCTTTCCACCACAACTCATACACGAATACTTCACTAAACACGCCACACACCCACTTCTCTTACCAATATGGAATCAATGATCAACAAGTGAGTAGCATCACCTGCATACAGGCTGGGCAACAGATGCATCTGCTGCTCGCCTTGCTCCCCACTGGCACTACGTACCCCTGCTTAGCACTCCTCTCACACCGCACTCTTTCCGCCTCCTCACCTTACAGGGCCAAGGAGTTTGCCAGCTCCGAGAAGGGCCAGAACATGATGGACAAGTTCGGCGGCAACAAGAACAACAACAACAACAACGATGACTCTTCCTACGGAGGCAACAACGACAACAGTTCCTACGGTGGGGGCAATGACAATAGCTCGTACGGAGGCAACGATAACAGCTCCGGTGGTGGTGGAGGTGGATTTGGAATGCAAGACGCCAGCTCTGGTGGTGACTCCTACGGCTCTGGTGGTGGCCAAGGTGGCTTCGGCGGTGACACTTCTGGTCAGGGAGGCTACGGTGCCAATGACGGCGGAGACTCCTACTCTTCTTCCAACCAGCAAGGTGGAGGAGGCTACGGTGGCTCCGGCGGAGGACAATTTGGCGACGACAGCTCTTCTGGTGGTGGACGCCAAGGTGGAGGAGGCTTTGGTGGTGGAGGTCAGGACGACTTCTCTTCTGGTGGTGCACGCCAAGGAGGAGGAGGAGGCTTCGGCGGTGGAGGTCAGGACGACTTCTCTTCTGGCGGCGGTCAAGGCGGCCAGGGAGGTGGCTTTGGTGGAGACACTTCTGGACAGGGAGGCTATGGCGCTAATGATGGAGGTGACTCCTTCTCGTCTTCCAACCAGCAGGGCGGAGGCTATGGAGGATCTGGTGGAGGCCAATTTGGCGATGACAGCGGCTCTGGCGGTGGCGGTGGTGGATACGGTGGCGGCGGTCGTGATGATCAGTACTAAAGGAGACAAGTATCGAGAAGGACATACTGTAAGGAAAGGATATGTCGATGAGAACTGCATACCGAGGAGCGCAGACAGAATGAGAGTATAAGTGGAAGATAATGCAATGCGATTGAGAATACCGTAAACATTTGCGTAAACGCCTGAGCTACTATCGTAGTCAGCTCTGTCCCAACGTTCCCCCAGCCTCCGTCATCACTTGATGTACTTCGTATGCGAACCCTCCACCACCAACTTTGCTTCTCCCCTCTCTCCTTGCCCTGCAGCTCTGGCCCAAACCTGCACCCCCACCCAAACGAGGTGTCTTCCCTTTTTCTTGACCCAGGTCCTCACCCACACCTCCTCGCCCATCTTGGCAGAAGAGGTGAATTGGACAGACATGTCCGTCGAGAGACCGCGTGGAGCAGAGAGAATTGAGGCGCGTGGGGGATAGACTGGTTGAGTGAGAGGGGAGGAGGAGGTGGTAGGAGGTAGGGAAGGTAGAGTTGGTGGAGGGGCATTGAAGGATGCGTTGGTAGTGCCGAGGGAGGCGATGCACACCCCTGATATCAAGTCTACAAGAGTGCAAGAGACGGATCCGTGGAGAATCTTGTGCGAATTAAGGTGGTGCGATTGAAGCGTGTCACCTTCAGCTGCCTCTCCCTCTCCCCCTTCTTCGCTCTTGGGAGAGACGAACTTGAAGGTCAGATCCCCCGGGATAGAGGGCCCGCTCGATCCTTCTGGCCCTCGTACGAGCTGTAGACATGACGCCTCTGCGGGGCCGAAGAGGTGCTTGTAGATGGGTGAATTGGCGAGGATACATGCGAGTACCTGTGCGGGCAATGAAGAGATGACACGGCAAGTAGGCGTGAGTGAGCAGGTGAACCTGCGAGGAGCGGGGGTGAGGGGCTAGTACTCACCTCTTCGACTGCATCGTAGAAGTCGCTTGCGCTGCTCGTGGCAGACTCCTGAGTGGCAGCCATACCTCTCAAAAGCAAGACCTATTCACGAGACGAAATGGAGGAGGAGGAGGAGTGACAGCAGTGCCAAGAGGGTCGTCCCTTGTGCTGCACGTCTTCCTCGAGAAGCTTGGCGGTGTGGTGTGGTGCTGCCCTCCCTTTCCGCGTTTCTGTGGGGCAACCTGGGCCGAAAATGGCCTGGCTCGAGAGCAACGCAGCCTGTGCCGCGGGAGAAGTTGCCTGGAGCAGGGACGGAAGCAGCACGGGAGCGATACCAAGCAAGACTACCACCTCTACGCTCACCACCTTGTAGTTGACAGTACCCACCTCCTCTGCGACGCCGTGATTTGTGCCCAGGATGCCTCCGCCACCGGCCACGTCCTCGTCGCAGGCCTCACCTCCAGCCGAGGGCGGTCAGAAGCCACTCAGCGGACTGTCTCTGTATGCAGGCATCTCCTTCTCCGGCAACCGCGCCGCTAGCTCTTCATCAACCGATGCTACCAGCACGTCTGCTCCAGCTCCAAGCACAACGACAGAAGCCTCTGGCTCTTCACCATCAGCTACCACTAAGCCCGCCGCCTCCTCGTCCTGGTCAGCAGCCCTGCGTTTCGCACCACGCAAATCCTCCTCTTCCTCCAACAGTGCCTCGGCAGCCAACCGCAATCGACCCCGCGCAGCCATCGTAGCTCCTTCTTTCTCAAGCTCCACCCCCAACCCGCTTCAGGTAGACGAAGACGTTTCTCAGGATGAAACGAAGAGCTCTGAGACTGCTGCTGTAGCTGCTGCTGGTCTGCCCGGGAGGAGTCGTTCCAATCCTTCCCCCGCCCGCTCTGGCTCAGGATGGGCCACGGTCGCGTCAGGTAGTGCAGCGCCTACCCAACCCTCTTCCGCAGTGCCAGCTACTGCTACCGCTTCGACCTCCGTATCGGCAGCTCCCCCGCCCACCGTCCTCGCGCTCCCCTCCAACTTGGCCTCCTCGAGCAAGTACACCCTACCAGTCGTGACTGCTCCTCCCGAGTTGCGACTTCCGCAGGCGGAGCTGGACGCGGATAAGGCCATGGCGCGCGATGCTGCCATTGCACGAGGGGAGAGGGCACAGCCTCAGCAGCAGCAGTATCAGCAGAGGGATTGGGGAGGAGATGAATATGGAGGATATGATGAGGGAGGAGCAGGAGGAGGGTGGGATGAGGATGAGGATGTGAATGGATTTGCTATGAGTAGTGCTGGGCAGAAGGCTCGGAAGAAGGTGAGTCCGTCAGACCAGAGGATCATCCATGCCTCAGCATTTGCACATCCTGACGACATGTTGCGCTGTTCTTGATTGCTTTCAGCGCTCGAAGCGTAGAAGACAGCATTCGCCAGGACGACCTCCCCCGATCAACTGGGATGCCGACTATGACCCTCGTACACCGAACGACTATGCAGCCTGGAAAGACGTGGTACGCAACCGACGCGAAGCGCTTAAGCGCATGGAGGCACAGAGGAGGCGCGAAGCAGGCGATGGAGACGATGATCAAGAGGATGAGAGAGATTGGGTAGATGAAAGGGATAGGGAGAGAGAGGTGGACGAGGAGAGATTAAGGAAATATAGGAAGTGGGCACCTCCTCCTTCCTATGCTACTTCTGCCGGCGCAAAGCAGCGGACAGCCTTCAATGGTGAGGAAGAAGAGGAAGAGGAAAAGCTGTACATCTCTCCTCCCCCACCCGAGCGTCCCGCTGCCCCTCAAACTGCTCCATACGTTCAATATGGCCAGCCTCCTCCAGCATTCGTACAACCAGCACGTCCTGCTCCACCTTCATTCGTTACGGCCTCAGCAAGTACTGCCGAAGCGGGAGCCTCTATCGGCTCGCCTTACACGTCCCAGCTACCGCCTCCCTCGCGACAGAGCGAGACGTCGTCGACCCCTCAGCGACCAATGACGGGAGAAGAAGCCTACCAGCGACGTCTCGCCATGAGTCAGCAAGCCGCTCATGCATCACCACCAGTAATCGCAAGAGCTTCACCTGCAGATGCATCTCTTTCACGCTCCCCACTGCCACCTGCATTTCAAGGAGGAGGAGAAGGAGAGGGAGGGGACGTCAAGTCCTCTCCTGCGCCAGCTATGGATCTCGCTGCGCGCCAGTCTGCTGCAGCAGCCATTGCTGCCCGACTGGCAAGTATCGCACCTCCTGCACAACCAGCACGACCGGGACCTCCTCCACCCCCTCCCCCGCCTCTATCTTTCGTACCCGGCGGTGCGGGCAGTAGCAGCGCTCTCAACAACGATGTGGTCCCAGAGGGTGAGGAAGAAGAGGGCGATTTTGCGACACGGCTCATGAGTAAGTGGGGTCATCAGAGCGGACAGGGACTGGGCGCCGAGGGCAATCAAGGCATGACCGAGGCGCTCGTGATAAACAAGGTCTCCAACTCCAAGACCGGAGGATGGAGGAAAAGCGCAGACTTGCTGGGCGTGGACGGGTTCGGTCCCTCTTCATCTTCCTCTACGAGCAGCGGAGCCTCTTCGATGGGCCCAAGAGGCAGGTATGCCACGGCAGACCCTCGTGCGCGAGCCGATTTGGAGAAGTACGGCCAGCCCTCCGAGGTGATTTTGCTGCACGGACTGCTCTCGCCTCCCGCTAAAGTGGGTGGACATTCCTCGAATCCCAAGAAAGGGGAAGGGGAAGGGGGGGATGTAGACGAGGCTCTTCCGGGGGAGATTGCAGAGGAGTGCGCAAAGTACGGATATGTGGAACGGGTTGCCATCTACCCACATATCTCCCCTCCCCTCCTTTCTGGCTCTGCCTCCTTCTCACCAAGTACAGCCCTAGACAGAGAGGCAAGCGGCACGGGCGGAGTCGTCTTTGTCGTCTTTACAGGCCTCGTAGGAGCATACAAGGCGGTACGGGAGCTGAATGGACGCTTCTTCTCGGGTCGTAAAGTTCGCGCGAGATATTTTCCCAAGCAGGCTTTTGCAAAGGGAGAAGATGCGTGGAGGGAGGAGGTAAGGGGATGGTTGGCTGGTGGTGGGGCGGGAGCGTGAGCTTGTGCGTGGGAGAGAGGATCAAGAGCAGCCAAGGTGGTTCACTTGGCTGGAGAGGAGTACTGAGCACAAAATGGCTACGCGGTGTGCGGTATGACAATGCAAGGCTTGATCTTAGGAGGTACAAATACAATCAGGAACATCCTCTACGTCTGGCGCTTCATCTCTTACGCATCTGCCCACCTATCTCTACCCCTTCTCTTCTCTTTTCCTCTCCAAGGCGACGTCTCAAGCACCCCACTCCCCCGCACTAGCCAAATTGGCAAACACCCCTTCCCTCTGTCGACTGAGCTGAGCAAACGTCCCAGCCTGCACCACTCTTCCAGCATCAAAGACCAAGATGCGCTGGCAGGCGCGCATCTCATCGAGCTTGTGCGTGACCAAGATCGTAGTGGGTAGCACCATCGAGGCTGACGTCGCTGAGGAAGCGGAAGAGGAAGACGAGGGACAACGTTGAGATCGCAATGAAGGATTGGCTAGGTGCGGCGTGTCGGACAGGAGCGTCTGCACGACCAATCGACGGTTGGCGTCATCGAGAGCGCTCGTCGCCTCGTCGAGAATGAGCAGATTGGCGATCTTCCTCTCGGCTCGTACACCTCCAAAACCAGCCTCCTGTCGCTCCGACGTCGACTCAGCAGCGGGCGGAAGCAAGCGGAGCAGAGCTCGTGCGATGGCCAGTCGTTGGCGCTGACCACCCGAGACGAGAGAGGCACTCTCCCCCATGGACGTGTCGTAGCCGCGTGGTAGAGCTCGAACGAATTCGTCTGCGCAAGCAAGAGCGCAGGCACGCTCGATCTCGCTTCGCTTTGCTACTGCAATCTTTCCTCCATCACTAGCACCATCGCACTGCAGCCCGTACGCAACATTTTCGGCTACAGACATATCGAAGAGGTTCGGATGTTGAGATACAACAGCAGTGTAGTCTCGAAGGTGCTTGATATCTATATCTCTCAATCGGTGCCCATCGAGGAAGATTTGTCCCGAAGTGGGCTCGTAGAGTCGCTGCAGCAGCGCAGCGACGGTGCTCTTCCCGCATCCAGAGGCACCAACGATCGCGACCGTCTCGCCAGGAAAGATCTCAAAGGAGGCGCCCTGCAGAACTTGCACGTCTGGTCTGGTTGGATAGCTGAAGTACACGTCGCGGAAGACGATTGCGCCCCTGATGACTGGTTGGGCAGATCCGGTCTTCTCAGACGAGACAACCAGGGAGGACGGTGAGCCTCCTTGCTTGCTGCTTCGAGGCGTCTCATCGCCCAGCTCCACCAACTTGCGCAAGTCCGCCGTGGCTTGAATACTCTTAGTCAGTGCAGGAAGGTACGCCATCATCTGACTGCCAAAGGTGATAGCAAAGATGATGAGATTGAACGTGATGACCATTTTCTGAAAGTCGTACGTGCCCTTTGTGATCAGCACTGCACCCACGTAGAATATCAGTGCTTCAGCGAGGTAGGTGATCGCCTCGCCCAGTCCAAAGGCGAATCCGGAGAGTGGCGCAGCACGCAGCGCGTCCCGCTCGGTTGCGGTAATGGCATCCAAGAACTGGGCGGCGAAGACGGGCTCCAGGGCCATGGAACGGATCCCACGGATGTTGGAGACTAAGTCGTAGAATCGCTTCGCCACGGTCTCTCTCCTAACCTTGTTGCGAGCTTCGAACTTGCCGATAGCGCGAGATTGCACTACTGTTGCGCCGATGAAGATTGGGACTAGTGCAAGGCCGATGAGGGTGAGGAGCCAGCCGGTAGCCATGGCCCAAGTGAGACCGATGGTGACCATGGCAATTACTACGACGAGAGTTCCGACGGACGTGGCAATGAGGTTGCGCGCGTCCTCAGCGTCCTTGATCATCTTGTTGACTAGCACACCAGCAGCAGCGTCTCTCCCATCAAACCAAGTCTTATCCTGATCCAGCACTTTTGCAAAGCATTTCTTTCGAAGTGTAAGGATCCAACCTTCGCCAGCTCGCTCCATTAGGTAGGAGCGCAGGAAAGCGAATCCACCCTCTGCAAAGGCCAGACCGAGCACAGAGAGCGAGTAGCGCAGCACCAGGGCAGATTGATTGGGCTTGGCCATAGTTGCCAGGAGAAGAGCCAGGAAGTAAGAGAAGATCGGTGTGATACCTCCTCCAATGACGGAACAGACTGTGCCAAAGAAGAAAGTCCACTTGCACGGAGAGGAACTCCAAGCCCAGCGCAACGTTGCCCACGTCTGCGCAGGCTCCAGTGTAGTCATATCTGGCGCGCTCGCCAGGCCGCCTTTCTGCATATCAAGGGCAGTAAATGTGTTCGTCGGGTCATGAGCGGGACCTGACATGGCTCTGACAAGGTCAACCTCACTCCACTCCCTTCGAATCATCTTCGAGACGCTGTGCGACATCGACATCCGCGAAAGCATATTGACTGATCTAGCTTGCGAACGTGAGATTCTCATCTCTACTGCGGTCTGGCCTGCCACTTCGAGCCAAGGGGCCTGCTCGCAAACGACATCTGCTTGATGCTGCTCAGGTAGGCGCAAAGCTCGTAGTCCGCCAAGGGAGACCTTCCCATATCCTGAGTCAGTGCTTGGACTTTGTACCCCCAGAGCGACCGGGCTACGGAATGAGCCCGCGTCTGACATGCGTGTCGAAGTCAACGCTGGCGAGACCGTGCTGGCTTCGCTTATACTGTAAGGATGGGCGAAACGAGGTGTCTGGTAGCTGAGTGGTGACGAGACGACAGCTGATTGCGGGAAGCGGGGTGAAGTTCCTCGAGAGTCTGTCGTGAGTCCCGGCGATCGGTTGTAGACGAATGGCGAGCGATATTGGCGAACAGAAGAGACAGTGCTGAATCTGTCGTCGTTCCTTTCGTCATCACTACCGATATCCGATGGGACGCTCTGTGAGCTTGCGCGGGGATAGTCTTGCAGTCCCAATGCTGTGATCAAAGCTTTCTGCCCTGATCCCGGAGGCAGACCAAGAGCCGATGCCAGTTCGTCCCTTCTTGTCATCCTCCTGAGCTTCTTTGCTGCCACCATACGTGGCGATACCGGGGATTCCTCGAGAGCCTCTTCTTCAACCTCACCGATTGTGATGCGAAGGGGGCCCGACAAAGCTGACGACTTCTCAGCGTCGGCGATTCTCTCTTCCTCAGCATCTTTGAAAGGATCTTGCAAGTTCTGCTGTCTCGCTAAAGTTTCAAAGTGGCCATTATGCTGCTTCATCAGAGCACCTCTATAGCCATTCTCGACGACTTCTCCGTCCTTCATCATGTACAAGAAGTCATGTTCGTCCACCTGGCTGAGATCGTGTGTGATGATGATGGTTGTCTTGCCTCTCCTCCAAGTCTTGATGGCTTCATTGACTAGGAGCCGAGAAGTGATGTCGAGCGCGCTGGTGGCTTCATCGAGGATCAAGATGGCTGGATCCCTCAGTCGAGCACGGGCGATAGCCAGCCGCTGCTTTTGTCCACCAGAGAGTGCAGCGCCTCGTGCACCAAGAATGGTATCGTATCCGTCAGGTAAATCCTTGATGAACTCGTGCAGTAAAGCGATTCGACAGGCACTTATGACTTGCTCCCGGTCCACTATCGGCACATGTGTCCCTTGTTGGACTTGCTGATCGCTGAGGCCTCGCCCGATGAGACCCAAGGCGACATTGTCATGCACGCTCAGATCAAAGACGATGGGATGCTGGTCCACGGAGGCGATGTTAGTCCTACACCATTCCCGGTCGAGATAACGGCAGTCTTGACCATCCAGCTCGATAGCCCCAGAGTCAGGACGGTAGAGTCGTAGAAGCAGCTGCGCAATAGTACTCTTGCCACTGCCACTGCCGCCTACGATGAAGGTGGGCTCGCCAGCTGGAATGAACATGTCGATGTTCTTGAGTGTAGGAGGAGCGTCTGGCGAGGTAGCTTTGATGGAGGGGTAGCAAAATGTGAGCCCCCGCAGGTTGACTTCGCCTGAACATTCGCCTCGAGGCCGAATGCCACGCATGGCGACTGCTCGTCCTAGCTTCTTTGAGCCTGAGCTCTTCATGTGTGAAAATGCACTGCCAGTGGGCGAGAATGTATCTGATCCGTATGTGGTAGCAGAACGATCCGATAGGCGCTTGGTCCCATGGCCATCTTGCTCGTCGCCGATAGTGAAGTGCTCACTTTGCGACCGATTTCTAGAGTGGGAACCGATCTTTTTGTCTCGTAGCGGACGCAGGGCCACAGAGTCGCCCTCTTCAACTTCAAGAGTGATCAAACGCTCTAAGCCCGCTGCTCCTACTTTGCCCTTCTCGATAATGTTGAGTGCCTGGATGATCATCTGCAGGTGACTACTCGTCAGCAGCGCCGCCCAGAAAACAGACATGACATCTCCCGAGGTTGCCTTTCCACTCTGTACGAGGTATGAACCGTACCAGAATCCTTGCACGAACATGCAGAACATGAGGAAGTTGCTGAAACCGTGTCGGATGCCCCACCAGAGGGAAACACGCATGTATGCTCGATATCCCTCGAGGAGCAGCTTGCTGAACCGCGCTTGCTCTTTGGCCTCGCCATTGAAAGCCTTAACTGTCGCGATGGAGGTGACGACTCGCTCCACGAGGCCGCAAGCCCGGGAGGTAGCAGCTCGTTCAGCTACAAGCAATGGGCCGCAGATGACCTCTACAACAATCGTGACACCTGCGGCAATGGGGATGCTTGCCAGGATCACAAATGTGAGTGACCAACTCGTTGCCAGCGCAAGAGCGAGAGAGGCGAGAGCGGTAGTCAGGTACTGCACGAGCTGTCCGGCTTGCTGACCAGTAGCTATCCTGACATCGTCTGTCTCTCTTGCGAACTTGGCCATCAGACCACCACAGCCAATCCCTCCTTCACTCTCTGCTCCAGCCTCAGTCTCTCCCTTCTCGTCTTGCTCTGTGCTATCTTGATCGGCTCCCATGCCGAGATCGAACCATTCCATCTTGCGCTGACTGACACTGGCATACACTCTAGACCTCAACCTTCCCGCCACACGTTCCCCAATGACGATCCAGACGCTGATCATGGCCGTGCTGAGAATCATTGTGCCTGCTCCGAGCACTGCAAGATGCCAGGCATTATTGCCCATCGAGGCGAGCAGATTGTCCTTCTGTACTCGTGGTACCTCTGATGAGGGTAGTCCGGTGGGATTGTAGGAGGTATAGGCATCGAAGGCTTCGCCTAGCACTCTGGTCATGATGGCCGGCAGGGCTCCCGACACTCCTGCTAGTGCGAGACCTAGAAGCACCATGCCTGTGTCTTTCCTTTCGAGTGATGCATAAAGGAGTTTGATGGAGCCTTTGACCGCGCTAGCGCTTGAGGTGTTAGAGGCTGACACCGCGGCTGCTTTCTCTGGCTCTTCGAGCTTGGCAGCATATGATGTCGAGCTTGCTGTGCTGCTTGCTGATGGCTCGTTGTGGTCAGGTGAATAAGGCAGAGTCTCAAGCTAAAGTGGATGTTCCCGGACAATTGCAAGATCAGCCTGTCTGGCTGCTTACACACTACAGTGTATTGCAGCTGAACTCACCTCGTGATGTAAGCCTTGCCGCGTCATGACCTCCCTCGGCTTGCGGACTCCAGCCTCACTGCCACACTGCCTCATATCTGTTGCTTCACGACGAGGTCCATCGCTTGTATCCTCGAAGCGGACCATCCCGAGAGTCGGGAGCTGTGGACGGAAGAGCCAGCGGAGGACAATGACGATCGAAGGGGTGAGCTTAGTCGAGCCACAGGCGGGATTGGCGTTCTGTGCTGCTGTGAGTAGTGCTGGTGCTGGAACTGATGGTTCTGCTGCTGGTACTGAGGGATGCTGATGACGTAGACGAGCCAGTCTGTGTTCGTATGGGTATAGGTCTTGAATTCGGTAAAGCTTCTGGTATCAGAGGCAAGATCAGAACCCGGTGCAAAGATCAGCTCAACTCAACCCACCTACCCTCTCCCCTCCTCTCTCCCTGCCAATGCCCGTCTCCAACTCTCTTGTCCCACTCCGGCTCACCAGCCGACCGCCATCGACTAAAGTCAATCCCGTCTCGCCCAATCGAGTGGCACAAGGAGGTGCCTCTGAGCTCATATCTCCGTCTATGCATCTCTCGATCTATGCATTGTCCAGCAGAACAAGGCAAGCTGATTCCTCGTCCATGCGCCACGGGCATCAGCGAGGGCGGACTCATGACAAAACACCAGACAAGACAAGACGAGACAGGACAAACAAACGACCGGCTCCTGAGTGAGTGAGTGAGTGAGTGAATGAGAAAGTGGCACAAGAGCAACTCATAGAAGAGAGAGAGCGAGAGGGAGAGACAGAGGTGGTGTGAAGATGCATATAGTCCAGGTCCAGGTCCAGGTCCAGGTCCAGGTCTAGGTCCAGATTTTGGAACAAAGGGAGTGGGACAAAGCACCCTACTTTGCAGCGGGAAGGAAGCCCATCCGTGCATGCAAGAACGGAACCACGGGAGCGGACTCTGAACACCCCTGCTCGTTCCAATCCGTGCCGTTCCGTCTTTCATAACCTTAGGACTTCCCGTCCGATCGATCGTCACACCTCTTCCACTCACTTTCGCAATTGGAGCTCACGCAGCTAGCCTGTAGGATCGACAAGTCTATAGGTATTCTATATAGATCTTTCGAAGACTCAAAGCGCTCTAACGTGACAAGATACAGCGCCCACAATTCCTCTACTGCAACAGGCAAGGCCCCCCTCCTTCTTTACAAGCCGTAAGCAGCCTTGATGTCGCTTCCTCCCAGTCCCTTTGCAATCTGTCCCACACCGAACCTCTTGATCCTGATGGCATTGACCTCGATGAATCCAGTGGTCATCTCTGGCTCGAAACCACCCAGCTCGTCCATGCTGGAGAACTTCTCGTCGTAGAGTTGCTCCTCGGACTTGCGTCCCTCGATGATGACGTTGCCCTTGTACAGCTTCACCTTGACCTCACCATTGACAGTCTTCTGCGACTCGGGAATGCAGGAGCGGACAAACTTGCCCTCGGGGCTGAAGAAGAGACCGTTGTACAGCTGCTCCGACAGCTTAGTAGTGATGAAGGCGTCTCGGATTCGGCGAACCTCACGGTCCAGCGTGAGACCCTCCAAGTCGATGTGGGCAGCTCGCAGAATGGTTCCAGCGGGGGTCTCGTAGCATCCACGGCTCTTGACACCGATGAATCGGTTCTCGACAATGTCCACTCGGCCAACGGCGTGCAGGCGGGCGAGGTTGTTGAGAGTGTAGAAGATGTCTACGGCATCGGTGAAGGTCTTTCCGGTGGAGCCGACCTCGACCTTGGTGGGGATACCCTTTGTGAAGGAGATGACGAGCTTCTCGCCAGCCTCGGGTGCGTCCTCGGGAGCCTTGATCAGCTTCCACATGTCAGCAGGAGGAGTGTGGTTGGGGTCCTCGAGGACACCAGCCTCGTAAGAGGTGTGGAAGAGGTTCTCGTCAGTGGACCAAGGCTTGGCCTTGCTCTGAGTGACGTTAATGCCCTTGGAGGCGGCGTACTCGAGGAGGGCGGATCGGCCAGCGAACCTCTCGTAGAATTCCCTGATCCTCCAGGGAGCAATGATCTTAATGTCAGGCTGCAGACCGTAGAAGCCCAGCTCGAATCGGACCTGGTCGTTGCCCTTTCCAGTGCAGCCGTGAGAGACGTACTGGCATCCCTCCTGGGCAGCAGCGGCGATCATGCCTCGGGCGATGACTGGGCGGGCGAGGGAGGTACCGAGGAGGTAGACGTCCTCGTAGATGGCATTGGCCTGGACAGCGGGGTAGATGAGCTCCTCGATGAATTCTCGCCTCATGTCAGAGAGGATGAAGCCGACGGCACCGCACTTCATGGCCTTGGTTCGAGCAGCCTCAAAGTCCTACAGCACGTAAGGAAGCGCGGCAAGATAAGCTCTGTCAGAAGGATGTCGCTGGCACAGCTAGCTCGCCCAAGATCGTCCAACTCACCTCCTCCTGTCCGACGTCAGCCATGAAGGCGACGACATCGTAGCCTTCATCAATGAGCCAGGCAAGAATTGTCGAGGTGTCTATGTGGCCAGATCAGACGAGCGGGAAGGAAGTCCAGGTCAGCTCCAATACTGCTGCAGGGGAGGGACAAGTGACAGCTGGCGCCAATGTACTCACCGAGACCACCCGAGTAAGCCAAGAGTACCTTTCCCTTTCCAGCGGCCATATTTGCAATAAGAGAAGTAGTAGTTGGGAGGGGGTATGAAAGGAAAGTATAAGCAGAGGGGTGGTGAGGAAGATGGGCGGGGAGAGAAGAACTTGTCCCGCCCTTTAACTCTGGTGAGTGGCCGTGCCTTTGAATCTTCCTGGCTTGGAGTCAGTGCGCTCGCCTCTGTGTGCTGCAAGTCCTTCTCGTCTACATTTTTTCTCTCCAAGGGATTCATCCGCGCATCCCTCTGCTCCAGTGCCTGGTCCATCCCACCCCTTTGGCCTCTGCCCGCCCCCTGCACGCGCCCCAAGGGGGGACGGGCCAGGGAGAAGAGCGCTCGCTGCCCGATAAGCTACGATTGGAGCCCACAGGTCGAGGAGGTGAGCGGAGGTGCAGGGCCTACCACGTCGTCTTTGCACGGAGGTACAAGGATGAGCCCACATCGCGCGCAGTACCCCCCGAAAGTGCCCGATCAAGTCGACGATAACCTGACCAAGACTTTGCATTCCCCCCAGAATGCACACATGACCCCTCTTCTGAGCGGTCAAAGCACGCACACTCACAGCACTGGATCCTGTTCCTCCTCTCCTTGGCAGGAGCCAGCAGGCAGACAGGCAGAAGTCAGGCGACGATGCATGGAGACAGACAATCGATCCTCTTTCTTTCCTTCCAGAGATGCTGATGATTCACTGTGTGATTTTGGTGCGTAAGGTGTAGGAAATGGGACTAGAAGGACAAGAGCAGGAAAGCAATGGAACCTTCAAAATGAGAGTGAGGCAACAAGACCCGAGAAATGGGGAAACATCGACAGTTACACAGATGAAGGGGGGGCCGGCAAGACGAGCAAAATGAGAAAGTTGTACATATGACAAAGGGACACCAAGAAGGCACACTGGCGCTCTCTCCATCACGCACACACTTCATCGCTCCATCTAGTTGCGGAAGGCACGGCCGGTAGCCCTCTTGAGACGGAGAGATGCCTTCCTGTAGTCGTCCGAAGTAGCACCCTCCAGCTCCAGAACCTCGAGGGCCTTGGCCAATTGCTGCTCCACCTCCATCTTGCCGGCACGCTTGATGGTGGCAGCAGGGTTGGAGATCGTCGACTCCACCGATGACACGTAAGCCTCCAGGTCATTTCGGGCGTCGTGGCGAGCCTGGAACTCCTTGTCGCTGTTCTTGAACTGCTCAGAGTCCTTGATCATCTGGTCAATCTCAGTCGACGACAGTCGACCAACCGAGTTGGTGATGGTGATGTTGGCGGTTCGGCCAGAAGCCTTGTCCTGAGCAGTGACACGCAGCAGACCGTTGGCGTCCACCTCGAAGGTGGTGAGCAGCTCGGCCTGGCCCTTGGGCATGGGGGGGATACCGGTCAGCTCGAACTCTCCGAGCAGTCGGTTGTCCTTGCACTGGGTTCGCTCTCCCTCGTAGACGGGGAAGGTGACCTGTTGTTGGTTGTCCTCGACAGTGGTGAAGGTACGCGACTTGGTGCATGGGATGGGGGAGTTTCGGGGGATGACGGGAGCGAAGACATCGCCCTGCATGGCGACACCGAGGGAGAGGGGAGCAACATCGAGCAGCAGCAGGTCGGCGGTCTTGTCGCTGGTCTGGTTGGTCAGGACAGCGGCCTGGACGGCGGCACCGTAAGCAACGGCCTCGTCGGGGTTAATCGACTTGTTGAGCTGACGACCGTTGAAGAACTCGGAGACGAGGGACTGGATCTTGGGGATACGGGTGGATCCACCGACCAGGACAACATCGTCGACCTTGTCGGGGTTCATCTTGGCGTCCTTGAGGACCTTCTGGACGGGGTCAATGGTGCCCTTGAAGGTGGCAGCGTTGATCTCCTCGAAACGAGCACGGGTGATGTTGGCGGAGAAGTCAACACCCTGGAACAGAGAGTCGACCTCGACGGTGGTCTGGGTAACGCTAGAGAGAGTTCGCTTTGCTCGCTCGCAAGACGAACGCAGCCTTCGGAGGGCTCGGGGGTCCTCGCTGATGTCGAGCTTGTTCTTCCTCTCGAACTCCTTCTTGAAGTGCTCAAGGAGGGCGTTGTCGAAGTCCTCACCACCAAGGTGGGTGTCACCAGCAGTGGCCTTGACGGCGAAGACACCACCGGTGATGTTGAGGAGGGAGACATCGAATGTTCCTCCTCCCAGGTCGAAGATCAGGACGTTCTTCTCGGTGGACGACTTGGAGTCGAGACCGTAAGCGATGGCAGCGGCGGTGGGCTCGTTGATGATTCGCAGCACATCGAGACCAGCAATGGAACCTAGCAAGGCGTGGACAGGATGAAGAATAAGACGTCAGTAAGCATGTGAAACAGCTTCGTACGTCCTTGCACGCCGTAAACCCCCCCTCTTCCGCCTCGGGAGACATTGGCGCTCAGCCAAGCTTTTGAATATCTCGTTTTCCTCAGCGGTCCGTGAAGACCTTTCAGTCTTAGCATGGAATAGAGAGTAGAAGATAATCCTTGCGCAGGACTCTCCACAGAGTGTGTCCTTGCCCTCCCTCCTACGTGTCTTGCCCCCCGCGCAAGCTGCTTCTTCTTCATCGAAAGCGAATACTCACCAGCGTCCTTGGTGGCCAATCGCTGAGAGTCGTTGAAGTAAGCGGGCACAGTGACGACGGCCTTCTTGACCTCCTTGCCGAGCTTGGCCTCAGCGATCTCCTTCATCTTGGTGAGAACCATGGCAGAGATCTCCTGGGGGGAGAACTCCTTCTTCTCGCCGAGGTACTCGACCTGAGCATGAGGTGCAAGGGGCGGGAGGATAAAGAGTGAGCATTGTCGTTTTACTTTTGGGTCGACGCATGATGCTGCGAATGCTCACCGAGATAGCGGGCGAGCCAGCCTTGTCAATAACAGAGAAGGGCCAGGTCTTCATGTCCTTCTGGACATCAGGGTCGTCGAATCTGCGGCCGATGAGTCGCTTGGCGTCGAAGACTGGTGTTTAAGGGGAAGAGCGAGTGAGAGGTCAGAACCATGCAAAGATAGATCTCCCCAATCGGTGCAGCTTGCACAGTGACCGTCTTTCCCGTCTGAGCAAACATCCCTCCATGCGTAGCACTCGCACTGAGCCTCCTTCCCGTTTGCTGCGCTGCCTTTCCCTTCGACGATGTGCTCCTTTTAGCTCTGCCCTTTGAAGATACTAACCAGTCTGGCGGGGGTTCATGGCGGCCTGGTTCTTGGCGGCGTCACCGATGAGCCTCTCGGAGTCAGTGAAGGCGACGTATGAGGGGGTAGTACGGTTACCCTCTGTGAAGGAGCAAGTGTGGAGAAGAGAGCGGAAGACGTCAGCTACTTGTTCGACGAGCGCAGAATATTGCGAGCTACTGAAGGATGTCCCGAGAGATGCCACCGATTCATCAATTCCTTCCTCTGCTAGACCTTCGTCTCCCTTGCTCCCCTGACCTGCTGTCATTCGCCAGTCGTATGATACCCACGGTCATTTGCGATGATCTCGACTCGCTCTCCCTGGGAGGACCATACACCTACACAGGAGTATGTGGTTCCCAAGTCGATACCGATGGCGCCCTGGAAGACGTCATCGTTTGCGGCGGCAGGTACTTCGGATGCCATTGTGATGCTACGAAGGTGATATGAGGGGTGGGGTGGGGGTGATGGGGGGGGATTGATGGTGGGTGGGTGAAGTTGGAGGGCGAGAAGATTTGCGCCTTGCATCGAAAATTCCCCCCTCTGAGCAGAGCCAGAGCGGCGGCGGCGGCGGCGGCGGGAGGGGGCGGGCAGGCGGGGGCGGGCGGTGTGCTGCCTAGCTGTCTGTCTGTCTGTCTGTCTCTGCCCGCGTGTCGCCTCTGCCTTTGCCCTGCTCCCCGGCCACCGCGCTCGTGACTGAAAAATCCACCTCGCCAAGTCGCAGCGGTAGCAGCACACAGCCAGAGGCAAACGGAAAGCAGAGGCAGCCATTCGGATCCGACACCGATGCATCACCCACGAGAAGATCTCAGCCCACCAAGGATGAGGCGAGGATCAGTAAAGTCAATCGATCATCAGCAGCGTCGTACAACACTCACACCCACCCCCTCGCTTTCCTGTCCCTCTTCCTTCCGCATGGCTTCGCGTGCAGCATCAGCTGCCTCGTCTTTCAGCTCGAGGTGTGTAGCTGGGCCCTCATCGCTGCGTCTGGCTACCAGGAGCCAGAGCACCCTGAGCAGTCAGGCGACCACTACCACGGCACCGACCGAGGATCTCCTTGCCTCTACTCGCGAGGTAGACGATGTCGATGCCCCAGCCTCGTCATCAGCTTCCGCCACTCCATCCACCAAGGTCTCCCTCGATAGAGACTCTCGGCGTCAATGGCGCAATACCCTCTCCTACCTCTCCTCCATGGGCTCCACCCAAACCCGGGCAAGTGTCTGGAAGCCCGCCCACACCCGTCTGAAGCCTCCTTCACCCAGAGAAGTGACCATCTCCCACCTTCTTGCAGCCACTGCGCATGTGGGGCACTCGACTGCCAACTTGAGCAAGGCTTACCAGCCATGGGTCTACGGCACACGACATGGCGTTGCTCAGATTGATGTAGAGAAGGCGACGCTCCCTTCGCTAAGGCGAGCTTCAAAGGTCGTAAGGGAGGTGGTATTGCGGGATGGAGTAGTGTTGATCGTGGGAACACACAAGGAGACACAGAGGGCCGTAGTTGCTGCTACGAAGAGGATGGGACCCAATGGCTTCCACGTGACAGTGGAGAGGTGGATGCCAGGGATCCTTACCAATTCGCCCTCGCTCCTTTCTAGAGCTATTATGGGCTCTCTCAGCGACTACGAGTCTGCATTCGAGGAGCAACAGCAGGGCAAGGAAGACGCAAGAGCCGCAAGGAGGAGTGATAATCGTGACTCGCGCGACTCAAGAAGAGACAACGGCCCTTCACCCCCTTCAGTGGCCAAGCTGGCCAGCCAACTACTCCAGCCCGATCTAGTCATCGTCCTGAACCCCAAGCTCAACCTCAACGCCATCAGAGAGGCAACCACCAACTCAATTCCCACGATTGGAATCGTCGACACGGATGTGGACCCGCGCATTGTCACCTACCCAATCCCGGCGAATGACGAGAGCGTGAGGGTGCAGGAGCTGATAGTGGGAGTGCTTAGCAAGGCGGGAGAGGAAGGGAGAATGGAGAGGATGAGGCTGACCGACTTGGATGAAAGAGCGGGTAAGAAGGAGAGGAGGGGGAGGAGAAGGGAGGAACAGCAGCAGCAGCAGCAGCAGTAGACGGTCGAGGAGTAGCTGTTTGCTCAATTGGGCCAGATTGTGGGCCGATGAGATCAATGATCAATGACATTGCAATGTTACATTCGAGGGGGCTCTGCCTCTCTGATGATGGCTTTGAACTACACGCCCGCCTCCAGCTCCACCTCCTCCACTGCGCCCCTCGGGTCAGAAGGATACCTGATGAATAGACCCTGCAGCTCCGCCATGCTCATCCCACCCCGCTTTGCCGGCAAAGGGGCCGCTTTCGTCCGGCTCTTGCGCGCCGTCACCGTTGCTTGTCCCTCTTCTACCCTAGAAGTAGGCGCTGAAGAGTTGTTGAGTGGGAATGAATCTGAGGTAGGATTGGCTGGGGCAGCTCCGAGGGGAAAACGCCCACTGGGATCGAGATTGAGCTCACGACGACGGAGTTGCGAGACGATCTCTACCGCTTTGGTCAGTCGGGCAGTCAGAGTGAGCATTTCCTCTGATGAGACGTCGTGCGAAGCTCTCCGTGTAGGTTCTGCGTTCCCTGGTTGCCCATCGACGGCAACGACGCCAGTGCCAGTAGCTTGGCTGGCAGCTGATGCGGCCCCTTCGCCATGTAGGGTTCCGTAGAATCTCTCGAAGAGCTCCTGCACCATCCCCTCGTCTGCGTCGCCCAATTCCTCAATCAGATCCACCCGGCCTGGCCGTATAAGAGCGGGATCTAATCGCTCTACGTGATTAGTAGTCATCATGACAATCCTGCTCTCCCCCGACGCAACTCCATCCAGCGCATTGAGCAGACCCGAGAAGGTTACCGACGTCTGATACTCCTTCTTTGGTTCCTCGGCCTCGCTCGCGCTGCGAGAGGGGAAGGCAGCATCGATGTCCTCTAGGAGGAGGATGGAACGCTCTGGTGCGAGAGAGAGGAGGTGGTTGAGCTTGTCGTCGGTGAGGCCGCGCTCGGAGAGATTGAGCAGACAGATGTTAAGATCCAACGCGCCTGCGAGGGCTTGGATGATGCTCGTTTTGCCGCTGCCGGGAGAGCCGTGTAGGAGGTACCCACGTCGATAGGGGATTCCCCTCCGAGCATACCAAGCGCCCCTCCCGAGGAAAGACTTGACATCCTCCTCTATCCGTGATCTCTGTCCCGCAGAGAGGACCACGCTGTCTAGCTCTCTCACTTTGCGTGGCTGCCCAAATGCGCGCCACTCCACACCCCAGGCAGTATAGATGATCGTCTTGCCCTCGATGGACTGAACAGCCATTTGCTGTGCCTCAGCTAGCAATCGCGGGAAGACGTCCCGCGAAGAGAAGAGAGTGGTGAGAGTGAGCGTCTCCCAAGGAGCGCCGGTCGTAAAGTCGATGAGCTTGCCGTTGCGCTCACGCTGCAAGCGGATCCAGGCGCCGTGGTAGCGGAACCAATGAGTACCGGGACCGGGCACGAGGGAAAATTGCGCCTTGGTGTTGCGCGAGGTGCCCGGAGAGTTGGACGAGGGAGCAAGAGGCTGTCCGGATATTGTCATTGCTTGCTGTTGAGCTTGTGAGGTAGAAGCGCTGGGGAGTGTCGTCTGCACAGCTAGGTCTCGGGAGTGTATCCGCACAGGAGGAGGGAGGTCGTCTTGTCCGGCTGCACCGCCTCTACCCCGCCTCACGCCGACTATATCCATCAGACTCTGCACGCCAGTCAGCTGCGGAAGCTCTCGTCCTCTACGAGCCTGCTCCTCCATCCATGTGAGTAGCCAACCGTGAGCTTTGTCCTTGGATGGGACCTCGAGGCTTACTAGCATGCGCCTCTGCATCAGCGAAGCACCCTGCATCAGCCCTTTCCGGCCCAGGGAAAGAGCAGCTCCGAAGATCATCAGGGATGCACCGGCCGACAAGAGCGGATTGGAGGAAGGGTTTGTAATGGCATACCATAGTGAGGGAGGAGATGAGGCAGAGGAAGAAGAGGAAGGGTCCTCAATGGGAACGGAAGGCGGGAGGGAGGCAGTTGCATCTGTGTGATGCTCCACTCTCGGCGGCTGCTGCTGCTGCTGCCCCTGCTGCTGCTTCTGTATCGGCTGCCGCACGTCGCCTCTTTGTGTACCAGCTGCGGAGCCGAGCAAGAGCGATGACATGGCAAGTCAGGCAGAGTCCAGACGTCGGCGTCCACTCAGGAAGATCTGGGTGGGATGGCTACCGATGATGGCAGACAACTCGGGTCCAAAATTCACCCGAGAGTCGAGCGGAAAGCGGACGACTTTCATCCGCGGCTCCACTTTGCGTGTCTTGGCAGAGCACAGCCATTCGCCATAGACTACACCACTTCTCCGCATCTTGGTCCTTGCCTTCCCTCAGAGCAGCAACGTAGCGCATACACCCTCTTTCTTGGCGCTCTCTCTCCACATCAAGATTCCTTTCCTCACTTGACAGTCCTTTCCCTCTGCTCGTTAGACGATTGGAAGCATGTGCGCCGAGATCTGCGAAGCCCTTTGCATGGGATGGATCTTCTCGTGGTGGTACAACAGTGAGTTCGGAGCATGGGCAGTAGATTCGTTCCTCACGCCTTTGCAATGCTCTTATACCCGCTATCTTTCCCTTTGCTTGTCGCGACGATAGGTACGCTGGGCCAGAACTGCTGCCTCTGCTGCGACAAGTGCTGCCGCTGTCGTTTCCTCGACGACGATGGGCCTCTACCGGAAGAGGAAACCAACAGACCACGACGTGCTCAGGGCACTACCAGAGCTGAGCTGGAGGGAGATCAGGGTGGAGAGAGTTTGCCGAAGTATGAGGAGAACACGGGGATGAAGATGGCCCAGCCGGGTGCACCGCAGGCGAGCATGCCCCTCAGCGCCGATGGGCAGGCCGAGGCTGGACAAGGACCGGCTACGGAGCGGACAGACGCAACTGGGCATTAGAAGAATCTCACTCATCCCCTGATCGCAAAGGAGAGCCTTCTTTTGTCGTTTGGCTCCATCCCACCTTACCTCGGCACACTTGGTTCTGAACCCATTTCTTGCTGTATTCGTGTACATATTGTAATTCAAGCACTCCCCTTTTGGTTCTCAATCTGGAACCTGTCACAAACCTCATTGGACAGTCTGGAGGTATTGGATGATGGTAAATGTCGATATAATATACAAATGAGTGCTGCTGATGGACAGTGGATCACAGGTGGGGTCTCTCGGTGGTGACGGCCTCCTGCGACTACAGGAGGTCGAAGTCGTCGAGCTCGCCATTGTACTTGGCAATGGTCCGCTTGACTGAGCTCTGGTCCAACCAGGTGACGAAGTCCTCCATGTTGCGGGTGACCAGGAAGGCGGGATCTGTGATGACGTCTGTTCCTACTCGCACTTGGCCTTGCTCGATATATGTGATTGCCTGCAGCAGGAATGACGATGAGGAGAAGATGTCAGTGATCGACAACACATTGACTTAATTGCTGTCTTCACGTTCTGCGACCGCACTCTCCACTCACCTGCTTCACACTTTCGCTCATCTTCAGCTTGCACATCACAATGCCCAACCTCCTCCTACAGAAGCCGCTCACGGAAATCTTCTCCATGATGTCGCTCATCTTTGCGCCCGTGTCCAGCAGACTCATGTCGTACAGCTTGGAGAGGAGTTGCGACTCCTGCTTGGCGCGGAAAGGATCGTTGGCTGGGAGGGTGGAGAGGCGCAAAGAGAGGTGGCGCAGCTTGCCTACGAGCTGGTTGTACCTGGATACGAGAAGCAGCAGTGGCTTGTCAGCCTCACTGCCTAAGATCCAGAGCCAGGGCTGCTCTGACAGGGTAAGAATCCTTCGCTCTGACTCACTTGTGGTAGTCGTCTCGCTCTTGAATGTGATACCGCCGCATGACTTTCACCTCACGCATCCCCTGGTCTTGCTTCCATGCCAAGAAGTCATGCCTGTGATCGGAAAGGAGAAGGGCAGGAGAGAAGTTAAGCAGGAATGGCCAGGACAGGAAGCCTCTTTCTGGCTAGTGAGACGACTGCCAAAGCAATGTGGATGGACTCACTTCTTGAGAAGCTTCTTCTCGTGATGCTTTAATTGCCTCATCGTATGTCGTCTTCACCTCCAAGTCTGATATCCCAGTATTGGAGGGATTGGCAGATGAATCTGTCTGGGCTTGCTCAGTGTATCAGCTTGGCTGATTCAGGTTCAAAGTGGGGCTAGAAGCAAGCTTCGCGAAGAATGGGACGATAGATACGGGCACCAATGTAAGTAATGAGATCTGCCCAGCCCAGAATTGCAGGGCGATTTTTCGAATTGCAACTCCGCCGCCTTCCCGCAAAGAGCTGCAAGGTCCCTCATGCGGGGAAAAGAGTCACCCCAGACCTCCTCCCCAACTTCGCATCTACCATCTAGCATACCTACGTACGACGGCAGCGATCCTCCTGCCCACCAAACCAGCATGAGCAATGGAACAGAGTGGTCACCATCTTCCTGGCGCTCGCGCCCAATCGCGCAAGACGTGCACTACCCCGACGCTGCCGCTCTCAAGAAGACTCTCGATCGACTGCAGACTCTCCCGGGCATTGTCACTCCTTCCTCCATCGCCCACCTCTCTTCCCGCTTGAAGGATGTAGCTCAGGGTAAAGCATTTCTGTTGCAAGCGGGGGACTGTGCTGAGCTCTTCGAAGACTGCAGGGCGGACAAGGTGGAGGCGAAGCTCCGGCTGATCCTCATGATGAGCTTGGTCGTTGTTTGGGGAGCCAGAGTACCAGTGGTGCGAGTGGGGAGGATTGCTGGACAGTATGGCAAGCCACGGAGTAAAGACAAGGAAATGGTAGAGATCGATGGAGTGAGGAAGGAGGTCCTGACCTTCCGGTGAGTCAGACGGGGTGACCTGCCGCCAACGAGGAAAGGATTTGCAGCTCATCCTCTGCTCTCTGCCTCACGATCTTTCTTGCAGAGGAGACAACGTAAACGGCTTTTCTGTGAATGACCGTACACCTGACCCCGACAGGCTCACTCAAGCCTACTTCCATTCTTCTGCGACTCTCAACCACATCAGAGGTCTCTTAGACAGCGGCTTTGCGGACTTGCATGCCCCCCTCTCCTTCACATTCGACCACGTGCGCGACCAGACTCTGCAGCAATCGTACGAGGATATCGTCGACTCCATCACCGACTCCCTCGACTTCATGAAGACAGTCGGTGCAGACCCTTCTTCTTCTGGGAGCAGTGACCAGGGTACTCTGAATCGTGTCGACTACTTCGTCTCCCACGAGGGTCTCATGCTTGAGTACGAGGAAGCTTTAACGAGGGAGGTGCGGGGCCCGCCTTCATCGCGGCGCGGACCCGAGGCTGGGCACTACAACCTCTCCACTCATCTTCTCTGGCTGGGCGATCGGACAAGAGCGGCAGATGGAGCTCATATGGAGTATTTCAGGGGCATCAAGAATCCCATCGGCATCAAAGTCGGGCCAACAATGAAGCCGGATGAGCTGGTCAGGGTACTGGACATTGTGGACCCCGACTGTGTTCCCGGGAGAGTCACTTTGATCGGCAGGTTCGGCGCAAGCAAGATCGAAAAGTCTTTGCCGCCACTGATCAAAGCCGTTCAAGCTTCGCCGCACGCATCCTCGGTAATCTGGACCTCAGATCCCATGCATGGAAACACCGTGTCCCCGCCTTCGCACCCCAGCATCAAGACTCGCAGGTTCGAAGACATTGTGTTTGAGCTCTCGGCCTCGTTCAGGGTGCACGCCGAGTGTGGCTCACGCCTGGGAGGCGCACATTTGGAGCTGACCGGCGAGCTCGACGAAGAGGGCAACAGTGTGACAGAGTGTGTCGGCGGCAGTATGCAATTGGGCGAGGAAGAGCTGCAAAAGAGGTATTTGGTGAGTGTTATGAGGATCGACGATGCTTGTTAACACAAGGCCTTACTTAAATTCCTCTCTCGGCTTCCCCTTTGCAGACGCACTGCGATCCTCGGCTGAACGCTGAGCAATCTCTCGATATAGCTTTCCTCATCTCGCATGCCCTCAAGAGTCAGCGTCTGGCTCGGAGAAGTGCTAGCATGGACAGTCTCAGTGGTAGAAGCAAAAGTCAGATCACTTCAAGGGATGTGAGCCAAGCGAGGGCATGATCGGCAAGGGCATGAAATGAGAGGAGTGGGATCCTTGTACTGCCACTTGTAGAGCATTGCATATGATCGCCGCCTCACACAATTCCAGTTCGCGTTGTGCACTGTATCGTCTAGCTCTCGCTGCGAAACCGGCCTGCCCGGACCAATCGGCGAGGCTTGAGTGCGATTTCACGCGGGCCCGGTTCCTGTGCCACAATTTGCGATCGATGACTTCATGCAGGCGGGGCAGCCAGCCACTGCGCCTCTGGTCCGGATGTCCTACGGCTTGAGTGCTGCTTCCGGCGATGTCCTCGTCCCGGGGTCTGACTGATTGCCTTGGCCTGCTGGACACCTTGCAGAGAGACAGAAGCCGGATTGGAGGAGAGGAACGAGATGAGGGGAAGGCGGGGGAAGAGGACATACAGAGCGGGGTGTCTGTGGGAAAAGGGTTCCAGGTGGTCGGGCGAGCGTGGAGGAGGGGGTTGGATAAGATTCTTGTTTCCGGTACTTATCTCACCTACCTTCACCACCGTCTATCTTCTCCTCATCTGTTTGATTTCCCACCGCCTACAACGTCTCTCCGCCCCTTACCTCGACCTCGTCTGCTCGGACCTTTTGCTGCCCCACGACTTGCCCTTAGAGGATCCGCCCTCAAGCTCTCGCCGTCTCTCCAGCCGGAGATCACTCCCAACAGAGCGCTCATTCCTACCAGCGACTGCTCAGCAACCAGATCAGTTGATCACTTTCGCTCCCACTGTTCAGATCTCTTCGTGAAACCATTATCGGCTGCCTCGACCCCGCAAATTAGCCTAGCCAATCCCTCTGCAGCGCAAGATGGCCTCGCAGCGAGTCTCACAGGTGGGCAAGCATCTCGGGGGTGTGAACCCCGGCGTCGTAGGTAAGTACTTTGCTGTATGTGGGATCTAGTCTCAGGAACGATTTGGCTGGCAAGGAAGGTAGTTCGCTGCGTTTGTCCCCGGGGCACGTCATGCGAGTCAGGTGGGCTGCTGGTGAGGCTCGGGCGAGAAAGCCGGCTTTTTGGCTGGCGTACGGCTGGGCCGGCGGGCCAGGCAAGCGCGGGCTCCGGAGGGCTGATTAGAGGTTCTCCCGGGAGCAATGGCGGCAGTCAAGACAAAGGAACAGAAAAGAATGCCACATAGAAGAAGATCACCATACTTCGATGGATACCGAAGCGTATGGCCGGGCGAGGACGGCGTGGGCACGGGTTCCGGTCGGTGGTTGGGTCTGCTGACTGACTGCCTTGACCTCGGCGTGGCTGGCGGGGTGGCCCGCGTGTCAGGCGGGTGGGACTTCTCCGTGTTCCGAAACTCGAATCGGCCGCTCAGATGTCCGTCGTTGCTGCTGCTTCTCTGATCTCTCGCTGACTCACTTTGCTTCTATCCATCTTGACGACTACACCGTTCCTCCTTGCCGTCTTCTCGACCACTGGTATACCTCCCCGCCCTCACACTCCTTCCACCCTCCCACATAAATCGTCATGGCTGCTCCCGCCACAGAGGTCTGGTCGTCGGTACCCGAGGCTCCACCTGATGCGTGGGTATGGCGGATACTCAACTTCGCGGCAATAGGAAAGCTGGACAGCAGCTGACCGGACGTTTTGCATCACTTTCCTCTTGCTCTTTTATAGCATCTTTCAGCTGACAGCAGCCTACAAGGCCGACCAATACGAGAAGAAGGTCAACCTGGGTGTTGGAGCTTACAGAGACAACAATGGCAACCCCTGGGTGCTGCCGTCTGTGAAGAAGGTGAGTCGGCAAGCTGGAAAGATACGGCCACGATGTGTCGTCGGAACTCACTCACACTGCTTCTCTCTCTGCGTCATTGCAACCAGGCCCAAGCTGCTCTGATCGCAGATGAGTCAGTAGACCACGAGTACCTGTCCATCACAGGTCTCGCCGAGTTCACCGCCGCCTCAGCCAAGCTCATCCTCGGTGCTGACTCTGCAGCAATTGCAGAGAAGCGGGTGGCCTCCGTGCAAACCATTAGTGGAACAGGCGCAAATCATCTGGGCGCGACTTTCCTGTCCAAGTTCTACGACTTCAGTAAGCACGGAGGTGGAAAGCGTGAGATTCACATCTCGAATCCCACATGGGCCAATCACAAGGCCATCTTCAACATGTGCCAGATCAACCCGGTGGACTACCCTTACTACGATGCAAAGACTGTGGGCCTGGACTTTGAGGGCTTCACTGGTGCGCTCAAGTCTGCACCCGATGGATCCGTCTTCCTGCTGCATGCTTGCGCTCACAACCCCACGGGAGTAGACCCGACCCGGGATCAATGGCATCAAATTGCAGACATCTTCGAGTCCAAGAAGCACCTTGCCTTCTTTGACTGTGCCTACCAAGGCTTCGCATCAGGAGACCTTGATGCAGATGCCTACAGCGTTCGCCACTTTGTCGCACGCAAGAGCATCTCTGTTCTGGTCTGCCAATCGTTCGCAAAGAACGCCGGTCTGTACGGAGAGCGTGCAGGAGCCCTTCACGTCATCTCTGCCACGCCCGAGCAGAACAAGGCCGTCTTCTCGCAACTAGCTGTGATTCAGCGAGCCGAGATCTCCAACCCGCCGGCATTCGGAGCTAGGGTGGTGACTCTGCTGCTGACAGACCCATCGCTGTGGGCGCAATGGCAGAAGGACGTCAAGGAGATGGCCGGCAGGATCATCGAGATGCGCAAGGCTCTCTTCAGTCTGCTGACTGAGAAGTTCAAGACGCCCGCACCTGGAGGCAGCTGGGATCACATCATGAAGCAAATTGGAATGTTCAGCTTTTTGGGTCTCAGCCCCAAGCAAGTCAAGATGATCGTAGACGAGGGACACATCTACATGACGGCCAACTCGAGAATCTCCATGGCCGGACTCACCACCTCCAACGTCGAGTACGTGGCGAGCTGGATTGACAAGGCTGCCCGGAGTGCTTAGAGAAGTCATCCGGAGTGATTAGAAAGCGAACCTCTCCTGCATTATTTGCTCACTCGCTCTGCGCTCGACGCTAGACTCCCCATACCTCCTTCGCCTCGTCGACCTTTGCACATCGACTTGGTCTGTATTATTCTCCTTGCTACTTTTCCCCATCCATACAATCTGTTTGCTGTCAACCAAGCGTCGGTGAGGGGAGCTGCGCCTGTGTGACTCGTGTGGGCGCGGGGCTGATCTGAGCACGAGGATGCGGAGGTGAGCATCTGAGTTCGTCATTCGTCTGGCTGCGTTGAAACGCTCGGACGTTCATACTGCGTAATTGGTGCTTGCTCCTTCTCATCGATGAAAAATGCTTTGGTGGTGTAGTTGGTAAGACATGGGATTCATAGCTCTGTTAATGCACCCCAAGATCGCGAGTTCGAGCCTCGCCCGAAGCACCTTTTTTGCGCCAGGCATCTCCACGAAGATGCTTTTGCGCTCGAGCCACGCAGGTCAGATTGCATTGTTCTACCTCTTGGTGGAGTAGCTCTCACCTTCGTCCTTACCTACCATACCGTTTACAGACCCTTGAATCGCTGGTATGCCGTCTTCCTCCTCGGTGCCTCCTTCCGAGACGCTCTTCAAGTCCTCTCTGCGAGATTCTGCTCGCACCCGGCCTGGCCCCTCCTCGACGGCAGGCAGCAATGCGGACCAATGGCCCCCCTCTATGAATGCCTCACACCTTGACCCCTCACAATGGGCCTACCTCGCCGAAGGGGGCAAGAATCTCCTACTACGCTTCGATGGAGATCTCCAAGCGGGGAAAGAGGCGGGGTGGGTAAATGCAAATGGGAGTAGGGCATTGGCGCTGCGACTCGTCAAGTCTGAGCGAGAGCAAGGGGCAAGCTCCTCCTCCTTCTCTTCTACTTCGGGCTCTGCGGACTCACTACCGCCTCGACCGAACTTTGAGGCGTCAGTCATTGCTCCGCTCCTGGGAAAGGAGCACATCCTCCCGCCGACGGCGCGCATCTCCCTCGAGGGTGAACAAATGGGAGCAGGCAGCCTCTTCCTGGAGAAGGTAGCGGCGAGGATCGAGCTTGCTCGCCCGGCAGAGCGACGTAGGGTCGCCGGTGTGGACCTTGAGGCGGGCTTCGTGGACATGGTGGAGGATCTGACGTGGACTGCACCCGGGGATGAGGTGCTTGCCGTGGAGATTAAGGTAAGTTGAGCAGATGACTGGCTGCCTTCCTGACTGGCTGCTGATAGAGGCACTGCTCGCTCGGTTCTCTTGTGCCACTCTGCCCTTCCAGCCAAAGTGGCTCTTCCCCACTGGCAAGTACTCGCGCTACAAGAAGCATCGCGTCCTCAAGTCCCAGGGTCAGCTCACGCTCGAGCAATGGAACGCCCTGTATGACCCTCTGGACCTCGTCTCTGGTGATGCGGAGAGGATACACAAGGCTACTGAGGCGTTGGTGCAGGATTGGGAGAGTGGAGGCAACAACTTGCGAGTGTTCATGGGCGGACAGGCGGTGAGGGATGCGAAGGTCAGTTGTCAGAGGCTCAGAGGATCGGACGAGTACTCGTTCGTGTCAAGCTGACTTATATTGCCCGCCTCGTCCCCTTCGTAACAGTCCAATGATCTACAGCGGCTCCTCTCACGGCTGTTCCCCCAGTCCAACCCCACCCATACTTCCAGCAGCCAAATTCTTGTTTCTCTCCTAAAGGACATACTCTCCACCTCGGATACGCAAGCTGTCCTACAGAGATTGGCGCATCTGCAGTCCAGCCTTGCACCACTGGATATTCAGACCCTCTCGACCTGGTGGAGAGCACAGACGGGCGGTCAAGCTCTCGGACAGGAAGGAGACGGCAGCAACTCTTCCTCATCTCCTCTCTCAGCTCCTCCGAGCCTCGAAGAGTACCGAGAATTCGCCCAGGACTGGTTGAAACTTCAACCTCGCTCTGACGCCGAGGACGATGGGCAGCAAGAGCCGACTTCCTCCTCCTCCTCGTCGGTCGCACTCACGCTCCGCCAGGCCGTCCTCGGAACCCTCCTCTCTGCGACCTTCAAGGACTGTTCCCTCTTCCTGCGTCTAGGCCCAGAGCAAGAGGATATGACACCCAGCACTAGTACTGCCCCTGTTTCGACTTCGACTGCGGGCGGCGCTGTGGAGAATGAGCCCAGGCAGGAGCTGCAGACGCAGTCCCTCACCTCTGTCACGGAAAACTCTTCTGCTCCTGCTGCTTCTTCTAGCACCACAAATTCGCTTGCCGCCTCGCTCTCCGCATCGGCCTCCGCATTGCTGGGTGGGTCTTCCTCCTACCTGGACCCGAAGCTCGTTGGACCCCATGTTGGGGAACGCAACACCCCTCGGGAAGAGAGTGAAGGCAGCGGACGGCAGACGGGTGCAGCAGCGACAGTGGGCCATATGCTGCGCATCATCGATGTCGATGCCAAGCCGTTGCGAAAGTTGAACTACTGGCTCGAGCTTGAGGGGCAGCTGGAGGAGGCTTTTGAGCTTTGGAAGGACAGGGTAGGGTTGCCTGAGACGGAATGAGGGAGATACGCAAAGGAGGGATGTAGGCAAAGGTCTTGATTGCAGATGAAATCTACAAGTGTTGAGAAGCATGGCAAGGTCAAGCAGAAGAGAGCTTGTATCGATCTATTTCTCGTCCCTTCCGACAACAGCCGAAGCTTTCCCTTCCCTCCTCTCACCTTTTCCCTTCACGCCGTCGATGTCGCTTCATCCCTTCCACTGACCCATAGCAGCATAGTCATCGCCCGTATCACCGCTAGCTTCCAATCCAGCAAGGAGTGCCTTTTGACTGAATCCCTTGCCCTTCTTACCACCAGCCGCAAGCGCAGCCTCAAGTAAGGATTGTCCTCCCTCGGCTGCTCCAGCAGCCTGCCCCTTGGTTCCAACTCCAGCTCCACTTGCTGCACCAGGGGTAAAGAGGTCCAAGACTTGCTCTGTAGCCATACTGTCCAGTCCCTTGTTCTGCTGTGTGACAATGGCATTGGCTACATTGAGCTTGAATTGCTGCAGACCCATGATACGTGCCTCCAGAGTGTCTCGTGTGATCAAACGGTACACGTTCACCACCCTCTTCTGTCCCAGACGGTGTGCGCGATCCATTGCCTGGAGGTCCTTCATGGGATTCCAGTCGTGCTCGACAAAAATGACCGTATCTGCTCCCGTGAGCGTCAGGCCCAATCCACCCACTTGAGTAGTGAGGAGGAGCACATCGATGGATGGATCCGAATTGAATTGCGTCACGATTCCATGCCGCTTCTCAGAAGGGACGGATCCATCCAACCGCATGTAGGTTACAGATGGCATGTGAACCTTGAAGAGTTCGTGCTCAATGATGTTCATCATCTGCTTCATCTGACAGAAGATTAAGACTCGATGCTGCGAGGAGATGGGACCGTCATCGAGGGCACTGCTGCCTGCACTACCATTGTTGGCTGAGGGCAAGCCGATACCGCATGTTTGAAGGAGTTCGCGTAGGGCTTCCAATTTGGGAGCATGCCGGATGTCCTTAAGTGAGCCACCGCTCTTGACGAGACGGTCCTCAATGGCGCGATGCTTTGGATTCGAGGCGTCAAAGACGAGGGAAGGATGATTGACAAGCTTGCGGAGGTATTGCAAAGTCTGGAAGACGTGCTGCTTCTCCTCCAGTGGTGCCTCGTCTTCGCCTTCCAAAAGTTCCTCGACGTCCTTGCCGCCACGATTGTAGTCATCGTACAGCTCCTTCTGGACTGCTCCAAGGTCACACTCCACGTCCTGAATGATCTTGGGCGGCAGATCGTCGAGGACATCATCTTTGAGTCTCCTCAGTAGGAATGGCAGTACCTGCTTGTGGAGTGACTCCAGCGCCAACGAGGCCGCCTCGGACTCCTTTGCCGAAGCCTTGCCCTCCCTCGTGGCCAGAATAGGCTTGCCGAATCGCTCGTGGAAGGAGCGCTCTGTGCCTAGGAAGCCGGGCATGAGGAAGTCGAAGAGAGACCAAAGCTCGAGGACATTATTCTGCACCGGCGTACCCGTCAAGATCAACCGATGAACGGCCTTGATCATCTTGACCGCTTGTGTCGTCTTGGTCTTGCCTCCCTTGATGATATGTCCTTCGTCAAGAATGCAGTAGTGCCAGTTGAGAGTTGAGAGATAGGCAATATCGTTTCGCACTACATCGTAGGACATGACCACGACGTCGTGCTTGGCGAACTGCGATTGCAGTGCCTGCCTTTCGGCGGGCACGCCAGAGTACAACAGTGGCGAGAGATTCGTGGCATACTTCTGGATCTCGTGATACCAGTGTCCCGTTAGCGTCGGTGGACATACCACCAATGACGGTAGTGGAGCCGAGTCTGGGCTTCTGGAGTCTTTCCACCTCTCATCCCTCTCGAAGTGCTTGCTGGCCAGAATGCAAATCGACTGCAGCGTCTTGCCAAGTCCCATATCGTCGCACAAGATCCCATGCAGCTGGAATTTGGCAAGGAAGTTCATCCAGCTAACTCCCTCACGCTGATACTTGCGGAGGTCAGCATTGACTTCGACTGGCATCTCGTACGGTTCGACCTTGTTACCGTCCAGGAGTTGGGAAAGGAACTTGCGCTCCTCGTCCCTTCTCTGGAGTAGATCAGCAGGGAAGCCGACAGGGTCTGGCAGTCCGGCCTCGAGGGGGACCATCTTGATGAGGGAAGCGAATGTGTTCGTGGCCATCAGGCGCACAGCATCATCTGAGTCAGACATCCTCCCCAAGATCGGCACGATCAAGACGATCACGTATGGCAAGAGCTTCAGGTCCAGGCGATTGACGACGTGCGACAGCAACTCAATGGCACCCTGACGATTGGTAAGACTCTTGACATCTCCCAAGACTGGCAGCACGTCCCTCACGATGTGTATCATCGTCGACTGTGTCATCGAGTCCGCCAGGCTGCTGAGGCACTTTGCAGCGGCGGACCGTACGACGGCAAAGGAGCTGCAGAGGGCAGCTGAAAGCACTGGAAGCAAAGAGTCCAGTCGTCCTTGATGATCTTGTGTGAGATGAATGCTGACGGCTTCGATCAAAGTACAGCCGTCCAGCACACCTTGACCTTTCTCAGCACTCGCCCCTAGCAATGCGTCTCCATCTTGACCACTGAACACCTCGATGAGGGTCGCTGTCATACCTTCCCAGAGGGCGGGGGCCAGATCGAACAGATCCTTCCCGAAGCGGTCGGCCATCTCTTGCAGCGTCATCTCAGCACCTCGTCGAATGAGCTTGCCCTGTCGAACCTCCTCGCTCTCATCCAAGTCGACATTGGGAGCGGCTGCCGCTTTGCCTCTACTTCTGGCAGAGAGAGGCTCATTGAGCGACAGAATGCCTTCCCTCGTCTTCTTGGTGGCCTCAAAGATGGCTGTCCTGGTTGCGTCCTGGCAAACAAATGCGCAGAGATTCTTGACTATCTTGGGCGAAGGATCCGCCTTGGCAAGGGGAGACCTGCAAAAAGCTACAAAGCTGGCTACCCCTCGTGCCGACCTCTGTTGTAGGTCGACGTTTTCCTCGAACTTGACACTGTTCATGATGCTTCTAATGATCGGATTGAGCTTCGATGGCAACGTCTTGAGGGCGATGAGAGCGGCAGAGATGGCTGCGTAGACCTGGGTGTCTTGCTTGTCCTTCGCATCGCGGTAGAAGGCCACGGCAGCAATGATCTTGTGTCGTCTGTCGCTGAGGAGCGGAAGAACCATTTGTCGCAGCTTGGGGCCGATTGCAGTAGAGAGCAAATCGTAGTCACTCGTGACGACACGTTGCGCACTCTCGACGGTAAAGGCGCTATGATCGTGACCAAGAGAATCAACGTACGTGGGCAACGTGGGAAGCTTGGCCTTTGGTACCTTGCCTTCATTTTGGAAGGCTCGCAGTAGTGCGACGCAATCAGTCTGCATCCTTGTCAGGCGAAGCGTCATCTCGCTCCATGTGGGCGGCGGAGGGGCATTGATCAGATCAAGTAGCCTGTCCGTCAGGGAGGCAGTCGAAGAGACCATCTCTCCCGCCTCAGCCCACTCCTGAACTACTGTGGCAGCAAGACACTTTTGTAGGGCCGAGTGCGAGTCTAGATACTGCAGCAGCAAATAAGCTGCGTTGTCTGTCGAGAGACTGGCGAATGCTACACCCAGTGCATGAGCTGCACCAAGTCGACCCCTAATGACCGTATCCACGCCTATCAGCGCGAGATCCTGATTCAAGATAGACTTGTCCACGTTGTAGCGACTGCCATCGGTTGAGGTGGTGGCCACGGCAGTGTAGAAGAGAGTGAAGTCAAATGGTGTACCAAGTGGTGTCATCAAGATACGCAACATTGAGTCGATGTGCGGTACCAAGAAGTCTGTCAAGGTACTGGAGCTGTTTGCGCATCCCAAAGCAGCATGCCAAGCCCGAGTTGTTGCTTCACGGATGTGTGGCTTCTCCTCCACGATGAGGTTCTGAAAGAGCAGGCGAAAGACTCGGTCGTCGAGCCACCCATCCTGGGTCAGATCTCCAGCTAGGAATACCTGCAGCGTGTTGAGTACAGAGAGACGGACAGATGTGATAGTGTGTCGGAAGAAGGGATAGGTGAGGGGGACTAGACTTGCTAGAGGCTTGCCTGATGTGCGCAGAAGATCGATGACAGCTTGGTGGCGCAACAGAAGTGCGAGTAGATCCATGACGCTGCCCGTGGAGCTGTTGAGGTCGTCTTTGAGGTCGCTGAGGCAGTTCCAGAGGGTTTTCAGAAGATTGGGCAGTCTATCTGACAAGTCTCGCACCAGAACATTGTCTGCCATTGGCAGCAAAACGCTCGAAGCAGCAGCTCGAATGTCATCATCACTGTCGCCAAGGCAGAGCACTGCGACATCGACGACCTCCGCGAGTGATGCTGTTTCAACATCACCACCTTGTATTGCAGACCGGTTGCGAGCCTCGATGACCCAACGCAGCCCACTGAGCCCAGCATGCCTGACTTCCCAAGCATACCCAGCATCCCCGCGTCGTCCTAGTCGTTTCTCGTCTTCGGACACGACAAAGCTCTGCCGGATCATGGCAAGCAGGACTCGCTGGGTCTGCTGCACAGACTCTTTGCTCATATGAGGCAGCAACGCCGAAAGAGCTTGTGCTCCTACCTCCCTGACTGGCGCGACGACGTGGTCGAAGACGAAGTCGCTGAGTCGATCCAGAGAGAGGAGACAGATGATCTTGACTGCACAATCTTCCGCCCACTTGGCCTTGCGCGCTCGGTTCTCGGCGTCACTTGCAGCCAAGAGGGACATGCCGGCGCCGACGCCTTGGTTTGAGAAGATTGAGCGCAGACCCAGACATGCACCATGTCTTGTCTCCCATCGAGGAGAGAAGAGATCAAGCAAGAGAAGCGATGTCAGATGAGCAAAGGGCCACTCGCCGGGAGGTGCGACGAGGGAGACTGTGTTGGAAGTCACCGTGCTGGAAGCGGCTGCTAAAGTCTTACTGCCTACACCGGGAGATGCAATGGGACTCGACCCGTTAGTGGAGTTGCCATTCGCGTGAGCCTTCTGGCCAGCCTCGATGTAGTCTGTGGGTGTCACAGCGCCGGATCGGCTCGGCGTCTTGATGCGTAGCCCAGTAGCACTCGAGAAAGTCTCTGCTGCTGAAGGTGTGGTCGCAGAGGCACCAGCGGATCCAGCACCGTCCAACACTCGAGTCTTACCACTGTCCATCGTGGCAGAAGAAATGTTGCCAAGGTTTTTGCCTTCCAGCTTCCGTTTCCTCTTGAGTTGGTTGCGTTCTCTAGCGCTGAGCTTACTCAGGTCAACCTCTTCGGCAGGGCTTGGTGGTGCGGCCGGCGTAGTGGGCGTAGTGGCTTCTCGTTTAACAGTGGTGGGTGCTGTAGCAGAGGATGTCGCAGTAGAGGCGGGAGAAGCAGCACTGCTACCGCCAGGTGTAAAGCGTGGAGGTGGTAGTTTCGAGATGAGACTTGCAGGAGGTAGACCGGGAGAAGAAACCGTCGAGGCAGTTTTGCCAGCGGCATAGTTTGCTTCTCCTTGCTTGAGCTCTTCTTCCATGTCGAGACCAATGTCCATGTCGATACCGCCCATGCCGCCCAGTCCCATCTTTGCCATGTCAGCTTTGGCTTGAGCCAAGCGGTCAGCTACCGTACCTCCAGCAGAGAAGATGTCGTATTCCTTTCCGGTAGAAGAGAGCAGCTTGACTCCATTCTTCAGCACAAGAGGTAGATCGAAGTTTCCGAATGACAGTAGATCGTCCTGAGACATGGGAGCGAGTGCGTCGGCAGACGCTTCGGCATCTTGGATGAGCTCCTGTTTGATTGCTGACGAGGATGAGGCAGCTGCTGTCTCGGAGATGGGGTCCCATACTCCTGCACCTCTACAGATGGACTCGATGGCCAGAGCAGCTGCTTCACGAGTATCCCATGACCGTGAGTGGAGGAAAGGTACGATGCGCGAACAGAGGTGAAGTGCCTCGTCCCATTCACCCCGAGTACCATGATAGACGTCGATAGCATGCTGCTGCTGCTGAGGTTTGTGAGACGCATCCGCCTCCTGACCCAACGAGGGAGGCGGAGAGCCTTCAGCTTTGATCGACGGTCCGCTCTCTTTCGGCAGAGGTTGGTGAGAAGTTGCGCCTCCTCGGACTCGCTGACTTGCGATTTGTCCAAGTTGACGAGCGGCTGTGCTTTTGATGGCTGGAGTGGAGCCAGTGTCGAGTAAGGAGACGAGCCGCTCAAGGCCTGTGAATGAGTGGGAGGAGATGAGCACTCGCAGTCAGATACGAGCTTGCGCAGCGCCGCATAGGCAATTGGGTCAAGAGGCTACCCCTGGCCACGCTACTCACGAGTGGCAGCGGCCATGTTTCTTCACCGCCGTCTTCACCCTCTGACGACGAGAAGGTCCTTCTCAACCTCTTCTCACTTAGGACTAGATTCGCCTTGAGCTCTGAGAGCTACACTTTACCTATGCTTCTCCTCTTTCCGTCGGGCAACGGAAGCAGGAGGGAGCAAGGGGTCTGTGCGTCTTGCCGTGGTTCCGATGCGCGCGCAGAAGGCTCGGGAGGGGGAAAGATGACGGCAGGGCGGCGGGGCGTGGGAGAGCGGGGTGGTCCCCCTCTTGATCTTATATCTGCCTGCGCCTGGCCTGGCCTGGCCTCTGCGCCACGCGCGCATGTGCCTGCCTGCCTGCCTGCCTGCCTTTGCCAGCCTTCTCAAACCGGCTCAGAATCTCAAACCTCAAGCCTCACTCAGCCCACGCACACGGCACTTCCTCTTCCGGCCCGGAACGGAACGGAAGCCCCACCTACATGACCATCCCTTTTTTCTTCACCATCTTCCACGTCGCGCTCCTCTGGACTCTCATACGTACGCGGAGCACAGCAGCGCCGAAACGGTATAGGCCTCGCTCGCCTGCTTCTTCAGCCAGATTTGCATCAACGGCGGCGGCAGCGGTACTACAGAGAACGGGAGATGTATTGGCACAACAGAGTTTTGGTAAAGACAACGACGCATCTAAAGGGAGGGCAGATGATGGTGGATGGGGGGGAAAGGTACTGCGAACGCTAAACTTTGATCGGTCTCATGAACACCACTGTACTACGACTTCCGCAGCTGCTTTGCTCTACTCCTGCTGCTCCAAGGGCTCTGCCAAGAATTGCTGCTCAGGCTGCTCGACCTGTTCTGCCTGCTCGACCTGTTCTGGCTGGTCCGGCTGCTCATTGATCAGATCCTGAGCTACAAACTCCTGCTCTGGCTCCTGGTCCTGCAGCTCTTGTTGCTGTTCTTGCTCCTGCCCCTCTGCTTGCTGCTCCTGATGATGCTCCTGCTGCCCTTCTTCGTACTGCTGCTCTTCATGCTGTGGCTCTTCCATTTGCTGCCCATCGCCTGGCTGTTCCTCTTGCTGCTGTTCCTGTAGCTGCTGCTGCTGCTGCTGCTGCTGCTGCTGCTGCTGCTGCTCCTCCTCTTCCTGTTGGGCCTGAGCCTGCTGTATAGCCTGGGCAGCTTGCGCCTGCAGCTGTTCTTCATGTTGCTGCTGAGCTGCTGCTGCCGCAGCCGCGAGGTCCTGCGCCAACTGGTGACCCTGCTCTTCGTCTCCCAACTGTGGCTGATGTTCTTGCTGCTCCTGTTGAACTCCGTCCAGCTGGTGATGCTGCTGATTCTCATAACCTTCCGGGTTCTGCTCAAGGTATGCAGAAGCATCTGCTTCCCCCTGATCATCCACACCCTCAGCGCCCATTGTATCGTTGGGGTCTTCGCCCTCTTCATATCCATCCTTGTCAGTCTTGCGCTTCTTCTTTGGCTTGCCGTCTTGACTATCTCCAGGTCGACGGATGCCCTTGCTGTTGCTACCTCCTGGCTGAAGTGAGCAAGGTTTGCTTAGGAATTTGCAGTACACGCACTTGTTGCCAGGAATGTGGAAGCACGGCAGTGGATTGTCGTAGCCGGTACACCGGTCGCATGGGTGTTCTGCAAGTGGGTACGTATCAGCCATCTGCTGAGCAGACTGGACGTGCTTCTGACGACCCGAAGAGACACTTGGCGGACAAGGGAAGACGAATCGCTTGATGTTGGTGCCTTCCACCACGGGACCGCTGCAGAAGGCGTGACCCGATCCAGGACGGTGGGTGTGACCACCGATCGTGTTCGGCACTGTGCCCGGTGCTCGTGAACCTCGAACCTTAGTTTTGGGGATTGTGTGGTCGGAAGCCGAAGGGTCATCGGGATGCTGCTGCTGGTTGTAGGCTGCGATGTTGGCTTGGTAGTTGGGGTTACTGTAAGGATTCGCGGCAGCAGCGGCGTTGGCATAGCTGGACAGTTGAGCATAGTCCCAGGTCTGTCCATTGCGTTGCGATTGGGCAGCGAGAGCGGCGGCAATGGCGTAGGCTGGGTTCACACCGGAGGATGCAGCGGCAGCGGCAGCTGCTGCTGCTGCAGCATCCCTGGCAGAGTTGTGAGTGCCATCACTACCGTAAGCAGCCTGTGAGCCATAGCCGCCATTGGGCGAAGCGGCGGAATAGGCTGCAATAGCGTTCTGTACTTGCTGCTGCTGAGCAGCTGCCTGATTGTTGCTCTCGGCAGCCATGCCTAGCAAGAGGCCAGCATCGCCAGCGTCAACTCCCTGCTCGATCTTGCCATCTTGTCCGACCTCTGCTATCTGGCCATTGTGCTCGCCGTTCTGCCCGTCCTGGAGCTCTCCAGTGCCGAGCTCACCATGTTGGAGCTTGCCATCCTGATCCAGCTGCTGTCCGTGATGCTGAGTTGCAGCGGCGGCAGCGGCTGCTGCTGCTGCCGCTTGAGCCTGAAGCTGTTGTTGACCTTGCTGCCAAGCTTCTGCGAACCTGTTCATGTCTTGAGCTCCATTGGGAAAGAAGGGAAGGAAGTCGAAGGCAGTTGCCTCGGCGGGAGCAGCTTCTGCATCGTGCTCATGCTGTTCCAGCTTGCCCTCGGCGCCTTCATGTTCGATGGGCTCCTGCTGGTGGTGGGTATCATGTTGCTGATGGTCCTGGTATTGCTGGTGATCATGATGGTATAAGTCTTCTTGGTCTCCGGTCTCGTCTTGGTGCTGAAGTTGCTGCTGATGTTCCTCGGTGGTGTGCTGGTAGACTTCGTTGATGGCGTCGGTGATGGCGGGGTCCTGGTGATGGTGATGGTGCTGGTGGATGGATGCATCGTGTTCGAGGAGCCCTTGGTCTCCAGTACCATCGTCGTGGTGTTGTTCGTGTTGTTTCACATCTCCGTCGAGATTGACGTCGGCAGTGACGTCGTGCTCGATAGCGGCAGACATTGTCGGGGGGCGGATGTGACCACGAACGCGCACTGGTATCGCGCAAAGGTGGGGGAGGTAGCGCGGTGGGAACGGGGGGGTCTGGGGGGGGGGCGAGGCTTGGCCGAGGGCTTTTGCACTTGTGCGCTCTTGGTGACCTAGTGGGTCGGACCGGTGACACCCAGCCGGGGTCAGGCGAGACAGGGAAGGGAGCGAGGTAGCAACGAGTGGATGCAGCCGATGCGTGCGTACGAGTGTCGACGTCGAGGATGCTCACTGGTGTCGATGGTGGCGAGTGAGACGGCCGAGTATGGTCCGAGGTGAAAACGAGAAGGTCAGGTCGAAAATCTCGGCTCCGTCACGTGGCTGGGGCCGTTGTGCCCGGATTAGGATTGGGGTGGAAGGAGTGGCTGGTGGAGTTGGGCGGATACGCCCGGGCCCAGAGATCGCAATGGCTGTGAAATGCACACCGATAGAGAGAATCATCGTCGTCATCACCACCATCATACCACGGCTGCGTATCCCAAGTCTGTCGTCACTCCTTTGCTACAACACCACCATGTCGCTCTCCAACAAGCTCTCCATCACCGATGTCGACCTCAAGGGCAAGAAGGTCCTGATCAGGTGAGTAGCGCTTCACCCCAAGCACGGCCCACGCTCAGAGCAGACAGCTGATCCAGCCCACCCTTTTGTCATCGTCAGGGTCGACTTCAACGTCCCCATGGATGGAGACAAGGTTACCAACCCCCAGCGTATCCAGGCCGCCATTCCCACCATCAAGTACGCCATCGAGCAGCGTGAGTAGTAGGCGCAGGTGCATATCACGTGCGTATGCAAGCTGCTGATCCCTACCACCTCCTGCCAATCACAGAGGCCAAGGCTGTCATCCTGATGTCTCACCTTGGCAGGCCAGATGGAAAGCCCGTAGCCAAGTACAGCTTGAAGCCAGTCACTGCAAAGGTCTCTGAGCTGCTCGGCAAGGACGTCAAGTTCCTCCCTGACTGCGTTGGCTCCGAGACTGAGAAGGCCGTCGCTGGCGCTTCCGATGGCGAGATCTTCCTGCTGGAGAACCTGCGATACCACATCGAGGAGGAAGGCAAGGGCACCAACGAGAAGGGAGAGAAGGTCAAGGCCGACAAGTCTGCCGTGGAGGCCTTCCGTGCCAGCCTTACCAAGCTGGCAGACGTCTACATCAACGACGCCTTCGGAACCGCACACCGAGCTCACTCTTCCATGGTCGGTGTTCAGCTGCAGGAGCGAGCCAGTGGATTCCTGATGAAGAAGGAGCTCGAATTCTTTGCTCGCGCTCTTGAGAACCCCGACCGTCCTTTCCTGTCTATCCTCGGCGGTGCCAAGGTCTCTGACAAGATTCAGCTCATCGAGAATGTCCTCGACAAGGTCAACATCCTGATCATCTGTGGTGGAATGGCCTTCACCTTCAAGAAGACTCTAGAGAACGTCAACATCGGAAACTCGCTCTTCGACGATGCAGGTGCCAAGAAGGTCGCCGAGCTCGTGGAGAAGGCAAAGAAGAACAATGTCGAGCTGGTGCTCCCCGTAGACTACGTCACCGCAGACAAGTTTGACAAGGCAGCTCAGGTCGGTGAGGCTACCGACGAGAGCGGTATCCCCGATGGCTGGATGGGACTCGATGCCGGACCAAAGTCGCGCAAGCTCTTTGCCGACGCCATTGGCAAGGCCAAGCTGATCCTTTGGAACGGCCCTGCTGGTGTCTTTGAGTTTGAGAACTTTGCCGGTGGGTCAAAGGCCATGCTCGACGCATGTCTCGAGGCAGAAAAGAAGGGAGCTACCGTCATCGTTGGTGGAGGAGACACAGCTACCGTCGTTGCCAACTACGGAGCCGAGGATGGAATCTCCCACTGCTCAACGGGTGGAGGAGCCTCGGTGGAGCTCCTGGAGGGCAAGGAGCTGCCTGGTGTCACTGCTCTGTCTGAGAAGAAATGAAGGGCGCAGGGCGAGGAGGGGAATACTCGTCCCAAGCTGTAGGCTTGTAGAGCCATTACAAAGCACGATGTAAAGATGCGATAGCAATATAGACTGAGACTCGAAGAAGTGAATGTGATGAGCAAGCTAGCAGTGTGAAACGATGACTTTTTGATTGCGTCGAGGGAGAGAGGCAAACGCCCTCAGTCTTCCTCCTCGTCCATTGGCACAGGAGCAGCCGTCCTCCTCCTACGACCTCCCCTTCCCGCATCCTCATCTAAAGTCTCTCCAGCTCCACCAGCCTCTTCAGCCAGAGCAGCCAGCTCTTCATCCGCATCCAGAGACTCGCCGTCATCGTCTTCTTCATCATCATCATCATCGTCGTCGTCGTCGTCATCGCTGTCGTCCTCCCCTCCTCCTCCTCCCTCCGCTTCGTCCTCCTTGTCTGAGCCTGCAGGTTGAGGGGTGGACGCGGCAGCTGGAGCAGGTGCTGCAGGCGTCGCCTCGGCCTCGTCCTCATCATCCGAAGCGGCAATCCCCGCGGGTCGCCGTGAGCCATTAGTCGTGGCAGCAGCAGCAGGCTGCTTGGCAAGCCCGCGTCGAGGTAAGCTGTCCGACTCATCTGCGTCCTCATCTTCATCTGCCTCGCCCTCCCCGTCCTCTTCTCCATCCTCGACCGCTCTCCTCCGCGGAACTTCCTCCTCTTCCTCCTCTTCCTCCTCCTCCTCCTCTTCTTCTTCCTCTGCCTCACTCTCCTCGAGCTCAGGCAATGCCTCGGCGAGCAAATCGACTTCACTCCTCTTGTAGAGGCGCTTGAGCTGGTCTCGCTCCGAGAGCTCCTGGTGCGTAAGAGCGATGCTCTGCCAGTAGTCTGGATCGGCATTGTGTGCATCGGGTCGACGAGAGCGCTTGACGCGTAGTGTGGTTCGCTGGGTAATGGGATGGTAGTAGGCCTTCTTGGCGCTGCCTTCCTTGTAGCCATCTCGAACACGCTGCCTTTCGCTTGCAACGATGGGCTGTACAGAAGTGGAAGCTTCGTCCTCGCTGAAGTTGAGGACGAGGATGCGCTGCCATTCCTCTTCGCCACCTAGTCGCTCGGGTTCGTAGTCCCTCTGGTGACTGTACGGTGTCGTTACCTTTGCCCTCTCACGAGAGAAGGCGACCTGCTTCTCCTGCGTGACCTCATCATCTTCGCCTTCCACCTCTTCGGGCTCCTGCGGGAGATCAGCAGCCCAGCCGCTCCTCCTCCTCCGCTCCTCTCTGCGCAGAACAGCTGCTTCTCTGACTGAGTCGTCCAAGCTCCCGGCCTGATCTTGGAAGAAGGCACGATCTTCTTCGTCGAAAGCGTCTGGGTCGGCAAGGAGGAGCTCGTCAAACTCTTGAGGCGATAGATCCGCAGGAATGGTTGTGGGGAGGAAGAAGGAGACCAGTGGTCGCATCGTGAAGGGGTCTGGACGGGCGCGCAGGAGCGATAGATGGAGTCGAGGGTCGATGACCTGGCGAGATTCTTCGTGTCTACCCGGTGCATCGCTGAACTTGAGAACGTGGTATTGAGTTGCCCATGTATCGAAGTCAGGCAGAAGCTCAAAGCTTTCCACGGGTTTCAGATCCTTCTTTGTGGGGTGTTGTAGCTTCTCCAACGGGACTTCAGCAGCTGCAAAGGAAGCCTCGATACGGGTTGCCTCTGCCGAAGGAGAGACATCTACGCCAGACCTGTCTTGCTGACGAGCGGATCGGACAGCTGCTTCTGCCTTTGCCTTTCGATCTGCTCCAAGGTATTCTGTCCTTCTGAGCCATCCTACATCCTTGGCTCCCAGCGCCTCTACTGGGGGAGTCGCGGTTCCGCTAGCGCCATTGGCATGCTGGTTCTGGAGGTAGGCCGGTGTTATCAGCGGAGGAGCGGGGGCAGTAGCGAGGGAAGGGTTGAGGAGCCAAGCGTCCTCTGAATGAATCTGCGACGCATCGAGAGGAGGAGGCGCGCCATCTATCGGTCTGCCTTGGGCATCGGTCGCCCAGAGCTCCGGGAAAGCATTGATGTCGAGGGGCATGCCTCCTTCTCCGTCTACCACCAGCGGGAAGGGAACCGAGTCTGCCAGACGCGACGACCATGTTGGATCTGCATACCTCTCTGCGGGTGTATCGATGCTGAGGAGCTTAGGAGGGTAAGGGGGAAGAGGAAGGGGGTTGGGATACCGTATCCTCTCAATGAGGTCGGTCCTATAGAATCGGTCGGATGGGTTGATCGAGGTTAAGGTCAGTCACAGCAGCAAGCTGGGAAGAAACCACGAAGAGCGAGCTCACCTCTTCCTGGAAGACGACATCGCGTAGTGCTCGGGTGACTGTCGATGTTGAAGCTGAATTCAATCAATCGCGAAGTCAAGGCAATGGTGGTAGGGTGGTGCTATGAGTCTCCGGGAAGGTGAGCAGCCAGCTTCCGCCAGGAAGGAAGTAGGGCCGTGGAGTCGATGTCGCCCCGCCAAGGCGCGCGGCTCCGACGGCGCCCTTTCCGCTCATTTTTGGATACGAAGCGAGGAGCAGCTGCGAATCAGCAAGAAGGCACACAGAGGCACACGCTGCATCAATCACAATGCTCGCATACATCCTCTACGCTGCCGGCATCGATACCACACTGACATAGCGCATATAGACCTGCTGGCGACGATGTCGATGGCGAAGGTGGACCGCCGTATCGATGATGATGATGACGAGGCAGATCAATTCGCTGACGCAGAGGAGCAAGCGCCCACTCTGCAGCAAGAGCAGTCCACCGCCCCACATCCTGAATCATCAGACGTAGGCCTAGAGTCTATTGGCGATGATAAGATCGAGGACGACGAAGTGGAAGACGACTACGATAGTGGTGAAGATAGCGAGCTGGAGCGCATTCAGGCCTTTGATTTCCAGGACGCAGACTGGGACATGGCTAAAGGAGGTGAGTTATGCATCTGCATCGTGGCATGACCACGCAAGCACTCGGCTGACATACCAAGTACTCTACGCAGACTTCACAAAGCTCTACAATCGCTCTCGCCAAGTGCAGTCGGTGGCTCAAGGAAGCTCAGACGCAGCAGTACCTTTGCCAGCCATGAACATCTCGAGAAAGGCTGCTGCTGCCAGGGAGGCAAGGGACGAAGCCAACCGCACCAATAATCGGAATACCGGCAATGCGGCAGGACCATCTAGCTCTACAGATCCAAATCGGATTACATCGGGAGAAGATGCCGAAAATGCTGCACAAGAAGCTCCCCACGATAAGACGACTGCTCAACTCTCTTCGTTGTCTCACCTTGCGTCTCGTATATCCCTGTCTGGTTCTCTGAATGCCTCAGTGCCTAGGAAAGGCAACTCGGCTACAGCTTCGAAAGACAAGGACAAAGCCGACAGGGCCACCACACAGCAGGTTCTCGACCCTCGTACGCTTGTCATACTCTTCAAGATGCTACAAAGAGGTTTTCTGCGGCACATCGATGGAGTCATATCCACCGGCAAGGAAGCAAATGTCTACCATGCCTCCATGCCTCCTCCCCCTCTGGCTGAGCATGGCGAGGACGAGACGACTCCAGCTGAGGAGCGCAAAGGCTCACCAGTTCATGTAGCCATCAAGATCTACAAGACATCCATTTTGGTCTTCAAGGATCGTCATCAATACGTGTCTGGAGAATATCGGTTCAGGAACGGCTACTCAGGATCCAACCCACGCAAGATGGTCAAGACATGGGCAGAGAAGGAAGCCAGGAATCTCAAAAGATTGGTGTCTGCCGGTATTAGAGCTCCCAAACCACTGGAGCTGAGGGATCACGTCCTGGTCATGGACTTTCTGGGCGACCAGGCTGGTTGGGCTAGCCCTCGGCTAAAGGATGCTGAGAAGAGCATCGATCAAGAAGTTGAGAATGGCCAAGAGGATCGGTGGGAGGACCTCTACCGAGAGATGCTGGCTGGAATGCGGACGCTATGGTGGCAATGTCGCCTCGTCCACGCTGATTTGAGCGAGTACAATGTCCTGTAAGTATCAAGGCCGAAGCGGGCTAGAGCAGCCCTGATCATCTGCATGCTCACACTCACACTGTGCACTTTTCAACGAACCTCCTCCAGGTACCACGAGTCCCACTTGTGGATCATTGACGTGTCTCAGTCTGTTGAACATGACCATCCAAAAGCTCTTGAGTTCCTTCGAGCCGACATCTCTCACATCGAGGCCTACTTCTCCAAGCGTGGAGGCGTTAGGAACGTCCTTGGTTTGCGCAAAGTCTTCGACTGGATCATTGCCGAGCCCAGAGAGCGTGCGAAGAGGGGTGGTGGAAACGTCGGCATCGATCAAGTGCACGAGCAAGATCAAGGGAACGATGAGACGTACGAGGGCGAGCTGAAGATCGTCCAGACTGGAGGCACGGGGCCATTTGCGCAATTGGAAGTGAGGGAGCGAGAGCGAGGCGAGACCGAAGAAGAACTCATGGCGGATCTGAAGGAGATCATGGAGAGGAGTAAAGAATCAAAGGCAGCTGCCTCCTCCGCGCCTCCCGCGAACAACGGTCTGGATCATTCCGCGAATGCACAGACATCAATGGCCACTCCACCAAACCAGCAGGCACAGCAGCAGTCCTCAGACGAAGCAGTTTTCTTCTCGTCCTACATTCCGAGAACGCTCAACGAAGTCTACGATCCAGAAAGGGATATTCAAAAGCTCAAGAAGGACGGCGCAGAAAGCCTGATCTATGCCGGAGGTGTGACGGGTCTCGGCAAGGCCAACGTGGAATCAACCTCGAATCCTTCTGAGCAAGTAGCTGCCCCAAGCTCGCAGACGCCCGCTCCAGGCGACTCACAATCGGACGACGAGAGTTCCGACGAGGACGGCAGCTCAGACGAAGACGACGAGAATGGTGGGACCAGGGAGAAGAAAGGGCCCCGAGGTCACCGCCACGAGGATCGCGAAGCAAAGAAGCAGCGGAAGCAAGAGGTCAAGTCTGCGAATCAGGAGCGGCGCAAGACGAAGATGTCAAAGAAGGAGAAGCTCAAGAAGATGAAAAAGAAGTGAACATCCGCTCTGATCGGATCAGGAGGCCGGTCGGATCATACAAGTTCCAGAACAGCAGGCATTGTATTCTAGCGCACTGACTCGACGGGAGCAAATACAATCGTGTCTCCTACTGCCTTGAATTGTACACTGGCAGGCCGCATCGCGGCGTCCCTGCACGCGGAGGCGCGGACGCTGGGCAAGTAGCGCGTACCGGGAGCAAATGTCTGAGAAGGCGGTGGACGACGGCAGCCTCCGTTCATGCTGGGTCATGGTCACGGAGGCATTTCTCGATGAGATACTTAAGGATGCTGGGAAAACCTCCCGGCTCTGCCTCCTTTTCCCCACCTTCCCACATACATCCCAACTTGGTACCGTATCTTCGCATACACGTACCGAGTTGACCCCGTATACTACACCCAAAGCTTACACCCACCCTTTACGCTGCTATCATGTCTCGACCAAACGACATCGTTCTTCCCGAGTCCCTCGCCGGAGGCATTCAGTCTCAGCAAGGCGGCGACCCAGAATTCCTCCGACGAATTCGCGAGCGAACCGTCCAGCGGATTCGAGAGTCTGCGGAGATCAGGCTGTGGCAGCACCGGCAGCGGCTCAGGGAAGAGTACGCATCTAGGAAGGCCCCAATTCCCTACGATACAGACTATGCATTCAAGATCGTCTCCCTCCTTTGGAGATGGATCCGCCAGTCCAGCGAACCTGAGCTGCTTGCATCCGTACCACCCCCGGCTCTGCGAATGCCTCAACTCGGATCGCAGTGGGAGCTCGGCTACTGCCCTCTGCGAAGGTTCTTGCGCGACTTCCCTCGAGACCCCAACAGTGTCACGTCCGAGCTTCATCTCGAGCTTAATGAACTTGTCGAACAACTCTACGAGGCTTTGACGGGCTCACCCGACCCCGCCTCGAGCACCGCAGCACCTCTGGTCGAGCGAGATCTTCCTGTCACCTCAGAGCTCGAGGGTACTGTCGACATCGTCTTGGTCATGGGCCTGCTCCATCGGTGTTTTCAATTGGCTCTGGCCACCACCCAAGAGAACTATGTGCAGCTCTTCAGCGATGAAGCCGCTAGTGCCGTCCACGAAACGCAGCAAGAAATTGATCTCACCGAACCTCGAATCATCTCCGCCAACGAAGAGCAGCAAGCAGGCAACGTCGACACCGACGACGAGTCTCCTGTGACCGACAGCTCCGGTGGTTTCGTGGTCGTGTCAGCCCAAGTCACCGCACCAACGTCAATGGCAAGCTTCGTTCCCTTCTTCCCTGAAGACGATCTCGAGGACGCGGACGCCGATGCCGACGACGACGACGACGGCAACGACGACGAAGAAGACGCGAGATCCGTCGTCGGCCGGGTGCTAGAGATACTTGACCATCTCATGAGGCCAGATGAGCCTTGGCCTGCCGAAGATGAACCTATCCAGGCTTTCAATGGCGAGCATGCGCAGGAGCCTTTCGCAGTCATCAATCGTCCTGCTCTTCGCTTCAGGGCTCCAGCAGATAATCGGGCTCCCCCTACTGCACCTCGAGCTGAAAGAGAAGGTCGAGTAGCCCCTCATCCAGACGGTCATAGGCGTCGAAACCACCAAGGTCGCCGAGGTGGAAACGGAAACCGAGGACGCCGTGGTGGCCGTGGCGGTATTGTACGCAACTTCGGACTACACATCCGGCATGCTCCTAGGCGCGATCCAAGACTTCCACCCATCCGGGAAGAGGTGAATGCTTGGGATCCCATGCTCCCTGGTTGGCGAATCCCTTTCCTCCGCCACCAGCGTGAGCTGCAGAGGCTGCAGGACGACATCATTATGACTCTCCGCATTCTCATGCGCTGAGCTCTCGACTAGGCTCCGTCTGCTGTCCATCCCCTCTGCTCCATCTGTCCCGTCCTGTCACAGAAGTGTCGAGATGCTGTTCTCGCCCCGTCGATGTCCTCCCCCCAAAACGTTCTCGTCTTTGCTCACCCCGTTCCCCCAAAATCAGTGTCGCTCCTCTGCGCACAGAACAATCTCTGTCTCGTAGTGCTTCCCCCGTAAATTTTCCTGTTCCCCTAAGAACAATCTTTGTCTCGTAGTCCATTCCTTCATTGAAATTCATACATTCATTAAGAGTTCAGTGTGAGCAGGGTGCACCTTCTCAATTTAAAGACTGACAAGGCCCGCTTATCTGGGATGGCCGACGTGTCTGCGACTAAGACTTCAGTCTTCCTTCTTGTGCAGCCCATTCAGCCCCCACATGCTGATTGCACTCCCACCAAGCATCGAAAGTGAGGTGAGGTGACAATCATTAATGAGAGAAGAGACAGAGCAAATGATCTACACTCAGGAGGCACCGCCACTTTCCTCCGTCTCTTCTTCTCCTCACTCATTGAGCCCATCCTAAACCCTCACAAGCCTGTCTCAGCGTCTTGCCCCAGCTCGAGCTCTAGCAGCTTCCTGGGCTAGCAACTTCTTCTTCCGCCCAATAAAGTAGATGATCAAGTCCTTTTGTGCTTGCTTGAGCGGGCCGACGGATTCAAAGAGCTCTTCTACGCTGACAGTAGCGCCACTAGCATCGTTTCCAGTCACACCATTCTCTTTCTCTCCGGCAGCAGCAGAAGCACTTCCTGTTGCTTCCCCGTCCTCGCCCTCCCCAGCACGACCCTGCTCAATCCTCACCTGTGCGCAGCTAACCACATCCACGGCAGCCTGTCGCAGCGCCGTGACTTTTTCATCGTTGAGCGCGCGCAAGATCCAGCTACGAGCGCGGGGTATCTCTTCGAGTACCATTTCGGGTGGGAGACGGAGTAGGAGACGGGAGAGGGCGCGCAGGGAAAGGAGAAGGATCCTGCTGTCGCTTGCTGCTGCTGCTGCTCCTTCTGCATCTGTATCCGGAGCTGAGAGAGAGGGAGCGGGTCCCATGCTTGAGAGGAGAGAGCTGAGCCCAAGAGCTGGAAGAGTCCTGGCAGCCCAGCTATCGATCAGGGACTCGCATCCTGAAATGACCTTGGTGGGCGGAGTTGCGCCTCTTCTACTGGCACTGGCGTTGCCGCCGTTACTGCCGCTCCCGACGCTTGCGCGGACCTTGAAGATCAAAGAGAGAAGGTCAACTTCAAGCCCGTAGGAGAGGAAGAGCGGGTATTGCCTCTCTACGAGGTGAAAGAGGAGAGAGAGTGCCGCCATAGGTATCTCGCCTGCATCAGCAGGAGGAATGTTCTCGCCCGCAGAGGCAGGTGCAGCAAAGAGGGCGAGCAAAGAGCGCTCCAGCGCCTCCCACAGACTGCAGAAAAGGCTCAATTCCCTCCATGCGTCCGCTTGCTGCTGCTCTAGCGACTCGCCATCGCCATCGCCCTCTTCTTCCTGCTGCATCCTCCGCTTGGCAGCCTCCTCCGCTTCGTAAGCCCCTCGGCCGCTCCGCAGGAGCTGCTCGTTGGCCGCACTGTCTTCTTCGGCTTGCACAGGGAATTTGCGGGACATGATTGACAGATTGCCAAATGTGACTGCGTTTGCTCTTCCTGTACGAACTTCTTCCACCCATTGTAGAGCATCAGGTGTGCTTTTGATAGGGGAGAGGGCGATCTGAGCCTCTGATGTGAGACGCGAGGCACGGGAAGCAAGGTAGCTCTTCCCCTCAGCTGGCGAGACAGGAGGCGGTGCTCGCTGTGGTGGCGCTTGAACCTCTGCCTCTGATGATGGTGAGGTAAATGCGAGAGCATCTGACGATGACGATGACTGCGGCTGCGGCTGAGCACCTCCCTGCCCGTCTGCCGGCGCTTGTCGAATGATCCTTGGAGTCGACTGATTGGTCTCATCACCGTTGTACTGCTCATCTTCGTCGTCCTCATCGTCAGCTGCTCGATTATCCTTTGTCTGTTGGCCCAGGCCAGCAAAAGCAAAGCTCAGACTATCGTCTCCCCCACCAGCTGCCATTGCTCTCTTGAGCGGACTGCTGCTCATCCCCATCAAGTCGACCGTCGCATCGCCATCGAGCGTCGCATCCGCGTCGTACCTGCCGAGCTGGATGGTGTCGTCCGGATCGAGCATCTTCGCGGGCAGTGCAGCGGTGCGAGAAGCCGGTGAGGTAGGAACTGCTTTGCCCTTGGCCGATGGAACCGCACCCAGCGATTTGTTCCCGCCAGCATATCCAGACATAGGTCGAGCGTTTGCACTTCCGCTGCTGCTCGCGCTCGCGCTGGATGATCCAGCCGTTGAGGTAGAGACGTTGCGGGCTCTGGTCGGCTGGAATGGCTGAAAGCGTTGCTGAGGCTGTTGACCGCCGTAGCTTGACGGTGGTGGCGAGCTGGCGCTGCTGGCTTCCTTTCCAATCCCTCTGGGCGTTGCACGAGAGGGAGGAGACAGAGCCGAACCGGCTCTACCTCCCTGCGTCGCCCCTCTTGTCGGCGTCGTTGCAGAGCTGAGCGAAGCGGAAGAGGATGAGGGAGACGGTGGCAGAGGAACATCCGCTGCCCTGGGTATACGCGATGCAGAGAATTGTCGAGTCTGAGACAGGGAGGGCTTCTTCGGGGTCGTCTCGCTGGCAGATTGAGGTGATCCCGCATAGTCGTCGCGCTGTGAGCCTTGCGACTCTCGTTGTTGACGAGCCTGCTGCTCCTTCCTCTCGGCGACCATCCGAGCTTTGGCGGCGAGAATGGCACTGCTTGGTCCTCCAGCCCTCTTCGGCGGTACGACAGCCACCGCCGGCTTTGATGTCGAAGGAGACTCTTCAGACCTGGAAGGAGGAAGTGCGCTGCTGACGGCTCGAGCTTGAGCGCCGGTACCCGCTGGCCGAACGGGTCCACTACTCATCGCTGCGCTAGCTGCTCCTGCTGCAATTTGTTTTCGAATAGCTGGCTCCAGCTTCGACTCCAGAGCATGGCCGCGAGCAGGCCAGTAGTGTCTGTACACGTAGAACGCCTCTCTCGAATTGGCTCTCACATCTTTGTTCTGATCCGCCAAACCCTTCTGTAAGAATTTCTCAATCGTTGCGAGACCCTCGTGAGACTCTAGCGCGTGCTTGCGATGTTCTGCATGTGTAGCCAACAACGTGTGGAGATGCTCTGCCATGCTGATCCTGGTGGTGATATTCTTGTCTTGCATGCCTGCCCAGACGAGATCTAGGAAGCGATGGCGATATGACGTAGTCTGGAAGAGCTCTTTCACAGCTTCCTGGGTAGCATTGGCCACCAGACGCTTCGTGTACCCAGCCATCTTCAGCAGGGCGGGAACAAAGGCGTCCAGGGTGGAATCTGCGAGGCTATCTCCCACTCGTTGGGCGAGCTCTGCGATCAGACAGGTGCCCTGCATAGCCAGTGTGGTCCGCAAACTTCCGACAGCCTTTAGTACTCCATCAGTGAGAGATTTGATCCCGCTGACAAAGGCAGCATCGTACTTGTCGAATGCGCCAGCCTTGAGCATGCCTCGCACTTTGATGATGCCATTCTCTCGCTGTAGCCAGTTGTGTTCCGTTTCTTTGCCCTCGAAGTGCGGCAGGAGAGCAGTGAATGCCCTTTCGAGGTCGCCTCGACTGAAGATGTGGACTGGAGAGATGTTGTCATCGGAAGCAGCGGTGGCGGCTGGAGCCGGCGCTGTCGTGGCGGAGCTTGCAGCCGCAGGAGCAGCATGTGACGTCGAAGAGGCAGCTCGCTCAGCTGCTACTGGTGTTGCCACACCGTCTCCGCTCAAGTCCTCATCATCGTCGCTACTGATCTCGCGTACAATTGAATCTACCAGAGCCTTTCTGACATTCTGTGCTTCCAGCTCCTTTTTGAGGTCTGTCTTTGCAGCAGGACTAGCGGTGGAGAAGAGGGCTACTAGTGTGGCTCGAGCGGCTTCGCGGCAATGCGGATCAGCATCGGACAGGATCTCTACAAGGGGTGAGAGGAAAGCCTTGATTGGCAACTTGGCCTGATAGCTGCGCAGAGGAGGTAAGACCTTGCACGACTATGACAGGCAGGCAGGGCGGGCACAGGTGTCAGTCATAATCCCCCCTGTGCATTGTCCACCCCGTAGCTCCATTCAAGTACCCTCTCTGGCTCACCTGCTCTTTGATCTTTGCCGACTTGGCCATTAGCCCTGTGTCGCAAAGTAGCCTCTCAAAGGCATTCAAGGGCGACTCAATCTCCCTTGTCTTGTGAGAGATGGAGTGACCAAGGGTTGCCCTGCTACCGTCAATGGCAGCCTTCCCCAGCTCCTCCAGAGCTTTCCCGGCCATCTCTCTAGTCTTCTCTCGCCCATCTCCTGCCTTCTCGAGGACGGTGGGCATGAGAGAGTTTATTGCCGTCTTGACGTGTTGGACGCCCTTGGGCTCGTGGATCGAGCTCCTCATGTGGGCCAGGAGGGGTGAGACAAACTCGAGAGCCGCATGGGATAGAGTGGGATGTTGATTTTTGATCAGTACCTTGAGTGTGGCCGTCAGATGATCGGCTTCGGGTATGGAGTGAAAGGTTGGAAGGTGATCTGACAGGTGTTGCAGGGCAGAAGTCTTGCCATCAAGATCTGAAGGGGTCCGGAGAAAGGTGGCCGGTTGTGAGCATCACCATAGATTTCACTCGAAGGAGCTGCCTCTTACTCACCGGTTGCGGCATCGATGCTGTCTACCAAGTCTTGGAATCGTTGAACGTCGTCCTCCCCCTCGTCATCGTAGTACGACGCCATCCTCGGCGCGTCGTACCAATCCTTGGTCAGCTCTGAGGGTCTGACTTGAGCAAAGCAGTAGGAGAGCTCCTCTCTTGCCGGGGGTATCAGCAGCGTCTCTCAGCTCGCTCCTCCTGGGTATACAATGCGATGTCGATGGTACCTTGACAAGGCGAGGAAGAAGGGGCAAAGGTGTGTTGGGTCCCACTCAGGAACAATGGCGGCTACGGAACCAAGGCGCCTGGACGCGATTCGAAACGCCGCACGGACTCATTTCACCCGACGCCTCTCGCTCCACCGCTCACCAACACCAACACCAACACCATCCCTATCCTCAAAGGAGCCCGCAGTCATCTCTGTATCCTAAAGAGTCTCGAAGCTCTTCGTCTTGGTAGCTTGTGGCTCAGGATGGCCACCACCAGTGCCAGTGGCGGCCTCAACTCCAAGGTGAAGCGCTTCGGCAACCCGCCCGCGTACCTCGATGGTCGCCCGCACTTCCTCGACGCCTCCTACCAGCAGGTACTCCGCTTCGGCCAGCGTCCCGGCGGGTCCAATGACAGGGAGCAGAGGAGCGCTAGTGTAGAGGATGAGATCACACCTGATGGAGAGCGGCAGACAGGCGGTAGCAATGGAGATGGAGCACAAACAGAAGCAGGCCCTTCCACTGCACGCTCCTCCTTGCCTCGCACCTCCTTCGAAGAGGAAGAAGGCGACGAAGAGGACGGCGATGTCGAAGGCAGCCGGTCCCATCCCACTACCGATTCCGAATGGGAATACGAAGATCTCCCTCCCGAATTGGTCATCTTCGATCTCGGCCCAGAGGCGGCCAAGCTCCTCCAGTCTAAACGACAGTGGGCTTCTACGGGACTAGAGACGGGCAACCCCTTTTTGAAGGTGGGCAATGTGGTATTCAAGGGTACTTGGGAGGAGAGTCTGACTACAGGAGTGATATTGAAAGATGAGCTTGGTGAGTGGAAGATGCTCAGCAGTGTCACTTTCCCTCGACTTTGACGCAATAACTTGACCAGGCACGCTGAACCACCCTGCGTCTTCCATCTCCAACCCCTCTCTCTGCCTCAGATCGCACCCGTCCCTTCCCACATCAACACCACCCCTCTCCCCTACCCCAACCTCTACCAAGCACAACGCACAACCGCATCAAATTCCGCCCTGCCGTGAATCTCGACGTGGGCGAAGCGGCAGCCACACAGCGCTCGCGAAAGGTGCGCTCGAAGCTCCTGGCGTCGAGACGGATGCGTCCGCAGACGCAAGGAGGTTCGGTAGCCCCAGAGACATCAACATCAAGAGCACGCGAGTCGCATTCAGCAAGCGTGGAAGGAGGTGAGGCCGAGCCTCCCGCTACAGGGGACATCGACATCGACATAGATCCGGAAGGCGACTCTCCTTCTACCAATCCTCTCACCCTCTCCTCGCCCAAAGCTCGCAAGCCCGGTCGTCCTCCCCTCTCCCTAGCACAACGCACACAGAGAGCCGTACAGCGCTCTTTGCGCCCTGATGTTGAGCCAAAGGTGACGCAGAGGATTGTAAAACGGATGAAGATGCAGGAGAAGTTGATGAGGGAGATTGAGGCGGGAGAGGCGGGTGGAGCTGGAGCTGAGGAAAGTGCTGGTGCTAGTGCGGGTGCAGAGGCTAGTGCGGCTGCAGAGGCTAGTGCAAGTGCAGGTGGCGCAATGCCAGGAAGTGCCAGTAAACGAATCGTCCTCCTCGGTGAGAGCGGCTCAGAGTACCTCGACCTCAACACGGGGGAGGTGAAGAGACTGCGGGGGAGTAGACGGGGTAGGCCGTCTGGATCGAAGAACAAGGCGAGGGTGCAGAGGGGTGATACACAGGCAGTGGCAGGGGCAGGGGCAGGGGCAAGGGCAGGGGCAGAGGAAGAGGGAGAGGGAGGGGTTGAAGACCAGGAAGAGGCAGGGGATGAGCAAGATCGGGGCGCAGGAGAAGAAATGGAGGTGGAAGCTGCTGATTTTGGGCAGGCACTTGGAGAGAATGAAGATCAGGGGGAAGGAGAGGAAGAGGAGGAAGCAGCGAGAGCCGGGTCTGGTAGAGGAAGGGGGATGGCACCCTGATGATCTGCAGCGCGATGAAGAATGGCACACAAATCTGTACTTTGATACCCTCAATCGGACCCTCACCTCCACAAACAAAGACATGGACAGTGGTCATCCACTTTCACAGTCGCGAGTCACGGTGATTATCAGGGAACTGGCAGTCGAGATCGGGAAAACAGGGATCGTGGAGAGAGGGGTATGGGGCTACTGCTCTATCATCTCCACTCTCTGGTGGTACTGCTAAAAAATCCTCAGGCCTCGAGGATCGCCTTGAGCCTCTCCCGCTGTGCTTTGAGCTGCTGCACCAATGCCTCAATTCTGTTGTCTGCCGGAGTGGCGGCAGCGAGGCTGGCCTCGATAGGCGCCACCTCTGCGACTACTGGCGCAGCCGTCGCCTTCTCGTGTACCTCAAGGGGCTCGCTTCCCTTCTTGGCAGGCGGAGTGATGCCGCCGTCAGTGATTTTACTCGTGGTAGGTAAGTCAGAACCAGTCTTCTTGACCGCGTCGAAGCCTTGCAGCGCAGCCTCGGTCTTCTCGAGAAGCTTTTGAAGCTCTGCGGCTGGATCGGCTGCCATCTCGTTGGGCGTTGCTGGTGTCGAAGGCTCGGAGGTCCTAGTGGCGAGCACCCTAGCCACTCGAGGTATGGGCAAAGAAGCAGCAGGAGGGCCACCTCGACCCTTGAAGTTCTTCAGCAGAATCTGATCGCCCGAGGGAGGAACAGTCGGCGCTCTAATGCCCTGATTCAAGCCGGTGGATCTTGAGCTCTTGGTGTCAGCCGGCGTCCATTGTGGTCGCTGTGGGAGGCTCGCAGGTCTGGTGGCAGCACTCTTGTCTTCGATTGTAGTCTCGCTCTTGTCGTCATTCGTGTAGTCAACCTTTTGCCCGTTCCCGTCGTCATTTTGCTCATCGTCCTTGCCGTCATCCTGCTTGGCGTTCTTCTCGTCTTTGAACAGATATTGGTTCTTGTTGTGCTCTTCAACAGCGTTGTGATGATTGTCTTCATCTCTATCTACGAGCTCAGTGGTGACCTGCACAGTCGACTGCTCCACTGGGCTTGAAAAGTTGGTGGACTGAGCCGGTGGAACAGGCTGGACAGGTTTGACAATTGGAGCCAACTGAGGTGGCTGAATCTGCTGGGTCCTCTGGACCACCTGGAGTGGCTCGAACTGAGTCCTAGCCTGCGAAATAGGGGTGCTGTCAACGGGGTCGTCCCACCCACCGCTAGTATCGGCAGGCCAGTCAATCTTGAGTGTGGCTGGGATCTCCACCGCGTCTTCCTCGTCGTCAGCATCGACGCCGGGTACAGGTTGAGTTGGCACAGCAGCTGTGTAAGAGCCTTGAGAAGACTCAACAGTGACAGGAGGTCTTCGCTCGATGTCTGTAGGCGTGACGGTCTCTTCGCTCGCACCCCAGCCATCGTCATTGCTGGCTTGAACATTCTCGGTCGGACCCCACCCACCATCGTTGGCAGCTTGGCTACTCTCATTTGGTCCCCACCCATCGTCGTTGGTAGTAGCTTCAGCCTGTTCAGTCGGACCCCATCCATCGTCGTTGGCAGCTTGGGCGTCTTCACTGGGACCCCAGCCATCCTCGTTGGCAGAGTCGCGAGGTTGCTTCTGAAGCCAATTGTTGACCATTGCATCTCTGGGTTGTTGCTGCGAGTCAGGGTTCTGCTCCTTCGTATTCGAGTCGTCTGCCTTTCGACCCCATCGGTTGAAGGGCAACGCAACGGTGTTGGTGCAGGTGACAGACTTGTTGACCGTTGGCGGCTGCCAAGAAGCTTGTGCTTCAGATGCATATGCCCGAGAGTAAGAAGCTTGTGGCTCAGATGCGTAATCTTGGGTCTGTGAATAAGATGTGTGCCCACCATCACCATTGCTGTGACCGCGTGGCAGCGCATAGTCGAGACGCATCGTTCGTCCGCCAAGCTCTTGTCCCGAAAGGGCCTCCATAGCACTGTGAGCAGAGTCTTGAGAGTCAAACTCCACGTAGCCGAATCCTCGCGATTCGCCCGTCTCTGGGTCCTTGGGGATAGCTACGCGCAGTATGTTGCCATAGGGTGTGAAGGCCTCTCTGAGCTCGTCGACGGAGAGAGAGTAGGGCAGACCACCCGCGAAGAGAATGGGAGAAGCATCTGGGTGCTGCACAGGGTGAGAGGAGGACTCTTGTCCGTACTCTGCATAGTCATCGTAGTAGTCATCGTACCAGTAACCCTCGTCGTCGTCCTCGGGCCGGTCGAGTGGTTCGAGGGTAGGATTTCTGCGCCAGTATATCTCCCAGGATCGACAGCCCATCGGAGGTTCGACTTCGAGCCAATGGTCCCCCAGACGAAGGATCGCTCCGTTGTCCGGTGCTTCTGGTACCTCGTATGGAGGCTCTCCCCAGTCGTTGGGACGCTCCTCTTGCGTGTCATCAACAGCCTCGTGGTACTCCTCTTGCGCTTCGTTGTCCTCAAACTGTGCTGATTGTTGATTGACCTCTTGCTGGAAATTCACCTTTCGAGGTGTCAGTGCAGGCTGTAGACCTTGAGGCTCGCCGGTCGGCGCGTCCCAACCGCTCTCGTCCGCAAGCGCGTCGAAGACGTCGACTAGGGCAGTCCCTCCTTGCTGCTGGCCCTGGTGGTCTTGAGTAACTGCTTCTGCTTGTGGCTGAGTACCATTCTCGTCCTCGACCAGCCCAGTGGCCTCAACATCGTCGATCGTCTTGACGCGACGTGTCACATTGGGCCCCCATCGAGCTTTATTGCCGAGGTCGGTGGCGCGAGCGAGGTGGGGAGGAGGGGCACGTCCGGCCCAACGATCGACTGCAGCCGCTTCGACGGGCTCAGGATCAGGATGAGAGTGCTCTGGCTCCTGCGACAGTCTTGAAGCGAGGGGTCGAGCGTCCAGACTGGGTGCTGGCTGCGAGGAGAGTCGCTGAGCCAAAGGCTTGGCTGCTTGCTTAGCACTGCGGATAGCGTCGTGAGGTCGAGGGATGGATGCTCGAGGAGTAGATGCGGACTCGTCCTCATCGACCCAGGCATCGCCGTCATCGTCCTCATCGCCATTGTGATCAAGAGTGGTGTGGGCGTCGGTCCAGGCAGACGCCTCGTCGTCGTACGCGTCGAGGACGCCGTCGCTCATGATGGACTGTATGCAATGTGTAGTGTGAGGGTGCGTAGAGGTGTGGTCTTCGAGGGTCAGATGAGGGGATTGTAGTGGGTGATGAGTGGTGAGTGATTGGTAGAGGACGGTGGAAGGAGGACGGGAGAGGCAGACGCACAGGGGAGAGGGACGAGGTGTGGACACGCCGCGCTGCGCCGCAATGCTTGGCTCACACGGCTCACACGGCTCAATGGATCGAGGCAGAGAAGCTCGAGCGAGGCCACGAGGCAGAAGAGAGAGGCGCAGTGCAGTGCAGTGTGATGTACGCATGATTGGCTGGTGATGAGAATCGTCCGTCGTCCGCCTCTACCTCTACAGTACATTGCCACTTCCGTGCCGCTGGAGGCCGCCGTTGCCTGGGAGCAACCCTTCTGCAGAAGCCAACGCCCCTCTGCTGCGAATGCGCAACCTCGCCCTGGATCACTTTCCGTAGCGTTGCTCTGCATTGGTGAACTGCTCCAGCGCAGCAAAGAAGTCGTGAATCGACAGCTGAGCAATCGAGCATCCTGCCGGTATCACATCCGAGTCTTGCGGAGAGCCAAGAGGTGCAGAAGCAGGAGCATGACTGCCGTCGTCGGAGTAGAGTGAGGGAGCAATCAGTCAGCAGTCCCCGTCGAGCAGCACTGAAGCTTGCTACCGGTCACCACAGCTCGAAACTTACAAGATCTCCGTGACTCGAATCATCCATCTTGGGAAGTCACTCAGAGTCCGTGCTATCGGATCCCCTCCAGAGACGATCAGCAAGTCTGGCTCGGTATGAGGAAGCCCTTGGCCTGCACGACGAAGGGGGACACAAGTCAGCTATCAGTGCCAATGAGGGCAGACTCAATGAAAGACTAACCTCTGAGCTCCGAGTCCACCTCAGCTACACCCACACTGTCTATCCTTTTGCTGAGCCAGTCCTTGTCTACACCTGCATGACCATTCATGCCCTTGTGCGCTGGACTATCGCCAGTCACAACGTCTTCTCCTTCCCTCTTCACTTTACCGACGAGCGCCCCGGAGAGCGTCGCAAAGGCTGTACGACCGTCCCACCTCGGCGTCAGAAGGTTGAGCACGATATACAGAGGGCTCCCAGGGACCTCCTCAGAGCCCAGGGTATGACTTTGAAGCTTTCCGTTCTGCAGCTTGACCTTACTCGTCTTCATCGCCAATTGTCTCCGCCTCTCACCATCCCTCACCTCGATCACAATCGGTACCTGCTCCTCTTCGACATTCACATCTATCCTCCACAGCCCACTGCAAGGCTCGAACCCCCTTTGTGAGCCCGAAGCAAGCCATCGACTGATCTCTCCTCCTTCGTCCCACACGCTCACTTCTGATACACCGAGGATGGCGCACCAGCGAACAGCGTTGCGCAAGGAGAGGACCCTTCTTGCTGCCTCTGTCTCCTGGTATGCCAGCTGACGAGCAGAAGGAGGTGAAGACTTGCCGAAGAGCCCGATGGAAGATCTGCTCGAGCTCGTAGCTTCACTGTCGGCTGGCAGAAGCTGGGTCAAGTACCGGAGGAGCAGTCGAGCGAGGAGGGTCGAGGTCGGTGGAGGGCTGGGCGGGAAAGCCAGAGCGACATGTTGCGGTACCCGTAGCTCTCCTTTCGAGTTCGCCATGAAACTCCCCTTCTCTTCTTGACGCTTCGTATTTCTTCGCCGGATCTCGAGCAGCTCTCCTCCTAGCTGTGCAAGCTCCTCCACTCTGCGTTCACCAGCACTACCTCTCCTCCTGAGCCATCTCCTGGACCGAGCTAGCGCTCTGAGTGAAGCAGTGATGATCCAAAAGCCCAAATGCAGCAGTACGAGCAGCAGGTACTGCAGCGGCAGTAAGATCATCCCGCCAAAAGTTCTGCTTGCCTTCTTGCGTCGTGCAGCAGTGTTGGCGGTAGACTGCTGCTTCTCCTTCCTAGACTTCTTGCCGCGACTTCTCCGAGCTTGTAGAGCCTCCTTCTCCTTGCTCTCCGTGTCCTGTCCATCAGACAGCAGTCTCGAGCCCGGCAGAGGCAGGTCCTTCTCCAGAGCAGCAATAGCCTTCACTACTTTGGCTTCTGACCCTGCTCCCTCTCGTTGTCTATGTCCACGTCCAGCAACCTCGCCCGCACCACGCTCCCGAATCGGAGGTCCATCTCCCTCTGTATCGTAACGCCTCCTCCTCTGCGTAGGCACAGGCCAGTCTCGCGTGCGTGCCTCTCTCCATGTAGGGGAGATGGGAGGGGAGGAACAGGATGAAGAGGAGCCGGCTTGCGGATCTTGCGAGTGCGAGTGGGAATCTGACGAGGCAGAGGTGTAGGTATGTGAGGAGAAGGATAGAGGAGCCGGAGGAGCAGGAAGGTCGTGCTCCAATTTGCGGGTGGACCTCTTGAGGGAGGAGGAGGAGGCGGAGGGCGTCATGACATGATCTCTCGCTGCCTTCAGCTCCAAAGTAGCTCTTCACAGCAGGACAAAGAGGGGAGGGGAAAGGTAAGACGAAGCAGGGTAGACCAACTGAGTACCCAGATGATGAGACTTGTGCAGTAGTGGTTGCACTCGAAGCTGTACAGGGCTCACTTGGACCCCCAGATTTTGCCGCCTGCTCGAATCACTTCTTCCCGCTTCCCGCTTCACGTCTCCACGTCTCCACGTCTCCCGCGACTCGACTCCACGGGACGTGGGCTGGAGTGCCATGTCGTACCTCTGTACCGAACACGAGCCTCCAAAGTCCCAGCGCTCCTTGATCCGAAGGAGCTGCAAGAAGGAGAGCTACGAACCCCGCTAGACTACAAACCCACACAACCACGAGACGCAACACAAATGCGAGCGAGGCCCCATGAAGATTTTATTGGTATTGCAAGCAGCGCGCTCGCGGCCCGCACAGTAGAGCAGAGAAAAAGAGGGAGAGAGGAGAGTCTCATGCCAGGAGTAGGTGGGAGGAGGGGGG